CGGGCTCTGGGGCTTCCCAAGAACTCCTTGGTATCTGCTGTCTGGTTGGCCGTTCTTGGCTGTTAGGCCGACTGGCTGCTGCTCCAGTTCTTTCGTGCCCGAGAAAGCCTGGCCCTGTAGGCGTGTTTCTTTCGACCTGGGCGGTGGCGTGAGGAAGCGGGCGAACCCGGGGCGCGCAGGAGGCAGCGGTGGCAGCGGCAGCAGCAGCAGCAGCGGCGGCGGCGGCGGCGGCGGCAGAGGCAGAGGGAGGCGGCGGTCCGTAGTAGGGGGAGTAGTGAGGCGAGGGGGGAGTGTAGCCGTCGTAAGCAGACCACCCGGACGGGGGGCTGGAATAGTGATACATTATAGCATCACCCGGAGGTGGCAGTAGGAAAAAACCGACAACAGAATGATTATAAAAGAGTATTAACTGGGGATAAGAGAGAAGAAGAAGAAGAAGAAGAGAGAGACGAGGAGAGTCACCGTGGCGAGGTGCCTATCGGGGGCAGGAGGAGGAGGAGGCAGAGGGAGTGCTGTGGGAGCATTTGCGCAGTGCTTCTACCGGCTGCTGGCTGGCTGTGAGGATATCGTCGATATCTGTCGACTATGTCGCCGTCTATCGTGTCTATATCTCTGCCTGTCGACGACTATGTCGACGTCTATCGTGTCTCTGTCGACGTCTATGTCGCCGTCTATCGTGTCTCTGTCGTCCTGTCCGGTCTCGGTGACCAGGGCCTGCAGCCTGCAAAAGGAGAATGCCAGAAGCAGACGAACAACCAGAAGAAGCGTAAGACGTATAAGGAGAATAAACCGGTCTATCGAGCCTGAAACTGTTCACTTCTTGTCCTTCTTGTCTCTCTTGTGTCTTTGTCTCTCTGTGTCTTTGTCTCTCTGTGTCTCTCGCTTGAAGGGCGGAAGAAGAAGAGGAAGAAGTTTTTTTCCTTGTTTTGTGCGTGAAAGAAAAAAATCTCTGCTGGCGTAATTACGTGACGACGTGACAGTACGAGGCTAGCCTTGCGCCTCCGCCGACGAACGCCTGCGAACCGCCCAGAACCCGCCAGGCCTGCCGTCACGGCGATACGCAGACACGCCCACTACGAGCATGCCTGGAGCACTTTACGAGCATGCCTGGAGCACACTACGAGCATGCCTGGAGCACTTTACGAGCATACCTGGAGCACACTACGAGCGTACCTGGAAGTCATAGTAAGAGTCATAGTCATAGAAGAGTCACAGAGTAGAAGTGGTAGTCACAGAAGTGGTGGTCACAGAAGTGGTAGAGTAAGGTGTAAGGTGGTTACAGCAAGGCAGCAGTTGGGCAGAAGCAGAGTAAGAGAGAGCAAGGGTTAGTCATCTCTCTCTCTCTCTCTTACTCCTACTTACTATGTACCTTCTACTTACTCTCTCTCTTACTTACCACCACTTCTCTCCCTCTCTCTCTTACTCTCTCTTACCCTCTCTTACCCTCTTACTCCTACTACCACTTCTCTTCTTCTCTCTCTCTTACTCTCTCTCTTACTCTCTCTCTTACTCCCTCTCTTACCCACCGCCTTCTCCTAGTCTTACTCTTACTCTGACTCCTACGAACTGCCTCGCTTAGTAAGCTACCCTCCACATGAGGGCTTACGTCATCTTGCATGCTCGGGCCGCCTTCGCCTCTTGCTGCATAGAGTAATAGATGGTAGTAATATAGATAGTGATAGATATAGTGATAGATAGAGGTAGATAGAGGTAGATAGAGGTAGATAGAGGTAGATAGAGGTAGAGATGGTGATAGATATAGATGGTGATAGATATAGATGGTGATAGATATAGATGGTGATAGATATAGATGGTGATAGATATAGATGGTGATAGATATAGATGGTGATAGATATAGATGGTGATAGATAGAGGTAGAGATGGTGATAGATATAGATGGTGATAGATATAGATGGTGATAGATATAGATGGTGATAGATAGAGGTAGAGATGGATGGTGATAGATAGAGGTAGAGATGGTGATAGATAGAGGTAGAGATGGTGATAGATATAGATGGTGATAGCTACACGACAATGTACTCGTCGGTGAGGCGCTGGGAGTCGATGATGCGGCGCCACCGAAAGGCTTGCCCCCCCAGCAGCCCCCCCTGGGTGGCGTGGCCGCCGTTGGGGTCTTCCTCCTGCCAGATGCGCTCGAGCAGCTGCAGGCAGGAGAGGTTGTTGACGAAGCCCGAGTCGCGCTGGATGTCGCAGCAGCGCTCGCGGATGACGGCGCGGTCGCCCTCCTCGGTGCACTCGCTGCCCACGACGAAGAGCGGCCACAGCAGGAAGACGTCCGACTGCACGGCCCGGATGTAGTGCAGCGCCGCCGTCACCAGCGTCTGGATGCGCGGGTGGGCCGACGGCGTGGTCGGGTGGGCCAGCCGCTCGAGGTACAGCAGCGCAGAGTAGCGGAACGACTCGGAGATGTTCGAGATCTCCGGCAGGTTGGCGGGGTTGACGTGCGAGAGCGGTGACGCCGGCAGTGGCGCCGAGAAGAGGGCGGTAGAAGAGGAAGTGGTGGAAGTGGTGGAAGTGGTGGAGGAGAGGGAGGGGACGGGGCTGTGGGTGGCGGGGAGGTCGGGGAGACGCCAGCTCTCGAGTTTCTGGCGGACGACGTGCCACTCGCGCCAGAACTCGGCGCGCGGGTCGTTGATGCCGGGCAGGGGAGCGGGGACGGCGGGGACGGGGACGGCGGGAGAAGAGTAGTGGACCAGAGACTGCGGCGGGGAGGCGGTAGGGACGGGCGGCTCCATGCGAAGGGTCGAGTTGTCGACCGGCCGGGCCTGGCTGAGCTGGTTGAGGCGCCCGAGCTGGGCGACGGCGCGGAAGAGGCGCGGGTCGCAGCCGGCCAGGTTCTCCAGCGCCCACTCGTCCTGGCCGGAGGTCGTCACCTCCAGCAGGCAGCCGTTCATCTGGCTGTCCCGGTCGTTGATGGTCGCCGTCATCGTGTCGAACCAGGTGAACATGCGCATGAACCACTTCATCACCTCGGAGTCGTGGCTGCCCTTGGTCCGGCCCGCGCTCGGATCATGAACAGCTTCTTCACCCCCGCGAACTGGCTGCGGAACGAGGCCAGCCCGGTGTCGCACATGTGGAAGAGGCAGAGCATCAGCAGCGTCGCAAAGACCGCGTCCGTCCGCCGCTGGACCGGGTCCGCCAGCTGCGCGTTGATCGACCGTATCGCCATCCCCTTGTGGTACGACTCCTCGCGCAGCTGCTCCTCCGGCGTCGTCACCCCGAACGCCTCCTCGAACGCCCGGTCCGTCATACGGCAGTGCGCCTGCAGAGACCGTCGAGAGGGCACCGTCTTGCCCGTCGACAGGCCCCAGTTCCGCCGCCGTTGACGCATGTTGCTCAGCGACAGCGCCGCGATCGCGGGCTGCAGTGCCTCGTTGTCCTTGTTCAGCTCCAGCAGGTACAGCCGGAACGGGTTCGTCGGGCTGTCGAACGTCACGATGACTGGGGCTATTACCTCCGTATAGTACCCGATCAGGTACCGCATCCGTGGGTTTCGCCCTATCCACGTCGTCGAGAACGGCTGGTTCAGCGAAAAGGCGGGCGTCGAGTAGTATCGCTGGTGGTGGCTGTTATCATCATGATATCTCGTCACATCGGACGAGACCGCCCGTGGCTGCTCCGGGTCGTCGGCTTCCTCGTCCGGAGACCGTTTCCGGCCCAGCAGGGGCGCGGTAGAGTAAGGCTCCAACGGGCTGCCGTAGGGAGGAGAACCATAGGGGGATGCCAGCCCCGAGTAGCCAAAGTTGGCGGGCTCGACCTTGGGCGGTGCTGGTACGGCCCGGTAGCAGCACGCATCCAGGGGGCTATAGGACGAGTACGGCGGCAGGGAATATGCAGGCTCGTTCGTCCTGCCGGTGCTGTGTGGAGGCGTCACGTTTATCGCCGACCACGGTGACGTTGGCGTCTGTATAAACTCGTGCGTTCCTGAACCTTCTTGTTTCAGGTTCTGCGGCTGCTTGCCGCCCTTGCTCGCTGGCGCTACTGACGCAGCAGCCACCGCTTCAGCTACCGGAGCCTGCTTTGGCACGCTGCGCGGCGAGGTTCCCTCCCCGCTGGCCGTGGCCGGGCTGACCTTCTTCGCACCGGATATGGGCAGAGAGAGGCCCCGTAGCTTGCCCCGGCTGGCCACTCCGATGCCCCAGGTCAACGTCGTCTTGTATCCGGCACACTGCCTCCCCGTATCCAGACATGGCGTGCAGTACGGCCGCCGCCTGTCGCATCGAACCTGTCTGTTCGCACAGGTGAAGCAGTCGTCCGCCGCACCGCTCCCGACGGCCCTGCGGCGGCGCTTGCGCGGCGCGGGGGGACGACCCTTCGCCTTTTGTGCCCGGCTTGCGAGATTTGGTCGTCGTATGATGCGTCGTCGCCGTCATCACTGTCGTATAATATGTTATACCATATATATAAGTCGAAAAATGGTAGTCTTTAGATAGTCTCAACGGGGCGATGGAACATGGTCATCGTCGACCCGTGCTACGTCGGGCGGACCGTGTCGACGTTTATGCACTGTTATAATCGATGCTGATGCTGTTCGATGACAGGAAGAGATCTTGGGGGGGGGGGGGGAGACTCCACCCGGATGTCTGTGTCAGAATGATTAACCTATATTAGAACTGGACGAGACGTTCCCAACGGCGCCAGTGAAAACGTCCGCGGCATAGACTCTGTAAATAAAGAAAAAAAACGAGCGTCTCTCGTGTCTGTCTCTGTATCTCGTAGATGTCGATGTTCGATGTCGATGGAAATGCACGATGAAAAGACTAAAAGAAGATGCAAAAACCGACAAGGAAGAAAGAAGAAGAAGAAAAAAAAAAGGCAAAGAAGAAAAAGTCCACTTTTTGCCCACTTTTGGTCTTGTTGGTTTCCTGCTTTCTGATTGGCCGGATATCCCAGACCGCCTTTAACCGAATAGGTAAGTCGCTGGGGCAAGACGGCTGAGTAAGCGGGTCGGAAGAGGATGGTGACCTCCTATTGGCTGGTAGGGGCGGAGCCTTGGATAGTTGTGATTGGTGGAGACGATTCTGCCGCTTACACACGTGGTGACACGTGATTCTTCTAGAAGGCGGGAAGAAGAAGACAGAAGTTTAATATTTACGAGTCGATGAGGACGAAGACGATGAAGACGAAGACATTTATTGATTTATTCGACGAGGGAATGAAAAAGATGTCGGGTGACAGTGACAATTTAGATATTAGACAATAAACATAAACTGTTGTTTTTGTCAGAGTAGAAGAAGAAGATGGATATCGGAAAGGAAGAATGAGCAATTAAGGAAATGACCAGGGCCGACCAGACATGATGATACCACCAAACGCCAGAATATCAAGAGAAGAAGAAAATGCAAGGAAGGGAAGGGTGACTAGTAGTAGCTCCTTGATACTTAGATCAGGGCCATGGCGATCTATGCATACCCAGCAGGAGTAATTTTGTGTGAATAACTTAAAAGCAATGGCAGCCATGTAAGCTTTATAAGGTGTAAAAGAAGATATAAAAAAGAGAAGGAAAAGGAAGGGGAAAAGAAAGAAAAAAAGGAGAGGAAAGAGGGAAAGGAAGGGGGGAAGAAGACTATGTGCTGTTACGCCCTGTAGCTGGCGTGCTGATCATCTCGTCTGAGACGCTGATGATCTCGACATCCTCTGGCGTCTCGGCCATGGTGCTGGAGTACAGCCTGCTGAAGGAGGAGTCGGTCGACAGAAGGGTGTACGGGTCGTCGTACTCGAGCAGCTCGCCACCGTCCAGGAGGGCGACCCGGTCAAAGTCGAGGATGGTGTCCAGCTTGTGTGCAACAGCGATGATGGTGCGAGAAGACAGCTTCTCTCGGATCACTCGCTGCATGATCTCATCGGTTTTGTTGTCGACACTATAAGATTGGTTTTGTTAGCTGTTGGATGTTCCCCGGTCATATGCAAAAAGAAAAATAATGATTGAACGAGCCGAGGCGAAGGTTGGCCCGGCCGGGACCCGCTTGAAGATCATAGGAAGAAGGTTGGTGGCCAAGGATAGAAACTTACTTGCTTGTGGCCTCGTCGAGGATAAGTATAGTGCTGGGCCGCAGGATTGCCCGAGCAAGACAGAGCAGCTGCTTCTGGCCGTGGGAGAGATGGAACTCGTCAATGTCGACGTCTAGTCCGCCCTTCTCGTTGACAATGTTCCATAGCTGCACGCTCTTGAGCGCGGAGATCATGGCATCGTCGGCCATAGTGCCTGTTGGGTCCACGTTGAGGCGCATAGAGCCCTTGAGGATGAGAGCATCTTGGGATACACCGGTGATACGGGACCGGATCTCTGAACGGGGGATGGTGCTGAGGTCCACGCCATCAACCAAGATGCTGCCGCCACTCAGTTCAAGCATGCGGAAGATTGTTAGGATGAGAGAACTCTTTCCGCTATTGGCGCACGTTTGTTAGTCTCCGTTCCTCAACGGGGCACAAGGGAGCAGACTGGGGAATAGACATAAATCTTACCTTCCGGTTCGACCGCAGATTCCAAGCTTCTCTCCTGGAGCGACGGTCAGGGTGACGTTCTTTAGGATGGGCTCGCCTGGTCGGTACTCTGCAGACACAGACTGGAACTCGATTCCTCCCTGGGCAGGCCAGTTGTCCGGAGGTTGGGTGGTCTCGGTATCCTTCTCTTCAGACTGGGCGGTCTCGTTGAACACCTTGATACGGGCAATGGCTCCGATATGGGTTTCAAGCGTTGTCCAGAAAGTGATAAGCAGTTTGATACTCTGACTGAACTGGATGACGTTCAGAAGAGCGACACCAGCATACCCGCCGCTGATGGTTCCACGGAGCTTGATGACCAGGACAATCAACAGGACAGCAATACCGGCGACGACCATGTCGAGGACCAGGGTCAGCCATCGCTGCACGGAGAAGAGCAGGTAGAACGGTTTCTGGGAGCGGTCGAGCAGTTTACGGTTCTTCTTCTCGAGGGCTTCCTGCCATCCAAAGGCGCGGATAGTGGCCAGGCCGTTGAGACACTCGGTGAACTGTGAGTACAGAGGCGCCTTGGCCTCGAGGTCCATGAATCGGAGCTGTCGAGAGGTGCGCAGGTAGTACTTTTGGATCATGTACAGGAGGCCGATGATGAGTGGGAATGAAATGGCAGCATAGACCGATGCAACACCGATAATGACCATCTGAGCGAAACACAGGACGAAAGTCGCAAAGGTGTTGAGTGCAGCAACGGGAAGTTCCATGTCGATGAGCTGCAGGTCCTGAGAGAATCGGTTCATCGTCACACCCTGATCGGTGGTGGAGAAGAATGACAGCGGAGCGGACAGGACGGTCTTGAGGAGAGTGAAGTGGAAGGCTTCTCCGGACTTGGGGACCATCGTGATGATCATCTGCCATGAACCAAGGATAAGAGAGATGATGGCAAGGACACCAAGCATCACATAGATACCCAGGTAGTAACCGAGCCTCTCATAGGGTGCTTCGACGTTGGCGGCAGCCCACCACTTCAGCCAGATAGCTATGGCTCAAGTTAGCATCATCTTCAAAGAGCCAAAAAAGAAAAAAAAGAAAAAAAGGTAAGATATCACTTACTTGGGAACGAGATACAGAAAACGAATGCGCTGATGAAGAACATGAAGACGAGGGTGGTTGGCCAACCGATGGATCGAGCATAGTATAGATAGATGGCCATGTCGCCCATTCGTCGATTGGCCGCGGCCTCAAGCTCTTCAGACGTCTGAGGGGTGTCATCGATGACAGCCGGCGCCGGTAGAGGGCGCTCTGGCTCTGGTTTGAACAGCCAGTCAGGCGAGGGAAGGTTGAAGCTGGAGATATAGCCACCGGAGGCGTTGAGCTCGTCGAATTTGCCTTGCTCGGCGATGCAGCCCTCGGCGCTAAGGGCAATGATATGGTCGGCATACGGAACACGCTTGGCTGTGATTTGATATTAGCAGGGGTGTTGTCATAACGATCGCTTATTGTGACAATCTAAGAGGCCCAACTTACGCGAAGACGAAGTGATGATGACCGTGGTGCCAAGTCGTCGCAGCAATCCTTCTTCTCCCAGCAAATGGTGGAAGATGTGATTCTCGGTGGCAGCATCGATTCCGCTCAACACATCATCGAGAATGAGAATGTCTTTCTGAGCATAGATGGCTCGGGCAAGTGCCTACGAAACGGTCAGCTCGTCTGCTTGGAAGAAGGGGGAAAACGAAATAGTAGGAAGAACTCACGATACGTTGGCTCTGGCCACCGCTGAGTGCGATACCCTTGCTGCCTACGATTGTCTGGTCACCGCGGGGAAGCTGTCGAAGATCCTGTGCGAGACCGCAGGCCTGTACGACAGTTGAATACCATTTTTCATCCCAGTCCAAAACGGAGACAATGCTGTCCTTGATGCTCTCATTCATGTGCCAGGCGGTTTGGTCGCAGAAGGCCATGTTCATGGATGCAACCTCGACAACTCCTCCGAGGCAGACGACTTCACCAAGTATAGCTTTCAGAAGAGTCGATTTACCACAGCCGACAGGCCCGACAATGACGGTGGTCTTGGAGCGGGGCATGGTGGTATTGATAGATTTCAGAACGGCGCCCTTCTCATTCTCCCACGCGAAGCACCCATCACGGATTGCAACGGCGTCGATTTCGGGGTTGGAAAGGGGCATTCCTTTGAACGGGAACGAACCGCCAGATTTCATCGATTTGAGAGTTGGAGTGGTGGAGCTCCTGGTGGCCTTTTCATTATTCTTGATGGCATCCTTATCGGAGAGGGCAAGTGTCTGCTGGCTAAGGGAGAAGAGGTTTGCTCGTTCCTCCGGCTGTCTTCTGGAATCAACTCGGGAAGGCTTGTCCAAAAATTCCTGGATACGAGTGAAGCATCCGACTGAACCCAAGAATGTCACCAAGGACATAATCAATGACTGCAACGGCTCCGACAGCAACGCAAACAGGGACAGCGAGGTGAACACTCGACTGATATCTAAAATGGCGTTGCCACCACCGTTTTTGTTAATAGCGGCAAAGACAGCAAATGTGATGATAGGTCCAAAGATTTGCGAGACAAATGCTGCATTCATTGATCAGTCCAGCCACAGATATAAATATTAAGAATTGGGCTGGATTGACTTACCAAAACCCATATTCCAGATCAGGAGTTTACGGAACTTCTTGGAAATGTTCAGCTCTTCCAGTCTCAAATTGTGCAAATTCGTCAGGAGAACCTCCTTCAAACCACACATCTTCACTCCCTTCATGGACCCGAGCATCACACTGGTGGCAGAGATACGGCGCTCGATGGCCTCCAACCAAGACGCTTGATGGGCCATTACGAAGTTCATTGCAATCACAGATCCGAAGAGAGAGACTATGTTCAAAAGTCAGCAGCTTGAAGTGCGAAACAAAAACCTTATGGTATGCTTACGAATCGAAACAGCAATTGGCACAACACAAGCAACACCGAGCTGCTTCTGAAGCAAGAAGATGGCAATGCCGACTTCAGCTGCTGCTGCCCAGAGTTCATGCATGGTCTGCCATCCTTGAACGATACGCTCGATATCAGCGCTCATAAGGGTCATGGATGAGGCCGGGTCCACATCCTGGATGTTTATGTCGGTCGCTTTGCGGTAAAGCATAGAGATCAAACCACCACGAACCATGGTAATAGCACGGTAAGTCAAATGCTGATATTGGCCCATGGTAACCTGGAATCGGATTTTAGTAATACACCACTATTGGACAAAACGGAATTGAGACTTACGGCCAAACCAACGTATACAATAACATAGGCAAAAATGAGTCCATATCCCTGGTTGGTAGTCTGTTCGGTAATGGGTTCGGAAGCAAGGAGAATTGCCTTGTTCAACAAGAATGGCTGGGCGAACAAAAATCCGATCAAGCAAAGTCGTGGGAATGCGATTGACAAGAGCGGCCATTTCAAGACCTTGAAAGTAACAAGGAGCAAGGAATTTGGCGTCTTTGATTTGACTATGCGAAAACAACGTTACTTTTGTGATACCTAAAGACAACGCGGACTGACCAACATACCTTTTTCCCATGCAGCGTCCATGCGGTTATGGATACGCTCCGACAGGAGATGCTTATCAAGGTCATACAGGTCTTCAACGAAGAGTAGCTTGGAGAAACCGTTCCAGAAGAGAGAGTTGAGCCAGACGAAAAAGCTTCGGTTTAAGATACCAGCAGTGGCCTCGGGCGGATAGGCCTTATATTCTGGCTTGAGCATATACCTCTTCTCGGCAACTTCCAGGATCAGGATCACAAATTTCAAGGCAACCGTGGCAGTGAAGCCCCATGCAATAATTTGACCAGAGTCCGACGTCTCTCGTAACCATAAGGTCCTTGCTCGAGCAATGTCGAAAATTAGCGTGAAGAAAAAGAATGCATTGAGCATCAAGGACGGCGTGGTCGTGTATAGGTGCTCTGCATATGAAAGGAGGACGAAAAGTATAGAGCCAACGAGAGTGAGGGCGTTAACCGCAATTGAGAGCTGAGTTCTATCGACATTTGGGCGAGTCCAGAGTATTACAAGTAACAATTGCAAACCACAATATGCTGCAAGAGATGTCTATGGGTGCACATTAACAGTAAGTATACCATCCCATATCCATTAAAGTTAAACAAACCAGAGCGTACACGGAAATACTTACAATCTTCATATGAATCAAAGGGCTATCTTCTACCTTTCGCTTCTTTTTGAAAAGGTATGCAATTCGGAATGGGGTTAATAGGATCATGAAAGCTAACGGTACCAGTGTGAGAATGCTCTCCTCGAAGAGAAGAGTGAAATCAAACTCTCCACGGCATTGTTTAGCCCAAGGGCCAAATGTATTGTCTATCTCTGGGCAAGACATGTTGACCGACGCCATGATGCCTGGACTCGATACCAGGAAATCAGGAAGTGCTCGACGAGCAGATGAGGCAGAGAGAAAGATCTCGGAGAATATATTTCAAACCTCACGAACTAGGAGACATTGACTGGGAGGGTCTTCTCTTTTGAGTCAAGTGGGCTGGCTTACTACTAGAAGATCTTCTATGGAGAAGTAGCCACAAACACCGGGGGTAAGGAAGTTGACAGGATGCTGAATTGATTCAGAAACAAGGAGGAAACTCGAGGACAGTTTATCTTCACTTGCAACGGAGCTGTCAAGGCTGGAAAATTTTCCTTTTTTGCAGCTGAGCTACAACACTGCCATCAGGAATCATGCCGAGACTGCCCGTCACGTTGTGCTCGCAATTGGAGCTATGCACTATTTTGAGCATTTGATGTGGAATTCTACAATCCTGTGCCGTTTAACCTCTCCTTTCCTGGAAGGTGACCCTGTACCTTCGTATTGACTATGGCCTCTAGCTAACCCTTGATATTAAAAATAGAAGATAATATCAAGGAAGAGAGATCAGCTTGGAGGGATGATGGGAGGCGGATCCACTAACCCCCCTAGCTGTGCTCTCTCACAGCCTGGAATCGAGAAGGGGGAAAGAAAAAAAAGAAAAGAAAAGTTGCAAAAACAGAGCTTGATAGATGGAGAAGAAGCGAAGCGGGAAAACCTCAAGAAGAAAAAAAAAAGGAAGAAAAAGAAAAGAAACATAGGGGCAAAACGAGAAGCAAACGGGAAGCAAACGAGGCCGACGAAAGGTCCTGCCAAAGGTCAACAGCGCGAGATCCGGAGATATTGAAGAAATTGGCCACAGAACAGGGGTCGAATGATGCCTGTGGTCTATACCATATCGATGGCCACCATGGGGGAATGACCTTTCACAGCAGGCCGGGAATACATATCCGGACCCCTTCAAGGGCAAATTCAAGATATCTGAGCTATCCGGTCAGGTAACGGAGGATCACCCTAGCAGCCTCGACCCGATGGGTGAAGGAAGCATCACGCTTGACGCAAGTCAGGAGCCAGTGGTTGATCGAGAGGCGTTGACGATCCAATACTCTGAAGAGAAAGAGAAAAAAAAAAAATAGTGAAGGAAAAGAAAAAGAAACGATAGGAGCAAAAGACAAGCCACGTTCTCCTTTTGCAAAATTCGGGAGGTACAAGATGTACCAGTACAGTAAGGAAAGGTTAAATCTGGGATGATTTTGACTATGGAGATCTGGCTTGGCCAAGCTTTCCCAGGATGTTTAGGCGAGGAGCATGGGGGTAAACAAGTATATTTTGACAGCGGTCGAACGGCCAGGATAAAAGCCCGCAAGGGTCCAGAAATACGACCCAAGCCTGGGTACCTGGGATAAGGGAGCAGATGAGGAAACATACATACTCTGGACCATATTCTTTCTTGTCAAAGCAGCCAGAGAGGGAAAAAAAAAAGGAAAGGATGACTATAAAACCTACTGCTTGTTTCTTTTTTCTTCTTTTTTTTTTTTTATTTTTACATACGACGTGATAAATCGGACTAAAAAGAATTAAAAAAAAGACCAGGCTTGGGTTCCAACACCAAGCGTCAGAGCGGTTTGCTCAGCCTTACTAGTCGCGATGATCATCGTGGCCAGCACAATAGAAGCAGATAGGCCTAAACTGTACTCCATACTCTGTATGTTATATAACGTTGGCGATCGACTGCAGCCACCAACTGTCGCTACACAATCTGATGGCGACTGACGTCCAGCCATATTGTTCCACGTTGGATGCGAGCCGTTTTCCTTGGTTCTTTCTTTCGCCAACAGGTGGAAATACATGCTCCAGTTCATATTCCTTTTCACCGAATACCGCGTTAAGGGCCCAGTTAGGTCGTTGTGTCTTGGATCATATAACACCGAAGTTAAGGGTGAGAATCAGGGGGCCCACCTTTCGTAAATAAGTATTCTAACCACCGAGTATCGTGCTTCACTGGAGCATCCATGCAATATATTGCTTCATTCCCACCACATTTGTGTATATCTGGAGACATGCAATAGTGGGTTGCATGGTATAGCGTGCGCACTAACTACCGGATAAGCTTAAGGAGCTAAAAAAGAAAAAATAAAAATATATAGAAAATAGAAAAAAAAAAAGATTTCTAATGAGCCTCTCGGACCAAGGAAAGATATATAGCAATTACCTATTTGGCCAGGGGCTCAGCGAGACGGAGGCTGAATGAGTTCTTGTCGGATGTGGATGTGGGGGCCGTGCTGAATGCTGGCGGCCTCTTGGAGTGAAAATTCTGGTCCCAGCGACAGGCCACCTCTGCATTTGCATAGATGCCCTGGCTTTGTAGTGGCCAGGTTTGGCGAACAGCGGCAGACCGGCATGCGCTACCTTGATGGTAAAGCATACGGCAGGAGAATTAACCGCACGATCTGGGCCTGTCTGTCACCGAAAAAGAAAAGGAATATTGTTCCGTGACTACAAATCCCAAAGGAAGGAAAGTGATAAGGGAAAAAGAGGGAAAGAAAAAGAAAAGAAAAGGGACAGAATTGTTGCGATTTGTACCACTACAATCTGCACAGAATATATCATCTGCTGCTTGAACCTAAGCGAATTCTTGTTAAGATATGGATATCAGGCTGAAGACCAGCCTTTCCATCGATTCTTCCTATGCCATGGAACACGGATTCTTGCCTCCCTGTTCTCCCTGCATATGGGAAGGCGAATATAGTCATGCTGTCTGGTCTTGAGGTGGCATTTGGTTACATTAGTTAGAAGCAAAAGAGCCGCTCCTGCAGCACGCTGGCGTTGACACTGGAAGGACAGACATCGAGACTTCTGCTTTTTGATTGAGTAGACGGAGTACCTCCTCCCGCTGTGTCAGCCTAGCTGCCTGGCGGATATATCTTAAGTATAACAATATCATTATGCTTGGTCAGGCTCTTCTCGTAAACATGCTATCAACCCAGTTACATACATGCCACGCGGGAAGTATGGGTATGGGATAGACACCCGTGTGGAGGGAATGGCATATAGTTATGAAGGTTAGCCCAATGATGGGGTGGAGAGGTTGGGGATAAATTTGGAATCTTGCCAATGCCACGTTATTCTCCTTTGATAGACCGATTTGACAGAGTAATTTCCTGTCATCGTTCTCTCAAACACCGGCCGGACTTGGGAGCATAGGAAGGTCCCGCCAGCATCTAGCCCGAGCGCTCTCCCGCCGCAGAGCAAGGGCGCAAAAGCGGAGCCTGCCATGGGTGGTGAAAGTGTGAGCGAGTCCCGCCCATCAATTGAACGTTGGGCTCATCTGCGTGCTTGGATAAGGCTGTGTGAAGGGTTAAATTTGAGGTGGCAGAGATTATCCCAGGCCATGTTTGTTAAACAACTATTATAGTGTGATCGTACCAAATATACCAAGAATAGAACAAGTTCGAGCTTGCTGCCCCCCACTTAATGGAGCCTCAGAGATTCTGTGGACATTGATTGGTCCAGTTGAGCCTGAAGAAATGCTATAGCAAAATTATATCTTGGTATATCGTGCTCTGGGCTGTGGAGTCCGGGAACAGACTGGACGGGTATTGACGTCAACCAGTGGAATCTCTTCCCTCTTGAATTCGCGATGGGGGCAAAGAGTCAGGCTATCATGAGGGCAGAGTATGTACGGAGTATGCAAGTATGTCTATAGAGGGAAGGCAAGCCTGATCGGTCACATTATCTCATCATCCCGTTCACAGATACTCTGCACATCATCTTTCCCAAGATGCACAGGCGAGCAGTGGCTGTGCCTCCTACTGGCACATCTACTATGTACGTCTAGCTGTCTTGCCATTGTTGCGAGGAGGGCAAAGTCCAATGCACTGTTGTTGTGCCACTTAGTATGCTGTGCTCGCGAAGATCGTCAGGTTTTCGTGGTGGCGCACCCTTCTTTTCTTATTCTTCTCTCTCCTTCATCGTCGTTCTTCTGCTTTTGGCCAAGACAAACAGACAGAAAATACTCTTGGAAACTTGGGAAACCTTGCTATGTACGGGAAAAGGGCTGTGGCTCCCGTGACCTAACGGCCCGTCGTTAGTCCGACGCGCGCGCTTAGCTTCTTCGGGCGTTAGTGCGCTTCTCGAAGGCGCCAAGACGCCGGAAAGGAACACGCATGGACCACCCTTTCTTTTCCTTTCTGCCGTCAGTCACCGCCCACCCGCAATCCCTCTCCCATTTGAAACCGGACGACCGTCGCTTGTTCAATGCCCACTCATATTCACCAGTTTACCGTCATCTGGACAACCACAAATCCCTCGTGGTGGCTTGTTTATCTGTGGCCCATCACACGAAGAGTTGCCATGCCAGATGCGATGCACGCCATGCATGCTATTCTCGTGATGGTTCCAAAAATAAAACAGAAACTCAAAGGTTCTCCCACCCATCCAGTTGAAGTCCGTATTCCAGGCCCCCGGTCGGAGAGCCTAAAAAAGTCTTTCCAAAAAGCAACTGCAGAAAATATACTCCATACATATAGTACATATATACTATGTACAAAAATGATAACCTGAAAAAAAGAAACAGAGCGGCAAGCTGAAAAAGAAAAAAGAAAAAAAAAAGACAAAAAAAAAGAAAGTTAAATAACGCAGAAAACAAAAATGTGAAACTCCTGTTGAGTTTGTCTTGCTTTCCTTGGTGAACCAACCGCCTGGCTTCTGCGGGTGGCTCCCGGCAATTTGTGAGCATCGGTTGATGGAATGCGATGCCATACTCCGTACTTGCGAGGCTAATCCTGGTAGCTGGCTCCACGCCTCCGGACTCATCCCTGGGATATGCTAGGTCGTGGTACAAAGAAGGGGGACCGCTGCAGACATGGGCCTGCTGTGATTTGAGCTTCGACTTCGAGTAATAGCTCGGATATTACTTCATACTTGAGGTGCTTGAACAGCAGCCGCCTTAGAGGTCACATCCAAGAGATACCATACCGGCTTCAGCTCCTTTGCCTGCCTGCCTCCTGTAGTATTCCCCATGGAAAGGTCGTATCGAACTATTTGACTTAATTTTTTTTTCCCTCCCTCCCTTATCCATCATTTCTATTTTGGTCTCGAAGAGATTTCAAATTGCCAATCCCCTCGGACAAGCCAGTCATTGCTTGACAGCCGTATTATATCCTGTAGGTAATACCTCTTGTTTCTCTAGGCGGCATCTATCTGCCTCTTTGCACACATCATTGTTCCTCCTTCATACGAGCTATCTGCGCAAACAGCACTGATTGCTTTGCACATCCTCTCAAGCTCAGATTGCCCACGCCATTCCTGAAACAACTCAATTCTCCCTCTTGATAGTAATCGAGGGACACAAATAATTGCTTCCCCATTCTGAAGCTTTTTTTCTCTTCAACAACTCCTTCGCCCCAACTTCGAGCGATACCCGGAGGATCACTAGAGCATACATAATTTTTTTCCCCTCTCTGAGGCTTTCATGACGGTCAGTGTATCATAATCAAGCTGCTAAACTAATTCTTCCCTTCGCCGTAGAATCGCCCCATACCCAGCCATTGCTATCACATTGCTTGGGAACAGACTTACCTTGACTTTCACAGCTATAGATTAACTCCATTTGTCTCTTAAGACATATATCCTCGCTGCAATATACCCGAATTCCACTTGTATTTATTTGACTTGTAAGTGTGGCCAGTATTACAGTAAATGCAACATAGTCAAGATGCTGAAATGCCGTTCCAGATTATTTCATAGACACACTCGGACATCTGCCCCAAAATAGCGCAACAATGCAGGCCAAAAACGATTCCACAATACACTGGGAGTCCCATCTCGCCGATGTTGCTCCCTGCCATTTCCCGCGCCTTGGAGCTTCCGCTGCAGGTCCAAAAAGGCCGATGACAATTAAAGTGACCTTGGATCAAACCCAGGATTTGAAAGACCTTTGCGGATCGAATACCACCGCCTTGCCTGCCGTCCTTCGTGCTACATGGAGTTTAGTTTTACGCTGTTATACTGGTTCCGATGACGTTTGTTTTGGATATCAGGATGCAACATCCACAGATGTTTTGCCTATAGTTCGCCTGGCATTTGATGATGATACTCTCATTTCGAGGTTGGTAGAGTCTGCGCAAAAGGAGTACGAAAGTAGTCTACCGTTCCATGGCAGTGTTCCTACCAACGCGGCAGGACCCGTGGAACAGCGCCTCTACAACACCATTGTGTCATTTCGCAGTGCTGCTAAACCTGGTACTGCGCCTCCCTCACGGGCTGCTAACATGACCCTACCAGAAGATGTAAGGAATTTGTACCAACCATCTCATACTTTACATTCGTCATTTCGCTTGCTAACTGTGTTATCTTAGTGTCGCATACGCTTAATGACCAAGCTGATGGGCGGAAGAATGAGCATCTTCCTTGAATGGTGGAGCGTGGATATGACCATGGAACAGGCGATGGGGGTTGCTTCGACTGTGGGAAAGGCCTTCAGTGCCATTACTACATCTCCCACCGTATCAGTTGGCGCATTCGATCCACTCACTGCTTTTCATTTAAAGCAAATTACGAAGTGGAATAGCTTTTCTTTGAATACGGTCAATCGGTGCATACATGAGGTTATCCATGACCAAGTCCTTCGCAAACCAGAGGCTGAAGCAATCTGCTCCTGGGATGGAAGCTTTTCATTTCAAGAGCTTGACCTTGTTACTTCGCGCCTGGCGCACAAACTTGTGCAATTGGGCATTGGGCCGGAAGTTAGGGTCCCTCTCTGTTTTGACAAGTCGGTATGTTAATCTTTCTCGCACATACGTCTTTTTCTCCTAGTTTACCTGCGCTTTGAATCTTGGCGTGGTCTATAAGCCGCCTCCTTAGCCGTTGTGGATCGTACACTAGCTAATGGTCCGTCCTAAAGAAATGGAATGTGGTTGCGATGATTGCTGTTATGAAGGCTGGTGGAGCTTTTGTCCCCTTTGACCCTTCACACCCAATACCGCGATTGCAAGGCCTTGTCAAATCTCTCGAATCATCACTGCTGCTTTGCTCCGCCCAATATACACAACATCTTGCCACAGTCGCGGAGACCGTTCTGCCTGTCGATGAAGCGTTGATCAAGGAGTTGCCATCTGGCTCTGACGCTATCCGCTTCACTAGCCGCGCCAAGCCCAGTAACGCCGCTTATGTTATCTTCACCTCGGGGTCCACTGGAGAGCCGAAGGTCAGTGAAACTATTCTGAATGGTCACGAAGTTTCCGAGACAGATGTGACAGTTGAGATGACAGATGTGATTTATGTACTGACTCTAAGTTTAAGGGTACACTATTGGAACATGTTGCCTTTTGCTCGAGCGCCGCAGCTCACGCCGGCCCACTGCGCATCGAGGAGGACTCGCGATGTTTACAGTTCGCTGCACACACTTTTGATGCTAGTCTTGTCGAGATCCTCACCCCTTTAATGCAAGGGGCCTGTGTCTGCATCCCAAGTGAAGAGGCGCGGCTGAACAACATCGTCCAGGCAATAAATGATCTACGCGTCAATACTGCGACGCTCACCCCTTCTTTTATCGGGTTCATTGAACCGGCTGATGTCCCAGGACTAAGGTCTCTCGTCCTCGCAGGCGAGGCCATGTCCCAAAGCCATATCGACACTTGGTCGAAGATTAACCTCGTCAACGGCTTTGGACCAACCGAGACCGGGGTTGCGTGCGCTGTTAATACGAAAGTGACTGCGACAACGGATCCAAAGGATATTGGATTCCCCGTTGGTGGGCACTGTTGGGTTGTTAATGCTGAAGATCACAATCGCCTCGTTCCCCCTGGATGTGTTGGAGAGCTTCTTGTTGAAGGACCCACTTTAGCCAGGGGCTACCTCAACAATACCCAGAAAACAAAGGAGGCGTTCGTTTACGATCCTGCCTGGGCCCGCACCAGCGAAACTCAAGGTGAACCACGGCGCTTCTACAAAACTGGTGATCTCGTTCGCTATAACTCACCTGAAGGATCCTTTAATTATGTCGGTCGAAAGGATACCCAGGTAAAGTTCCATGGTCAGCGAGTTGAGCTGGGTGAGATTGAACATGGACTTAACCTCGCTCCTAATGTGAAGCATGGCCTTGTATTGCTTCCAAAGACCGGCAACTGTAAAGGAAAATTGGTTTCCATCCTCTCTTTCTCTAACGAAATTACGGATAAGTTTACCAATGATCCAACGTCCCTTAGGCTTATTGGGACTAATCGGAAAGATGAATATGTTGATATGGTTCGTGAAGCTATGGCCGCTCACCTTCCGTCTTATATGGTTCCATCAATCTGGGTCTGCATGGAATCACTTCCCCTTCTCCCTTCGGCAAAGCTTGATCGTAAATCGGTTGCTAAATGGGTTGATTCCATGACCGATGAGGTCTACCATGATGTCTCTGGAGCCCAGCAGACAGAACCTGGTGCTAACGGGGTCTCTGAACCGGCTAATGCTGTTGAGGCTACTATCCAGGCTGCCTGGAGCCGCATTCTGAACATCCCGCTTAATCGCATCAGTTTGGACCAGAGCTTCCTCAGCCTTGGAGGTGACTCTATCACCGCCATGACATGTATGGGCCAATGCAAGAAGGCAGGCCTTGGCTTCACTGTCCAGGAGATTTTGCGGAGCAAATCCATCCGTGCCCTAGCCCCTTGTGCTAAGGAAGTAAAGAGAACCGTTGATCTTAAGGAAGAGATCAATGTAGACTTTGAACTTCAACCTATTCAGCAATACCATTTTGCCATCAGGAACGATGAAATGGGCCACTTTAATCAAAGCTTCTTCCTTAAACTAGCGCGGAAAACGGAGGAGCGGTCCCTTCGACGTGCAGTTGATGCCCTCGTAGAGCGGCATTCTATGCTTCGGTCTAGATTTAGACAATCGGGGCCTAATGGTGAATGGCGGCAATATATTACTAACGACGTGAAGACTTCGTGCCGATTTAGGATTCATACAGTGCAGACAAAGAGAGATGCCGAACCTGCCATTGCCGATAGCCAGGCCACTCTCAGCGCTACCAAGGGGCCTCTCTTTGCTGTAGACCTGTTTGATGTGAACGGTAACCAGCAGCTTCTTTTCATGACTGGTCATCATTTGGTGATTGATTTAGTTTCTTGGCGTGTGATTTTAGAGGATCTTGAGGATCTTCTTGTCAACCCTACCGACCCTTCCCTCAGTGACAAATCCATTCCTTTCCAAACCTGGGCCAGGCTGCAGAAAGAACATTGTCAGAATCTCAGTTTATCCCATGTTCTACCACATGATAATGTTCCACCAGCCAACTTCGCCTACTGGGGTACCGATGTTAAAGATAACATCTACGGTGCTTCCGCAGCCGAAGGATTTGAAATTGATGCTGCCACGACTTCATTTCTCCTAACTGACTGCCACAATGGATTACGAACTGAACCAGTTGATCTTTTTGTGTCGGTCCTTATCCACTCCTTCGGTCAAATATTCACCGATCGTGAACCTCCAGCCATCTATAATGAAGGCCACGGCCGTGAAATATGGAATGAGTCAATCGATATCGCTAGGACTATCGGTTGGTTTACCACTCTTTATCCGATTTTTGTTACAGGCTCCACTTCCAAGAATCTACTCGACATTACCAAACATGTCAAGGACATTCGCCGTGCTGTTCCTGGAAATGGCCGACCATACTTTGCTACTCGCTGGTTGACTGAAAAGGGTCGGGAAGCGTGGAACCACCATTCTCCCATGGAGTTGTCGTTCAATTACCTTGGCCAATACCAACAGCTCGAGCGAGAAGGTGCACTTCTTAATCCCGTCGATGAATTGGCGGGTGAGGCTAAAGAAGCAGGGGGTATTGCTGACTATGCTATTGGTACCCCGAGATTCGGCCTGTTTGAAATATCTGCTGTCATAGCTGCTGGTAAACTCAGATTCTCCTTTACCTTCAACAGACATATGAAGCATCAAGATCTTATTCGACAATGGATCTCTCATTGCAAGCATTCCCTGCAGAACGCCTCGAAGTTATTCATGGGGATGCCGTTTACCCCTACTCTCAGCGATTATCCTCTCTTAGCATTAAACTATGACTCGCTGAACTCTATGGTTACTGAAAAATTACCACTCGTTGGTGCAAAAAGTGTGCAGGATATTGAAGATGCTTATCCTTGCTCTCCAATGCAGCAAGGCCTTCTCCTTAGTCGCAGCAAGGACGGTGCGTTTTATGCTGTTAACGGTACTTATGAAGTGAAACCAAGAGTTGGCACCAGAGTTAATGCCGAAAAGCTCTCTGCTGCTTGGGATTTAGTTGTCCGGCGCCATGCATGTCTTCGGACGGTCTTCATCGAGGGGCTGAGTAGCGATGGGCTTTATGATCAAGTAGTATTAAGGCGGTCTCCTTCTGGCCCTTCACGGCTTCGCTGTACTACAGAGTCAGAAGTCTTAAGCACTTTGAACAAGCAAGGCTTTATGCAATATACTGACCATACTCCTGCTAATCGATTCACTATTTGTGAAACTTCGAATGGGAAGGTGTTCTGTCGGTTGGAACTGAGCCATGCAGTTATGGACGGTGCCTCGATGTCTATCATATTTGATGATCTATGCCGTGCATACGCCGGGGATATGAAGGATGAACCCGGTCCGCTATTTAGTGCGTACGTTGCTTATCTACAGACGCTCTCTTTAGCTCAAGGTCTTTCCTTCTGGGTGCCATATCTTGACGGACTAGACCCCTGCCACTTCCCGGTTCTTAACGATGGTGTCACTGTGAAAAAAGAACTTCATAACATAAGGCTTGCGTTTAAAGAATTGCCAGCTCTTCAGAAATTCTGCGATTATCAGGGATTTACCCTGCCAAACGCCATCCACACTGCCTGGGCTTTGACATTGCGATCCTTTGTAGGCACTGAAGACACCTGTTTTGGTTATCTCTCCTCTGGCCGTGACGCACCGGTTGAGGGGGCTAATGTTGCTGTTGGCCCATTTATCAACATGCTTGTCTGCCGTGTCAAGATGCCAGGAGATGCGACGCTTATAAGCGTTTTGGAACAAGTGCAAAAAGACTACATGGACAGTCTGCCTCACAAACACACATCACTAGCTGAAGTTCAGCATGCCCTGAAACTTACCGATACTTCGCTTTTTAATACTTGTGTTTCTTACCGCAAGCTCCCGCCAACTAAGGATAAGAAACCCCTGATAAGCTTTGATGAATTTGCTCCGACACACGACCCTGATGAATACCCAATTTCCATCAATATTGAAGCTTCAGATGAAGTTGTTGCTATTGACCTGGACTACTGGACCGACTCCATATGCGACAAACAGGGCAGGAATATCGCTTTTTCGTTTATTCGTTGCCTGGAGAATATCACTCACAATTCGCACCTCGAGATCTCTAAACTTGACAATCTCAGCTCCCTAGATTATGAGACTATTTGGGGGTGGAACAGCCGTATCCCCTTAACTATTCCGGACTGTGTTCACTATGTAATCATGAAGCAAACAGCTCAGCGTCCTGATGCTCAGGCTATATGTGGATTCGATGCAAGCTTCACCTATAAAGAACTTGACGAAGTTTCCTCTCGTTTGGCTTCATATCTTGTTGCTCTAGGAGTTACCCCTGAAACGTTTGTGCCAACTTGTTTCGACAAATCAGCCTACACTGTCGTTTCTATGCTTGCAGTCCTAAAGGCTGGAGGTGCTTGTGTTCCCCTAGATGCCACCCACCCAATGCCCGCCCTTGAGACAAGGGTAGTTGACACTGAAGCACAAATTGTCGTCGCTTCCGCTGCCAGGGCCGCCATGTTTGATGATATGGTGCCTTATGTTGTGGCAGTTGACGCAGAATTCCTTGAACAACTTCCAGACTATGGCGAAAACAACGGTATCCCTGCGGAGCCATGCAATCCTGCCTTTGTGATATTTACGTCTGGTAGTACGGGAAAACCAAAGGGTGTAGTTCTAGAACATAGTGCAATGGTTACGAGTGCTGAAGCTCACGGTTCTGCTTTGGGTGTCGGCCCTAACACGCGATTCCTTCAGTTCGCTACCTATACATTCGACAACAGTCTTGAAGAGATGTTCACCACCCTCATGCGTGGTGGATGTGTTTGTGTCCCTTCCGAAGATGATCGTTTCAATGATTTGGCTGGTGCCATTGACCGACTTGACGCAAATTTCATGGACCTAACACCTACTGTTGCTACATTTCTTAAACCAGCCGATGTGCCAAAGATCAAAGCTATGGCTGTCGGAGGTGAAGCCCTAACGAAGAAGGCACAAGAAATCTGGGGTGGCTCAATTCCTATGCACAATCAGTATGGCCCTTCAGAGTGCTCCATTAACTGCGCTCACAACGGCGATGCTGGTACTGTCGAGGATGTTTCCAATATAGGACGCAGTGTTGGTAGTGTTTCATGGGTTGTCGACCCAGCCGATCATAACAAACTTGTCCCAGTTGGATGTGTTGGTGAATTATGTGTAGAAGGTCCAATCGTCGCCCGTGGTTATCTCAATGATGAAGAGAAGACTGCGAAGTCATTCGTTAAGAATCCAGCTTGGGCAGCTCGTGATCCTAACACTCGCGAATTTTCTACCCGCCGTATGTACAAGACGGGTGATCTCGTCCGCTATAATAGTGACGGAACAATGGCATTCCTGGGCAGGAAAGATACACAGGTCAAATTCAATGGCCAGCGAATCGAATTAGGAGAAATTGAGTATCACGTCAAGAAAAATCTCCCCGAGGATGCCCAATCTGCGGTGCAGCTTGTTGTTTTCGGTGGTGCCAAATCTCTAGCAGCTTTCCTCTGCCTTCAACCGCCTGCGGATGCTGATACCGATCAAACCATTCTCCCGATGACTAGTTCTATCCAGTCCCTGGCTAAAGAATTGGAAGCGGCTGTTACCAAGTCTTTGCCCGCATACATGGTACCTTCAAGTTACATACCAGTTGCGAAAATGCCAATGACCTCATCTGGGAAATTGGATAGGCGGACTTTGACAATTTGGGCTAAGGAGCTCTCAGATGAAGTTGCGATAACATATCGCCTTGGCGGTGTTGGGGGACGAGCCCCTGAGACTGAGGCTGAAAAGCTTCTACAAAAACTTTGGGCTTCTATCTTATCAAAACCTGCCGACTCTATTGGAGCTGACGACAGCTTTTTCCGCCATGGAGGTGACTCTATTGGGGCTATGAAACTGGTTTCTGCGGCTCGTGCCAAAGGAATAAGTCTTAGTGTTGCTAAGATATTTTCTGCTCCCAAACTCTCGGATATGGCCAGTACCTGTTCGATAACTTCGCTATCAAATAAGTCTCTCGAAGCAGGCGCTGTTAATAAGGAACCTTTGAAGCAGTTTGAGCTTCTCCCATCCAAGATCTCTATTAATGCTCTCGTGGATGAAGTTGCTTCTATTTGCCAGGTTGATGCCTCCATGATTTATGACATGTACCCATGCACATCGATGCAAGGTGGTCTTGTTGCTCTTTCTAGCAAAACCCCTGGGTCGTATGTTGCTCAAAGCACATTCAAGCTGCCTGCCGATATTGACTTTGATAAATTCAGAGCATCCTGGCAAACTGTAGCTGACTCTGAAGTTGTCCTTCGGACTCGAGTTGTGTTCACTGACTTGATTGGATTCTTACAAGTTGTTGTCAATGAGCCAATTCAGTGGCACTCTGTTTCTCGTTTGGACGATATTAAGGACGAAAATCGGCATCTTCCTGGTCGTGATGGTGGTGCCCTTGCGAGATATACCATCGTTGGAGAAGGGTCCTCGACTCCGTACTTTGTATGGACTGCACACCATGCATTATATGATGGCTGGAGTATCCCTACGCTTCTTGAAAGAGTGGCTTACTGCTACAGGAACCCGAGATCAGCCAATGCAGGAACTGAAGCTTCCTTCCCAGAGTTCATCAAATATTTATCAACTATTGATAGAAAAGCATCCGATAATTTCTGGATCTCCAAATTAGAGGACCCGAAGGCTACGCCTTTCCCCGCTCTCCCATCTACCTCATACAAGGTTGAGGCTACTAGCAAGTGTACCCACTATGCTGAAGTTGCAAAATCTTCTTCAAGAGAAACCACTGTCGCGTCAATCATCCGCGCTGCATGGGGCTTGACGATGGCCCTTTATACCTCCTGCGATGATGTAATCTTTGGCGAAATCCTTACCGGCCGTGATGCCCCAGTTCCAGGGATTGAAGACATGATAGGTCCTACTCTTACGTCAATTCCTACGAGGGTTCAGATAAATCGCGAACAGACCGTCTCTGAATTTTTACAAGACATGCAAAAGCAGCTAGCAGAAACTATGGCTTACCAATTTGCAGGCTTGTCCCACATTAAGCGACTTGGAGATGATGCTTCGGCCGCCTGTGAATTTCAAAATGCTATTGCCATCACACAGGATGCGGATGAAACTGCAGATGGATTTTGGGATATGATAAGCTCCGGGACCACAGGCAATAACTTCTATACTTATCCTCTTAATCTTTCCTGCACCTTGCGCCAGTCCAAGATTGATATTGAGGCATACTATGACCAGACTATCATTTCTACGTGGCAAGTGGAAAGACTGCTTCGCCAGTTTGATACTATTTTGCACAGTTTGTCTTTGGCAGACAATACCCAAAAGAAAGTTGGGGAGATTGAGCTGATTAGTTCCAAAGAACTGAAGGAGCTTGAAGATATGAACAAACATGGAGCCAAGTTTGTTGATCGATGCATCCATGACCTTATCCAAGAGCGGGCAAAATTACACCCGCATGCGGAGGCTATCTGCTCCTGGGATGGATCATTCACTTACCAGGAACTTGATAACCTGTCCTCTGCTCTTGCGCATCACCTTATTGAGTTAGGTGTAGGATCTAACCCAGAAATTTTTGTGCCTATCTGCTTCGAGAAATCAGCATTCACAATTATTGCTATGCTAGCAATTTTTAAAGCGGGCGGAGCTTTCGTAACCCTTGATCCTGAGCACCCAGTTTCTCGACTCCAGGGAATTATCGCTGACGTTGAGGCTTCCCTTATCCTTTGCTCGCCCAAGTATCTTGAACTATGCGATTCTGTCGCACCTCAAGCACTTGCGGTCGACCTTACGATGCTTCAACGGCTACCACAACGATATCAGCCAACCCCCCAGGTCTCAACCAGCAATGCTGCATACATAATTTTTACCTCCGGGACTACAGGAACCCCTAAGGGAACTTTAAGTAAGTTTTCAGTCACCTGCATATAGGCATCTTGTTTCTCTAATGCGTCTACAGTTGAACATTCAGCGTACTGCTCCTCTGCCGCTGCCCATGCACCAGCCTTGGGGATGTCACCAGGATGCCGTGTTCTTCAGTTTGCATCATATACCTTTGATGCTTGCTGCCCTGAAATTTTAACAACTCTTATTTTGGGAGGCTGCGTCTGCGTTCCAAGCGAGTGGGAACGTCTTAATGATATTGCCAACTATATCAACGATAAACGCATATCGAATGCGACCTTGACTCCATCTTTCGTTCAGCTGATGAATCCAGACGACATACCGAACCTGAAGTACCTAGCACTTGTCGGAGAGGCCATGTCACCAGCCCATGTAGCAAACTGGGCAGGTAAACTCAATTTGCTAAACGGATATGGACCTAGTGAATGCTCAGTTTCAGCTGTTATCAATAGCAAGATGGATGTCAACAGTTACCACAAAAATGTTGGCCGCCCGCTGGACAGATGTTGGCTTGTCGACCCCTTTAACCACGACAGGCTTGTGCCTATCGGAGCTGTCGGAGAGTTACTGGTTGAGGGCGTTACGCTTGCGCGAGGCTACCTCAACAGGGCAGAAAAGACAAAGGAGGTGTTTATACAGAATCCAAAATGGGCGAGTCAAAATAATGGCGCCATACGCAGGATGTATAAGACAGGTGATCTTCTCAAATATGACCCCGATGGCTCTATGAATCTCATTTTCATGGGTCGCAAAGATACCCAAGCTAAGGTCCGAGGCCAGCGACTGGAACTCGATGAAGTTGAACATCACCTTGGCGCGGATAGCCTTATCCAGCACGCCCTTGTGGCCGTACCAACGAAGGGTTTTGCAGCTAAGAAGCTTACTGTTGCTGTCACATTCTATAGCCTCGGTGATCCCGCTCCCGCCGCTTCTCTCGAAGTAATCAGCTCAGAAGAGGCTATAAACATGGCGTCGGAAGCTCGTGAGCGGCTACGAAAACGACTCCCTGGCTATATGGTTCCATCCAAATGGGTTGTTTTCCAAAAACTGCCATTGATGTCTTCCGGTAAACTAAACAGGAGACAAATTGTTACATTTCTTGAAAAGATGGAAGACAACCCAGAAATTACTTCTACCGCCCCTTCGGCGACTCCGGATACCCCAGTCGAAGCAAATAAAACTGTTTCTCAACTTGATATCCGAGAGAATCTCTGGAAGGTGTGGAGTCAGATACTCAACTTGCCTGTAGAAGACGCTGATATGAATTCTTCATTCCTACATCTGGTATGTAAATTCTTTACTTGTATTGAATGAATCAATACTAACTCCATCATAGGGTGGTGACAGTATTTCTGCTATGCAAGTCATGGCTAGATGCCGCTCCCAGGGCATTACTGCAAATGTGCAAGACATCATGCAGAGTAAATCGATTACAGATTTGGCAACTCGTGTCAAGATTTCAAAAGCGCTTACTACTACTCCAGAGAAGGCGGCCAAACCAATTGAAAATGGAAGGCCATTTGGGCTTTCTCCGATCCAGCAGGTATATCTAGACAATGTTGGGGATAACTGGAGGCAGTTTAACCAAAGCGTTTTGCTGAAGATTACCAAGAGGAAAAGCAATGATGCTATTTCTCGAGCCATGGACAAATTGATAAGTCTTCACCCTATGTTACATGCTCGATTCCAACGAAACAAGAATGGAGAGTGGCGCCAGCACATCAGCAGTAACTTAAAAGGATCTCTCAAATTGCAAACCCATTCTGATGCGCGACGGGGTCAGATGGGCTCGTTGATTGAAGAGAGCCAAAAGTCTCTAGATATTGAAAATGGCCCACTTGTTGCAGCTAATGTGTTCAATCTGCCTGGGTCCGAGACTCAGATCTCGATTGCCATTCACCACCTTGTTATTGATGTTGTTTCTTGGAGAATCATCCTTCAGGATCTCGAGGATCTCCTCAACGGTGCATCCATTATACGTCAAGATCTAACCTTCCAGTCATGGTGTGAATCGCAATTACAAAATGCCCAAAAAGACAGCGTTAAGCATGTTATCCCTGCCAATGACATTACGCCAGCAGACCTCAACTACTGGGGTATGGCAGGGAAATCTAATACCTTCGGTGAAGTTCTCACTGAAGAATTGGAGATTGATCAACAGACCACGGCCCTTATCCTTGATGCCTGCCAGAAAAAACTTGGAGCCGATCTGGTTGATGTTCTCCTTGCTACTATTCTTCTCTCTTTCCGTCAAGAATTTACCGATCGTCGAGTACCACCTGCAGTTTTCAATGAAGGCCATGGCAGAGAGCCTTGGGATTCTAGTTGCGACCCGTCATCAATAGTAGGATGGTTCACGACTATGAGCCCTGTCTACCTTCCAGTTGATGCGGACACTGATTCTAGTAGGCCTTACCTTAGTATATTTTCCCCATTTTTTTTTTTTGGTTTTTAGGCTAACGGAATCTCAACAGATTCGTCGTTTATTGATACAATTCGATGGGTCCAGGAGTTCCGATCTAGGACGCCTGGGAAGGGTAGACCATATTTTGCCTACCGTGAACTGACCAAGGACGGAAAGGAAGCCTTTAGGAATCACTGGCCCATGGAAATTGCTTTCAACTACTTGGGTCAGATGCAGGCCAACAGCCAAGCAGAATCTCTCCTTGAACCCGTTGATGGAGCGGGAGGGCAATCCGTTAATTCCCTCTCTGATATTGGCCCTAATGTTCCTCGTTTTGCACTCATAGAAATATCAGCTGTCATAGCACAAGGTGCCATGAAACTGTCTTTCACCTACAATAAAAAGATGCATCGACAACAAGGCATTCAGAGCTGGTTCTCGAAATGCCAAACACTGCTCGAAGGCTCTTACCGAGTGAACGAAAACATTCCACCAACACAATTCCCTCGTTTACCCCTAGCTTATGGTAGTTCAAGGAAGATTGTTGAAGAATTGCCTTCGCTCGGTCTAAAATCCTTGGATGATCTTGAGGATGTCTACATGATATCTCCCATGCAACGAGGTATCCTAATCAGCCAGCTGAAAGACCCCAAGAAGTATGCCTATCATTCTGTCTTTGAGGTTAAGTCAAACAAGAGGGGCCATCGTATCAACCTTCAACAGCTTGAAGCCGCTTGGCAGGCCGTTGTCTGCCGCCATAGCTCTCTTCGAACAGTATTCATCGACAGTGTCGCCGGGAACAACCTAATGGACCAGGTGGTTTTGAAAAAATTCCATGCACGAACCCTACTTCGAGAGCCTTCGACGGAAGATTACAAAGCTGCCCTTGATAACCTAGAACCATTGGACTACACAGAGAGACAGCCACCTCATCGTATGACACTTTGCCAGACACCAAGTGGCCGAGTTATCTGCAAACTTGAGATCAGTCATGCCGTCTCCGATGGTTCTTCAATGATGACTCTTCTGAATGATTTGTCCACAGCATATGACTCGTCTTCAACTATTGAAACCGCAATGCCGTATAGCAATTTCATCGCCCATCTCCAGCTAACCTCAAAAGAAGCGGGCATCGACTACTGGAAAACATACCTTAGTGGTCTTGAACCATGCACTCTACCTTCACTAGCCCCAGTTCCACCCCCAAAGGAGAGGACGGTTGGCGAATATGTTATGAAACTCAACGTAGGGTCCGAGCTGCAAGCCTTTTGCAAAAGGGAAGGCCTTACTCAATCTAATGTCCTGCAACTTGTTTGGGGATTAGTGCTCCGTGCCTATACCGGCTCAGATGAAATCTGCTTCGGGTATGTCGCCTCTGGCCGCGACCTACCCATTGATGGTATTTACGAAGCTGTTGGTGCTTTTATCAACATGTTAATATGCCGTCTTAACTTAACGGATAATGCTGTCCTCATCGATGTTCTACAGAAGACTCAAGCTGACTACATGCAAGGTATCGGCTACCAAAACTGCTCTCTAGCAGAGGTACAACATGAACTTGGCCTAAGCGATACCACTTTGTTTAACACCGTTTTTACATTCCAGAAACGGCCAGGATCTGATGAATCTAACGACACGGCGCTCTCGTTTGAGTCTCTTGGGGCCACTGATCCTAATGAGTTCAATATGTCAATCAACATTGCTGCCATAGACTCGTACCTCGAAATTGATTTTGGTTATTGGTCAGACACGGTGTCTGATGCCCATGCAAAAAATATTGCCAATACCTTCCAACAGGTTCTTAGCGATATCATTGAAAACGGCGTCGACAGGCCGCTCGGAGATATCAATCTCTTTGGTGAACACAGCTACCAGCAAGTGCGCTCCTGGAATGCTCAGAGTCCGAACGTGGTTAACAAATGCGTTCATGAGATTATCGAGGAACAAGCAATGCTCCGTCCGCGCTCTGCTCTTGCCATCTGTGCGTGGGATGCAACCTTTACGTACGCAGAGCTAGATGCTGCAGCATCCCGCGTTGCTGCACAGCTTGTTAACCTTGGGGTTGGCCCTGATGTATATGTGCCACTGTGTTTCGAAAAGTCAGCCTGGACCATCGTAGCCCAATATGGTATTCTTAAGGCTGGTGGAGCTTTCGTCTCACTCGACCCCTCTCATCCAGAGCAAAGATTGGCAAATCTCATAGAGGATGTTGGTGCTGAGGTTGTGCTATGCTCTTCACGCCACCATGGCAAGATTCGAAACATTGCTAAGAAAGCTGTTGTCCTGGATTCGAAGACTGTTCAACAGTTCCCTAGACAGCCTTCACAGCAACCGGATAACTACCCTGACCCATCTAACGCTGCTTATATTATCTTTACTTCGGGTACTACAGGAAAACCAAAGGGCACTGTTATTGAACATGCTGCAATCTGTACTGGGTCTGCTGCACATGGTAAAGCTCTCTTGATGGATAGCTCTAGCCGCGTCTTACAATTTGCATCATATACCTTCGATGCCAGCGTCACCGAGATTCTTACTGCACTCCAGGTTGGTGCAACGATTTACGTTCCTAGCGACGAGGAACGGATGAATGACCTACAGGATGTTATTGCAAAGGGGAAAGTGAACTGGACACTCCTAACACCATCGGTACTCAGCACATTGAAACCCGAAAAGGTCCCTACCTTAAAGACAATTGTGACCGGTGGTGAGGCAATGTCTGAAAAGGCTATTAAGGAATGGGTTGGTGGCCCAGCGGTGGTTAACGCGTACGGCCCGACTGAGGCCTCAGTCGTCGCATCAGCCAGCATGAAGGTCAATAAATCAGGTATTTCTGTGGACCAGAATCGATCTAACATTGGAACTGCTTGTGGCTGCCGAACATGGGTAGTTGATCCTCATAACATTAACCGCCTAATGCCTGTAGGTGCTGTTGGTGAACTCCTCATTGAAGGGCGTACCGTGGCACGAGGCTATATCAACAATCCTGAGAAAACAAGTGAGGTCTTCATCAGCAACCCTGAGTTTTCTAGGGAGCGTCGCTTCAGAAGTCTTTTCTCGCAACGGCATCGCATGTATCGTTCAGGAGATCTTGTTCGCTACAACCCTGACGGTACTATTAACTACATCTCACGTAAAGACACGCAAATCAAACTGAACGGCCAGCGGATCGAACTTGGGGAGATTGAATACCATTGCAAAGTGAACCTGCCCGACCAGACCCAAGCAGGAGTCGATCTTATTGTTCCTTCAGACCGGGCCAAGAAGACTCTTGCTGTTTTCTTCAGCGTTCCATCAGTTGGTAGCCTACCGTCGACACTCACCAATACCGATGGTTCTCCCGCTGATGACCTGTTGCTGCCTATGAATGATGCTATCAGGACAATTGCAAAGACCCTCGAAACTAAGCTAGGTACCGCAATACCGACGTACATGGTTCCCCATCTTTTTATCCCTATGTCGAAGCTTCCTTGGTCTGCCTCAGGAAAGCTGGACCGAAACCGCCTCCGGAATATCACCCAGGCACTCTCCAAAGAGTCTATCAAATCCTACAGGCTTACTGGAGTTGCTGGTAAGCGCAACATTACTACCGGCATCGAGAGTAAACTCCAAGCTCTATGGGAAAGTGTTTTGGATCTTCCTAAAGGATCTGTTGGTGCAGGTGACAGCTTTTTCCGCCTTGGAGGTGACTCCCTAGCTGCTATGCAGCTTTCAGGATCTGCTAGATCATGTGGAATCTCTCTTACTTTTGCAAACATTTTCAAGCACCCAATCCTTGCTGATATGGCCTCAACATGCGCTGTATTAAAGGGCGGACCGTCAGCTGAAGTACGCCCATTCAGCCTACTAAAAACAACCGAATCTATTGATATGGTTAAGTCGGAAGTTTCTCAGCTTTGTCGTATTAGCTTAGACCTGGTGCATGACATCTATCCTTGCAGCTCTCTTCAGGAAGGCCTCATCGCTTTATCGCTGAAGCAACCGGGCGCCTACGTTGCGCATAACGTTTTCAAGCTCTCCTCGTCTCTCAACCTTGAACTTTTCAAAGCTGCCTGGCAAAAGACTGTGGATGATCTGACAACTCTCCGCACTCGAATCGTTCACACAGCGTCGTCCAACTTTTTACAGGTAGTTCTGAAACATGATACCATCTCCTGGCACTCCGCGCGAAGCCTAGAGGAGCTCTCCGGTGAGGCTGCCACCGTTCCCTCTTTCAACGGGGGTAGCTTGACAAAGTACACGATCGTTGAAGCTCCAAGCTGCCGGTATTTTACCTGGTCAATCCATCATGCCCTTTATGATGGATGGAGTTTACCCCTTATCCTTCAGCGGGTAGAATCTATTTACCGCGGCCAGGAACCAGCAGCACCAAAGAGCTCCTACGCAGATTTTATCAGCTATCTCTCAACCACTGACCAGAACAGTACCAAGGAGTTTTGGACAGCTAAACTCGCTGATATAGCGTGCTCTAAATTCCCTCCTCTGTCATCTACAAAGGACCAGTCAGACACTAAAACGATTTCTCGCCGCATTGAAGCCTCATCCACGGGAAGTGTTACATTACCAACTGTTATTCGTGCTGCCTGGGCAATGATCCTAGCGGAATATACTGCATCCAACGATGTTTGTTTCGGTGAAATAATGACAGGTCGCAATATCAACGTACCTGGTATCGTCGACATCGTCGGCCCGACCCTCACTACTGTTCCTACGAGAATTCAAGTTAACCCCCAAACAACAGTTACAAACTTTTTGCAGGAAGTCCAGCAAGGCTCTGCAGACGTTGTTCCTCATCAACATGCTGGTCTCCAATATATCAGAAGGCTGAACGGCGATGCATCTGAAGCTTGTGATTTCCAAAATCTCCTAGTGATTCAAACCGCCCAAGGAGGAAACCAAGAAGATCTCTGGGAAATCCAAACCAACGGTGATGTGAACAATTTCTTCACCTACCCTCTTGTTCTTGAGTGTCAACTATCAAAGAAGGACGTAGCAGTCACGATATACCATAAGGAAGGAACTATCAGCACTTGGAACGTTGAGAGAATCCTGGATCAGTTTACCTATGTTTTAAGCCAGCTCTCCAAGAAATCACTCTCCACCAAGCTTAGTGAGGTTGAGGTTATTTGTCCAGAAGACAAGGAAACGATAAAATGGTGGAATCGGCGCAAACCGAACCAAGTTAATGAGTGCATTCATGACCTCTTCTATCATGTCGCAGATACACAGCCAAATAAACTGGCCGTGATTGATTTTGAATGGCAATTAACTTACCGCGAGTTTAGAGAGCTTTCTCTACGCTTTGCGAAGCATCTTTCCAAATATGGCGTTGGCCCTGAAATCTTTGTGCCTATCTGCGTTGATAAGTCTGTTTGGACTATGGTTGCGATAATGGCTGTCATTATGGCTGGAGGTGCATATGTGCCTTTGGACCCGCAACACCCCAGCTCCAGGCATAAAGAGATTGTCGAAGAAAGCGGCGCAAAATTGGTTATCTGCTCGCCCAAGTATTTTGACCAATTCTCGACCTTTGCGGGCAAAGTTCTCACTATCGATGATGCAACAGTTATGTCACTACCGAATGTACATTCAACACTCTCATCGGGGGTAAAACCGCACAACAGTGCTTACGCTATCTTCACCTCGGGAAGCACTGGAAAGGCAAAGGGTATCGTTATCGAGCATCGTGCCTTCGCTAGTTCTTCAGCTGGTTATAGCGTAGATTTGTGTATGAATGCCGACTCTCGAGTTTTTCAGTTCGCATCTGTCTCGTTTGATGCCTCGGTCATGGAAATACTTACTACTCTTACCATCGGTGCCTGCATTTGCATACCCAGCGAAAAGGAGCGCCTGGCAGATATTCCCGGCGCTATTCACAGAATGAATGTTACGTGGGCTTTCATGACACCATCTGTTGCAAACATAATTGACCCTGATACTACTCCATCCTTGAAAACCCTTGTCAGCGGAGGTGAAGCGATTTCCGGGGAGGTGATATCTAAATGGGCAGATAAAGTCCAATTGATTAATGCTTACGGGCCTACTGAAACAACAGTAATTGCAGTAAGCAACTCCAAAGTCTCATTGGAAAAGTCTACGCTCTCCATAGGCCACAGCATACAGCCTACTCTAACCTGGGTTGTTGACCCGAGGGACCATAATAAGCTGGCTCCGTTGGGTGCTATTGGTGAACTGGTGCTAGAAGGCCCTGTACTTGCTCGTGAGTACCTTAATTCTCCGGAGAAGACCGCTGAGGGTTTTCCAGAGAATCCTGCGTGGGCTGCTCAGTTCCCATCAACCTCTCAATCAACCAGGCGGGTTCACAAAACTGGTGATCTCGTTAGATATACCTCCATCGGTGACTTGGAATACTTCGGACGCAAGGATCATCAAGTCAAATTAAACGGCCAGCGACTAGAACTAGGTGAAATCCAAAGTCGTCTAATTACAAATGTTGAGGTCCGACATGCCCTAGTCCTAATGCCCAAATCTGGCCCCTGCAAGAAGAGACTAGTTGCTGTACTTGCTTTAGAGAACCTAGGATCGCCCAAAGACATCATGACCAGCACCCTCGAAATATATAGAGATACAACTCTTGTTACAAAAGCAAATGCGAAAATTGCTAAGATTCAGGACGACCTTTCGAGTCAGTTGCCACCTTTCATGGTCCCTCAGCTCTGGGTGCCAGTTAAAGCAATCCCACTACTCGCCTCGGGCAAGCTAGATCGCAAGCTAGCCACGAAGTGGCTCGAGGACATGGATGAAGAAATGTTCAACCAAATCAACTCATCTACGGAGGAAGAAGCAGACAGTTCCGCCCAGTCAACTGAGATAACAGAGGTACTGCGGAAAATCTGGGCTAGTGTTCTAAATCTTGATGTCAAGGATGTCAAATTGAACAAATCTTTTATGAGCCTTGGTGAGATAAATTTTAATTCCAGTCTAATAGTAGCAAAACTAACTCTCGTATAGGAGGTGACAGTATAACTGCGATGGGCGTCATGTCCCGATGCCGCAAAGAAAGTATTGAGCTTTCGCTTCATGATGTTTTACGTAGCAAGTCGATAACTCACCTTGCCAGTTGTGTTGGACATAAAGTGTCTGGTCCTCAAAAGGAAGAGGTCGCGAATGAGCTTTTCGATCTGTCTCCTATCCAACAGCTATATTTCCAATCTTCTCACGCCCATAATAAGGATTCCCGTTTCAACCAGAGCTTTACTCTCCGGATCACCCAGCCTACCGACCCCAACACGGTAAAGCTTGCTATCGAAGCTATTGTTAACAAGCACTCGATGCTTCGAGCCCGATTTGTACGCAACGGCCACCACTGGCGTCAAAAGATTACCAAGGTTTGCATTTCAACTCCCTTAACTATATGTTCTTTAGCTAATAATATATCAGGATATGAATGCCTCTTATCGCTACCGAGTGCATGATAACACTAGGAAATATGACGTCCCACATATCCTTAAGGACGCTCAAATGTGCTTGAACATTGAGCAAGGCCCAATTCTTTCGGCCGAGCTTCTCAATATAAAGAGTGAAGGGCAGTTCATTTTCATGGCAGTCCATCATGCTTGTGTTGATATGGTATCCTGGCGTATCATTTTGCAGGATCTGCAAGAGTTCCTAGAGACAAAATCGCTCGCCATTGACAAGCCACTCTCGTTCCAGACATGGTGCTCAGTTCAAACTGCCAATTTGAAATCTCAGGATACTGCTTCGCTTCTTCCGTTCGATGTGAAGCCATCTAACCTCTCATACTGGGGAATGGAAGGTAAACAGAACATCTATCATGATGCCGAATATGAAACGTTCCAACTTGATAAGGCCACCTCCACCCTTGCCTTGGGCGACAGCCATAAATCGTTCCAGACAGAACCGATTGATTTGTTCCTTACTGCAATTGCCCATTCCTTTGCGAGGGTATTTCCAGACCGAGAAGTTCCAACGCTTTACAATGAAGGCCATGGCCGTGAATCGTGGCAGGGAGGTCCAGACTTGTCGAGGACAGTTGGCTGGTTTACCAGCATCTGCCCAGCATCTGTGCCTGTAGACCTGCGTAAGTTTTCCTCAAAAGTAGCATCCAAAAGGATATATTACTAACTCTGTTAATAGAAAATGGAAAGGATGATGTTCTAGACACGCTGAAACGTGCCAAAGATATCAGGCGCCAGGTTCCAGATAATGGACGACCATACTTTGCCAATAAATATTCTATGGGAAACACTTCGCAGGAAGATAATAGTTTCCCTATGGAGATTATATTCAACTATCTTGGTCGCATGCAGCAACTTGAACGTGATGACTCTCTACTGCAGCAGGCGGACCTTATCACGGACGAGGAAGATTCAAGGAGTACCGGAGATGTCGGACCTAAGACAATACGATTTGCGCTGTTCGAAATATCTGCCATTGTTCTCCAAGATCAAATTCGGTTCACATTCATGTTCAACAAAAACATGAAAAATGGGCAAGGTATTCGCCGATGGATATCAGAATGCAAGCATACTCTTCACGAGACAGTTGATGCCATGAGCTGCAGCCCCGCAGAACCTACCCTTAGCGACTATCCCCTCTTGCCGATATCATATGAAGGCCTTCAAAAGCTCGTCAAGTCTATATTCCCAAGGGTTGGTGTCGCAAACCGTGATCAGGTTGAGGATATCTATCCATGTTCCCCAATACAAGAGGGTATTTTGTTGAGCCAGCTGAGGGATCCTGAGAGCTATGTATTCAACACCAGCTTTGAAGTCAAATCTGCCCAAGGGAATGGCATTGATGCACAAAAACTGGGCAGAGCCTGGCAAAAAGTTGTTGACCGTCATGCTGCACTTCGTACAGTGTTCATCGACAGCCCTTGCCGAGGTGTTACCTTCTGTCAGCTGGTTGTAAAGGAAGCTGACAGTGGTGTTATTCACATCTCCTCCAGCAACTCCAACGCAATGGACAAGCTGCACAACATCAGACTAAAGGATATGAATGGCAAAAAACGCCCGCAGCTTCCCCATCAGCTTACTATTTGCTCAAAATCGGATGGAAGTGTTGTAATCAAAATTGAAATCAACCATGCTGTCATTGATGGAGGATCCGTGTCTATCTTGATGGCGGACCTTGTGGCAGCCTACGAGAACCGCCTCCCAATTGGACCAGGTCCTCTGTATAGCGATTATATTCGATTCATTAGAAGTCAATCGACGGTAGATGAGGTTAGATTCTGGAAAGGTTACCTGCAGGGACTGAAGCCATGCCACCTCCCACGACTGAATTCTCTGCCCAATGTCCAGAAACAGCTGCGCACTACTCTCGTCAAGTTTGAACGTTATTCAGAACTTCAATCTCTATGTGAGCAGCAGAAGGTGACAATGGCTAATGTTATGCATGCAGCTTGGGCAGTCGTCCTAAGGGCGTACGTTGGATCAGACGATGTGTGCTTCGGATATCTGTCTGCCGGACGTGATGCCCCAGTCAACGGGATTCAAGAGACAATTGGAGCCTTCATCAACATGCTCTGTTGCCGTGTTGTCTTCTCCCCTCGTGCATCATTCCATGAAATTTTCAGAAAAGTTCAAGACGATTACCTGGATAGTCTACCATACCAGCGATGTTCACTCGCCGAAGTCCAGCATGAGCTCGGACTGTCAGGCAAGCCATTGTACAATACTGCCATCTCTACTCAGAACCATGCTAAATCTGGTGATGCTGTCAAAGAGAGCATCATCTTCGAGCCTTTGGGCGGACATGATCCAAGTGAGGTATGTTTTTTCAAAATTTGTATCAACTCATTGAAAAGTAGATGAAACCTAACTGGATCATAGTATGCCGTGACTGTCAATATTGAGACCGCCAAAGACGACGAAGGCATCCTTCTCCGATACTGGGACAATATGGTTAGCGAAGCTGAAGCTCAGAAGTTAGCTTCAAGCATGGCCCATGTGTTAGCGTCTTTTATCAGCCATCCAGAGCAGCTTGTCTCCGATTATGACCCAACTCAGGCAGCAACCTCCACCGTTAGCAAAGATATCCGAAAGGAAACTCTTCCACAAACCATTCGTGAAGAAGCAAAGCAGGCAGAAATGCAGCCAAACCTTGGCCAGAGCTTTGGTGCAAGTGTTGATACTGAGCAACTGCTCAACAACAATGCTGAATTGCGGAAAATTGTTGATTCCTGCGTTCAAGACATTCTGCAGAAAATGGCTAAATCTGGCCAGCTTGCTACGAAGAGTGCCGACGAGATTTTACTAAACACTGCCAGCCGAGATGTTGAAGGCAATAATAGAGCTATCCGCACCGACCATGCTCCTGATTTTGAGAACCAAGGCATGGATCTCGAGACCGCAACGCCTTCTGAAACCTACCAAAATTCCGACTATAACCCTAAAACTGACACAGATCGGACATCGATGGCAGCGCATATTAACAAGAGAGGGAGGTCTGCCGCCATTGAGAAGAAGCTCCTGGTTCTCTGGAGCTCCATGTTGGAGATGGAAGAAGACTCAATCTCAGGAGAAGACAGCTTTTTCGAGCTGGGAGGTGACAGTCTCACTGCCATGAGACTCGTCGGAGCCGCACGAGATGAGGGACTGTCACTTACAGTAGCTGACGTCTTCCGAAACCCGGTTTTCGAGGATATGGTTGCCGTGATCCGAGTGGCTAGTATGATGAATACCTACATTGACGGTGCCGACATGGATGACTTCAATGCACAGAGCCAGGCCATTCGATCAGCAGCCACAAGTGAACTCTACCAAAGGTTTTCTTTAGTCAAGGCGCCCAATATCGATACATTCCTTCAAAACAACATTATCCCGAAGGTTGGTGTATTCAAGGGAGGTATGGCAGACGTTCTTCCTGTAACCGATTTCCAAGCTCTCGCAATTACTGGTTCCCTTCTAGAGTCTAGATGGATGCTCAATTACTTCTACCTCGATGGATATGGAGTGTTGGATCTCCGAAGACTAAAGAGAAGCTTTATCCGTCTCGTTCACTCTGTTGATATCCTTCGCACCGTCTTCCTGCCCAGCGGTGATCGCTTCCTTCAAGTCGTCCTCCGCAAAGTGCGCCCAGATTTCTTCGTCTATGAAACGGAATCTAACCTTGACGAGTTTACTGCAATGTTGCAGCAACGCGATCGTGAGCAAGGCCCACGCCTCGGTGAAGCGTTCGTTAATTTCACCGTGGTGAAAGAAAAAGATAGCGACCACCACAGGATCATTATCAGGCTATCGCATGCTCAATACGACGGAGTTTGCATGCCAAAGATTCTCAGCGCGATTCAAGCAGGCTATGAAGATGAGCCGCTCCCTGTAATGTCATCGTTTGCCAGTTATGTTCGTTCCTCTGCCTCAACTATAACATCGGATCATTATCAACACTGGAAAACGCTCCTTAAAGGTTCTAAGATGACAGAAATCGTCCGACGGGAGGGACCAAACTATCGACGATCCGCTGGTGCCACTAGCCATCTCGAACAAACAGTTCTGTTGCCCTCCCTTGCCCACGGAAACATAACAACTGCCACTGTTATCAAGGCAGCCTGGGCAATGGTTCTAGCACAACTCTCAGGAAGCCCTGACGTTGTATTTGGTCACACAATTAGCGGTCGCAATGCTACAGTTCCTGGCGTTGAAAGCACTGTCGGGCCTTGCCTCAATATCATTCCCGTCAGAGTACAATTCGGCGAATTCTGGACAGCACTTGATCTCCTTCGTTTCGTTCAAGACCAGCAGGTTACAAATATGCCTTATGAAGCTTTAGGATTCCGAGAAATTACAAAACACTGCACTGAATGGCCGGACTGGACCAACTTTACCACCATCGTCCAACACCAAAATATTAGCGTCACAGATGAAATGACTCTGGGCAGAAATACCTATACCTTTGGAACAGTTGGAACGGAAGAGGACTTTGCCGATTTCTCTATCTCCTCCAGCTCCGACGGTGACAGATGCGAAATAGTGCTCGGCTTCTCACTCAACAGTTCAATCACTCCCATTTTCGCCCAGAAGGTCCTGAACATGCTTTGCAACACCATCTCCAATTTCATGGCCGATACCAGCATGGTCTTGCCTTCTCCTCAGCAGATATCGAAAATGCCACCCCAGACAATTGATGAAACCGGAAAACCATCAGACAGTTACTTCCTCTCCTCTCAACTACAAGATCTTACGCAGGCGGAAATCCTCGTCCTGTCTGATATACTTAGCCGCGCCTGGCGTCAAGTGCTAGGAGAAGAAAACACTTCCAGCCTAAATCTTGAATCATCCTTCTTTGATCTTAACGGTGATATAATGGGCCTTGCACAAGTAGCATGGCTCCTCGAGCAAGAAGGATTCAAGGTCCGGGTGGAAGACCTGATTGATCATCCAACAATGCTTGGACAGATGGCCACTATATGTTCACAACGGACATTAGAGAAAGAAAAGGCTATCGAGGCATCGTCCTCTCAAACATCGATTGAAGATGAATACGACTCCGTTCCCAATCCAAAGGTTGAGAAGAACTCCTGGTTCAAAGCCTTGGGTATGGCCAGACGAATGGTGCGGCGTAATACACGCCCGAACTAATTCCTACTCTCATTTCTGATTGATATCTTATGATATTCTGACACAAAGTCGTCTGTCTATACAGCGGTTTCTTATGTCATTTTGATGATTAGCGATCGTTAATACTTTTTTCCTTTGTTTCTTCTATCTTTCTTCACAAATATTGTTATATTTTCGTGAGCATTTGCAGTGTACCTATACAGCGTTCTCTAAGATTTAATCCAATTTCCTTTTCATTTCATTACCCTGCATCCCAAGGGATCAGCTTACATTGTTTATACAATTCTTACTCTACATTGTTTCTATACAACTAATGTTTCTACGTAGATGATGGTGAAGGCGATCATGTGACCGATGACATCACCAGTTGGAGGAGGCTGAAAAAGAGCTGATCAGGACATCAACATACTACGGTTGAACATATTAAGCTATATCTATTTCAGTCTATTCATAAAGCATTCAAAATGACTGGCAACTCCAACGTTGGCACTAGGGGTGTCTACGAAAGCAACGAGCAGCGGAATTACTCTCGATCTGAAGTTGAGAGTGCCCGTCGCAACAGGGAAAACCCCCCTGACTCTAACAGACGGGGTAGTGCACATATCAAAGAGCAGAAGCAAAGGGGGAAGTATTCTCTTAATGATGAAGAGTTGGCAAAAATGGACCCTACAGCACCAGTAAGCATAAGATAGATGCCTTCTGAAACCGTCAAAGGACCTTCTAACTCAAGAATTTAACGGTAATTAGGCAAGGATGCATGGGCATCAGCCTTCCCGTGGTGCACAAGTGGATGCTGAACTGAAGAAAGAGGATGAGGAAAGGATCAGACAAAAAAAAGGCTTTTGAGAAGGCTTGGGCGTGCCAAACACGGGATACATCGCTCCCTCAGCTCTTAGTATCTAAAAAGGGGCCAGATCTAGTTGGTACAAAAGAAAAGCTAGGTAAATAAGGAGTAAAATGTATAACTAGTAAAGCAACTAGTAGTTATATAATAATGTATTTTGTTTTTGTGAAATGAGCACGGCAGAAGTGTGCCGTGGGTGCTTCAAAGGGAGCATAACGCCAACAATCAACATGCATTCCCGATTACTCCATCTCAATGGTTCCTGGAGGCTTACTCGTAACATCATAAAGTACACGACAGACACCGTTGACCTCATTCACGATTCTGCGGCTCACTTTCTTCAAGAAGTTTCCATCAAATGGATACCAGTCTGCCGTCATGAAATCGGTGGTCTCAACCGCACGAAGGGCAATTACTTGCTCGTGTGTACGTTTATCTCCCATAACCCCAACGGCTTTGACAGGTAAAAGGGCGGCAAAGGCCTGGCTGATGTCACGGTATAGGCCGGCTGCCTTGATTTCGTCAATGAATATCGAATCAGCATGCCGAGCAATACGGATCTGTTCGGGGGTGACCTCCCCAAGGATACGGATAGCGATTCCAGGTCCGGGGAAGGGATGTCGCCATACCAGATCTTCAGGGATACCAAGGTTTGTTCCTAGGCTACGGACTTCGTCCTTGAAGAGCTCACGGAGAGGCTCGATAAGCTTTAGGTGCATGCCCTTCAACAGTCCACCGACATTGTGGTGGGTCTTGATCGTGGCGCTAGGGCCCTTGAAGGAGATACTTTCGATAACATCCGGGTAAAGGGTCCCCTGAAGAAGCCATTCGATCTTAGTACCCTCCTTGTAACCGGCTGATTGCTCCACAAGGGTCTTTGCAGTGTCCTGGAAAATTTCGATAAAGGTGTTCCCAATAATCTTCCTCTTTTGCTCAGGATCAACAACGCCTTTGAGGCGGCCTAGAAATTTATCACTGGCATCAATGACTGTAAGGTTGATGCCTAGGCTCTTTGTGAGAGTTTCCCGGACGATTTCGGCCTCGTTGAGTCTCAGTACACCGTTGTCAACAAGGACGGCGTGGAAACGATCACCGATAGCCTCTTTCATCAGTTTAGCAGCAACGGTAGAATCCACTCCACCGCTCACAGCACCAATGACCTGTCCGTGTTCTCCAACCATAGCGCGGATTCTAGCCAGCTCCTTGTCGACAAATTTGTCCATTGTCCATTCCTGTTTAGCGCCACAAATCTTGACGGCAAAGTTATCCAGCACTTGTTTTCCACAGGGGGTATGGGTCACCTCTGCGTGGAACTGGATTCCAAAGTACGGCTTAGTCTGGTGCGCAATGCCGGCGTAGGGCGCGTTGGACGTAGTAGCAATGATCTCAAACCCGTCGGGAAGCCGAGACAGTTTATCTCCGTGTGACATCCAAACCTCGACTTTATCCTCAAGCCCATGGAACAAGCGGTCAATATTTGCCTGTCCCTTCTCCCCGTGCCGCTGAATGTTCAGGTAGGCGTGTCCATACTCTTTGTTATCACTTGCGGCAACATTTTTACCATGATGCCACGCAAGTTCTTGCAAACCATAGCAGATACCGAGAATTGGAACACCCAAGTCAAAAACAGCTTGGTCAACGTGGGGGGCGTCTTGATCATACACGGAGTATGGGCTTCCAGAGAGAATCACTCCGGTGGGCTTCCACGACAGCTCCGCGATCTTCTGAGTGCATGGTAGCAACTCTGAGTAAATATTAAGCTCACGAAGCCGTCTTGTAATCAAATGAGAGTATTGAGATCTAAATTGTTGACGGTATTAATCTCAAAAGTCCAATGCGACTTGAACACATGGAGAAGGGGCCTTTCCAGTAGTGACTCACCCAAAATCGAGAACGAGAATGGTATCAAACGCCTTGTGAGGCTCATTGGCGACTTCTACTGCTGTCATTCTGACTCTCTATTACAGAAAACAATAGGAAATATATTGTGAGAAAGGAAAAGGTGAATTCCAATTGGCGCCGTGGGCGGGAGTTTGATATCCCCCGCCAGAAAAACATAAGAAAAGAGAAAAAAAAAACCAAAAAAAAAAAAAAAAGCGCGATAAGATAAGCAGTGGGGTGTTTCCTATCGCGGTTTAGCGTGGCTGGGTTTTTATTTTTCTTTTTTTTTCTTTTTTTCGTTTCAATAAACAGAATAATCAAAGGAAGCGCGAGCAAAGATTCTTGAGCTGCCATTCCTCAGCTGTTCGAGTGTATAATAGCCTGATTGGTATATATTGGCCGCAATGGGAAAACGGAAGCAATTGAAAGATGTTGAGATGAAGGATGGCGGGACCGATGACAGCGGAAGCGACGAGGTAAGCATGAATACCTGCTTGATTTCATTTCATCGACTTGGTGTGCTAATTATACTGTTGATAGGACCTCGATGTTATCAATGTCGATTTCGAATGGTTTGATCCACAGCCTGCGGTAGACTTTCATGGCCTAAAAGTGCTGTTGCGTCAGCTCTTTGACTCGGACTCGCAGCTCTTCGATCTATCGGCACTGTCCGACTTGATCCTATCACAGCCATTGCTGGGGTCTACAGTGAAGGTAGACGGGAATGAAACCGATCCATATGCCTTTCTCACCGTCCTGAACCTACACCAGCATAAGGTAAGTTCACACTCGCTCCCTAAATCATGTTGGTTAACTATTGCTTACTACTCCGCTTTCCCTGTAGGACTTACCCGTAATAAAATCCCTGATAGACTATCTTAGGACCAAGTCGTCCACTCCCGGGTGTTCTTCACTCAATCAGTTGCTATCTCAGCCAGAAGTTCCTCAAATAGGGCTCATACTGACCGAACGCCTAATAAACGTACCAGCTCAGGTGGTCCCTCCTATGTATACTATGCTGCTAGAAGAGATTTCGTGGGCCCTGGAGGAAAAGGAACCCTACAACTTCACCCATTATCTCATAATATCGAAGACATACCAGGAAGTTGAGTCCAAGTTGGATCAAGAGGATGACCGGCCGCAGAAGAAAAAGAAAAAGGCCGGGAGTGAAAGCTCGGAGACGTTCTATTTCCACCCTGAAGACGAGATATTACACAAGTATGCCCTATGCTATACGGGCTATAACTATACCCATGAGGCTGAAGGTCGGTCGGATTCAAAGAGAGCATTTCAGGAACTGGGAATCCACCCACAGGGCCACATGATTTTAATAGAAGCGTCCAACTTCGAGGCTGCAGTAGCCAATCTGAAAGAATTCCTAAACCCATCTTCGTGAGTTTGAATTATGAAACATAATCACTTGAAAAATCGAAAAAAAAAAAATCTATTCAATCTTGCCATGAAGTTGAGATAGTCATAACCCTAAAGAAAAGTTGCAGTATCCCATAATTTTGCCGTTTCTAACCTGGTAAGTGGTCCTTGTATCCATTGCAGGGCATGAGCCATCTTAAATCTTTTTAAATCAGTCCGTGGAAGAGTAATTCAGTCTTCCCACTCGGTTCCTTTCAGCCTCTGCATTAGGTATTCTACCTCGACGATCTTTGTCACAGGGATAACGCTATACTATAGAAAGATGTTAGGATACAGGGGCATATAAATATCCGGTTTACACAATGAAACACCAACCTTGTACATGGAGACAACGGCCTCGAAATCAATTTTGGACTTGCCATCGTTAGGATTTGCAGGGTCTCTTCCGTATGTCTTTGCCTTTAATCGTAGACGGTCCAGTACCATCTTCTCTACTTTAGTGTTTGTGATGGCGTCCTCGATGCCATCGCGATCCTCAGCCTTGATCAGCTTGACGAACTTCTCCGTTTCGGCCAAGAACTTTGACTCGGCGACGAATTTACCGAAATGGATCCTCCTGGACAGGGCTTGCAGGCAGTTCACATCGCTGGTTGCTGAAGAGCCATAGTTCTCCTGGGCCTCACCCCTGTCTCTGGATTTACATAGAGAAGGGAGTATCTCGTTGATATACCGTGATTTGATCACATCGTTCACATTGACGTCGTTCTCGTGCAGGATCTTGGGATACTGAAGCGGCTGCAGGATGGGAGTCTCCAGCACTTCGGGAAAGAATGGGTATTCATCGGGCGACTGGTATCGACGCACGCGCGACTGGAGACGCTCCTGCTCACTGAGGACATAGTCCATCAGACTGAGCTCGCTTCCGGGGATCTTAACAGCTCCGGGGATGTATATTCGCCGGTTAAGAGGGAACTGCACTCTTTCGATAAGATGGAAGGTTATGGTATCTTCCAAGCGGCTACCAATATATGACCAAAAAAAAATACCAGGGTCCATGAGTCAGTCCAAAAGCTCAATCAAGCTGCCCAAATAAAAAAAAAAGAGGACCAACTCACATAAGTTGAAAGCGAATATTCTCCAGGTCCAAGGCCTTGGAGGCGTCTGAGAGATCGATTGAAGCGTCCATGCTACAGGCACAGGTTTGGTTCTCGGGGCTCTCTGGCGCGAGTCGAGCTTCGACAGCTTTATAGATCCCAGAGCTATCTCGGTATCGGCCCGAAGAACGTTCAGCTGTTGGGATATTGAGGCAGAGCGACAGGGGTAGCAAGGCCAGCAAAGCTAGACAGGAAGAAACGCGCATGGAAAGAGACTTTTTGCAGCAAGGAGGGAGATACTATATGGGCACTTTTTGGTGAACGAGAGTGAAGAACCAGAAGTGGCCAAAGGATTTCACCGAGTCACACCCTTTTTGTTGGGGCTGAGCTTGAGGCGACGGTCAGATGGGCCAGCCACAGCTTCGTCAGCAGCAGGATGTGGTAGCACTAGTTGTCTATACAAAGATAGGATCTATAGACGGATCTATAGATGGATGGATAGGTAGATTGGATACATGATTATATAGATAGCCGTTAGAAGTTGGCAGATGTGTTGACAAGGGTCGATCTCTGTGCAAGCTACTAGTTATATATACTACAGCAGAAGGAGACTATGCCTTACTGCTCAATAGACGCTATGTCACTCCTCCTTTTGCTATCACCGCTACTATCATCTCTTATACCATCTTTTATCTGTAATAATATCTTCATCTTCATCTTCTTCCGCTTCTTCTCAACCTCGGCTGAAACTTACACTCGTAATATTACCGTAATATATGACATAACATACGGCTTGGCGGCCTTTTTTGAAGCTTTCGAAGATAAAAAAAAAACACCAAAACCAACGTCGAACATTCTATATAGAGTCGAATGGCCAGATAAGAAGGGTAACTAACTGGCTGTATGGCTACTTAGCTACGTATATACACAGTGCAAGGGACAGGCTCTCTACCGGCCTGCTGCATAACCCCATCTCAACGCGGTCGTGGTTCTCGCAGCGTTCTCACCAACTGCTACTATCTCCATGGCCGGCAATCCAGCGCGGAGACGCTCTCTCTCCGGCACTTCCAACTACGGGGCAGGTGACGATGAGGGCTCTGTGCTGGGAACAGGGCTGACGGTAAGGCTCCTTAGCAGTTTTGCACCTCTCTCTGCACATTTGACGAAGCTGAATAGTCACTCTTTTGATCTAGTCCCGCCAGTTGGAGGCCTTTGGCCGGAAAGTCACTACCACCGCCTCCCATCTCATGAATTCCACGGCAGACCCCACAAGCAATGTCCATTACCAGGCAGCCTTGTCAGGCATCCAGCGGGAGCTCCGGCGGCCAGCAGCCCAGAGGAGAATGTTTGCATTCGCGCAGACCACGCCAACGGAGCTTGTACGCTCTAAGTTCTCGACGTCCGAAATCCAATACCGTGCCCTTTCCTCTCTTCCAGATGACCTTCTGCAGCATCTCCCCGAGGACACGAGCACGTATTCGCTATTCCAGGGGTTTCAGGCCTCCGTTGCGGACACGGATAATGAACACCGGAAATCTCATCGGAGGCGAAGCTCGCACGGCCAGAAGCGCCTGGAAGATGTGGACAGGAATACCGGTGCCCTACCTCCAACCATAGGCCACTTGAAACGAGAGCGTGACTCGTTGAACCACCGGTTGGAAATGATGGGCGTCCGGAAGAATATGTGCAGTGCCGAAATTCACGAAATCGATAACAAGATCATGAACTTGAACAAGATGCGCAAGATCGTTCTGGACCGTCTGGCTGGGCTGGAGATGGATGAAGCTGATTTGGAACATGAATGTAAGAGCTTAAACATACGACTCGGCGAGACTAGAATGGGATAAGCTAACCGACGCAGTGGTACAACTTGACAATAGACTAGAGGACATGGAGGACGCACTGGATGAGTCCACGGCTGCAGCCACGGCGGCCACACCTAAGACTGGTGACATTCCGAGTTCTCCGATTGGCGACGGTGAGGGTGATTCTTCATTCATGTCAGAATCGATCTACGAGAAGATACCTTCACCGAAAACTTGGAGACACAAGACGTCGAGTACGTAAACCCTGCAGCTGACTTCGTCTTGTTTGGCAGTATATCTTACATTTTATATGTTTATTTCCAATTTTAGAAAAACGGTCAACCCCTGTGCTGCATGAACACTTCGAACCTGGCTCCCTAATACGAGAGCTACAGGCGCATAACGACATGATAGCTGCCTTGGACTTTGATGTCCCCTTTGGTACCATGGTCAGTGCAGCATTAGATGACACAGTCCGGGTATGGGATTTAAATTTAGGACGATGCATGGGTTTCCTAGAAGGCCACCATGCCTCGGTGAGGTGTTTGCAAGTCGAGGACAACATCGTAGCCACTGGCTCAATGGACGCGTCTATCCGCCTGTGGGACCTTAGCCGCGCCAAGTACGCTCCGCGCGATCACCGGGCCGATAGGGACGATGAGGATGACGAGGATGCCCTTGGATTCGAGGACCCTGCAGCTGCACCACCCACTCCTCCGCCATCGAGCATGGACGAATGTCCGCTCTTCAGCCTCGAGGCACACGTCGACGAGGTGACGGCCTTACATTTACGTGGTGATACGCTCATATCAGGATCTGCAGACAAGACGCTGCGGCAGTGGGATCTAGTTAAGGGCCGATGCGTCCAGACTCTGGATGTCCTCTGGGCTGCAGCACAGGCATCATCGACCATGGCGGCAGGGGATGCGGCATGGCGGCCTACCGGTCGACTACCCGATGCATCGGCGGATTTCGTCGGTGCCTTGCAGTGCTTTGATGCTGCACTTGCCTGTGGAACGGCGGATGGGATGGTCCGTCTGTGGGATCTTCGTAGCGGCCAAGTACATCGAAGCCTGGTCGGCCATACTGGCCCGGTGACCTGCTTACAGTTTGACGACGTACACTTGGTCACCGGCAGTATGGACAGAAGCATAAGAGTAAGTTGTATACTTTTAGTTTTTGATTTTTCGTGTGCTAATTGCTGTGGTAGATATGGGATCTTCGAACAGGCACTATCCATGATGCCTACGCATATGACCAGCCGGTGACGAGCATGATGTTTGATACGCGACGCATCGTTGCCGCTGCTGGCGAGGATGTGGTCAAGGTATACGACAAGACAGACGGTAGGCACTGGGACTGCGGCCCAGGCGTGACATCCGAGGACGACCGAGCACACAGCATCGTAGAACGGGTACGGATAAAAGACGGCTATCTAACGGAGGGACGAAAGGATGGCACTATTGGCATTTGGAAATGCTGAGCATTCTGGCACTCTTCTTGCTCTATTCGTCCTCTCTGTACTGGTCATCGACTCCCATTCCATCTTCATCTTCCTTTTTTTATGTACGAGTAAGCGCCTACCTACCTTAAAGCGGCAAAAAGATGTAAATAATCAAGAATTAAAAGGGAAAGTAAACCATGCCGCTTTTAGCACTACTTCTGTCGCGAAATCCTCGCGCTAGTCCCGATTTGGCAATTACAACAACAAAAAAGAAACTGCAGGCAAAAAGCGAAGAAAAGAAGAAGACAAAAAAAAAAGAAGGGAAGATGAAGCAACGGAAAAATATTCACACGTTGAGTAAAGAAGAAGGTTGACAGCTTGTTCTTTAACCGACATTCCCATTGTCTGCAGTCTTTGCCTTTATTGAGCTGGCTCTGTTCTTTAAAAGTTGGCCTGGGAGCGCGTCTTGCTCTCTCTGAACAGCCTATATGATACCCTCTTGCTCCCTGGACGATATATCTTGATACTGGAACTATTCGATATTATATGAGCTTCAACTTCTCTGTTTTAGCCTAGGCAACTGTTTGGAACATCTATTCTCCTCCTATATCCTGTTTTTGTCCAATATAATAGCTATTTTGAACTAGAGACAACAAAGACCCCTGGGGTGTGTTGGATACCTACAGCCGGAGTGCATCTCGAGGTGCAGAAACTTACTCCTTCAACCTTGGTGCTAGGAAAAAGGACAGTCGTGTTACTGGAGGTTGGTATAGAAGAAAATTCTTTCAGTAGTTACACTAAGGGGTGGGGAGTTGAGAAAAAAGGGGGGAGGCTGGGGGAAGGACAATATCAAGCCATTCCTGGATGAATAGATGAGAATCACTGTTTTCTTCTCACTTCTTATTCTAGTCCAAGGCCTCGACTCGCAGGATATTCGCCGTCAATAGCAGAGTTTTTTTTTTTTTTTTTTTTTGGCTGGTAAGTCTGTGTTTTCCACGCGGTTCTACATGTGTTGTTGTGTCTCTCTTTCAAAGATATATAAAGGCTGATATGTTCCCCAGCCTTCCCTCTCCTTTTACTTCTCAAGATTGAACGGCTTGAAGATTCCATCAGTACGCAGTCATCATCCTAGCAGTACGAGCGGGTGACAGCACCAGCCTAACATCTTCCAACCAAGCAGCAGACAGAGATGGCGCCAGCACGAAGAGCCCGCCGGGCGGTTACGCCAACCACCGCCAACGAGGCAGAGAACCCCTATCTGCCCAGCATCGAGACCCAGCAGTCGTTCTCCTACGGGTCGAGCACACCTGTCCTCCCGCGCCAGCTCGGCACGATTGCCTCCGCCAACGCTGAGGACGTTGCGGCAACGCTTGACGCCGCCGTCCGCCCGCGCGTGACCGAGTCCGCGGGCTTCAGCCAGATCGAAGACGAGGCTCGCAAGAGCCCGGAGAAGCAGAGGTTCACCCGTGGCCGGCGCCGAGCAGAGAGCGTCCTCAGCGCCAGGGAAAGCCTGTCTCCCGTCCGGGAGACCGCCAGAAGGCTGACCCCCGACAACCAGCTCATGAGCACGCTGAGAGAGGCCTCTGGAGAGCCCGAGGACCAGTTTGGTGCTGTTGACCCTCTCGCGGATGCGATGGAGGGGTCCAGCATCAGCTGGAACACGGAGCGTCACCTCCTAGCGACGGAACAGCCTCACGTCTCCCGCCATCCCGCCTCGTCGCACTCGCAGCTGCAGGGAGCAGCCAAGCCATCGTTGGGCTGGCCTCGTCCGGCAAGACGAGTCGATCCGCCGCCAGTCCCGGCGTCTCCCTCGCGCGCGAGCAGCACCTCCGTCCGATGGCCGCAGCCAAGTCCCGGAGCCGTCGAGTTTTCACCACGGAGGAACAGCAGCAGCCAGAACCAGATCCAAGGTCCGGCACAGAGAAGCCGCGCGACAGCCGAGAGGATCGAAAGAGGCATCGCGATAGGCGCGCCTGTGGGCGTCCTGCCATCATCATCGTCATCACGTCCAGAGGTTGCTGCACCAGCTCTGCGTCGCCCTACTGCCACCACCCGCCCTACCTTCAGAGACGACACTCCCGACACTCCCCAGTCCGGACATACGCCAGCATCATCCCGCCATGCGAGTCCCTCTCCCACTATGCCTGCGGGTGTCTCCCTCCTATCTCGACCGACGGGCAGCATCTCTCATGTCATCCTCCTCCTCCTCCTTACGCTGATAGTTGCGTTCAACGCATACCTCGTCCGTCATGAGATCAGGGCCGTCGCGCAGTCTGTCGTGCAGTCACCCATCAGCAAACGACCAGCCACGCCTATTCACAACTACACCGAAGCCATGGACAAGATCCTCTCTACCGTCGACCGTCGGCTGACCAGCATGACCCACGAGATTGCTGTTCTAAAGGAAGAAGCCAGCAACCGGCCACCGTCACCGCCGCCGCCCACGGACCCGTTGGTGCCCCGGAGGGTGAACTTCTTTGCCCTCGGAACGGGCGCCCTGGTCGACCCGTACCTGACCTCACCCACGATGTCGTTGACGGGGGGGTTCGTCGAGCGTTTCCGCCGCTACGCCGCCGGCATGCGCCCCGGCCCTCCGCCCGTGTCGGCACTGACGCAGTGGGACGACGTCGGCGACTGCTGGTGTGCGGCCACGACGAACGGCAAGGCCCAGCTGGCCGTGCAGCTCGGCCGTCCCATCGTGCCCGAAGAAGTCATCATCGAGCACATCCCGCGCGAGGCGACGCTGGACCCGGGTTCGGCGCCACAGACCATGGAGCTGTGGGTTGAATACACGCTGCTCGCCGCTGGCCGCGGTCCAAGGAAGCGGAACTCTCCCCTATCCGCCCACTCTCCATCCGATCCACCCGACGCAGCAGACGCAGCAGAGACGACCATGTCGGCCGTCCGCCGCTCCATGCTCGAGACGCTGGCCATGGTCTACCCCGGCGAGCATCCGTCCGCCTACTCGGACGACCTGGCGCTGGGCCCGTCCTTCTTCCGCATCGGCACCTGGCGATACGACATCAACGCCGGCCACCACGTCCAGCGCTTCCCGCTCGAGGCCGTCGTCGACCTTCCCGGCGCGCGTGTCTCCAGGGCCGTCGTCAGGGCCACCTCCAACTGGGGGAACCAGTACACCTGCCTCTACCGCGTCAGGCTCTACGGCCGTCTTTAGCTCTTCTTCCTCTCTTCTTCTTCTTTTCTCCCTCCTCTTCACTTCCACTCTTCCTCACTTCACTTCCTTCCACTGTATCTACTATGAGCATCCGAGGCGTTACTAGTCGTCTTTTCTTTTGCAGGCCATGAAATACCAAGCTCTTACCATGTTCCATCCTCCAACTTCTGCTGTATCATGACACAAGTATGAATCCAGGGGCAAGTTTCATCTCATGCGGTCGGCTTCTCCTATCCGTACGTGAGTAGTGACGGTACGGGCTCGTCTATCTTAAACGGCCTCCATCTCACCCTGTCCATCCCCATCTCCACCCGACGCTTCCTTATATATAAAACTACATACTTACATATAGTCGGCCCCTAGTCGATAGATGGCTTTTCTAGAAGCACAAAACGTGGAACTCCACAGCAATAGTTCTGTCTATACTTCTGCAAGCAGGTAAGCGACGTCAAGGTCAGTCAGCCAGTCAGTCAGTAGGTCTGCAGCTCGTCTTCCACCGCGGAGGCTCGACTGCGCGCTGTGTACGCACTGAGTACGCACTCTGTCCCATCGACTAGTTGCAGCTAGATAGTCCGCATTATTGGCTCTTTTACATCGTAGTCGCAGCGCTGGTCGCGGGCGGTTTCAGCCACGGACGAGCGGTCGTTCGGGTCGGTGGAAGGGATGCCAGCCTGTCGAGAGGACGGTCAAGGCCCGTCGTATGGACGGCGTCGTCGTGAACCGCAGGCCGTCAGTATACTTAGTCGAACAGGGGAGAAACGGTGGATCAAGCCTTAATTATCGATGATGTTTCTGTTTCTTCTTCTGTTTCTGTTTCTCTATCTTCTGCTTCTGTTTCTGCCTCTGCTTCTGCTTCTTCTGCCTCTCCTCTGAAGAAGAAAAGAAAAAAGGGGCCGTCTCGTAGTTCTCTTAGTTCTCTCTTAGTTGCTTCTTCTTGGCTTCCCTTTTTTCCCTCCATGAAACGATTCTGATATCACATTCGACTCTCTCCCTCGCCTCTCTCTGTATCCTCCTGTGTATCTGCTTCGTCTTCTCCCCTTCGTCTTCACGTCTTATGCGCTGTCTCGACTCGACGTGGCTCAATCCGTGACGGGACTGGCCTGCCTGCATTCCATCACGTCCACAGCACATCCACCGCAGCATCAACACCACCAACCACGGGATACGAACACAGCAGAGAGCAAGGAGAAGAAGAAGAAGAAGAGGCCATGGCCCAATCCCCGCCGGGCTCACCCTCGCACGCTGCCTGCAACCGTCCTCTCAGTCTCATCATGCGCCCGTCGCGGAGTAACAGTCGCATGAGCGTCGGCAGCGTCAACAAGAGCGGCATCTCGGACGACGATGGCAAGACCGCCGTCAAAGTCGGTCAGTAACACAGTCTATTTTCTTTATATATATAACTGGCTAACGTGCTATAGTGGTTCGCGTGCGGCCGCCGCTACAGCAGACAGACCCGGGCTACGACCTGATCCCCCAGCGTTTCCAGCGGCCGACGGTCCACGTTACCTCGCCCACCAGCCTGGCCATCGACGCCCCCCAGGGACGCAAGCTCTTCGTCTTTGACCGTGTCTTTGGCGAGAACGTCGACCAGGAAGGCATCTGGGACTACCTGCACGACAGCGTCAACTCCTTCATCCAGGGCTACAACGTCAGCATCCTCGCCTACGGTCAGTCCGGCGCCGGCAAGTCGTATACCATGGGCACCTCCGGCCCCTCTGAGCAGTCCGACTCCAAAGCAATGGGTGTGTCTCTACATATATATGTGTGTGTGTGTGTGTGTGTTGTGTATGCTAATTGAGTAGGGATCGTGCCGAGGGCGGCGCAGATGCTGTTTGAAAAGCTGACGGGCATGCCAACTCACAACAGGACCGTGTCCGGATCCACGGTCAGCGGCCTACGGACACCGCAGAGATACTCCAATTCTTCCTCCCTGCCGACTCTCGGTCGTCTGGCAGAGAAGAACTGGCAGATGAGAGCGACCTACGTCGAGGTAGGCTTCTCTCTCCCTCCTCTTGTCTTGTTTGTTACTGACGAGATAGATATATAATGAACAACTGCGAGACCTGCTTCTGCCCGAGTGCACACCGCCAGCGGAACGGAACACGGTCACCATCCGTGAAGACACCAAGGGCCGCATCATCCTCACCGGCCTGCACCAGGTCTCCATCAACTCCGTCGAAGATCTCATCAACGCCCTCAACTTTGGCTCCGCCATCCGCCAGACCGACTCGACCGCCATCAACGCCAAATCTTCCCGCTCCCACGCAGTCTTCAGCATCAACCTCATCCAACGCAAGGACGGATCGTCCCAGCAGCAGCAGCTCTCCGCCCAGGAGAAACGGTTCTCCATGCCCACCGCAGCCGACCCGGCCGCTGGCGCCGACCAGGTCACCGTGGACAGCAAGCTGCACTTTGTCGACCTCGCAGGCAGTGAACGCCTAAAAAACACCGGTGCCTCCGGTGAGCGTGCCAGAGAAGGCATCTCCATCAACGCCGGCCTCGCCAGTCTCGGCAAGGTCATCTCTCAGCTGTCCTCCCGCCAGCAGGGCTCCCACGTCTCCTACCGCGACTCAAAACTCACCCGCCTGCTCCAGGACTCGCTCGGCGGTAACGCAATCACCTACATGATCGCCTGTGTCACTCCACCCGAGTTTCACCTCTCAGAGACCCTCAACACCGTCCAGTACGCCCAGCGTGCCCGTGCCATCCAGAGCAAGCCGCGCATCCAGCAGGTGTCCGACGAAAGCGACAAGCAGGCCGTCATCGAACGACTCAAGGCCGAAGTCGCTTTCTTGCGCCAACAGATCCGCAACGCAGACGGAGGCGAGCGGGACCGCCGCGTCCTGACGCCCCAGGAGCGATCTGACCGCCAGAACGAGCGTGAGAGAGAGCTGCAGAACCACCTGCTCGACGTCCAGGAGAGCTACACCGCACTCAGCCAGCGCCATGCAAAGCTCATCGCCGAACTCACCAAGGCCTCGTCCGACCTCGGAGACGCCGACGACAGCAGCAAGAACGGAGGTGACACCTCGATGGAGCGGCTGAAGCGATCCCACTCCTTTGCCGAGTCGGTAGAGCAGGTCGTCATGGAATACGAAAAGACCATCCAGTCGCTCGAGTCGTCCCTCTCTCAGACCCGGGCCTCGCTATCCAGCACGGAGAGCAGCCTCCTCGAGCGTGAGACCAAGTGTGCTTACATCGAGACCGTCAACGGCCAGCTTCAGGCACGCATGCAGAAGATGCTGGACCGCGAAGCCAACACGGAGAGCTACCTGCACGACCTGGAGTCGAAATTGGACAGCCATGCCTCCGGTGAAGAGAAGAACGCCGCCATCGTAGCCGAGCTGAGAAAGGAGCTCAATCGCGCCAGAGAAAACGAGGCCAGCTGCGAAGACTACATATCGACCCTGGAAGAGAGGCTGGCCGAAGCCGACCAGGACATGGAACTCATGCAGTCGGAGATGGACAGGCTGGAGCATGTCATCGACCGCCAGAGAAGCCTGGGTAAACTCGACAATCTCCTGTACGAACTCGACCACGTCCAGAACGGCACAAACGGAATCAAGGAGGCCGACGACGCCGGCAAGAAGGCGTCGGCCATGCGAGCCAGAAAGGCCAGAAACGGGACGCCCTCTCTCGACGTGCTCACCGAGGCGGTCGAGACGGCCATCCCGGAGTCTGACGATGACCTGGCGGAGGGCTCTGCGCCATCCTCGATCCAGGAGGAGACCGCCCTCGGTCTCGCCAGGGACGACGCCGGCCTCGCCGCTCTCGAACGAGCAACTCCCACCACTGCCACCTTTGCCCGCGGGAGCGACGAGCCGTACACTCCCAACGCAGCCCAGTCTCAATTCGTAGCAGAGAAACTCGAGACCGTCACGCAGGAACTGTTCGACCTCCGCATCCAGCACGATCACTCCATGCACGAGTACGCGTTGCTCAACGCCAAATACCAGGAGTCTCTCCGCGCCATGGCCGAGCTGCAGGACGCCATCGAGGAGGTTCGACATAGCCAGCGCGCTCAGCCGGCCATAGCTTTTTTAGACACCAAGCTCGCCCAGAAAGGCCGGGTGAAGGCCAACGGGGCCAGCAGCGGTGGAGAGCACCAGCAATCGTCGCGCTCGCTGTCCTCGGAATTGTCCTCGGCAGATCAGGCGAACTCGTCGTCCACTTCTTCGACAGACGCCGTGACCAACAGCTCAGACCAACAGCCTGCATCGGATGAAGAGGCTGAAAGCGAGCTCGTCAAGAGGCTAAAGGCCGAGCACCAACAGGCCCTGGAGGCTGCCACCAACAGGTACACCGAGCTGCAGATGGAGCATGAAGATAGCCTGACGCTGGTTGAAAGCCTAAAGGACGAAGTCACCAAGTACAAGAACGCGGCCTCCTCTCCACCTCATACTCCCAACGTCATTCGACGCATCACAAGCCAGAGCATGATGACCATCGACCGCGCCCATCGTAACCTGTCCGCTCTCCGCATCCAGGCAGCTGAAGAATTCGAGGGTCGACCGGAGACACTGCAGACGTTCGACCAGAAGATCGAGTCCGCCTTGCGCGAGCTGAACTCTCGTATGGAACGTATCCAGGCTCTGGAAGCAGAGAACAAGAACGTCAAGAAGGAGATGGAGATGAAAGCTACCATCATCTCCGGTCTTACCAGGGAACGATCTAGCCTGCAATCCGTCTCCCCCGTTGATATGACTGTGGTCTCCCAGCTGAGGGATCAGGTGGTTAACGCCGAAACGCAGATGGCTGAGATGAAGGAATTGCACGACGCAAAGGAGCGGGAGCTGGCTAGCGAGATCAAATCGGTTAATGCGCTCGTCGATGAGCAGAGGGATGAGCTGAAGTCTTTGCAGAAAGAAGTTGAGACTCACAAGGCCGCTGCCGAGAAGTGGCAGGGCAAACACCGTCTGGCCGCAGAGGAGCTGCTGGTAGTTCAGGACCGCCTCCAGGCGTCAGAGAAACAGGTCCATGCTACGATTGCTGAGCTGGAGGCTTCGCTGGCTAGTGTCGACTCTATGCGTAGGGATAGAAAGGAAGGTGACAGCTCCGCCGTCGACGCTGCGGCCAATGCAGACGCCTTGGAGAAGGAGAGGTCTCGACACCAGGAGCTGGTCGATAGTCTCAAGCGTGAGATTGACGGCCACCAAGCGACCATTGTCGCGCATTTGGCTAAGATCACTACTCTCGAAAACGACCGCGCCGGCTCCCGTGCCGTCCTTGACGATATGGCTGGGTCGGAAGATGAGCTGGCGTCTCATAGGGACCGCGTTGTGGAGCTTTCCAGAGATATCGATGTGCACAAGTCCACTGTTGAGGCCCAGCAGTCTCAACTGGACACCCTCCAGCTTACGCATAAGCGTGAGCTGCTGGAGCTAGAGGAGAAGACCAAGGCAGCCGCGGAGGCACAGTACCAGTCTCAGCTGGCCGAGAAGGCCGCCGCCCATGAAGCTGCCCTCGAGGAGCTCCGTGCTGAATTGACCAAGTCAAAGGAGGAGTCGTCTCAGATCCTCAAGACCATCGCATCCTTACTCAAGACGCAGGGCCCTGTGACTCCCCACACCCTGCAAGACCAGTTACAAGATGTCCTGTCGCAGAAGGACCAGTTTGCCGATAAATACTCTGCCCTGATGGATACAAATGAAGACTTGACTCGTAAACTTGACGAGGAGCAAGGTACTCACTCCTCGCTTGAGAAACAGGTCGTCGAACTCAAGAACAAGGCCAACGAGCATGAGATGAAGGTCAACGAGCTTGCATTACTGGTGGCTACGCATGAGGAGGCCATCGCGGCCAAGGAGGCCACCATCGAGGAGATCAAGGCTGAGAAGGAGAAGAGCGTTCGTCTTGTTCAGGAGCTTGAGGAGCAGATTACTTCCTCCTTCGACCAGCATAATAATCGTCTTTCTGTCATCCAGGCAGAGAAAAGCCTGGCGCTCGAGGAGGCAAAGGCTAAGATCGCTGCACACGACAAGGAGATTGAAACTTATCGTGCTCGCATCGAGCAGCTTGAGGTGAGCACCCTACCAACCTATCAACATTCCGGGAATTTTACTTCTAACATGACCAGGCTCAAACACGACCGATCTCGCCCGAAGGTCATACCGCCGATCGCTCAAGCTCGATGTCCACCAACCTTCGCAAGAGCTCTTCTGCGGCCTCGCTACCATCTCCACCTCCCGCAATCCCCCTACCACCACTCCCCAATATCGCTGCTGCCGCCAACCCAGCCAGCATCTCCCCTCCTTCGTCTCGCCATCAGAGCAAGGAACTCGCCAACAACCAGTTTGTCGAAGACCAGGAGGCCCGCATCCGAACTATCGAGAAGCATCTACATGCCGAGAAACAACTCACCGCCACCCTCGAAGAAGCCCTCGGCGACCTCGAGGCACAGAGCAACAAAGTCAAGTCAGACATGGAATTATGGAAGAAGAAAGCCTGGCAACTCGAAGAAGAAGTCACTACGCTACGCTCCGAGCGAAACTCCGCACGTCTGTCCCTACAGGCTGTCGAGGAGGAACGAAGCGCTCGACGAGAAGCAGAGGCTGCCCGAGCACATCTGGAAGAGAAGATGAATGCCATCAGCAAAAAGAAAAAGAAGAGTACTCTCAACTGCTTCTAGTTGATCACATTCATGCCCTTTTTCTTTCCCTCTCCCGCTTTTCTGTATTTATATTCCCCCTCCTCACCCTCCAATATGCCTTTTGATGACTGCTATTGATGAATATTGTGATCCCCCCCCCCCTCCCCCCAGGCCCAAGTGAGTCGAATATTGCGTTGGTTTTCGTCCTCAGCTGGACGTTTACCTCCTCCCCTCCCGTTTCCCCCAGTTCTCCCATTGGATTTGTTCCTCCTACTTCATCTATTTTGATATCCCTTGTTCTCGTTGTCTTTTTTTTTTTGTCTCTTACCTCTCAAGTGTGTATAAAATGCCTCACTATCCCTTTACTCGATGATTTAGATGTAAAGAGTTTCCTGATTTTTGTTTGCTATCTTTTTAAATGACTTACTTGCCCTCCTCCCCCTTTATTCATAAATATATTCCCCATACTTGACGGCCGGAATTCCCTAATATTTCTGATTCTTTGCCTCTTTTCCTTTTTAATCCCCTTTTTTTTCCTTTTTTTTTTTATATCAAAGTCATACACGGCACGGCACACGGCATATTGACGAAGGAAAGATTCAAGACTGTCTAAGGCCCCGGAAAGATATACCTATTTTTACTTCTTTTTATTTTCTACTTATTGCCATTCTTATACCTATTTATCTTTACTTTTTTCAATTATTTAATTATTAACTCTATATTTATCTACTCTTCCAGGTCGAATATTATGTTATCACGTGATCTTGACTTCATCTGCCTTTTTAAACAGTCAAGATAAAGTCTGCGATGTAGACAAGCAGTTTAACAGACATGTCTCCCTCTTCCCAGGCCGCCTCAGCGCCCTCACGTAGGAATAATGGGCGAAAGCGATATAATATAATATTTGTTCATCCCGATCTCGGCATTGGTGGCGCAGAGCGCTTGATCCTTGACGCCGCACTCGCGCTGCAGTCCCTCGGCCATAAGATAACAATCTACACATCCCACCGTGATAAAAGCCATTGCTTTGAAGAAGCTCGCGATGGGACTCTTGACGTGCGCGTCCACGGCGATAAGCTGTTCCCAGCGCATATTAAAGGCCGATTCCACGTTCTGATGGCGATACTAAGACAGCTGTCTCTAGTCTACTACCTATCAGAAAGCACCAGCACCGACGAGCAGGTTGACGACATATTCATCGTTGACCAGGTTCCAGCTTGTGTACCTGTCCTTAGAGCGTTGAGATATATAACGAGCCGGAAGTCACAGAAGAAGAGACAGCGAACTCTGTTCTACTGCCATTTTCCGGACCAGCTGCTGGCTCGGCGCGGCGAGGGGGGCGCCGTCCTGAGAACACTGAAGGCTCTATACCGTTTCCCCTTTGACTGGTTCGAGGGTTGGGCAATGAATGCGGCGGATAGGACTGTGGTCAATTCTCGGTTCACCAAGGGAGTGGTGGGAAAGGTCTTTGGGAGCAGTATTGGGAAGGATGTACAGGTTGTTTATCCGTGTGTTGACACACAGAGAAACGAGATGTCTGACGTGGAGAAGATCGATAATGGTGGACTATGGGATGGGCTGAAGATACTGTTGAGCATTAATCGGTTTGAGCGGAAGAAAAACATCGAGCTGGCGATCCAGGCATACCGTGGCATTGCAGAGGCAGACAGGAAAGGCACTAGATTGGTGATTGCAGGTAGGCTGATCCCCTCCCTCTACTACAAAGTTATGTCTGTTGCCATTGTACTGATAGGAAGAAGGTGGCTACGATAATAGAGTGTCTGAAAACGTACAATATCACAAGGAGCTGGATACGCTCGCGACTCGACTGGGCTTCCAAACAGCTACCTCTCAGACCATCGTCTCTGCCCTGTCCGTCCCAGAATCGATAAATGTTTTGTTCCTTCTTTCCGTTCCCTCTGCTTTCAAAGAAACGCTCCTCTCCTCCTCTAGCCTTCTGCTCTATACTCCGTCATACGAACACTTTGGTATTGTTCCGGTAGAGGCAATGTATGCTGGCCTACCAGTGCTCGCAGACAACACTGGCGGTCCATTGGAAACCATCGTCGAAGGCAAGACCGGCTGGCTCAGGTCTTCGGAAGAGGTATCTGGCTGGACGGATGTCATTAGCCACGTGTTACAGCGAATGTCGCAGGCCGAGCGTCTCGAGATGGCCAACTATGCAAAACAGCGAGTTGAAAAGGAATTTTCTCTCCATGCAATGGGTGAAAGGCTCCAAGACCAAATTGACAAGATGCTCCAAGTCAAAGATCGCACATTTCTGCCCTTTGAGGTAATCCTTGGACTTGGCCTGGTCCTCGGCGTGGTATCTACTGTTCTCATCTGGCTTGCCATGAGCACGGGTTTAAATTTGCAGCGCAGTCCATTGTAAACTCAAGAATATGACAAGCGAGGGTCGATATAATACCAACCCGCACCCGGCCAACTTATGGCAACCGAACTTGCCGTATATTGATAATCTCAATCCTTGCCATGCAAGACGTATATGCTGACCCACCGACCATTCCTCCAGGTGAACCAACAATATATTCCAACGGCCAAGGATTTAAGAATAATAAGGGCAACACCCTCCGTGTTTAGCCAGGATGAGGGATTCCCCGCGTCCAAGAGAAATTTCGGTTAAATTCTTTCATGGATGCATTGCTTGTCAGCTAGTGGATCATGTTTATTCCTTGCTATATGCAAAGACCCTCCGGGGATGCGCAGATAAAATTCTTCGAATTCTATATTTTTATACGACAAGAACCCGAACGGCACCGGAATGGGGCAAATGTAACCTCTTTGCCCAGATTCCACTAACCCTCAGAATAGTTATTCATACGAAGAACAAATTCCGATCCATAACTCGGCCTGCTTGTTGTTGACAAAAAAATACGAAGTCCAGAGTATAACTAACTTATATACAACTATACTATGTATTGTTCAAAAAGCCATGCCGATATCCATACATAGTATACATATCCTGTGGGATCGAAGTTAAACATCATATATTTGGCCATTTATCGACTTTCTACCAGCTTGCTCCCTGCCAACATGACCCCTGCCGGCTCTGGCGTGCTCGCACACATGATAACTCTTTCCTAGGAAGCTCAGGATGCATTTTGGGAATCCCTCCTCTCATACCATGATTGTTGTCGACGGAGCACTGCGCATAAAGAGTATACCGGGTCGACGATTAAGGGGATTTCGGAGGAGCCGCCCTTGACCGCATGACAAGCAACATCAAATAACTTTGCATCAATCATGTTCCCAGCTCGTCTGCAAGCTAGAACAAAGCCATTCTTGCCAGGGTTGTTCAATATAAACTTTCTTGTCGATCTCTCTAAGGAATTCCACAGCCGGCTTTATGACGCTCATCTGCTGGCTAGACCAATATGAACAAACCATCGGTGTATGCTCGGAATAACAAAGCTGGGGCACAATTATTAATTAAATATACGAGAGAGGGGAAGGGCGTTGAGTTGCAGGGTATACCTGAGTGTTTGTGATGTCGTTTTGCTTGACTGGGGTTAGAATTCCCAGCTCTATATAAGTGCGTGATGCCCCAGCTGTGAACCCAGGTCGAGCTGTCATCAGTCATCTCTTCCCTCCGACGGATAGCCAATTCCCGCCTATACTCTGCGAATCTCCTGCCATGGCTCCAGAAAGGCGATCCCGGCTCAGTGATGCGGGCATTTTAGTGTCCCTTCTAGCTCTCACCAGTCTTGTGCCGGTGCAAGCAGCTGTTACGACATCGAAGCCAGATTATGCAAAGCGTGCAGAGCGTGTACTTAGAAGCACTCCATTAATAGATGGGCACAACGATCTTCCTTTCGCTATCCGGAGATCTACCCATGACCAAATCTATGATGGCAAGGTTCCCTTTGAAACTGCACTCAAAGGCCAGACTGATCTCCCTCGAATGAGAAAAGGGCGCATGGGAGGACAGTTTTGGAGCGTTTACGTTGGGTGTCCATCAGACCCTAACACTCCAATTGACTTCCCAACGGTATGAGATGACTTCACTCTTGCTAGGCTATCATGTCCATGCTAACGGGACTGCCATCAATAGTTTGCGACCAGAGATACCTTGGAGCAAATTGATGTCGCAAGACGACTCGTGGACAAGTATTCCAAGGATCTCATGTACTGCGATAACCCTGCCTGCGCAAAGAAGGCCTTTAGAGAGGGTAAAATCGGCAGCTTCATTGGTATCGAGGTAAGTCATCTTTTCGGCAGGCTCATAAATGGAATACTAACCATCTATCTGATCAATAGGGAGGACACCAAGTGGGCAGCTCCATTGCGGCCTTGCGCCAGGCTTTCTATGCCGGAGCTCGATACATGACTCTTACCCACAACTGCGACAATGCGTGGGCAACCGCCGCGTCCACCGTCAGGGCCGGTAAACCCGACCTGGGTATGACTGAATTTGGCCCTGCGCTGATCAAGGAAATGAACCGTCTCGGCATGCTTGTAGACCTTTCACACGTCTCCCATCAAACTATGCGAGATGTTTTGAAGGTTACCAAGGCGCCCGTCATCTTCTCCCATTCTTCAGCTTACGCAGTTTCCAAGCATCTGCGAAATGTCCCTGACGACGTTCTCAAGACCGTCGCTAAGAACAATGGCGTGGTCATGGTCACCTTTGTGCGCAGTTTCGTTAACATTGACAACCCGGACTCAGTGACTGTTGACGATATTGTCAAGCACATCTTCCACATCGCTGAGGTTGCTGGATGGGACCACGTTGGGCTTGGTGGTGACTATGACGGCACCACTGAGCTTCCAAAGGGCCTCGAAGTAAGCCAACTAGTGATTTTACAGCCATCAAGAAGAAGGAAAAACCCCTGCTGACTCTTTCGCGTTTAGGATGTTTCAAAATACCCATACCTTATCGAGAAAGTCCTCGAGCACGGTGCCACTGAAGAACAGGCACGCAAACTCATTGGAGAGAACATTCTACGTGTTTGGACTGAAGTGGAGAAGATTGGCAAGAGGATTCAGAATTCCGGTGCCCTCCCAGTTGAGGAGGTCTGGCAGGGTAGAAACTGGACTCAGTCTCTCACCAAACGATCCACCTTCATTCCAACCGAGAGCCCAACCCAGCTTGAGTTTGGATGTGATTAAGAAATTATCTATCATTTCATCTGATATCTAATGCCAGTTGTGGAATATATTTATGTTCATGAATTTATTTAATTTATGAAAGTGCCTTGTTCAAGGTTATCTTTATAATGGTGCTCTCTGCTTACTAAGGAGATAACTTATCACGTGATTACGCGTTTAAACCATACTGGAGTTTAGGGGGTTTCGGAATTGTCTTCCAATACTATAGGTAGAATGTTATATTACTAGGTATTGTAGCTTATGTGCGATTGACCTTGCATCACGTCAGAGGTGACGACATTTTTTATAAAAGACACCAGCTTTTAGATATCTTTTTTATCATATACAATCTCGCATCTCTTGTTGTGGAGGTGAAACCAAATAGCCATGAGTTCGCTTCCATCTCCATCTCATCAGAACCATACTATCATAGACATCTCTGATTGCCCTAGCTGCCATCGACACCAACTAGGTCTACCATACCAAAGGCTTGCCGATGAAGCTTTCGTACAAGGAATACAAAATGTGAATTTATCCTTCTTGTTATGAACTCTTATTTATGGTAGCTAATTTCCATACAGGAACTAGAAACCCTTTCCCCAAAAAGCCAAGAATTAATCACCTCAACTTGGGCCTCATTCTTGAATTTCCCAGACAAAGAGCGTCGAATTTTGATTGACGGAATACTTGCAAGATGCTGTTCCTCGCAGTTATCATACATATCCACGTCTATCAAGGCGCTTACCAGGATAGACTTTTTCGCTGTTTTGCCTACGGAGCTATCGTACCGCATCCTCCAGTATCTCGATGCGACAACCCTATGTAGGCTCGCCCAGGTTAGCCATCTCTGGAGAAAGCTGGCCGATGACGACGTTATATGGCATCGGATGTGCGAGCAACACATCAACACGAAATGCTCGAAATGCGGGTGGAGTCTTCCTTTATTGCAACGGCAAGGGCGCTTGGTGCAGTCCCAGAATCCGGATCTCGGCAAGTCGTCGCTTGAATCCTGGAATTCAATTAGAAAAGTAGATGACTTGGAGATGAAGGCGGATATTCCCCCCAGTCGCAGCTCTTCGACCAGCCGTCCTCCTGCGAAGAGACAACGCGGACTGCATCACGAGGCTGTCAAACTTGATCCACCATGCCATCCTCGACAAACTCGGCCATGGAAAGAGGTTTACAGGGAGCGGCTCATGGTAGGACTCAATTGGAAACATGGAAGGTATAGGACAACTGTGCTTGAAGGTCACAGTGACAGCGTCATGTGCCTTCAGATTCATGGCAATTATCTTGCTACTGGATCCTACGACGCTACAGTTAAACTATGGAGCCTGGATCCCGGAGAGCTCCTTCGAACTTTCGAAGGTCATACCGCTGGTATTCGCGCTTTACAATTTGATGGTCATAAGATCATTAGTGGTAGCTTAGATCGCACCATCAAAATCTGGAATTGGCAAACTGGAGAGTGTGTGCTTACCTTTTCTGGCCATGATGATGGCATTATTGGGCTAGATGTTGCTGGGAATATTCTAGCATCTAGCTCCATGGATGAAACCATAAAAGCATGGAATTTTGAAAATAAAGAGGCCTTTACACTCAGAGGCCATTCGGATGCTGTCAACTCAGTCAAATTCGACATGGCCTCACGTACTCTTATCTCTGCATCGGATGATTTCACCTTACGGCTTTGGGATCTCGATACACGGCAATGCATTAGGACTTTTGAAGGCCACTGCGGACAAATTCAACAAGTTGCATTTCTATCACCACAGATTGAACACTCACTAGAATTGGGCCTCGCGGGTAGCACCCTCGCGACTACCTATGATAAAGCCGTGGAGGGAATCCAGGTAAGCTATGGTAGCGGCTTTCTAACCCATCCTGAGCGACCCTTGCCGCCTCTATATGTTCTAAGTGCAAGTCTTGATGACACGCTTCGTCTCTGGAACACTACGTCTGGTGCCTGCGTGAGGGCTAACTTGGGCCATACCCAGGGTATATGGGCTCTTGCAGTGGATGGCCTGCGTGCTGTATCCGGTGCGGGTGATTCCATAACTAAGGTATGGGATGTTGTTACAGGTAACTGTGTGAGAACATTGACCGGCCATACAGCGCCGGTAACATGTATTGCCCTAACAGATTCAGTTATAGCTACTGGTAGTGATGACTGTCGGGTGATCGTGTCTAACTTTAAACCCTGATAATGAGATCAAACAGTATTTAAACGCAAGAAATCTCCCTTTATCATGATAATGTACAGTGATTGTCTTACTTCTAGTTGTAACGGCGTTATGGGTGTATACATAGTACGTTCTACTATGACTGATGGATCATTAGGAATTCGGGTTTTCTACTATTCCGACTGATTATTATCTAAGCTGGAGTAACTATATTCCGAAAGCTCCAAAAAGGACCCTACCTTATTCCGGTAACTATGGAAGTGTTTATTTCTGTTTATCAGTTTCGGCTCGCGTTCAAGAGTTATAACGCCATAGAATGTTGCGGTGATGAGGCACAACTAGTAATCCAAAGGTTTCTCTCCTGCTGATTCCATAATTTTGGTATTTCTTGGACTTTTCTTTTTTTGGATAGGCTAGGCTGAGCGAGATCGATGGTTACAAGGCAGAGATCAAGTGTTGACTTATCATAGCCATGGACCAGGTCATCAGTTTATTGTCCTCCTCTCCCGCAGTACCGCCTAAGAAATCTGGGGATGGAGCCCTGGGAGCTAGCTTCGATATTTTTGAAAGTCCTCACAACCCAGTGTTAGACAAACCAGACAACTCACTGTTTGAATACGGTGATTTCATCGACAGTTCCGTAACGAAGAAGAGGAAGTTAAGCCCTTCCGTGGATCGGACACTCTATGCTGCAGATCATGTTACGCCTCACAAGTCCCCTGGCTTCATTCTCTCAGATATAACGGACTTCAACAGTGTGGGAAATACCCCCAGGATTCTTCCAAGCAAGTCAAAAGACACAGTCAACAAGACATCAACATATAATTCCTGGGACCTCACATTTGATGACCCTATCTTCAGCTCGTCCTCCGCGCCTAAAAGCCACACTCGGGAGGGCGTCACCAAACAGCCAGTAACAATCGTTATTGATGATGATGACGACGGTGACAATGATAGGCTTCTGGACATTACACCCTCAGATGATATTGTTATCAACGATGATGATGATGACTTTTTTGAATTTAGCGTGCCACAGGCTTCAAAAGTTGTTATCTCAGAGAAGACATCACGACTTCTTGAGCAGATCAAACGCGATACGGCCTCCAAGGCAAATCCTAGCAAAAAGAAGAGAAAGCAGCAGCATGATATCGATACTTTATCAGAGGACGACGTGTTGCCTTCTTTAAAACTACGGGCTGCAAGACGAGGAACAGGCAGCCAAACAGCTAGTAGAAATGCGGAGAAAGCTGCCAAAGCGCTCGATCGAGAGGCGGCAAAAGCTCGCCGAGAAAAGGAAAAAGAGGAGCAAAAAGAGGAGAAAAGAATGCAGAAGGAGGAGAGAGAGAAACAGAAGCGTATGGCTGCTGATATCGCGGAAGTGAACAAGTCTAAAGTGGATAAAGCGGTATCGGTCGGGGAGATGATTGTTGATATGTCCTCAACTTTCCAGGACTCCAGCATCGGTACCCAGGTCGAAGAACACATGCGCCAGCTGGGCGTGGAGATGCATTTCATATCCGCTAGAATTCCTCATATGGTATCGTGGCGACGAAAGGTCACTGCACGATTCAATGAGGCAGGGCATTGGGAACCGTGTGCACCAACTGTTAAACCCGAGGACTATATTCTATGTTTCTTAACAGGGGATGAGTTTGCGGATATGGCTATTGCACCCCAGGGCAATAATACGGTGAAGGCTTATTTTCAGAAGATAAGCGGAGCATATCCAAACTGCAAACAGATCTATCTCATCGAAGGTCTGTTTGCCTGTATTAGAAAGGAGAAGAATTCCCGCAACCGCTCATACCAGGCTGCTATTCTTCAGCAAATAGATAACGATCAACACAACACAGCTGGAGAACCTGTGTCCCAGCCAAAGCGAAAAAGAGCAACAAGGAGGATACCAGGCCCTGCACCTCAGGTGGATGAAGACGCAATTGAAGATGCACTACTTCAACTCCAGGTGCAACATTCGTGTCTAGTCCACCATACTACCACTCCTGGTGAAAGTGCGGCATGGATAAAGATATTCACCGAACATATATCAACAATTCCCTACCGACGGGAACTCATGAAAAGTCATGATGCGTCATTCTGCATGGACGTCGGACAGGTCAGATCTGGGGGGGATGCAAGTGATGCTTATATTCGAATGTTGCAGGAAGTGAGCCGCATCACAGCACCAATAGCCTACGGTGTTGCTACGCAGTATCCAACTGTTGGCCGACTAGTCAATGCATTTGACAATGGGGATCATCTCCTTCTTGAAGATGTTAAGGTATCATTTAATTCAACCCCTCCATTTGAAGAGAGCCAATGATTCTGACTAAACTGGACATTGTAGAAGTGCGCAAATAAAAAGGGCACTTTGACCGATGCACGAATTGGCCCAGCTATCAGTCGACGATTATATCATATTTTTACCAGCCTAGACCCGGCGTCTGCAGACGTTTGACTTTTCTTCTTTTCCTTTATCCTTTGCTTCAAATTTCATCTTTACTGTCAGCTTAGATTTGGTTGATGGAGGGAGGCAACTTCATGGTATTATTCAGGTCCACTTATACCCCATTTGGCTTTGGATCAGGTTTGGAAGTCCTTCTTGCTTATCTTTGTTACGCTCCGCTACATATGAATAGAGAATCGTTCTACTTGGAGCCCATTTGGTTTGGTATATTATTCTTTGGAGAAATAGGTGCATTCATTAATATTTCAAGTGTTGACCGAAAAGTAAGATACTATACGCTGTGTGGCAGCTCTGTGCCACATATATGCCCAGCTATGCAGAGACGCCGCGATTAAAAAAGGAAAAAGAAAAAGAACTATATACAAGTAAGTAATATATGTGCCACCGAAATAACCAGGGACATGATCAAACCGAAATGCCTCTCCTCTTCCACCCTCTCCAGGCGACAGTCCACATGGTTACGGCGATCAAAACACCGAATACGCTGCCCACAGCCCAGTAGCCATAGCACTTCCAGCCAAAACACTGTCCATTAGCACCGACATTAGCGTCGTACTCGGCAGAATAGATGGCTCCCGAGACACCGGCCCCCGGCGCCTGAATCATCGAGACGATGGCCCAATTGGTGCCAAAATTCTCTACTCCCCAGACGACGGAGACGACGATTGGCACGAGAGAGAAGCAGGCGCCGTAGCCGAACCCGATGAAGGTGGTGGTTGCATGTAGGAGGGAAGGAAAGGAGAGCGGAACAGGCGAAGAGAGGAGCAGGTAGCCCAAGGATACGAGGAGGGCACAGGGGATGAGGAAGAAGAGGCGGGAAAAGGAGACTTGCTGTGTGAGGGAGTGGGAATGGGCTGTTGGACGAGGGGCAAAATGGTCTGAGAGGGAGCCAGTGATGAGACGGGCCAGAGTAGAGGTGAGCGCCACCAGGGCTACGTGGGTGGAAGGGGCTCCTGCAGGCGGAGAGGCGTTAGGCCTGGCAGATGGAGGAGTCAAGGTACTTGTAAGGGTGCCGACCTATGTTGCTTGTTAGTATTGGACCAAAGCCAAAAGTATAAGATGTGATGGTGACTTGCATTATTCATGTATGCTTCTCCAGGTCCGGATATGAGGATAAATCCGAGGGAAAGCAGCCACATGGTGTTATCGTTGAGGAAGAGCTTGGTCTCCTGGTTGAGCAGCCAGGTCTTCTTCTCCTGGTCACCGGGGGCAATGACAGCAACCCCATTGTCGTCATCATCACCGTGGCCGGCCCGGAAGGTCCCATACTGGCCGTCGGTCTCGGTCAATAGACCACTTCTCTCGAGCTCTTCAGCTCCGGCCTCGATCAGCTTGTCCTCGTCGACGACGTTCAGGGCGAATGCACCGATGACACCGACGGTGAAGGTCATGATGGCAAGGAAGATGAAGAACCTGAAGACGTCAACATCTCCGTGGACGAGGTCTACACCAGAGCCGTCCTTGTACGCGGTGGTGTCAGCACCCCGGTAGACGAAGAACTTGACCAGCACGCTGTACCAGATGCCACTGAGGCCAAACGCGGCTATGGGCACGGCAAGCATGATTCCCTTGTGCTTGCTGGTAGCGTAGTTCTTTGCACTTGTCGTTACGGCGGAGAAATACATGCATCCTGTGGCCGAGCCGATGACAGCATAGGCCATGACCATGACGCCGAAGGGCCAGCCGGCGTGGTGATGATTATGCTGCTGCTGCTGTAGGCTGAGGGAGCCATCCGCGAGGCCAGCCGAGTCAGGCGGCGGCCCTGACCTGTAGGCAAAGGCCGCGAGCAAGTATCCGGACCCGAAGAGGATGGCGGAGATGGAGGAGACGAGCGAGGGCCTGACTCTGTCGCAGAGGTACCCGAACAAGGGCGCTGTCAGGTACATGAGCATCTCGGCTGTCACAGCGATGACATTGACCCTGAACTGGGTGTAGTGCAGGCGAGTAAGGAGGAGAGGCCCGTAGAGCGAGAAGGCCGCTATTCCTCCTGCTGAGAGGCTGTACATACATACACTGTTAGCTGGGGATGTTCTCCATATGTTCCAGGGCAAAACGTACGCGCTGAGGACGCTGGAGACGAAGGCAACTATACGGACGATGTCCTTGCTCGTCCATGTCTGCCTCTCTCTCTCGTCTGGTCCATCGCCGGCCATGCTGCCGCCGTCCTCGCTTGCTGTGTCTTCTGCATGGTCGTCGGTCCGGAGGAGCCGTCTGTCTGCCATCTTTGTCCAGTCTGTTGATGGTCTTTCTCTCTATGCCCCTCTATGTATATATATATATATATGAAAAAAAAAAAGGTCTCCCCCCGCTATCCTGGACTCTGTGACTTGGTCATGCCGATGTGCTTGTCCTGGTCGTGGTTGTTGATGCGGATGACTTTATTATTACATAGCAACATTGCAGGTACAAAGCAGCGAGTAGCAAGACAAGCCACAGGGACATCCCAAGCCTCATCCATAACTAGTGTATGTGACTAGTACACTAGTGATAACTGTGCAGTTAGTCCTTACTCCTGTATAGACACTATATATACCGTAGCTATATTATGACCAGATATAGGAGACGAGGGTGAAACCGCCGCTTCACACCGCCTGGAGTGCCTCAGGGAGACCTGATGAAGCCTCTGAAGGGGAGCATCTGGATGCGAGAGGCCGCCGCTGATAGGCGCAGAAGAGATGCATGCATAGGAGTCTATCGTAGTATGCTATGTATATCGCTCACGGTGATGTCACTGGCAGGCCCGATATACACGGGCAGAAACACTCTGTACAGCGCAGGATAGCCCTCTCCTCTCTTCTCTTTTCCTTTTTGGTAGATGTCCAGATGTCCTTGGTAGATGCCCATGAAAGCCGTGCGGTCATGTCGAAGTAGCCAGGTTGGCGTCCATGGTCTTCACGCTCTTCCACCATCATCAGCACCCAGGCACTCCGTGAGCCTGTATGTAAGAATGACTTACATATGTGCTCCGTAGCACCCACACACCCACACACACACGCACTCATATCCACTGCCGCTCTTGCAGGTTGGCTCGTCAAGGCCTGGCCAGGCACGTTCTGGGATGATTGGCGCGATGAAGTGCTGGGCTATGGAAAGGTACTTCCTCCGCCATATATCGTTTGCCCAGTCATCAAGTACCTCCCCATCGACTCGCATCATCGAACACCAGGATCGCCAGAACTCGAAACACGTTGCGCAGGAAGCTCTCTTTTCTTGTCTTGTCTCTCTCTCTTCTCCTTCTTCCCTTTACCCTTTTCTGTCTCTTCTTCGTCTCTTCTCCTTGAAATACCCTGTTTCTTCTCTCTGCTTCTTCTTCTTCTTCTTCTTCCTCCTCCTCCTCTTCCTCTCCCTGTTTCTTCCTCCTCTCTTTCTCTCTTATTCTTCTTCTGCCAGGGCTTCCGGCAGACCACCGTCTCCCTCTTCTCCCATCTCCATCTTCATCCCTTTATCCATTCTTCCTTGTGTGGCGGTGTCTCTGGCTCGTACTTTGATACTTCTTCTTGCTCCTCCACCTCTTCCCACCCACTTCTTTCCACTTCACCCTCGTCTTCTCTTTTGCTTCTTCCTCTTCACCCTCTTTTCTTATTCTCCTCCCTCTTTGCTTCTTCTTCCTTCTTCTGGACCATGGCTGGCTTCGGCCTTCCTCTTCTTCCTCTTCGTCTTGCTTGATGCTTTTTCTTCTTTTTTTCAACTATAAAACTTCCTGCTTAGTCACCCTTACATCACGTGACTGCCTTTTTCCGTTTCTTTTTTTTTCTCTTCATAAGAAATAAAAACAACCGAAGAAGAAGAAGAAGAAAAGAAGAAGAGAAGAAGAGAAGAAGAGATACCGGAAAAGAAAAAAGAAAAGAAAGGGAAAAGAAAAGAGACTCGCTTCCCTCATTGTCTGGTCGGCGCTGCAGGAAGACCATCACATCTTGCCATCCTATCCTCTCTCTCTCTCTCTCTGGCCCTTCGTATCCTGCTCTATAACTATCGTCCAACCATATCAACCACACCTCCTCGACTGAATATCCGATATCTGCCATTGAAACGACGCAGGAGGACATACTATAGATAGACAGCTGGTCGCCAATGTCCTCCTCATGTCAACCTCCGCTTTTGCTTCCGACCACCGCGCTCCGGAGCCCAGCGCGTCCTCACAGCAACAGCAATCGCCTACATCTGCACCACCCATAGACTCACGCCTCTCTCCCTTCTCCGCCCCGTCCAAGTCGGTTCCTCCCTCGCCGCCGCAGACTCCCCTCATAAAGCCGTCGGTGGTGCCCCCGTTGCCCGAGGGTCACCAGCATCCGACCCTTAAGCGGACCAACACCTGTCCCGGTCCTGCTCCTACCACTGCCACTTCCGTCTTCTCATCTTCTTCAAGAGCGTCTGCGAACCAGTACGGCTCTCAGTCACCCCAGCTGACGGAGCGGGACTCCATCTTTGCTACCCATTATCTTCCGTCAGAGGAGGTCGACCAAGGTAGCCCAGCCGAGGACGAACACCAGGAACATCACCAGCCGGACCAGGAGAAATACGACTTTCGTCCTAGTCAGGTTAATAGATATGTTAGCTCGCTCTCATCGTCTATCGGTTCGGCACGATGGCAGCCAGCTCCTACTCCAGAACCAACTCCAGATGACCGCATGACCCATCAGTTCCCGTTGCCAACCCGTTCGCGCACCGTAGCCGATCTCTCCTCCCTCTCTCACCATCACAGCAACAACGACATCAGCAACAACAGCAGCAGCAGCAGCAACATCAGTTCCGGCATCCCACTCACATTCGACCGTCTCTCCCCACGGCCATCCCCTATATTCCGCCCCCAACCTGGTCCAAACAGGGGCCGAGATCAGAGCCAGGACCAGGACCAGGATTCCTCTGGTACTGACACAATGGCTCTCCTCGCATCCCGGGACCTTAGTTCTCACCATGACCTCATGCGTGGGCGCGCCTCCCGAGTCGAAAAGTCCATCGAAGCTAGTTTGGCCAACGTCGATCCCAGCGCCAATGTTCGCTCCCGCAAGTCCAGTCACTACCTAGGCCTTTTCAAGGAGAACACTGGATCACCAGAACGGAGAAAGAGTATTGCACCAGACCTCGCAGCCCTAGACGAGCTCTCCGGCACAAGACCGAACAGATCGGACGAATCACCAACTGCCGTCCCCAAAGCATTGCTCGAGGAGATACGGAGGCACCGGGGAAGCACTGCCAATGGAGCACTGCCAGGGCTACCCAGGACAATTCCATCTCGTGACACACGCATGCTCTACCCTGGTCACACGCTCGAAGGCTTCTCCCCAGACTCGGATTTTGCTCCTCGGCCAGGCCTTGCCGAATCGGTGTTTGAGGACGACGATGAGGAAAAAGAACGCATCTCCTCTGCGCTCTACTTTCCCCATCAACGGCCGCTTGAGGCAGACAAGGATAAATTGCAGCCGGAACAACCATTCTCATCTTCCCCGGCCAACCTAAAGTCCCCCAGCGAGGCCAACCTAGTCGACATCTCCCTCTTCTCAAAGAGTGAGAAGAGTGTCTTCACTGGTGACCTGCGCAAGACCATCACCGAGCCCATTGAACCATCCGTTCCGCCAAATGCCTCTGTCGTGGTCGAACCAGCTACCGATGTCTCCGAGTCTGACTATGTCTCTGCCTCCGAAAGCTACGCTTCCACCACCCACGACGAACCCGATGACGACGAGCTATCCTCCCATGACGAGGCTGCAACAACCCCTCGCGGTACTCCTCGGCCACGCCACCAATTCAAGCACCCGCACTCCCACCACATACGGCCGCCTACTGCACCCCTAGGTGCCGTAGAGCTGAAGCCATATCGCCATCAGGTCGGCGGGCACACTACGGTCTTCCGTTTCTCCCGGCGTGCAGTATGTAAACAGTTGAACAATCGGGAAAATCAGTTTTATGAACGTATCGAGAGAAGACACCCGGAAATGCTAGTGTTCCTAGCTAGATACATCGGCGTGCTTAACGTGACTTTCTCCAAGGGCACGAAAAAACCGAACAGGAAGGAGAGTAATGGCAGTAAAGGCAACACAGCCCCAGCAGAGCCTGCGGCCAAGTCTACAGCCGTTGATGCCCAAACCACCACCACTCCCATCCCACCAAAACGCAGCGATACTGGCAAGTCGAATGGCCAACGTATCTTCAGCCAGTCCCAGGTCACTGGCATAATACCGAAGGTCATCCTCGAGAACAACCGCCACATCATCCCCTTTGACCTCTTCATGACCCCCCATTCGACCAAGAGCACCGGCGGCAGCGGACAGGCTACACCCTCCCAATCCCACTGCGGATCCCTCGATGAAGTCTCGGCAAACCTCACCTGCTCATCTAAGTCGACATCAGAACTCAACGGCGAGACTGACAAGGTAGAACAGATGACATGGGGTGCCACCACGGTTAACACGAAACTCCAGGAACAAGTCTTACGTGAAGTCTTTATGCCTCCAACTATACACTCACATCATCAACGCCACCATCGAGGTGCTCGGAATATACCCAAACTACGACCGGGCACCTCTCTCCGGAAAGACTGCAAACCCTCATTCCTACACAGGGGGTGCAGTGAACTCTCCGTGTCTATTGCAGACAAGCCCACGCTTTCTGCTTCAGCTACTGCTGCCATAACGCAGGAGGCAGCACGAGTGCCCGGGCCATCGTCGTCGACGGAGACATTCTGGCTCGGGGCTAGAAAGGAAACGCAGTATGAGTACTGGACCGGCGATCTCATGTTCTACGAGGACGAAGGCTACGGAGGGGATAAAGAGGATGAAATATTCAAAATGGAAGACGACGTACGCCTATCCCCCAAGTCTAGCGTGAGTGGGAGTGGGAAGCTGACCCTTCCTGTGTCCCTTGGTACCTCTACAGGCGAGCCTGTACGCTTGCCCACCAATCCAAAAGAAGCTCAGACAACAACCACCAGCGAAGATCGTGTTCAGTTCTTCCTTCTTCTCGAAGATCTCACCGCTGGCATGAACAAACCATGTGTCCTCGACCTCAAGATGGGCACTCGTCAATACGGCATTGATGCTGACGAGAAGAAGAAGAAGTCCCAACGCCGCAAGTGTCAAAGTACCACGTCCCAGCAGCTGGGTGTCCGACTCTGTGGTATGCAGGTCTGGAACGTCACCAAGCGTGAATATCTCTTTGAAGATAAATATTTCGGACGTGATTTGTCCTCGGGCCGCGAGTTCCAGGACGCTCTTACTCGGTTCTTGTACGATGGATCAAGCTACAGCTCAGTCATTGGCAAGATTCCCATCATCCTAGACAAGCTCTCCCAGCTCGAAAGCATGATTGTGCGTCTGCCGGGATACCGTTTCTACGCCTCTTCTCTCCTCATCCTCTACGATGGTGACCGTTCGTCCCAGTCCTCCAAGGATGCCAAACCCAACACCATTTTTGAAACACATTCAAGCTCTTCTCTCCCCAACCCGTCGAACCTCACTCTCAAAATCGTTGACTTTGCAAACTGCGTCACCGGTGAAGACGGGATTCCTCCTTCGTCCCGCTGTCCACCCCATAACCCTTCTGATATTGATAGAGGGTACCTCCGCGGTCTACGAACATTACGTATGTACTTCCAGCGTATCCTACGCGAAGTCAGCTCTAGTGTTGGCGAAGGGTACGTAGAGCGTGGAGAAGGAGAGGCCCTCTCCGCTGCGCCATCCAGCATTGTTGGCGCTGGCAGGGAAAGAGGGGAGGCATGGGCATGGGATGAAGCCCTGGGCGAGCTAGAGGAGGGGGAGATCAGTGTATAACGGCTATACACGACGGAACATGACATTATATTTCAGTGCAAGATACCCCTCCCCACTCTGTTTTCTTTTTTCCTTTTCTTTTCTTTTGATTTCTCGTTTAATTCTTCCATCAACTTTTCTACCTATCGGCATGGGCACGGCACGGAAACAGGCGCCGGCGCAATCGGGAGCGAGGGAATTGACCAACGACCCAACCACTTAAAGACGGATACGGAGTTATTTACTTTGCATGTTGTTCTACCCTTTACTTCTTTGCTTATTCCCTTTCCCGCTAAGCAATTGTGTTTTGTCTAGCTTTTCCATTTTTCTTTTTTCTTCCACTCTCTTTACATCCCGTCTTCGTTCATCCGCTTGAGTCTCCGGGAATACTCATGGGATGGCGCAGCCCAGCGTTAGGCGAATGGCCATGGTAAACAAAAAGAAAAAAAAAAAAAACAAAAGGGATACACGTTGTTCAGCTTGTTTGGTTGCCTTTTTCTTATCATCCTTACTTCTACTTGACTCTTGACGACGGAGTTATGTTCCCACAGCTTGCTTACTTGCTTTCTTCTCAGCAGTTTCAAGGTTGAGGATTACCTTTATCACTTTTATAGCTTTATGAAATGGGGAGATGGAGTTTCCGGTGGTGTTTACTTTTTACCGCCGTTATTCGGTTTCCGGCTTTTTAATCGTCAACTGGTGACTTATTGAGTTGCTCTACTATCATCGGTATTGTGCTCCTCTTTAACTCGGTGTACGAGCAGGTGCTTTTCCCTTCTTTCACTTCTTTTGTCTTCTTTCTTTCCTACTGGGTTGCCCTTATGCCATGAGATGGGCTGATGGTTTATGGTATGGGATTAGTTGGACAAATAAAAAAGGTCGGGTGGTAATAAAAGTACTATCAGTTAGTATGTTTAGACAAAGATATACTATCCTCTGCTTATTCTATTACTTTAACAGTAATATGATGGATGGTATAAAGACTGAAACCGTACCTCCGTAAAACGATATATAATTGATCGCTTCAAATTACAACTCCTTTGCCTGCTGTTTGATTCCCTAAATGTATGCATGCACCCGTACCCATATCAGCCAGCTGCTATCCAAGCGGAATTCCACCCCCGTGCTCAAAAAGGAAGTAAAGAAGAAGTAGGAGAAGAAGAAGCCAGAGACAATATAATAAAACAATTGAAGAAGAGAAAGGACGAGAAAACGCCACACAATCCACCACCCAAAGGAACCCGAAGAGAAGAAATAATGTACCCCCTTATCCCCTCCCATTCCTTTTCTCCCATCCCTTTTCCTTCCTCCTCAGTACGCCTAGCTGTTCAAGTCGGTTCCAGACCCAGTCCTTTTTCACCCTCACTGCGCCTTCGTGGGCTTGGACATGTATATCGCCAGGACCGACATGCCCGCCGTCATCATCGTTAATTTCATCGTCATCCGGCGGACTGCTCTGCGGCAGGCCGTCGAGATACGTTAGCCGTCCTGACGTAGCGTTGTGGATCATAAGTTCTATTACCCGCCGCCGCAACCGGGTCGGCTCGTCTAGATGCGCTTGGTACTTCGCATCTGCGAATAGATCCGCGACGGGGACGGTGTACGGGTCGTCTACTTCTTTCTTGTTTTCATCCCCATTTTGCTCATCATGGCCGTCCAGGGGGGGGTAGTCGATGTAGTTGTTAGAATTGTAAGAGGGATGTCGAGTAATATCTCTGCCTCCCCCAATATATGGAAGAGACTTGTCATGGCTGTCTTCCTCAGTCTCATGTTTGACAAGTTCTCGTCGAACCTTATCCTCTGTTGTGTGCTTATAGTGTTGTCTTCCACTTCCTGACACTGGCGTCGGGTAGAAACCAATGGTGATCGGATTCCCTCGCAGATCAACTCTAGTCAATGAGCCGTACGCACCACCAATATCACTCAAAGTCTTGCAGAGACGCCGCAGTCGCGAAATGCGGTTGCCTACCAAAGACAGCCTATTCAGTCGTTTAATTCCCCCGAGGCCACTGATATCAGACAATGCGTTAAAATTGAGATTCAGAGTCTTTAAGTGAGAAAATGTCTCCCCAAACCGCCCATGTAGCTCTTCAAGCGTGCATGATGCCAGGTCCAGGAGTTGCAAGCTCAAAAGGGGCATATCCGGTGTGAGCGTAGACGCAGAGAGAAAGTTTGACGAAAGGAATAATTTGCGGATTGAGGATAGTTTGCCCAAATTAAGATTCACAGTCATAGGTTTAGCGTAGCAGGCGCTGCTGGAGCCTTTGGAGGGTATAGTTTGCTCTCTCATGGAGAGTGTGTCAATAAATCGGCACTCATCTAGCTTTTCTACTGTGCTCAGATGGTTACAATCGATATATAGCACACGCAATGACGGGAAAGGCGATACATCAAGATGATTGAGGCGGTTGCCTGACAGCTTGAGGATCTTTAAGTGGCGAAGAGGTCGATGTACAATAAATTCTTGCATCCGGTTCTTTCGCAAGTCAATAAACTCAATCCCTTGCATGCCATCGACATTCTGCACGCTACAAATGCCATTCTCGCTCAGATCCAGTTTAGTCAATCGAATACTATCCATTGTTAGCCATATCCTTCGCTTAGACGATATCCATACTCACAGATCAGCATGCTTAAAGTCAAGAGAAGTCAATAGATTATTTGCGACTTTAAGCGTTAGAAGCCCGTCTAGGCCAAAAATTCCCTTGATGCAAGTGAGCTTATTATGGCTAGCATTCAAGCTCCGCAGGTGGTATAGGCCGGATAGCCCATGGAGATTGTCCAGCCCATTACCAGATATATCAAGGTATTGGAGGTTGGACAGATGGCTCCATGAGGTCAGACCAGAAAGACAGTTATATGGCGAATCGAGACTTCGGACTGTTGCGGGAATCCCTTTTAACTGGCCAAGTTTATTTTCCCCTACATCTAACTCTTGTAGTTGCGGACAATATTTGTCTAGCTGATGAAGTGTTAAAAGTCCCTTGCCACGCAAGGTCAGCCGACGCATCTGCTCCCAATATGCTTCATATGGCTCGGCGTCTGTGATGTGTTGCACAATGTCCTCGGCAGCCAATGCCAACTTTCCGTGCAGTTGTCGTAAAGCCCGAGGGTTTGCTCGTTTGGCAATATAACTAGTTTCACCTCTCATGGACTCGTCAACCTGATTCACTGTGAACTCTGACAGGGGACTAAGGTGAAAACTGTAGTTGCTCGATTCCGGGTTAGGCGGAGCAAGCATAACTGATTGGTCGATATCAACTGCTGAAGGTATAACAGAGGTATCGAAATTTTGTTCCTCGCCTTGCTCATCGATTGATTCTTCTGTGCCTTCCTGAATGCAGGAGAGTTCAAAGCCATCTTGTTCGGGTAACGGAATGTTATGTGGTAGGATGTTTCCCAAGGGGCTCTGGACAGTAGCATCTGATATCCATTCATGAGCTTCTTGGGTATGTTCGGAACATAGTTCATCTTCGCCCTGGTATGCAATTCCGGAAACCAAGGGGGAAGAAAAGGTGATCGTGCCAGCCCGTGTACGGCCATCTGATTCTTGTAGTGGAGCGCATTCTTGAGGAAGGATTTGATGTTTATCAAGATTATCTTTATGGGTTTGGAATTCTTCCGATCCCCAAGAGGTAGCTCTAGTTCCTGGCTTAGGGACACTGACGGTAAACCGAGTGTATTTCGACTGTACAGAACTCGACTCAGACATCGGATTTTGGGCGCTTTCCTGAGTTTGTGGGCGAGGGTTGTTCTCAGTTGGGACAGGGGCTTTTTTCTCGGGCTCTGATTGGAGAGATCCTTCTGGGAATGAAGGTGAGGAGTAGTATACACCCTCTCCCGGCATAAGGCCGCGGGCGACGGCAAGTTCCTTTATCTCATCGACACTAAGATCGGATATGTCCCTAAATGGGTCGTCCTCGCTGGCGGTTTGGGAGCGATTAAGAATATCTTGATCCGATTTGGCCCTGTTCTTTATCCAGCACTGGGTATTTCGGTCAAATATCATCTTTCCAATGTTTTCTGGGATTAAGTGAGAAACCCGATCCGAGGATATGACCCCTTTTGCACCAGAACTGCTGGCAGAGCCCTGAGAAAAGCCCGTAGGAAGGCTTGTGGTTGATTTTTGGCTTTTCAACGACTCCTCTCGCCGAACCATCTGATCACAATGCTGCACTTTGCGGTAGATATTGGACCGTATTCGGATGTTCTCAGGGCTGCTTTCCGCCGTACCACCGAAATATCCAGTATTTCGATGAGACGACTGGTTCGTGAGCGGTCCATTCTGCTGTCCGAATCTGAAGGATTCGACAGAAGCCCCCATCCCAACATCGAATTCATCCTTCTCCTCAAATTTCTTTAAGTGACTGATAATCCTTGGGTTCTGCGGGGGCATTTCTCTTAGTTTCCGTAAGTCAACACCGTCACGACTAGGGGGTCTCGAAAACTGTTCTTCACTAGATTCATCACTGTACAGAGCAGAATCATCCTCATAGATGGTCTGGTAACCCTCATTCCGCCGGGTGGAGCCGCTTATTGGCCCCCCCTGGGCTCTAATATGGTCCATTACTTTAGAAGCCTCGTTATAGTATTCCTGGGTGGTTATTGAGCCTTTCCTTGGATGGTCTATATGGAAAATAAAACTGGCATCGGGACATGTAGATATTCCCTGCGTTTCACTCCCCATGAATACGGATTGATTGCTTATTGTGATAGGCCGTTGATCACTGGGTGTCGGTGCGGCTGGTCTTGAAAAAGAGGGTAAGCGTTGCTGACCTATCCCTACACCTTCGATAAGGGAAGGATTTGAGAAAGGTCCAGTAGAATCCAGGATAGACTCATCCCAGACTTGATCCTGGCCTGGGAGAACGTGCAGCGTCCTCCTCCTTTTGGAGACTGTGATTTTCGACGACCGTTTCAAGCTTCGTTTAGCCTCAGTTTTGGACGGGGGAGATAACTGTCTCTCGTGGGTATGTTGTGGATTGTTATTTTCTTTATTTCTAGGAGAATTGGGTACGTGGAGGGGGTTTTGAGACTGCTTATCCTCACTTGTAGCATGGCTTGGTCTGGAGTTATTGGTCCTGGAAGATAGTTTGGGTATTTCGTCTGGGGCCATGTCCTCGCGCTCAGCATCGAGGCCGCTTGCATCATCTACGTTCGAAGCGTTGGCTGCTTCAAATTGGCTTATTCGCCGCAGGAGTTTGTTGCTCGTGTAGGTGTCATGGTTTCCAAATAGCTTCAAAGGACTTCCAGATGATGACGGTCTAGGCTTCGTGCTCTCCTCTTGAAGTTCTTCCTTATGCTCCTGGGGAGCATAGAGGCGGATTGACGGCGGCGTTCGTGGAGTAGGAGGTACTGGCTCTTGTTCTAAAATCGAGCCTTGATCAAGTGGAGGATGCGAAGATGAGCTTAGCGCCCGTCCGCCAGGCAAATTGTAGTCCGAATTGTCGCCTTGACGTGTTGTGGCCAAGTCGTCGGCGGACGCGAAATCCTGGGTACCCATAGATAGGCCCTCCGGTAATGATATTGAAGTTAGATTCTCGGCCTCAAGTTCGATATTTTTGTCCGGTAGGTGACCGTCACTGAACGTAGACATGTTTTCCAAACGCGTCGGACTTCGGCTCGTGCGTTTGGGCAGCGAGATGGAACTGGTCTCGTTGTCTCGTGTTATACCGATGTGGCTGCTAGAATTCAGTCTCGAGTTGAGCTCGAGGCTCAGGGAGGATAGGTGTTCTCGTAGAGGTTCGACGCCTTCGAGCTGATTTTTGAGTGGAGTGTAGGGCCTGCCGTCACCACCGATTATTACCTCCGACATGTGTTCCATCCAGGACGTATCGTTCCCTCCCGCGTTAGAACTGCGAAAAGTGCTGCCGCGGCTCCTCTGGCTCCTTCGACTCTTCTGGCTGCCGCTCACTCTCTGGCCTTGGAACGGCCTGCGCGAGGACACGCTTCGGTCTTGAGGGGCGGCGCCATCAACGGGCGGGATCGAGAGATGGGATTGGAACTGCAACTGCGACTCTGATAGCGATGGCGGCCTGAAGACGGTCTCCAGCCCCATTGGGCCGAACAGGTCGCTCGGCTCACCGAGCGCGCGTTCTCCCCTGATAATTCTCCTCTTCCACTCGGGGGTGGTATTATTATCATTATTGGCGACTCCTTCGCTCCGTGATTTGATCTGCATGGTCGCATCGCCGTCGCTCATTCTGTTAATCGTGGAGTACTGCCCCAAGCGGTGGCTGTGGGGTTCGTTGCTGGCGATGGAGATGTCGCGATAAGGCCGTGGAGAGGGAGTGGGAGAAATGTCAGCATAGCCAACATCGTCGTCGCCAGGTAAGGGCGAATTGGTCGCAGATATAACCTCTTGCGATTCCCAGTCGTCGTCCAGCCCGTCCAGCCACGGTTCCGCCATTCTACTTCTGTTCTGCTGCTGGTGATGGTCGTCTCGCTACCTCGCGGCCACGTAATATTACTTGGAGATGTTCAAGCGACGCGCTTCCTGCCCCTGAAATAGTAGTCATATCAATACGGTATGCAACTCCGTAAAAAATTCAACAAGCGAAGGGAAGGGGGGGAATAAATTCAATAAACAACATAAAAAAAAAAAAAGGTAATCCACACTGCATCCCCCGAAGCGACCAAAAAACGAGATAGAATAAGTTAATATAAATTAATGCTTGTAGGAAGCAAGATAAATAAACAAGCGAAGATGGGCTGCGTCCACCAGCCACAAGCTCGCTGGTAATTTTTTTTTCCTTGGTTTGTTTTCCTTGGGGTGAAACTTGGGCCCGCAGATCGCGATCGTTTCCTTTCTCTCTCTCTTTTCTTTTCCTTTCTTTTTTTTTCTCTTCATATAAAAAACCTCGAAATCTAAGACGATAAACAATTTTCTAAAGGAGGTTTAGTGCATGGGCGCTTAGTAAGTCACGTGGTACTTCTATTTTTGTCACTTTCTTTTATGCTTAATTTCATTTTTATTTTGACGACAATTTGAAAACGCTTCAAAAAGATCAAAAGTAGATGGAATTAGGAGCCATAAGAGCTCGAGACTGGAATAAGTGGATGTTGAGGTGTTTTTGGTTGGTAAGTTGTGTTTACTATCCTTGTCGCTACACGTCTTCAGGTGCCAAGGGCTGTCTTGGACTAATGCTGAAACTTGGACTTTGCAGCCTCAGCTTCTCCTTATCCCTTCGTGCCTCTCATTTTTTTTTTTTTTTCGTACGCATTTCGGCACACAACACTCAGGCATCCTTATAACCGTGCAGGGGTACTAGCTGACGCTCTTTGAAGCAAGGCAGCACCCGCAGCACCCAGACAACCACAGCCTCCCACGTCCTGTGGCGCGTATGGGACAACCTTAAAATCATTACCTACATACAAACATAGCATAGATTTCTGCTTACAACTTACATCGTGGATATCTGCCTTCGCCATAGAGAGCTGTGAGAATAAGTGCGGTCTGCTATCTATATCCCGTCATCTACCTTTGTGGCCTCTTGCAAATGCACTCCCAAATAATCCAAGTGCTGTGTCTGCTGCTCAGAGACCAGCCTGTACTCCGTGGGCACCTATTGAATTCCCCCCTTCTTGGTTCACGATAATGCCCACCAGACTCCCGGATTCGTCTATAACATCGATATCGTTCGACCCGCTATCTCCCACCTCGTCGGACAGCGAAAGTGACCGAGACGAGGCTGCCAGAGCAGCGAAGAGACGGAGGATCGAACAAGTGGCACGGGATTACTTGCAAGGGCAGCCACCGTTCATTTTAACGGCTACGCTCAATGGACCATTCGATGATGGCTGGGTCAATCCCTGGCGGAAAGTGCGCAAACAACAGCTGGTGTCGCCTCTGCAAAATACGAAAATTCCCACTCCACAACCTGTCGTGAGACAGCCAGCTCCGAAAACACTTCAGGGAACTCCCAGCTTAATTCTCCCCACGGATTCATACCAGAGGCGTAGCCCTGTTGATGGATCTCAGCCTCGGCGGATAGGCGCAAATCTGGGCAGCCGCAGTAACTCAGGACATTCCTCGAAATCAAGGTCTACCGACGCATCAAGCTCACGCCTGAAAAAAGACAAGACTGTTCTTCAACGCCCGCCAGATGAGCCTCCAAAATCTTCTAGTCCCTCACCTTCAGCCAGGCTATACAGATCGCGGGTATCAAAGCGGTCGTCGGAACGATCGCAAGCAAGCTCCTCGCCTCCCCACCGTGCGGGTACACGCTCCAGCCGGGTTATTTGCTGTCGAACCCTCAATTTTACAGCAATTAATGCACCTTCTTCTACTAGTGCACTTGTTGAGGCTGCTCAAGATGCCTCCGTCCATAACAAGCAAAAGGCCAGTCTCAAATCCTGTTTCGGAGAGAGTTCAGTTGTGTCGGAGAAATTACTGCACAAACCTAGTCAAAAGGCATCACTTCGCCTATCTGAAGATTTAAGCAAGGCTACACCTCCTACAGAGCCAGAGCTATGCAAGAACAATCAATATGGAGCTGATATATCTGCTTCTACTACAAGCAGCACTCTCAAAGCCACAAACAACTCATCATTTGAGAATGCTGCTTCAGCAAGGGATATTGACCCTCCGGGAAGGAACAAGACAATCACCAAAGAACCCCAGAAAGCTAATATTACGTGTAATACATTCATTCTCCCACCGAGCCAGAGAGAAAATGAAGCACGGAAAACGGGCTCTACACTTCCGGACCAGGATTCCGAAACCATGCCAGCAGCCCAGATAGTTCCCACCATCTTCACACCACCACAGCTCACACCATTTACATCAGCGGACCTACTTCAACTTCCGTTCAATCAGAGCAACGACTCTGCTATGAACGGTGGCCCACCGAATAACGAGGCCCGCGAGAACGATCGGTCTCAAGCTTCAGCCCTGGCCACACAGGGGTCTGCGACGAATGATAGCGCATGCCCCCCACCCTTGAAAGAAGTTCGGCGGCGTCCTCCCAATCTCATTCAAAGGACTGCTTCCAGCAACTCGTTGCAGAAAGCTATAAAGCCATTCCGTTCATTCAATGGTGGTACCAGAGGTTTGGAGAAGAGATCCAAAGTTACGACACAGTCGAAAAATGCCCGGTTCGGTGATGAAGATATAGATATTGACAACCAGGCAAATGCACGGCGATCAAGCACGCCAAAAATACAGCAAGGAGCTCATGGGTTCGAGCGATTAGCGACACCTGCATCCTGTCCCGCCAGCTTGCGGCCACAGAAGATCAACCCTCCCGCTAAACCCTCCTCTCGGACTCTTCCACCTGGCTGCTCGCTGGTGGGGGAACGGGAGCACCCATCCACTAGACACTCATCAGGAACACCGATGTCACTCACAATGCCCATCAGTGGGCTTACAGATCTCTCGACGCAGCCAGATGGCCAAGGCTTGCTCGTCCTGCAAGAGAATTTTGACCTCACGGGAGCAATCGAGGATGCCGAGAGCTTCCTGCAAAGCTGGGATATCGAGCGGGACCGACAGCGGCTGCGAGATAATAACAACACAGCCAATGGCCTGAAACTGCCTGCCCCCAAGGTTTAGGCACGAGTGAAGATCAAGATGTGCTGGTCTACTTATGGTCCCATATGTAATATAATATTTTTTTTTGGGTCCTCGGAGCGTTCCTCATTTAAACTGCTTTGTATTATTTACCATGCATTATCAGCGTCAGCATCTGCACTCATATAGCCTATAGACTTGAAATGATGTCCTTTTATTGCATTATTTGGTAGCTCGTCTCGAGAAATCCCACGCAGAATTAACTTCCTGGCGGAGTGTAACTCCACAGAACAGGCCACAGCCACTTGCAAATTGTTTACAAGCAAGCTCCATCCTCGCCCGCTCATGATGTCACTATCGCCATCGGATCCGCCGGTCGTATGCCCGGCAGCCCTGCACTGCTACGTGTCGCAGCATGGAACTTGCCTTTCGCTTGGCAGGAAGGAGAGGAGGGGGAGGGGCAGCTTCTGATATGCTCTCATGCTTATGTATATAAACGTATATAAGCATATACTTCGTCCCGTATATATATATATATATATATTAATACATATCAATATATAGGAGTTCTTCTCTTCAACTCTTCCTCTCAAAACAAGCCAGTTTCTCTATACATTACCTATCCCAACACATCAAGTCAATAAAACCGTCACAATGCCTATCCCAGTTCCAAAGTCAGACAGTCTCAAGGACATGCTGAGCCTAAAGGGCAAGGTTGTTGTCGTCACCGGCGCTTCAGGTCCTCGCGGCATGGGTATTGAGGCAGCCCGTGGATGTGCTGAGATGGGAGCAGACGTCGCCATCACCTACTCCTCTCGTCCACAGGGAGGTGAGCAGAACGCCAAAGAGCTGCAGCAAAAGTATGGCATCAAGTGCAAGGCCTACAAGTGCAACGTCGGCGACTGGAACGATGTCAAGAACTTTGTCGACACCGTCATCAAGGACTTTGGCAAGATCGACGCCTTCATTGCCAACGCCGGCCGCACTGCCGACAGCGGCATTCTCGAGGGCTCTGTTGAGGCCTGGAACGAGGTCATCCAGACCGACCTCAATGGCACATTCCACTGTGCAAAGGCCGTGGGTGCTCACTTCAAGGAACGTGGCACTGGCAGCTTTGTTATCACCTCCTCCATGTCCGGCCACATTGCCAATTTCCCCCAGGAGCAGACCTCCTACAACGTCGCCAAAGCCGGTTGCATCCACATGGCTCGCTCCCTAGCCAACGAATGGCGAGACTTCGCCCGCGTCAACAGCATCTCTCCCGGCTACATCGACACCGGCCTGTCTGACTTCGTCGAGAAGAAGACCCAGGACCTCTGGCTCTCCATGATCCCAATGGGCCGCAACGGCGACGCAAAGGAGCTCAAGGGAGCCTATGTCTTCCTCTGCAGCGATGCCAGCACCTACATGACCGGTGCTGATATGATCATCGATGGAGGATACGTCTGCCGATAGATCTGAACCTCACTTCTTTTGGGTGATGACCATTGAGCAAAAGGAAAGGAAACACACACCACTCGGGAAATCCGTGTGTAAAAAAGCATCAGAATGTATCTAGTTCTTCGTCAGCACAAAGTAGGTAGTCAAATACATATCTTGTCGGCGTGTTTGCAGCTTCGTCGTACCTTGTAATCGTTTTATCTTGACTAGATTCCTCGTAATTAGTTAACTAGTTGAGTTGGGTGGAAGTTGGTGATGACTTCAACCTCCCAACTTCAAACCCTCCAAAACCACTGCAACTCCCGCTCAATGGCGCAGACAGAGCGGACATGGCTTTGACCTCGGTGCGTATACGGTCCCTGACAATATGGGAAGAAGCTAACAGAAACTGTTCGCTGGATTTTAGTGGAAGACCTTCAACTTTTTTGACGTCTCGCAGGTTGAGTTCGTCGACGGCGAAGGCAGCTCCATCTTCACCGTATGCAACTCGTTCCCTCCCTATAACTTGTTGAATCTCGGCTAAATATCCATCTGCTGCATTAGAATGATATAAGCTGCGTCTGTACTGGGTCGGATAACCTCTTTGTCGGCACTACCAATGGCGCCGTCCACATCCTATCGAGGGCATACAAGGTCGTCCGCTCGTTTCGGGCGTACGATGGAGGTTCAGTCACCCATATGAGACAGGTTCCCTCGACCTCATACCTAGTTACCGTCAGCGAGGATTTGTCCAACGAGCCGGTCTTGAAGGTATGGGCCCTCAACGAAACCGAGAAGAAGACAGGAGGGCCCCGTTGTCGGTCGACGAAATCTATTCAAAACAAGTTAAGGCAGTTTCCGGTATGGCGATGAATACTCTCCATGCTCTTCAAGCAAGTGTCGAGAAACTAATATATCTAGCTATAGATATCTGCCTTAGCGGTCCTTGACGACCTCTGGCAAGTTGCCATTGGCTTTGCCAACGGATCTGTAACTCTTATTAGAGGCGACCTCATACACGACCGGGGAGCCGAACAGCGGATAGTGTTTGAATCAGAAGAACCCATTACCGGCCTTGAGATCCAACGATCCGGTCCAACGACTCTATTCATAGCTACCACGAGCCGCATACTCTCTCTAGTGATCGGGGGGAAAGGGGATGGAAAACCAGCCCGTGCTCTGGAAGACCTGGGCTGTGGCGTTGGGTGTATGGCATTCGATCAGGATACCGGTGACATCCTCGTTGCCAGAGAAGACGCGATATATACATACGGTCGAGGAGGACGAGGGCCGAGCTTCGCTTTCGATAGCCCAAAAACCTCCGTTGACGTTTTCAAGGATTATATTGCGTTGGTCTGTCCGCCTAGAGCAGCACTGTCGAGAACGGAAACCGTCAGGAGGTTCGGGGCGAGCCAGGTAGATGACATCTTCAATACCTCTACACTAACCCTCTTAGAGTCAGATCTGAGGTTCATTGGGCACTCAGAATCTCTTTCTACCAGTGTTAAGTTCATATTCATGGAATGGGGAGACCTATTCATTGTTACAGTTGATGGAAAGGTATGTCATTCACCCTTATTCCCTTATATCTCTGTACTTACCGACATTTTCTGCAGGTCAATCGATACCACGAGAAACCGCTTCAACAGAAGCTAGAAATATTATACCAGAGAAATTTATATATACTGGCCATCAATCTTGCGCAGAAGTCAGGGGTCGACAAACTTCAACAAAATGTAATCTTTCGAAAGTACGGCGATTTCCTGTATCAAAAAGGAGATTATGATACGGCCATGCAACAATACCTACGGGCAATTGACAATACGGAGCCATCCCATGTCATCCGCAAGGCGCGTTTATTTCGCTCTTCCCCCATCTATAAGCTTATATCTAACTTGCTAACAGTTCCTTGACACACAACGGATCCATAACCTGATTGACTATCTTGAAGAGTTGCATGATCACGACAAAGCCACAGCAGATCACACAACATTGCTTCTAAATTGCTATGCGAAGCTCAAGGATACTGAAAAACTAGACTCTTTTATAATGGCTCCTGGAGAATTGAAATTTGACCTGGAAACAGCTATAGCCATGTGTCGTCAAGGTGGGTACTATGAACAAGCAGCATACTTGGCTACAAAGCATGGCGAAAGCGACATGGTGGTCGACATCTTAATTGAAGACTCAAAGAAATACCCCGAAGCTCTTAGATACACATGGAGCCTCGAGCCGGACCTTGTAGGTTTCAACCGATTTTCTCCGCCTTACTGCCAGATAAATTGTTACTAACCTCTGGCTTCAGGCGTATCCGAATCTGATGAAATATGCCCGGGTATTGCTTGAGCACTGCCCGGAACAAACGACAAAGCTATTTATTAACTACTACACCGGGAAATTTCAGCCTCAAAAGCAAGACGAACGACCTCCAGAAAACAAATCACAAGCTACGGGAGGCGCCGTCCAAAATCTTGCGTCATTTATCCCTCTTCCATATATAGGAGGCTCTAAACAACAAGACAACGGGGTCACTTCCCAAGCTAAACCAGAACCCGAGGTTGCTGCTGAACCGCCTTCGCTGGCTTATGAAGTGCCAAAACCCAGGACTGCCTTTTCTTCTTTTGTTGATCATCCCGACCAGTTCATTACCTTCTTAGAACACTTAATTGAGTGGGATGGGTTGAGGGACGAAGACAGAGTTGACTTATACACTACTTTGTTTGAGATGTATCTGGATACGGCAAATCGCAAGAAGGTGCCTTCTGAGAAGAAGGAATGGGAGTCAAAAGCAAAGTCTTTGATACAGGGCGAAAATGTTGGTATCATCTAGTATCCCTGGTCCCTTTATCATTATTAACTCTGTATAGATTCCTGTATCTGCGTCAGATGTTCTTCTTCTTTCCGACTTGTCAAATTTCCATGAAGGGACAACCTTAGTCCGAGAAAAGGAAGGCCTCCGAGCCGATATCCTGCGATCATATATATCAGCCAAGGATACTCAAGGCGTGATAAAAGCTCTAAAGAAATATGGACCCGAAGAACCACAGCTATATATTGACGCCTTGACATATTTCGCCTCTAGTCCAAAGATCTTGGAAGAAGCTGGTGGTGAAATGGATGCAGTTCTTCAAACCATCGACCAAGATGGGCTGATGGCCCCTCTACAAGTAATCCAGGCATTTAGCAACAATTCCGTGGTAACTATGGGAATGATCAATAAATATCTCAGTGACAATATTGAAAGAGAAAGAAAGGAAATTTCCAACGTTAGTTCCCTTTATTTACCCATTACTGCCTAATTGTATAAATAACAATGCTAACCTGGGCCTGCCTCAGAACCACCGCTTAATATCTAGTTATGCAAAGGAAACAGAGTCCAAAAAGCAGCAGATGGAAGAACTCGGCTCCAAGCCGACAGTCTTTCAAGCTCGCCGCTGTTCCTTCTGCGGAGGGAACCTTGACCTCCCTATCGTTCACTTTCTTTGTAAACATTCCTTCCACCAACGATGCTTAAATACTACCAACGAGGATGTGGAATGCCCTGTTTGTGCTCCACATAACTCAACCCTCAAAGCAATCCGTGAGAGACAGATCAAAGCTTCCAGCCAACATGAGCTATTTCACTCCGAGTTACAGCGTAGCAAGGATCGGTTTGGACTTATTAGCGAGTTCTTTGGCAGAGGGGTTATGAAGCCGAATAATACTGAGTAGTATATGCCATGGAACTCCTGACTCTTGTCTGTACTGTTTATTTCACGAATTGAACGGATTAGATACCCTTATAATTTTAATGATTTTTTTTTTTTTAGCGGTGCTCTGTTAAATTGTCTACTGTCCGTACTATAGTGGGAGCAGCGCCGTTGTGGAGTGCATACCGCAAGCTCGATTTCTTGGATATTCATTCGACTCAAAACAACCCATCTATATATATTATACAGCCAGAGAACTTATAAAAAGGAGACGATATTGAGATTCAGGCTATACGGCCCCCACCATCAAAAGAGGTACCATTCAAGAACCCGGGCTGGGGGGGAGGTGGAGGGGAGAGGATAATTGTGTATGTATAATGGTGTTACCGCCATAGTATCAGGAGGCACACTACTTTGGTTGGCTTCTCTAAGCCACCTTCTCCATAGGTTTGTGATGCTGCCTGGCATCTAGCTCAGGATAATATGGTAAATTCCAGCCGTGAGCATTCTCATTTGACCACCGTGCAATAAGATCGGGGATGCGAAGGATGCATAGAAGCCATACAAAGAAATGGAAAAGACTGATCCCCAGCTGCGTCTGAGGTAGGTAGTACTGTATGGATCCTCGATTCAGTGCTTGAACATCATTGACAAAAGGTCGTAGTTTCTTATCATAGTTTGCAAAAGCTCGAGGCAAATTGTCGGCGTGTCGGTTGATCTCGCCAGCCAAAACATAGGCACCAACAAGGCCAACAGTTGTTCCAAGTCCAGTGAACGGGGATGGACAGTACCCGGCATCCCCCACCAGAACAGCCCGACCCTTATACCATGTACTTGTGCGGACTTGAAGTGCCTCCTCGCAGTAAAAGGACCATGTGGTCTCCAAGCCTTTGAGAAACCGGTCAACCTGCCAGCCAGCATCATGGAACCTTTGGATAAAAAACTTCTTTTGCTGTACGATCGGGGCCCTGGGAAGGCTCCATAATTCTTTTGAGTTATCACGGAGCGCAAGATAAATCTGAGATTCTGCGGGACTATGGCTTCTTCGAAATAATGCCCGGCCGCCGGAACTGTGATAGGCAGTACTGATGTTGCCGTCCGTCTCTATACGGGGGATGAACCAATACGCCATAAGTACTCCTATTCGCCAATAAGGATCCGGGGCATCGAGCGGTAAGATAGCCTTCCGGATACGTGATCCTTGACCGTCTGCTCCGACTAGGAGATCGAATGTATCGGTTGTACCGTCAGAGAAACGGACGACTACCTCATGTTCGTCCTGATCGAAACTATCCACATGTTTGCCAAATATATACTCCACATCATTCTTTGTTGCATCATATAATATCCGGACAAGGTCTCCACGCATAATTTCATAATCGGACGTTAGAGACTGTGCGCCTTTGCCAGATTTGTTGGCATGGACAGTCCCCCAGACCTTGTTGTGAGAATCTATAAATTCCACGCCCATCTCGTCAACAGACCGGCTGCGGACGGCTTCAAGGAGCCCCATACGCCTAACGACCTCGATGCCCTGAGCTCGGAGATCTATCTGCGCACCCGAGGCCCTAAGAGCCGGGAAACGCTCGGCGACGGTGACTCTATGGCCGCAGGAGGCAAGCCAGTATGCCAGGGCAGGTCCAGCACAGCCACCACCGCAGATGAGAACCTTCAGCGAGGGCATGCTGGTGCATATGGTGCTTCTTAAACCTCTTTTTGTCCCTCGTTTCGTCCCTGGGGTATTTAGATAGCTGGATTTCGACAAAGATCTAGGGAAGAGGAAGAACAGTTATATATTAAGAATAAAACAGATAGATGAAACAAGCTGTGCAGAACATAATCCACAGACAACAAGGACAGGATGAAGGCACTCCCTTCCCCCTTTTAAATGGATCAAACAACGGTAGCCGGGCAAACACGTCACACATATACGATCTTCGGAGATATCCTGTTACTCCGAAAAGGCCGCGATAAGTAGATTATCCGGAAGGATTTCAGGAGGACGTTTAGGCCAACCTCCAAGCTACATAATGGATATCGCTCCTTTAACGACGGTATAATGCCCTGGCTTTAAGCTTCCCTGTGAGTTCTCCTTGTAATATCCGATATTACTTCGAATCTAACGCCTTTATAGAATACGCTTTATTTTCGACGATGACAGTGATATCAGCGTAGTTAACTATCAATAGGGGCTCAAGGGTAAATTTCTCTCGGATGTGTTGGATGAAATTCTGTCTCCATCACGCCAATTCCCGCGAACTATTCCCTGGATCCATTCAGCTATGATCCCTGTAGTCACTCACATTTTGTAATTAATTGTCGCCTTCCTATATATACCTAAAGCCATCAACAGGAAGCCGTTTTATCGAAAAATGGCATAGTGTGGCATGGATAGCGGAGATCTTCTTCTCTCAAGGGTTAAACACTCACCCAGCACCGAACAATCAGCTCGTCCAACCTCTGCACGCCGATGGAACCACGGTTATAGGCACCGCGATTTGCCATGGCCTTCCACTACTCTGATACTCTGAACAAACATGACTGCGTTGGCGCTGGCGGCAGAGAAGAAGGGATTTGGAAGTTGCGTGAAGGGATTTTTTAATTCATCACACAACGGCTCTTATCAGCAAACACGTTGAACTCAGTGCTGTCTGGATCTCCATTATCAATTGTCGCGAGCACCCATAGATAAGTGATGTTACCTCAGTGCAGGTCCTCATAACCAAACAATCATTCAATCGTCCGGTAAAAACTCTCTGCCGGGGATCACGGTACTTCTAAGACGGCAGGAGGCAATATGGAAAACCTGCCATTAAATTCAGTGATGCTAGAGGCGTGCTACAACATATCAACAACTACTCTCTTGCCACCATGCCCTATAGAGATAGTGGTAATTGAAAGAGGTAGATAAATGAAGCGATGTCAACGGGGCCATATATGTTACATGCATTTACTCACCAAGAGGAGCGTCCCCCTTGGTACCCAGGGCTTTCAAGGGTTGGATATAGATGTTATATAAAATATGTGTTCCGTAGTGTCTTTAGGTATAATATATCTTAACCACACTGCTCTTATCCGAACCACCGTGATGGGCTTGAGGCCGTGCATGAATGAATGCCTCTCACACCGAAGAACTTCGATCGCCATGGATGCTCGAGGCATCCCCCCAGCCCTCTTTAATAGCAAGCCGCATACATAAATATAATCATTATTTATGCCATAACTAAATATCCCATACAGCCAACATAGCTATGCACAACGGTAATATGTTCGAATCAAATAAACAGGCAGGATTATCGACGCCAGGCAAAGCTAGTGAGCCCAGCTTGGAGGGCCACTGAGCTTGCCGTTATCACATCTAGCGACGCAGGGTTGGTTGTCGGCACAGAATCCTTTCTTGAAGCAGGGTGTGCCGTCGTGGCACAGGGGCTTGCACCCGCCGTCACAAGTGTAAAAGGTAGGCTTGCCGCCATCGCAGACGACGTATTTTCCGCTGATCTCGCAGTAGTCGAATTCGGGGCGTCGTCCGCAGAAGTCGGTTCGTTTGTAGAGAGGCGCTTCCCCGGCCGTGAGAGAAGCTGCAAGTCCGCAGAGAGCGGCGGCGACGGACAGTGTGAAGAACCTCATTTTCAAAGCGAAGGGGCGATTGAGCGTAGTGACAGAAGACGCAGAGCTCACTGAAGTAGAGAAGAAGTGGAAGAGGTGGAAGACTGGTTGAGTAGTGACTTGCTGGTGACGAGAGTAGGATCTCGGGGGCCATGGACAGCTTTATGTATCTGTTCTCCTTTTATCTATGCCGTGTCATGTTTGTACTCTATCAAAGGGACGCGGATCCCCGGGAGCTTCTCTTTAACAGCTGCAGGAGAACATGCAGGCAAACGCTGCCGCCCATCAAGTCATTGGAGTCCCAACGATGTTTATATGTTGGTGATCCACCTAGCTACCCTGTTCTGTTCCATCAAATGAGGGTATCACACACGTATATGATTGGGAATACGGTCTGCCGGCTAGATCCAGCTGTGGGAGCAGTGTCCGGTCTGTTCTTGGGTTCAGCATGAGAATATCTCTGGCTAATGGCATGTGGCTATATAGGCCAGTGTCTTTATACCCAAAGGCCCGCCGATGCAAGATAGAAGATGGAAGATGCATCAATACGGGCCATCTTCTATGCAGTCGAAAGACATCCTCTTTGGCGGGCTTCGTTTTGCCGGTTGTTCTTTTACCAACGGGAAAAAAAAAAGAAAAAATAAGGAAAAAGAAACTATGTATATAACTATAGGCTTCTCTATTGGAGTACGGAGTAAATGGGGGCCTTTTCGGTGAGACCTTACATAGACAGAGGTCACTTTAATTTCTAAAGACCTATGTGTACCAAGTCTCCCTGAGCTCTTAATTATATATAACTAGGCTAGCTCACATATACCAAGTGACGGGAATTAAACCACTAAATACACCCAGTAATGCAGGTGCTTCACCCGTCTCATGGCCCAAGGTCCCGACAAAAACCGTCAAATGTTGTACTTAGTCAGCACCGTAGATAGATCACGTGCACTCCCTCTGACTTACACCCTGCACCTGAGCTCTTCAAGCTCACCAATATACGTATATACACACCCTTGTATACGTTCAAACTCATTCATCCAATCATCATTCGCTGCTCTGGTCTAGAAGCGGGGCACAAGCTATAATTCATCATAGTTAAGTTATTGTTGGATGACAAGGGACAAAAAGGCCTGAGGTCCAATGGGAAGAGTCGAATAAGAGTTATGCATACTATGTAGATATTTACCTTATTAGGTAAGTACGCGCTAACTGTATCAGGAATCTCATATCACAACATTTGCAAGCGAAATATTGAAGATATTGAAGAAATGATAGTATAACTACTCAAATGGACACGGATGTATGAAGCAATATCGAGCATAGTATATACTAATGGAGCCAGCGTCTTCTCGCGAGACGGAGCCGATGTCATCAACAACTCTGTCTCGAGTTAGGAGGACGCTGACCGCGCCTGAGCCATATCTACCCCAATCATCGGCTCATAGCATGGATGAGCTTGCGCTACCTTTTCCGTTTGAGGTTGCTGTCCCGAGATACCCGTCATTGCATCGAAACCTGGCCATAAACCATAGCTCTATCAACATTGCTGCTGCCCAACCAAGTTATGTTGACACTGAGAGCCTGTGGGAGGCCCCAGACGATGAACCTGACATGCCACCGGCTGCCCATCGATTCATTGAACCAGTTGAACACATCTTGGATGGGAGTGGCATGTTGAAGGCCGTGGCAGAGGATTTTGAGCCGGATCTTGACCCAATATCCACCATTGAAGAGGCTCCTCGCAGTTATGGTGATATACCGCCGGAAAGTGAAAGTATGCAGCTAATCGAGCCCGTACTCGATCCAGCCGTCGATGTTGGCAACGGGCCGCAGAGCCAAGATAATATAATACGTCATGGGGATGAAAAGGTACATGTTATCCAGCCTGTAAATCCCGTTCTACAACCCAAGTACGATTCCCCTCCACAATCCCGAACGGTCAACCTAATCGAGCCCGAGGAAAAGCCACTGAAACGTGTGAAGAACCAGAAAAAGAAGGTGAAACGAGGGAAAACTACTTCGGCGGTTGTGCAGAAGAGAGTGGAATCGGATGTCGAAGACGACGTGATTTGGATTGATGAGAGGAAATCCACACCGGCTATCATAGATGATACAGACGCGTCAGATGACGTCCTTGGCCTGGATCATAGAGATGAACTATTCAACACGAGTGCTCCCCCCCACAATGTTGAGCCTGTTGTCGTGATACCTCAAAAGACAGAAGTGCAAGGCCAAATGCCGCCAGATGCGACTAATAAGCCTGACATACAAACCAACCCAGCGCCAAAAAAGCGAGGAAGAAAGCGGAAGAAGACAAGTCAAGAGGTTATTTCAAAACATGAACTACCAAAACATACAGGGGAACTAAAGCTAGATACTTCTATCGAAGATGGAAACTGTAACATCCCTCTTGCCTCACCTCAACCTCCTTCGTTCACAGAAGAAAAAGTGAAGCACCAAACGCCTGAACCTATCATTGGTTTTCACGTACTTCACGAGACTACTAAAAGCCCTGACATCTCCGTTGATAGAGAAGCTGAACCTACTCATCCTATCGAGACCCCAAAGAAACCAGCCAATAAGGGACCAAATAAACACAGCCCAATTGCCGTCACCGCCAAGGTTGCATATCGCGTCGGACTGAGCCGAAAAGCAAGAATTGCACCTTTATTAAAAGTCGTCAGGAAGTGATGGTACTTCTCCTTTATTATTGTTATTCTCTATTAGTGCACGGTGTTATAGCTTCGACATTTTTTTTTTTTTAATTTATATTGATACCCGTTTGTTTTTATGATGAATATCTTTATGTGATATTTCTTACCTTTATTTGTATTTGCGGGGGATCTTAAGGCGTGCATTTTCGGAGAAACGGCGTATAGAGAAGGTCTCTTATGGGAGGACTGAGAGCTTCTACACAACTCGGTCTATGCGGAGTCTATAAATCCATGCATCCTCATATTACACTCGATGCTAGTTACTTCGGCCTTCTTTTGACACATATACCAAAGCTTGAATCATTGAAGATCAAAAAAGTATCCCGTATCGCATTGATAATGCTCTTAAAGATAAAAAGGCATGTATGAAACCCCTAAACTCAGCTATTAAAACACACACCACTACCTGAAACCCCAGATATAGCCATAATGAAGGCCATCTGAGGCACACACGTACCACCTAAAATCAAGCTAATAGTCCTTAATCAATATCACTCTCCATGGTGGCTTTCATCTCCTGAATATAGCTCAGGCTAGTCTTCTGACCCTCCTCATCTTCGCCTCCAGCTTTCTTCTCATCCCCATCGTCATCCTTGCTATCTGTGCTTCTTAACTCATCTTCGCTGTCTTTGACTTCTTGGCTTATCTCATTTGTGTGAAGGTGGTCTAGCTTGTTCCTGGAATCTTCTTTGACTTCTTTGCCTATTTCATTGTTCTTGTTCGTGTCTGATGGATCTTCTGAGCAGACACCACCAATCTTTTGGCATCCTTTCCCGCAATGAAGAGCCCGGTTTCCACAGAAACCTGCCGCGCTGCAGCAGCGGCCAAAGTTGGATCCAGTGCAAGTGAAGCTGGTACCACAGGTTCCATCCGGAGATGGCGGCTTTACTGGTTTGAACTTTTTGCTGCCTCCTGGTGGCTTTCCGTTAGGGCTGTGTTCGTCAGGACGAGCGGTCCAACGATACCAATTCGCTGGGGGATCCCCAAGACATTCACCAAGTGTGACTACGCGATAACTGGTACCTTCAAGACGACGGAGCATATGGCTGGTAAGGTTATAGACTGTTTGTTCGTGGACATCGTGTCCGATTTCGAGAAGAGGACGGCCGTCTGAGGCGCCCATGGTTATATACGAATCAAAAATATCTTTCGAACGTTGGATCATGTCGGGAGCATCGTTGTTGTAATCATCAGTGTCGAGGTTGAAGTAAGTAACATGATAGCCCAGGTCTCCCATATCTCCTAAGCACCCAGATGCAGTGGAACAGCTTGAGTACGGCGGCCGCATGTATGTCGGAAAACCTCCCATGATATTCCGGAAAGCCATCTCATTCTTGATGAGTTGTTGTTTCCTGTGAGAGGCTGTGATCTGGTCGAGGTTTTGATGGGACCAAGTGTGGCTAGCAATTTGATGGCCACTATTGTACATTCGGCGGATCAAATCGGCCCATGGATAGTTGGGATCATCAATTGGGCCTTTATTCGAGTTGATCCCAGTTATGAAAAAGGTCGCCTTCGCATTAAAAGAGTCAAGAATGTCAAGCAGGTCTCTGGTATAGATGTGAGGCCCATCGTCATATGTTAGAGCAATGGTGTTCGGGACGGTGCAATCGTAAATAGCTGCTTCACCGTATGGAACATCTCCGATCTTATCACGAGGAACATCGGATGTGTCTTCGCCGTTGGGTGTCTTGTGGACATCGCAACCACTGCCATACTCAAATAGGCAATCCGGGGCAGCACAGTATAGGGGGCCCTTTCCACAGTATCCTATACGTGTTGCAATCAGCCGCATGCATAATACTAAATTACTAGCACCGCCACATACCTTGCGAAGAACAACAGAGGCCTTCAGGACAGGAGCCTGCATAAGGACCGCACGCTGCAAGGGGGCCCCCTTGGTCGTCTGGTTCAGCATTATTAGTCGTAGCAAAGCCTCCTAGACCAGGATATGGGCGTGGCACTGGGCCAAGGGGGAACGGAGGCCTCAACACTGGGGGCATGCGAAGACGAGTCGATTGACCGTCATCATTCCTATCAGCGCTGACCACGGCGAAAAGAACAAACGGAACAAGATAACGTAGGCACAACATGGCTTGTTTAAGCATAACAGATACTCAACACAACAGAGCAGTAATATATGGATTTCTTTCGAGTGACCGCAGAGGAGAAGACCAACAAACAGGGAGGAGAGAGTAACAACCTACTGTATTAAAAGGCAATAGAGACAAAAAAAAATAACAAAAACAAGAATAAGATAAATATATCAAGGGTTTTAGTAGAATGTAAGGGGCGACGCACCTCACGAGGGAAACGACGATGGTGCACCGATTCATGAATAAGATGACGGAGGGAATATCGTCTCATCATATAAAGGCTGTAACATTGGACTAGGTGAAAGAGGCACGGGAGAAAGTTTTGTTGATTGTGATGTGTTATATATATACATTAGGGGTATATATAGAGCTGTGATAAGGACATATGTAGGGGGACTGCCCTCTTTTCGGGTTAATAACCCGATCCATATTTAGATGGTTGAATTAGGGGCACCATCAATGTTCTACTTCCAGGACAAGGGGCGAGTCTATTATCATAGTTAGCCATTAATTCAGTATATGGCAGAAAGGGGTAGACTTATAAAAAAAAAAATTGGCCTCCGTTCCCTACCGAGATAGCAACGGAGGCCTATTCAACCAGCAATGCCCACTATGAAAGAAGTTTTCCATACAACTCTCCAAAGGTTGAAATACCTCCTGCCCACCATATAGCCCCAGACAAATTGATACAATGAGGTTATGCCAAACCTAACAGATGCTACTCAGTCCCCCAATTCCAAAGCACCACCGGGGACGGATACCAGGCGAGAGAACGAGAAATTTCGAAACCGTCAGATAGGGGCATGCGCCAGATCAGACAAGCCGGAGCTTTGATCCTCACCCGAGAGAGGTCCCTCTCTGTGCATGGACCCAAGATCCTAATGCCTCTTAATTTCCAACCTAACTCGTACCGGACTTAACACGCCGGGTGAACGGTGCAATTATCTCAGGAGACTGGGGTAATAAAGCGCACTTCTGAGAGATTCTCCCACATAGAACCAATTAATCCAAAAACTTCCCACACGGGATATTGGTGAAGTAGAAAGCGAGACAGCCATGGAAGTAGCATCCCAGCTTGCTCACAGTCCCAGACAGAGCTTCGGTCGAATGATTATTTTGCCCACATCGTACCAGCATTTTCCAATGGCTCTGAGATACCCCCTGAAGCAACTAGCCATCCAAAGTGTGGAGCTTCCTATATATCTTCACCCACTGGAGCCAGTATCGCATTCTCGCCTCCTAGAATCTAGCTGCCTAAATTAAACCGTCTGTTCTCATATCCCGTTTCCGTGAATGTAACGCAGCGCTCTCAGAGACTAGTTTTTGTTTCCTCTCCAGACGTCAGCTGTTGGAGGAATCATGAATCGAACAAAAACATCCGCAAAAATCGATTCTCTTCCCTGAAGGGAAGGAGGTACCTGTAAGAAAGCTCCCAGGTACCCGTATACCGGTGTTCCTTGATCTTATGGGCTATACCCATCAGAGAAGGATTAACGCGGGCGGAGAGATCCAAATATAGCTTGCACACAATTGGCGGTTGCCGTGGTACAAGACCAGTGAACGAGCTTCTGCCTCTGGAGGCTGTACGATCCCAAAGAATGGGTTGGAAGAAAGGTAACGAAACCAGAGAGGTTTGAGTGGAGGCACATACGGGACGACCAGTCAGTTTCGATGGAAAGTATGCAACAAGTAATCCATCGTGCTCACAACCTTCAAACAGTATTGCCGAGCATTCCACTCCTAGCAGCAAAAGTACCCTGCCGAAGCCCAAGCATGCCATGTATTTTTGACAGCTATCCCGAGGGACAGCCGTTCAAAGAGAAATGGTGATTTAACTCGGTATGGATGAACGAATGACCCTTGCGACGACTGAACCATGCCCGCGAGAGCAGAAGGCCGAGCCGATTCCGGCAAAAGATAACCCGAAAATCCAGCACAAGAAACCGTTGGTAGGCAACTCTGCAAACAAAGTATATGTTTGGCTTTGGGGAAACTTTTGCGGTGCCAAAAGATGAAATGAACAGTACAACATTTGCTCAAAGATGATTTCGAAGAATAACTTTCCATGTCCTGGCATAGAAGGTTCCCAAAGGCGATTCCACTTCTCAGGATCCGCCCGATGTACCTTGCCTGTCTTCTCCCATTTATTCGGGAACTTGCAAGTATCAATCTGGTGATCTATTGCCATCCATCTATATGCCCAGCTGAGATAAACTGACGCGTGTTCCAACTGGAAATTAAACGCATAGTGAACCTTTTTTTTATGCTTCGTACGAAACTCTGGACACCAGACCCCCTTTATTCCATCCAACTCAACAAGCAGATGTAAGTAATGTATTCGGGGGCCCAGTAGCTATAGCCGCGAACTTGCTGTCGAAACCCTGGCCAGTCCAGGGGCGACGCCCGGTAAGATTACTTAGGGTTAAGTCCCAATCACGCCCGGCCTAGTCCTCAAGAATGTATAGACAATATAACACTGTCATAATTATACTTGAGAAATCAGCTGTAAGGCGAAGAATGGTGAACTCTAAAGAGGTCGAACTGCGTAGGGTGTGCTTTATGGAGAAGCGCGGAAACTGAGAAGCGAGATCCGAGCAGTTCGTTGGAGGAACGATGCTGAGAAACTAAATGACACCAGAAGACGGATGAGTGCTGTAATATGCCAGGTAACAGCAGTAGAAGGCTATGAAGTTCTGTGGTATATCCGGCCAAAGGAAGAAATTTTGATACTGGTTGTTTAAAACAACTTTTGCGTTGTAAACAAAAAAATGGCGCGCTTTTTGGGCAAGCGCGTTTATCACGTGAAACTGATGTCATAATCACGTGGGCGTTTAATTTCTACGATTCGTTTCTTTTTTGGCGGCAACAAGCAAATATCAAAGACAGACGAAATACCTCGATGAGCCAACAGCATGCAACTAAATGGGGGATAATACGAAATTTAAGACAGCTTTTGAGGCTACTGTTTTATTTCTGCGACCAGTTTTAACAAGAGGCACGCCATTCTTGACCTCATACCTTAAACCACTTGAGATTGCAGCTAATAGTTGATTTACAAAAGAGGAAATCCAGAAAAATCCGGGCCTTTCGCTTGTGGAATCCCTAGTAAAGAGTCTACCGGAAAATTATGAAGTTAGTAGAAGTTCTAGGGAAAGGGTGATACGGCGGAGCCTCGACCTGTTAGCAGATATCCACCAAGCTTTCATTCAACCGGATCAGCCCGAAGAACCTCTAGATGGCCGGAACACGGGCCTCGAGGATGCAAAGAGACGGCGAGTTCTCTATGCTCTACTTGACCTTATTTCTCTGGAAGGGATTTATCCGTCACTATCACCAGGTGCTGGCATCCCCTTAGAAAAAAGAGTGATTTCTAGCCTTCCCACTGGTGTGGTGGCTAAGCAAGATGGACCAGGAGCAATGCCATCTTCACAAGGGGAAGCCCTTCTTCTTCATATACTCATGTCATTGCGAGAAATACTTCAAGATAATAACTCCTCAATCCAATCAATCATCCTGGGGAGACTGTTGTCGGACTTGGTCTCTGGAACCGCGGAACTTTCCTTCCATTCCCAATCTATCTCTCAGCTGGAAGTTGAACGTTGTAGGGCCATGTTCCTTGAGATTACTAAAGAGTACGGACCCCATTATTCTTATCATGTTATATATGTCTCTAACATCATATAGTACCCCCACCCCGATTCTACTCCCAGTACTTACATCATTTCTACAGCCTACTTCTGCTCCCTGGCTTAAAGACCCGATTTCATCAGTTCTTTCAAAAATACCCCTTCGCAAGGAAGGTGTTTTCCAAACAATTACCTTTCTTGCGTCTCAGTTCTCTCCCGAGGCGCCCACGACACCCGAGTCTACTGGACCTCCCATTACTGCACAGGCGATTATGCAATCTTCGCGAATTCTCTCAAGTATACCTCGCGGGGTATCGCCAGAATACTTCCTTACCAATGTTGGGCCTAAGCTCCTCTCCCTTTTAGATGGAGACGATATGGATCTAAGAAAGACAGCATCGTATATCATAGGAAATGGCATCTTGCCGAAACGCCCTATTGGTGCTCCAGGTACTATCGGCTTTACTATATTTATCAAACCCATCTTTGACGCATTTCATGGGATTATTGGAGAGTCATCCACTCGGTGGCTCCGCAGGTTTAATCGGGATGGATCACCAGTTAATACCGTGGAAGCTAGCGGCAACCCGAATAGTCCTACTCTGGCAGATACACATCAACTATCTCTATCTCTAGCCCGCTTGACATCCTTGATTGTGTTACACCCCAATCCTGCTCTAGTAAAACGGTTAATTGGACCTGTAATGCTTCCGCTCTGGGGACTGCATTGGTGCGCAGAGTCAAAAAACAATAAAGAGTGTGCAGAGCAAACGTTTACCCTTCTACAGAATTTTTTCAGCATATCTTCTGGGAAATCGAGATTTGAACGACTAATCCGGAATATTATGTGGGATGGCGGGGAGACGTGGACTTACAAGCATGACATAAGCCGTGGAATATTTGTAGCAAAGCGTGAACATTCAACTCCAGAGCGTTTTGATATCATACAAATGGTTGGGAATATCGACGAGCGGGTTGATTTACTTTTAAATTTTATAGGGATTGACCCCCAACGAGAAACACACATTGGAGAAATTTTCCTCTTCGTTAGTCGTAACTGGCTCACAGGGGATCGCGAATGCTCTGATAATCAAACACCAGTGACATTTTCAGATGATACCCTACCAGGTCTACACAAGGTAATATTTGCAAAAATTGCTGAAAAGCTCATCAGTCAGCATCAGGATATTTTATGTCGCCGATTGGACCAAATACTGGAACTTGTTAATCAACTGATCGATAGTGAAATGCAATTGAATAAGGGAAGAAATAACAAGATAGATACCACCAATCCTACCCTACAGTCAATCGGCAACATAGTTGAGAACTCCAAGAAAGGCTCGGATCCTGCAGACACAGCCGAATCACCCGAACCACTATCTGCTGCACTCAGTTTGCTATCCACTCTCTTAATATCTTCCGACTTGCAGATTGGTGATGATATGCGCCCAGTACTTGGGGTAACAAAAGTGAAAATAGATGAACTTCTTCCATTTATCTCTCCAACGTTAAAACAGCCAGCAACGACGGTATCTACGCTTATCGAATTCGTTGTTGCTGGGGTTTTAACCCCAGATATTAGGAAGCCCAGGGATATACCCAGGCTACGGCATGCGTCCGACATAGAGGCTCATCGGCATGCTCTTGACAGCCTGAATTCGCCGTTACCTCCAGTCCAAGTCGAGGGACTTTCGTTATTATCCAGACTAATAAAGAAGGCATCACCGGTTCTCGATATCCCAGCCACGCTGACGCTACTGTTATCCGTAATCCTAGAAGATAGCTCTAACTCTAATGATGAGTTTGTCTACCTGAATGTGATTAAACTTATCGGCATTCTTGCCTCAAGACATCCCAGCACAGCCATAAGAACTCTTGCAGAGCGATATAAAGACAATAATGAAGACGCCACATTAGACCAGAGACTTCGGATCGGTGAGGCTCTTCTCAGGACTGTCCAGGAGCTAGGAGATGCTTTGGTAGGCGATACTGCCCAGTTCCTGGGAGATACAATGATAGCAGTGGCTGGGAGACGAGGGATAAAACCTAAAGCCAATGAGAGGAGGATTGGGGGTGCAGAAGGACAGGACCTAGAGAATGATCAAACCAAAAGGAACATTGAAGGCCTGGGAGAGGATGCTGCGGATTTAATAAACCAAATGGGTCAGCACACAGAGACGGAGCCAGAGGATCCAGTGAAAACCGCTCATTCTAATAAAATTCTCCAGGCCTGGGCGTCTGGCGCGGCCTCAGATGAAAACCCGGATGACCTGCGCATTCGTACCTCAGCCATGTCTATACTGGCAGTTGCCATTCAAACGAATTTATCTGGCTTAGGGCAACAAGTCATCTCCGCTTCTGTCGATATGGCACTTTCCACGCTGAATTTAGAACCCGGTCCTGAAAACGCAATCATCCGCCGCGCGGCGATTGTACTCCTCCTCGACATAATAAAGTCATTAGACAAAGCTATGGAGTTGGGTTCTGACCCGGGTTTCACTTTTTCGCAGTCCACTTCTGCCTATGGCCCACGTGTTGACATCACAAAGACTACGATTGGAAATATTCCTGACATCCTTCGAGTTCTGAATTTCATAGAAAGCAAAGAAACAGATATGATTGTTCGTGGACATGTACGAATACTGATCGAGAGCTTAGAGGTATGGACTGAAAAATCGATTCTACGTGGCATCGGCGCGGGCGCCCAACCCCAATTGGAGCTTGGTGATAGACTTGCCGGTTTGGATATTGATCCATTTTCCAACACATCTGGAATCAGAAGACGCCCCCAGATTGAAGAAATAGAATAGCAGAAAACGATTTGACTAGCTTTCTTCAAAAACATACACCATTAATATAAAATAATGCAATGCTCAATATTATTCGATTCCATTTCAAACCAGGTTTTGTTTTAGCTAAAATACAATGTAGAGGCCCATTCACCATGAAGACGTGTGCATAGTTGCATAGAACCCCGTGCCGAACATAGGTCATGTTATTCATTCGGGCCAATAAAGGTCAAAAAACAAATAAACTTAAGAAAACAGGTAGTGGACCCTGGAAGCTGAAGAGCTTCATGCATGGCTGTTTCCATCGCCTTACTGTGTAAAGCGGAGGCATTGTGGAGAAACGTATGCGGGCCCCAGCGGTCACGAAGATTCAACCAACGAAATGAAGAAAGCAAGGTGAGTGAGATGATACCGGTGGGTAAATACAGAGGAACAAACAACCCCTGGTTGAGTCTGATGTCGTTGAGAATTCATTTTGCTCCCCGACTTTGGATCATAAGGGAGTTAATCAGATCAGACAGCCAGCTCAATGGCGGCCTCGACCGCGTCCACCACGCGCACTACGGCCACGACCGCGTCCGCCACGACCACCACGACCTCCGTTTCTACCACTGAGCTGGAAAATACCTCCTTTTTGTTTAGATAGCTCGTTGGCCTTATGCAAAGCCTCCATCTGAGTTTGACGTTGCTCATCAGGCATAGCGAACATATTTTCAATACCTACTAACTTGCAAAACTCCGCAGTTTGTGGGTTTGGATATTCAGGTGGTTGTTCGTTGGTGCTTATGGGAACTGAAGGATCATATACCGGAGCAGTGATTGTAAAATTATGCGGAATGGCCATCTTCCCGGCCTTGACGATGTTTTGCTCAACCCATTCCTCTGCGGCAATGATGTCAGGTTTATACCCACCATCACCCTTGTTGGAGGGCACCGGGGCAGATTTGTCACCAACGGTAAAGCCTGAATGTAAGGCACGGGTAATAGCAAGCCATTCTTTGTCATATTTCAGCTGGTAAGGGGCATTGTCGTCTGTTCCGTCACCCTCCGAGATGGGCTGGATCTCAGCTAGGTGAAGGAAGTGACGGTGGCCTTCACATTTATCCAATGCGACGAATTCTGTAGTAGTGTTCGTGATCCCAGGGGGAAGTGTAGATTCCACAGTTGGCTTAGGCCCGGAGATAGTTGGGGCGGATTTAGTGAAGCTTGCCGGCAGCTGACTGCGTATATTCTCAGGAACGGGATCGGCATTGTTGCCGTCGCCTTTGTCAATATTCCTCATTTTGATTTCAACCCTATCCTCATTCTTCGCCGGGATCGGCATGTTACCAGCTTCTGCAGAGCTGGTGCCGACATTGGGTTCTTCATTCTCAGACACACCGTCCATGTCCAAATTAATTTCATCGGTGTTCTTCACCTCAACAGCCATGGGCTCCCCATTGACGTCGTTCCCAGTCGCATTTTCGATGGATGTCGTAATAACATTTTGAACTTCACGGCCAGTACCGTCATCAACGCCAACCTTCTTCCACTTCAATTCATAAGTCACCTCGCTTCCAGGTTTGATACTACCACTTTCAACTTGTTTATGATATTTCTCCACTTCTTTCATAAACAACTCTTGTTCATCTTGCTCTCTGGATGCTGCGAGGTTATGAAAATCACGCCAGGCATTTTTCTTTGCATCGTCATCACGTGGAAGTTCCTGTGCCTGAGCTCTGTTGGAAACCAAGCCCACATTAGGGTTGCCAGAGCTAACAGCTCTCCCAGCCTGGGCAGATGGAAGGGTTTTGACGAAAGCCTCTTCGGGGTTATTGAAACGAGCAATTGCCTGAGGAGGCTCGTATTCTTTATGATGCAACGTAGCAGTATATTTACAGTGCAGATGAGCAGAGAACCAGTAGCCTGGTCTAAGCCTATCAAGCACCTGCTTTGCAGCAACATTTCCAAGCCTCCCTGAATGAGCGTCGTCGACGAAGTGAGACTTGATTTTGAACAGATGGTTGTAGTCCCCGGCCCATTCAACACCCCGGGGCCAGTCATGGCTGATTCCAATGTCAACTTGAGTACGAACCTGGAGTAACTTACGTACGTCGACCTCTCTGATGTGGTAGGCAGATCTCAGGGTATCACCATCATACGGTAGTCTTTCGTAGTGGGGACGGTGGTAATCATAGCCTTTCCAGATGCCGGACATTCCGATAATTCGGAACGGTCCGTACCGAACCAGATTGGCTGCACCCATGTAGTAAATGTTTGGAGCAACCCAGCCGCCATAGTAGAGCTCAAACATATGGTTGCTGGCTTCATGGTTGCCGCCCACAAATATGGTCAGGTATGGGGCAACGCGAGCACCGCTGTAGTATTCATGGAAGTCTCCAATACTCCTATATTTGTTTGAGACTGCCATACAGGTGAGGTCATTTGAGTTCCTCACAGCCTAAAGTAGAAGATAGGTAAGCTTAATGTGGCAGACCACTTTTAAGCAGAGGCTGAAACGCGTGAGCAGTGCCTTACTTGAAAGTCTCCTCCAATAATTAATAAGTCAACTCCATCCCAGCCGCGTGATTCTGCAGATGCCTGAACAGCAGCGTAGATGTCATGTAATTTTCCATGTCCCTATACAATTTCTCTGTTAGTATATACTGTTCCTGGTATAAAAGGCGTCGTAGACATAAGAGAATATATGAAAGATACAACATACACAGCCTTCAACGGCCAGTCTTAAAGACTGACGCGTCTCTGCGGCGTCCGCCATATTTGAGATATCTTGCAGCGGTGTTAATAGTATCACGCCTATTATTATAGTGTGTATGCAACTGCCGAGAGTCCAGTTGCTTAGAGGGCGGGAGGAGGAAGAAGAAGAAGAAGGAGAGAGAGAAAGTGGGAGCAAGACAGAAGAGAGTGACAGAAATATTAAAAGAGAAAGAAAAGGAAAAGGTGGCGCGTCCTTGTGTTGTCCAAACTCTCACTTTTACTGCTCTTCACTGTTAGAAGAGGTTGAGGTGTGTGTTTTTTGCCTCTTTGGGAAAAAAACGAGCAGGACAATTTTTTTTCTCTCACACTCACTTTTTCATCTTCCACCAACCACCTCTCTTTTACCACATGTTCAATTACTATAGAAGCTGGAAGAAGCAGATTGACCCGGGTTTAATACTGTCGGAAAAATATACGAAAAATGTCTCGACCACTGTCTATAAGACTTGACTTTTTGAAAAACTCCGCCCATTTTCTCAGCCTGCGGAGCCCATCGACATCTGCTTATCTGATGACGGCTCGTAGCAATATCATAGTGTTTGATGGGTCTTCTTATACTACTACGGGAGACGAGACGGAAGCCTGTCCTGCGTGTGGAAGTATTCGGACTCCGGGCGTGAACAGTAGGGTCTTCACAAGAACCGAAGCACCACCAAAACCTACACGGCTTATGCAAAAACCACAGCACGAGGCTCCATCCAAGACTCCATCGATGCAGAGATGTGTGGTATATGAGTGCACACGATGTAAGCACGAGGTGGTTCAGCATCTTCCGCAACCTACGAGGCAAAGGAGGAGAAGAGATCTACCCATTGCTCCATCAGTCAACCCATCAATGCCTTCAAATACTGGGATGAGCCAGATAGCGAGCACCGGCTCTGGAGCTTCCAAGACGGGTTCCGAGAATGCCAGCAGCAAGAAGCGAGCAAAGTTGAGAAAACAAAAAGGCCTACTAGCCAGCCTCTCAACAGAGAAGCAACGTTCTCAACTCCAGTCTAAGCCGGCAAATTCACTGGATCTTATGGATTTCTTTCAATCAACGTAGCTGACGTCCTATTAATCAGCTGTTGAAGACCACCCCGGTTGTCCCAATACCGTTTGGTTAGGTATAAACCGTTTCTTGGGTCAAGCTAGCTTGTTGAGTTCGGAGGAATCCAGCGTCTAGTTACTAGAGGAAATATTCTGGGTAGAATCCCATTTTATAGGAGTGAAGGAGGAAGAATCAATCTCTCACTACCTGAACCCAAGTCTAGACCGGCAGGCTCTTATTTCAAACAAAGGCAATGTACGTTGTATACTACACTCACAAACTGGCAGCCAAAACTAATACTATAGCCTTTTAGCTTCCCACAACCTACGGGTGAATATTATCGATGTAACCAATGTTAACTATACTCTGATGCATGAGGAATGCTGATAGAATAGCAACCTACTTGACATGACACAACACACTGAGAGGAACATGCATCGAAAGCCAACGGTACAACTAAAGGCGGCACAGCAGGAAAATCGATGGCCTGCGGGAGCTTCTTTAGCTGTCCAAATTCATTCTCCGACGGCTATCCGCTTGAGTCAGTTGCTGTCGCACTCCATAATCCGCCACCCCGACTTCCCACCACAGCTTTTATTGAGGCTCAAAAACATGACGAAACTTAGTTTTCTTGTGGAGAAACGCCAAAAAGGGGATGACTCACAAAGTTTTAAGGATAATTTTTACTTTTATATTTTTTTCCCTACTTCGATTGTGTCATTGACAAAGATAAGATACCAAGATATATTAAAGGAAGACTTCTTATCCTCAGAGACCAGCACTATTCAGAATATTGTTTTGGTTAGAGAGAGTATCGACCTGATCTCATTCTCCTTTACCACAAGCAACAGCTAGACCAAAATCTGCCCCTCCGCCACGATAAGCGAAAAAGATGGCAAGCCATGGCGGGGATGATAACGCCCTGCCCCGCGCCAACGAGGGCGAGAGTATCATAAAGGTGGTTCAGAATGACGACGATCTGGGCCTTATGGACGTGGAGAGTATGTGTATGAACTGCCACAATAATGTAAGTTGCCAAATCTTATATCAATTCGCGCCCACAAATCCCTTCTCTAATCAGTGGAACGGCATTATAGGGATCAACCAAATTTCTCCTGATCAAGATCCCATTCTTCCGCGATGTTCTCCTCGAGTCGTTTGACTGCCCACATTGCAATTTCAAGAACAACTCCATTAAAGCTGCCGGCGAGATCCAGGAGCACGGGACCAAGTACACCCTTGAGATCCATGACAAACGTGACTTTGACCGTCAGGTCGTCAAGGGCGATTCTTCAATCTTCCGCCTCGAAACCCTTGGAATAGAGATGCCAGCCGGTGAGGGTCAGCTCACCAATATCGAGGGGATGCTTACCAAGATCCAAACCCAGCTCGAAAGCGAGCAGCCACAGCGTAAAATTGCGGATCCGGCCTTGTTCCAAGCGCTTGAGGATATCCTTCAGAGGCTCGCAAAGATGATCAGCGGCGAAACTTTCCCCTTTACAGTAACCTTAGAGGATGCAACTGGTAACTCTTGGATATCTCCTGCACCATATGACGAGGGCAACAGATACAAACGACAGGAGTTCCAGCGTACCAAGGAACAGAATGAGGCGCTAGGTATTGGCATCGGTGGAGAAAATGAAGGCCCTGCCGCGGTTTTATCTACAGGAGACCCTAATGATCTTGACATCGTTGATGGAAATATGTACTCTCTCCCGACGAACTGCCCTGGCTGCATGAAACCATGCGTTGTCAACATGCAAAAAGTAAACATTCCACATTTCAAGGAAGTGTTTATCTGGGGCACCGTTTGTGACCACTGTGGCTACCGTACCAGTGATGTCAAGACAGGAGGTGCTATCCCAGAAAAGGGAAAGCGAATCAAACTGAGGGTAGAGACTATCGAAGATCTCTCTCGAGATATCCTTAAATCTGAGACATGCGTCCTGAAAAGCGACGATCTTGGTCTCTCTGTTCAGCCCGGCACACTTGGGGGAAGGTTCACCACTGTCGAGGGCCTCCTTACTCAGATTCGTGACCAGTTACATGAACAGATCTTTGATTTTGGCGATGAGGACTTGGCGCCTGGCGATTCCATGGCTCTGTCAGAAAAGGAACGATGGGAGCAATTCTTCTCTAAGATCGATGCGGCAATCAAGGGTGATAAGAAATTCACTATCATTCTTGAGGACCCGTGTGCCAACAGCTATGTTCAGAACCTTTACCTCCCTGAACCAGACCCCCAGTTGGAGGAGGAAGATTATACCCGTACCGAGGAAGAGGAAGAAGACCTTGGACTTAAGGATATGAAAACTGAGGGGTATGAAGAAGATCATCAACTTGCTTTAGAAGCTGAGAAGGTAAAAAAAGCTGAGGAAGAATCCTGATTGTATTTGAAATAGGCGCATGAACTAGAGGGTTTTTCTTTTTTATGAGACACGCGGCATATGACTGACAACGCATCCTTCTCACTCACAGAGACCTACTGTTTATCAAAACATGAAGACTGGTGGTTTCTATAGTCATCTATATATTTTTTTATCCCTTTTGCATTTTTCCAGAATGGGTGGCTATTAATGTGCTCTTGGGAAACGGTGTCGGAGCCTCGGATTTCTGATAGTGTGGACACGCTTTAAGAGACGCAGTAGAAATGATACAGGCTAGATAATATATGTCATTTCCGTAGTAGAACGAGTGACCATATCCTTATTGCAGTTCATACTGATTGGGATCAAGTTGACAAGTGTAAAAATGCCCTTCCTGTCAGCTGTGGAAAACTGGGATTATGGGCAGAGCTCCAGGAGAAACCGGCGCTGAGAAGTGTCTGTTTAGCTGAATAGCTGTACTGACTGATAGTTAGCATCGCTGCCTCCCTCGGTAACTCTCCATGCAACGGGTCGGAGGCACAGTCCATCCTAACAGTGCTATCCTAGGCTGCCATGGATAAGGGTCAGGGAAAGGCCAACGAAAGAGTATATGCAAGTGATTAGAGAAGGCACCTTCGAGTATTTAGTCGGCTGATGGTGTCGAAGGACAATCAGCCGGCGAAAGGGTTTGCGTGAATGGTGACTCTCTTCACACCGATATTTTCCCAAGCTTCACCGTCTTCGTTGCTAGGTTTCTCCTTCACCAAGTTTGGCTGCACAACTCTTCCTTTCTTATCTATTTTCACATGTGCTTTCTCTAAACGGGTCAGCGTATCAGCCTGCTCGTCCGCCCCCCCTGTGCTTCCGGGATCAAGGACTTTGCCGAACACGGTACTCTTCCCGTCCAGGTGAGGTGCAGCTGCAAAGGTAATGAAGAATTGGCTCCCATTTACGTCCTGGGGGGCTCCTCCTTGGTTCTTGACAGGTTTTCCAGCCATGCTGAGTATTCCTCTTGCATTGTGGCGGAGGGTGGGGAGGTGAATCTCCTGCTCTAGAGGGGCTGGGTAGTGTATCGACGCCCCTCCTTTGGGGATATCAAACGGTAGAGGAGATGAGGAGGAAGCCTTGTTGGCTGCAGATAGGGAGATGTCACCTCCTTGGATCATGAACGAGGGCATGAGGCGGTGGAAGGGAGTGTCGTTATAGGCTCCGGATGCGCAGAGAGCAAGGAAATTCTAGTTTTAACATCAGTCAGCCTGGAAGGAATGCACATAATGAGGCCCATTTTCCTTACCTCCGCCGTCTTTGGGACCGCTTCACAGAATATCTCGACCTTGAGGTCGCCATGGGTGGTATGAAGCTAGTAAATAACAGTCCCTGGTCAGTTCTGACTCTATAGACGGCCTCAAAAGTAGAAACCGCAGACGATGGGAATATGCTAACCGTAACCGACATCCTAACCTCTTTGTCGTCCTATTTAATGGAAAACGCCCCTCTCGCTTTCTCTCCCTCTCTTTTTCTCTCTCTTGTTTTTCTTCTGCTTCAACTTCGAGCAGAGCCTCATATCACGTGATAAAGCCTAACCTTGGAATATCCAAAAAAGAAAAGGAAGAAAAAACAAACGAATATCAAAATAGAAGAAGAGAAAGAGAAGACAAGGAGAAAACTCTTACAGTACGGACTGACTCGAGAAGACATTTAGTTGGTGTTTTTCGCCAGCCTGTTGGAAGCTCAACTTTTCAGATGCGGTTAATATATGTCGGTAATTCCCACGAGGAACTAACCAACTAGATTCAACTAAAAAACGAACAACAGACGAGCTCCTCCATGACGAAACTGCAAATAAAATAAGCTGCCAGGCCCGAGTGACAAGGCTGTCGAGTTCGACCACTGCCACAGAATTCCGAGGGAAACGGCGGATACTTAGCCCATCCTTGCCTGCTCGTTCTCTCCATCTGTCCGTCGTGGACCTACAAAGAAGCGTCGACACGAGCCGCAGAGCCTATGCTGGGGGGAGCTGGGGTTGGTCGTCTCCTGGCGTTTAATAGTTTTTCTAGTTGACGAGTATCCTCTCAGGCTGGAAAAGTACATATCAAGCCTGCTGCTATAGCAGGGAATAACTACCGAAAACTTCGAACGAGCCTCCCACGGCCATATAACTGCTAGTTATTGTCGAAAAAAGCTTCCGGGCTTCTTTTTCGCTACCGCCCATCTGCCAACCTTTTGCGCCGGCCTCTCTACCCAGTGAAATCAAGGAAGGAAATAATAAAAAGACACCCTTTCACGGACATTCGTCCTCTTCGACCCACGCACTAAACACCCTTAGTTCCGAATCCTCGTGGCTCAGCTCTCCCACAGCAAGATATTAGTAGCCTACCGGAGAAGAAGCACATGCGTGGGACTTGCTGGGGTGAACGACTTGTGGCGAACAAAAGCGGCATACTGGAGGCCTCGATTTTACACAACACACCCCAATCGACTCATGGTGGACTGGGCGCACAGTCTGGCGCAAGATGGCCGCATTCGTGCGAGTGTCGGGCCCTCCCAATAGTAATTTCCTTGTTGGATATCCTGGAATATCGGCAACATTGGTGAGTTTCATGTTCCTGAACCAGTTCCATGAATGCAGCCTGCAAACCCAAACAAAACCTCAAGATTCTGTTATCCAAGAGAAAGGGACGCATATCTCTTAAATTCAATCTCTCCTTGTCTCGTCATATTGGTTTACTACGGGAGAGTAATGCTGACGCGATATATGGCTAGCCACGTATTGAAGGAAAGGTCGAGGTGCGGCCTAGCGTTGGAGTCTCAGCTGCGGTCAACATCTCGATGGTCACAATATGTCTCCAACGAAGGGAGACGATACATCCCGCTGCCGATTCAATGACAAAAAGACACTTGGCTGCCCCGCGAAAGGATGTGACGGATATAGTTGGCAAGGAAATGCTCCTTTTTCGGTGCCCCATGGGGCGAGAGTACGAAGAAATAATAGCCATGGACCTCCCCTTTGTCCTCTTCATACCTTTCGGTAGAGGAGGACAGGAAACCTCGAGGCGACTTCCACCCGCCAGTTTACAGCTAGGCAGCCGAACGGCAGAGACATACTACGAGTTGGTGGTGATGGTACAGCAGGGCCAGGCGGAACAGAGGAAATACTCCTTTCCCGTACCGATGTCGAGATATGACACCTTATCGACATTTGGCATGTATAATCGACCAGAAGCGGCGGAACGTGTGTCAGACCATCTTATTACTCTCGGTATATCTTTACCTCGGTGGTCATACGGCCCCTTCGACCCCGTTAGCGTATATGTGAAGCTCTCACCCAACCCAGATTGGATGAGCAAGGCTCGAAAAGTAACGATACAGAAAATCACCCTTTCAATTGACGAGGAAATAGTGTACAATCACGAAGGAGACGAGCCGTACCGCAAAGGGAAAACGCTCGCCAAGCGATCTGAATCAGTGAACTTGAAAATGCCTGAAGCTGGATATCTCACCAACCTTGGTCTTGTGTTTCCCGCGAGGGACCTACGTGATTCAGACGGTGTACTGCCTCGAGGCAAACCAGCATTTCCATCTTACGCTGTCAGTGCATTTACAACTACTGCCTCTCTATATAAAATAGAGTATTATTTGACAGTCAAAGTATGTCACGCATACCCTTCCGGAGTGCAAAAGACCGCTTGACTAACATAAGTCCCACAGGCTCATCTCACATCGGCAAAGGACATTGTCCTAAGACAACCTATTGTCGTCTGTCCTCTGGACCACGCTGGCTGTAAAGAGGAAATGGAAGCCATAGAGCAAGCTGCACGAGAAGCGAGAAACATCAACCCCGACAACCCCATGTTGCCATTACCCACCATTATCCGCGCTCACGACCCCAATGCCCTTCAGTATCTCAACGTCGCAGTCGTTGGCAACACCAAGAAGCCTATAATAGAATAAGCCCACCTTTCCCTACCATGACCCGCCATACCTGAGCTCCTCCACGCCTCACGCCCCACGACTAATGACAGCTGTTAACGAATTTTATTTTATCCTCTTAAAAGTAAAAAAGAGGAACATTGCATATGCATGGTTATAGGCGCCAGGATGGTCTGATAATTCACGGTTATCATTTTATACTCCACGTATGCTTGCTACCGATTAGTCTGGTCAATCACATCAGTTCATAAAACGAAAGAACAGATAATATTAAATTGGAGAAGATGGCAGGACATCGTTGGGCTGCTGAATATAAGGCCAATTTATTGAATCCGGCAGCAATGATTGCCATCTTTCACTCAATTTGAGACTTCACATCTTTCTCAGTTGCTACCATTTTATCCCTATATCCTCACAAGATGGTATCACCTGCATGGTGTACCCACACCGCACAACAACCTCGTTTGACAATTACACGCTTCCTCGTCCTCGATCCTCCACGTTTTACACTCTTCCGATTGTACGGCATTAACTATACCTGGGTCAGGCTCGCAATAGAATGGCTATGCCTGTATCGAGGTATGTATACCTTAATGCGATATTCTTTTTTGGCAAACCCATTTGGGGTGTTGGTTGCTTCACTCGGAATATGTGGTGCTGGGACAGTCCCAGTTTTATATCTTATATTCAATAATTCTCCAATTCATATTCCCTGATGCAGCCAGCTGCCTCCTCTTCTTCGAACATCTTGGAACGGACTTTGCCCAAAGGTCTACAGCTTTCTCACCAAGCTTACACTGGCGCCTAGTTTCTACCCTTAACTTCATCCTCTTTTGCAGATGGTTCTCGACGGGCCGCGTTTCACTTATCAAGTCATCTGGGTCCGGTTCCTCATACCATTCATTTCATCATAACTGCGTGCAGCTTTTAAGTGTGATCTGAATTTTGTATCATCCCATCCACCGCTGGCTTCAAGGATGCATTTTTGCTTTCCACTACTGACTTGTTTTATTCTCAACAATGCATTCTCTATTCTTCTTCCTTCCCTTCTACTACCTTTCCTTTTCCACCAACTATGTCTTCAGAACTTTTTTTCTTCTCTTCTTCTCATCCCAGTGTAGCAGCCAATAGAAGGATGCCAGGATACTATCGCTGAAGTCACATAAAAACTGCCAGCCAGCTCCAATCCCTTTCTCAGCGTTAAAGTCTCAATTCATTTTCTAGTAGAAGTATGAGATCGTCTAGATTTGAATCACCAGTCGTGCGCTCCGTCAATTGCTTCTCGGAATCTGCAATACATGCTCTCAACATCTCTAGCACAGCCTGGTACTGTGTAGAATTAACACCGAACGTGTAGCGAGTGTTGGCCAGATTTTTCGAAATCTACCAGAGAGCAGCGCAGCAGCAGCAGACCTGCGGTTAGATTTTGCTCTATTTTTCCTGTCGAATATCTCTTCCTTGGGTTCTCATACCTCTTCTACTAAACTTTGGCTACGAGCCTCCTCAGACGTAGACATTATCCTGCTATTCACAGCAAATCGGTATATATTACTATGCAAATATCAAGGCATCCAAATAATAATATCTTTACATAATAATGTAGCTAGGTAATTCTGTTTATAAATGAAAATACAGAATAAGTAACTAGTCGAGCCCCGCCGTGCGGAAAATAACTATATACACTTAACTTATTTTTAACCTTTCTTCTGAGAACGACTCATAGAATGAGCGATTTCGACGTTAACCACTTTACAATAGAAAATTAAACCGGAGAACGCCGCCATAAAGATGGCAGATCTCGATGAAGAGGCTATTAACCAACCGTCTACTCCATCGCATGACTCTTTAGCAAATGTTGACCAAGACATTTCCGATGAAACACAGGATTTCCGCTTCCTGGGCAGCTTTGCTACGTGAGTACAGCTTGTACAACTTCATCGCAAGCTTAAGACTAATAACAATCTCTCTCCTATTTAGACTGACAGATCATATACCCCAAACGCTTCCCCGACGAGGAGATAAAGATTTCGAGCCCAACCCAACCCTTCACCAAGCCAGCGTATTGACCTCCGCTCGAAATGCTATGCACAATGCCCTCTCTTATCCGCGCCTACATAACACGAAAAATAGAATAATAGGCATATACTACCCTAACGGTCACCAAGGCGATGCCTGTGTTTGCGTACCGAATCCAAGAGGGCAGTATTTCCGGACAATGGCGCAAGCTGACAATATAAATCGGATGTGGTTATTACCAGAGGAGGCTCTCTACCTCCTAGAGAGAGGTAGCCTGGACATCAGATGGCCAGCGGAGGACAGTTGGGAAGAAAAAGCCCCTGAAAACTGTCCATTCGACCTAGAGGGGACCGTTCCAATGAGTTTACAGGCTGCATATGCGTGTTTCCTTGGGTGTCGTGGATTGACTATGGAAAGATACTCGGTATACTCGGGGCTGAGGCGCGGGGGCTATGTTGTCATCCGAGCTGATACCTGGAACGAAGCTCAATCTATAAGCCCGCAGGCACGGACAGAACATAAGAAACCAGTACAACCCCATAGTCAAGGGATTATGAATTCCCTCTCGGAACTGTTTCGCTCTATTTTTTCTATGAGAACGAAAGGGGATACAGTTCATGGACCTGTTATAGGAGTGGGAATACATCGAAGCTATAGTTCGTTTCCCTCTTGCAAAACACTCCGCTTCTCGACGCTATGATTTTAAAAAAGGAAAGAAAAGAAAGGGCGCCATGCTAACTTTTCATAGATGATATATATAGATCTTTATCTATTATCCCTGCATATGACCCATCTCGCCCTGACGGTGAAATAAACCAAGCTCCCACATCTCCTCCTTATCGAGTAGCATTTAACGTCTATAAACCCTCAACACCATATAAGAAGTCCAGTCCGGGTGAACCAGACTTTAGGCTAGCAGTGGTTGATGCCAGGGCTAACCCAATCATTCCTACTCTTGAAAATCTCAGCGCTCTCCTGGCTAGTACTCCTTTGGATCCACCTCTGGGAGAAAAAATGGACAGATTACTCTATATGCGCCTTCGACATGGATACAGAAATGTGATCTTAGCAGTGGTCGACCAGGGAGTTGTTAGTTATTTACGGATTAGCGACTCTGGATTTATGAAGGAGCCGCTATATGCACAGAAGAAGGGGCTGGGGCCTGGAAATAAAGGAAGCCGGCGTCCGCCCCATAAAAAACGATAGTAAAAGTGGAAGATGGATATATCGATACCTCAGCTAGTGTGAAAGCCAGACGAGAAGGCTATGATACCCATTTGCTCTTATGTATTATATTCATCCTCACGAAACATAAACGAAGCTCCAGGTTTTGTTCCCTTGCAGTAATCTTCCGATATAGATCCACCAAGGAAAGGAAATATATGACCAAACTGATGCTAAGGGAGGTTCAATGTATCCATTCTTCTTAGACACACCGTTGAACGCTGCGGCAGACCACGGAACGCAATGCCAAATGGAAATAGCCCGTAGAGGGCAAATGAGGACATAAATAAGTCAGTACTCGGCCAGAAAAAACTCTTGAAAAATGCTAAGCTACTACATCTAACATGGCCTTTTAGGAGGAGTATTAGTGATAGTAGAGCACGGTAGTGCTAGAGCGCTCATGCTATAATATCCGTCAGTAAATACCGTAGTGCAGAAGGACGTAGGATACCAAGGCGAGACGACTAACTATCCAAGTAATCCGCAGCCATTAACAGTTCTAGACACAGCTCGGGAGGAATATCCATGTCAGGAACATTGGTCTGTCCTTTATTCCGTTCATTGTAGAGCAGGTACTCGCAAACCTTTTCCAACACAACTCCACTGAATATAAAAATCAGTATGGTATTCGAGGTTGATTCGGATATAATATCCAAGAACGATGATATGCCGAATAAATAATGTGGGCTTAGGGTCATCATACTTCATTGTCTCCAGCACACAACGCCCCGTTACTGCCTCTGAGAAGTTACCTAGAATATCGATAAGGTCAGGATCAGGGTGGAGGGCGATATAACACTCAATATATCATCGCAACCACCAATTTGAAGGCGCGGGGAGCTGGGTACATGGGTGTAGTTATAAGATGATTGCACTGACTTGTAGGATCCAGCATCCTTCGTATAGTGCCTGATACACAGGCAGCACTCCTGGGGATCACGAACTCGAACCCATCGTTGGAAGCTAGAGTAACAAACTCCTCCGATGTTGCTTGTTTAGTGGACATTGTAGGCGGCAACTCGCAGCGAACGGCCAATCACTTGATACTATCGAGAGAATGAACCAAAGTCCAGAAGATATGCAAGGCCAGTCAGTCATTACCTAAGGCAATAATCACGTGATATTTAGAGTTCCGGTCTTACACGTTATTTACGTTCGATCACCAAGCTATCAACCTCAAAGCTCGACGAGCCAAGCACTTCAGCAGCAACCATTAACCAAATATATACTCAATTTGAATATCAAACACAGCCTCGTATTTGTAAGGGCGCTGTATAGGGTCTCATGTTGTTTAGCCGTTTGCTCCTGAAGAATCGTGCTGGTTATCAGGCTGCACTGCGATATAAAACCCAATACCCATATTCAAACACTGCATGGTATTTCAATTCAGTCAGACTTGAACCATGGAGCTGGTTTTCCCCAGCTACTAGAGCAAGTCACTCTTCTAGTAACCCCCCTGTGTCACCACCTCCGAGCCTGGGTCGTTTGAAGGGGGCAACATGCATGATTACGGGGGGCTCATCAGGCATCGGTCTTGGTATCGCGCATCGTTTTCTGCTAGAAGGAGCCGAGAGGATTATCCTGGTGGGAAGAAATAGAAAACGGCTTGAAGATGCAGTGAAATCGTTGGGCACTGAGATTGCGATAGGGGAATTGCCTAAACCCGCAAAGATAGTTCATTCTGGCTGTTTCACTCTGGTTACAGGGGATGTTGGCTGCCCATCGTTTTGGTGTGAAGAAGTCAAAAGGCTTATGGTATAATTGCCCTTTCATACATACTGCTGTTGATAAGATTCCATGGTCAAGTAAACTAATACGTATCATATAGCGCCGGGTTGATATCTTGGTCAACGCCGCTGGGGTTTCCCACTCGTCTCTACTCTCCACTGCAAAGGATGAACACATTACTCAGCTCCTGCATACAAATCTGCAAGGAACCATCTTCGCCTGCCGAACTATGACCAGGCAGGCACTTCGCCAACGACGAATGCAACAGCAGACGGATGCCTCGACTAGATCCTATCTCGGGACAAAATGCATAATCAACATATCATCGTTGCATGCGTCCAGGGGCGGGGTAGGGGTTGCGACATATGCATCAACCAAGGCAGGCGTGATAGCTCTCACCCGTGCTATCGTTGCTGAGTCGAATTTGCCTTGTTCGGGAGCAAGTATTCGTGCGAATGTTATTGTTCCAGGGTATATCGAAACAAAGATGCTCGATGGTAAGCTCCACTTGGCTTGTTTCTTTAGAAAACTCACCATTAATATCAGCCTAGAGTTGGGCGAGCAGTTCCGAAATGACACGATGCAGTCTATCCCGCTTCGACGGTTCGGCACGATCGAGGAAGTAGCCGATGCCGCAGTATTTGTTGTCACGAATCAATATGCCAACAATTGTGTCCTGAACCTTGACGGAGGATTGAGCGCGGTTTGAAAGGTGATACCATGAATGAATAACTAAGAGTTTTGAGGCGAAGACTCAATGCAACAAAAATGGTATTAGAGGAAGTAGGAAACTGTACTCAACTTCTTCTCTGGGTGAATATGTAGGATAATACAGATAAGAAAGTTAGACTTCCGAATACAAGAATCATAGAGCATCAGCATGAAAGTGAAGAGAAATAAGACCCAGTGTAAATGCAAAAGTGTGAAACCGCGGGATAGTGTTGCACACGTCCGTGTAAAAAACCCGCCGTATCTTTAGTATGTTGCGCCAATCCGGTTCCAAAGTATGTCACCCAATGCATCCCGCACCGGGGCAGACTCAAGTGAAAAAAAATAAAGAAATGAAAACCGCCACCTATAAATTAAGGCCTCCCCTTTCTAATTGTTTTTGTTCAGTTAATCAGCATCTATGAGTATTGTCCCTGTGTCGTCCTCGAGAAGAATGGGGTTTGTTGAGGTGTTATTATCTGTGCCGTTAGATATCTTTTTTGAAGGTTGACCTTCGGCAACCTCGAGTCCTGCTTCGTCAGCTGTTCGCTTGAGTTTAGATACGCCATTTTCCTGGGCTTCAGCAGGAAGCTCTTCATCAGGTTTTGGTTTCCGTGGGATGTCAACGTCAGAAGCCTCGAGAGAAATGGTAGACTTATCATCAGTGCTATTTGAGATCTTAGTAATATGCCGCAAAGCGTATATTCTCTCCCAGTAATGATCTACTTACCGCTCCGATACAAGTATTTCCAGGTTGACACGCGGATTTTCATCTTCTTCGTCCACGACTGTGATAAAGCTGTCCTTTTGGACGCCAAGTTCGCTCAGCTTTTTGGGAAGATTGTCTTCCAAATCCGGGTCGTATATAGTCCCTATTTGATTGCTGATTGAGAATTCCTCGCCGTAACCTAATTCTAGGCGAAGGATTCTTTCGACGAGGTCATTGAGAGTTGCACTCTCTGGATTAATGAAGATCTTTCTCTGAGCCACTGCACAAACGGGGCAGTCAGGGTTTGGAGGCTTGAGGCTATCGGTATTTATAGCTCGAGCACCAGATCGTTCGAGAAATACCTACAGGATCACGTTAGTATAGACCTATGTAACCCAAAAATAAAGAAGGACTAACCATCTTAGCGTTTTCATACTCATCCTTTAGAACCTTGAATGCCTGCAAAACACACAAGGCGGCTGTCATTGCATTCGTAGTTGCAATGGCAGGGATAATATTGCCCGCCATTTCTGTATCAAATTAGTCTTGTGTGAAATGGCACACCAGAAAGAGGGAGAGATCAGGGCTGGACGGTACGTTTGATGTCAAATTTAGATTTGGCTTCTAGCCCGAAAATCGCAGCACGAAGGTTTGAACTCGCAGCCACAAAGTCGAGGGTGTCAATATCATCTTTGTCAAATGACAGAATTGCCTTGTCGCCATCAATTGCGTCTGGTTGTGCATCCAAGAGCCGCTTCTTCAATCTCAAAATGCTATAACATTGATTAGCAACTTCTCAGCCCTATCACAATGATGACACTCAAAACACATTACCTGTCTCTGAAAACGACAAAATTCTGGGCCACTGTCCAGATCTTTTGATCATCAGAGCAAATGCTTGTATCTATTCCTTTCGATTCTTCAACAAGAGGGCCGTAAGAGAGTGGCTGTGGCGCAGGTCGAGACTTCCACATCTCTTCAATAGTCTGGAGGCGTGCAATGTCTTTGTAGAAGACCTTTTCAAACACCTTTTCTGTGAATTCCTCTGAGGGCATGGAGTTTCGGATCTCCTTTAAAGCTTTAGCTTCCTGTCGCAGGTTTTCAATCTCACCCGCTGATATACCCTGTTAGTTTACATGTACGATCTTTTAATGAGGCCAAAAGGAGTCTGGCATACCATTATCCGCATCTTCAGAATGATCTAGCTCAACGTCATCCTCACTCGTTCCAAAGAGCTCTCTATAGAGTGGAAGAAAAAAAAAAAAGAGGCAAACAACGTCAGCTTCGGCGTGCAGAGTGAAAAGTTGGGTGATAACTTACGGGAAAAGATAACTCTTGGCCCATACGATGCAATGGATAGGCTGGCTGGGCGTACTCCTTATTGTGCAGACGGGAAAGGACTTGGGCACTGGCTTGTTTGTGCAGTCATAGCATTCGGTGCGCGCCTTCTTAATGACCTGGACCTGACCATTGTATCCTGTAGTGCCACTTTCTACGAGAGGGACGTTTGCAGCCAGACACATCCGGTTGACATGTCTCCTCGCATCGAGGTTATCAAGGGCGTTGAAGACGAGGTCAAAGGAGCTGAACCAGTCGACATTGAACCGGCTCTCCTTGATGTTTGCATGGTACGCCTCGATGGTAGACTGAGGCCTGAACTTCTGAGCGACCTCCTTTGCGACCTGTGAGATGAACAACTTAGTAAAGAGGGCTTATAGGAGCAGTAGAGGCAGGAGGAGTCGACGTACGAGAGCCTTGGGTTTCTTGATGTGCTCATGGCGAAAGAGGAACTGCCGGTTCAGGTTCGAAAGGTCGATGGTGTCCAGGTCGATGATGTGGATGGTCCCGAAGCCAGAGAGCAGCAGGTTCTTGAGCAGCTCGCAGCCAATGCCCCCGGCGCCGACGAGCAATACACGACTCTGCTGGGGGTCAGCGTACTGTAGTATATGTACCAATGGATGCTCTCTTCCTACCTCATGGACCTTTGGGAGCAACGAGCCGATCGACTGCTTGAGAAATCGGTCGCGGCCATGCGCCGCGTGTGGTGACATGGCGCGCAAGAGGGTGCCAGGATGACCACCACAGACGCAGGTACAGAGAGAGAAGCGACAGGACGACAGGCTATGCGCAGGGGGGGAGGAGGAGGAGGAGGGACGACTTATCTAGATATCTTCTATGGAATAGTATCTAAGTCTGCGCGATGAACTCGCTGGTGGCGGATGAAGGAAAAGGCAAGTTTGGCTTTTGGCGGCTTGAAGAAGCGCAAGATGGGGAAGAATAAGGAAGAGAAAAAGGGTGGAAATGTGGATTTCGGCCGTTTAAATCGCTATGTAGTTTATCGATTAGCTTGTCTGAGCAAAGAAGACAAGCAAAACACTCTCTCTTCAGCTTTGTATTCTTTCTTCTCTTGCTTGTGTTAGATCGTAGTTATCTTCCTATGCTCTGTAGAGACAGCCTGCTGAGACGGACACGATAATACGAAGGCAACAAACGCAAGCAAGCAGGAAATGATATATCAAAACCCTTGTATGTTTACTTTTATCTACTGCGTACAAGGTTGCAAGAGGCATTTCTAACATCTTCCATCTTCCATCTTCCGTAGAAGACTTGCATTTCTCCTAACTAGCTTATGATGTAGCTTCGTTGGATGTACATTAACCAGAGCTAGCTACCTTGTGCCTGCAAAAGAAATATACACAAGACAGCTTCTTCCTGCATCAACTTCTTCTTCTCCTCCTTTCTTTTCTCTCTTCATCATCATCTTCTTTACTTTTCCTTCTCTTCTTCTCCTTTTCTTCCTCTTCTTTTCTTCTTCAAGCTCAAAAAAAAATAAAAGAGGCTAAAAGCGGCACTAAAAATATCCAAAAATGGACATATAAATTTCTACAGTGAAAAAAATTTTTAAGAGAAGAAGAGAAAATATTCAAGTTTCAAAACATTTCGGTCTCTTCTTCTTCTCAGGCGTTTGATAATCTGGCGGCTCTCCTGTTTAATACCCTCTCTGTGTTGCAGTCTATCATCAAATAACATTTGCCGTCTCGGGGTAGAAGATATCACTAGTCATAGCTGTGGGCATCTCTTCTACGGACAGGCTGCTTTTCCCGTTGTTATCTCCCTGTTTACCTGTCTTTGCATATTCCTTTCCCTTCCATATATACATAATGTACAACGACGATTATGATGACGATGGGCCGGACTTGGAGCTGCTGGAGCTGCTCAGACAGTCTCTGGGGCTTGGAGGCCGTCCTTCAAAGACGCCGCAGCCAGCAGAGACAAAAGTGCTCGAGGGTGCAAAGTACGTCTTTGACAACTCTATCGACGTTGCTCTGGACCCCAAGGGAACCAGGCGGGCAGCTGAAACCATCTGGAAGACGATGCAGGAGAAGGAATACTCGACCGAGTCGTGGTCGGCCCATGAGCTTCACCCAAAGGCCAAAGACGAGTCCACCGTTGATTTCATATTTACCATGGACCTGCTGAACTTTAGCTTCTGGTCGGACGAGCTAGACGCCTCCAAGAGATTCGCTGTCGATTATCGTGGTAGGAAGTGGACCGGATACTGGAGTCTGGTCGCTGTCCTGCAGAGGGCCCTTGACGAAGGTAGTCACCTCCCCAGTTGAATTATCTCTATACCAGATATAAGAATGGCACAATGCTGAGACTTACAGAGATTCCAATTACGAGCCCTGACTTTTGGCGCGATGAAGTTGAGTGCACCGATGATGTGCTGAGACACGTCTTTCGGTCCGCCACGGACGAGGAGATCCCTCTTCTCCAGGAACGAATCGCCTGTCTACGCGAAGCAGGAACTGTTCTTTATGAAGTATGCCTTTCGTTTCACTGCCCACTATACGCTGTTTCCTGGCCCTATGCTGACACACTGCGCTAATCTTAGAAATATGAGTGCAGCTTCTCCCAATGCATTGCCGAAGCCAATGGCTCAGCCGCTGCTTTGGTGAACCTGCTGGCGCAGAACTTCCCTTGTTTCAGAGACGAGACAGAATTCTGTGGAAAGAAAGTTCGGTTCTACAAACGTGCCCAGATTCTCGTGGCAGATATCTGGGCTTGCTTCCAGGGCCAGAGCTACGGAGAGTTTCACGACATAGACAAGATCACCATGTTTGCTGGTATATCTCTTTCTTTTTTTACTTTTATATCTTCCCCCCCCAATCCCAACATTTTTATTCTAATTTTTCGATGTAGACTATCGTATTCCTCAGATGCTTAACCAACTTGGCTGCCTTCTCTACTCCCCGCCCCTGGAGAGTATCATTCGACAGCGTAAGCAGATACCCAGCGGGCATCAGAGAGAGGTTGAGCTCCGCGGTGCAAGCATCTGGGGCGTCGAATTGATACGACGGGAGATCCAAGAGCTTCAGCGGCAGAGAAATGGCCACAAGGCAGAGGGTGCAAAACCTTTACAGGTCAATGCGATTTTGATTGATTTTTTATTGTATGACATGGTAAAGGATATAGAGGTAGAGGGAAGGGAGACTATCCCTCATCATCGGACAAGGAGCATCTGGTATTAATCTTTGCTTCTCCCTTTTTTTTTTTCACTTCACTAGACTTTATTATATAGATACAGCCTTTTAATGCTGCGTGATGTCTTAGTGCGAATTCTTCTCAATTGATATTCATCAGTATAAATTACATGGGGTATGGCGCTCCGTACTCCGTAATAATGCAGGGGGTTATTGTCCACAAGTATGCCCAATAAAAATACGAAAAATCAAGCAGGGTGCAAAACCAAAGAAGGGGGTGGGAAAAGGACAGGAAATTGAACGAAAAGTTAGATCTCAATCTGCTCTATCCACATCATGATGCGGTCTCTCCATGTTCCAAAGGAGTGCCTCTTGTCCTCGCTCAGCCAGTCAACCTGTGGGTGCATCATCGTGCCTAGTCCAGGCAGCAAGGTGTTGCCGTAAGTGTATTGGTCTTCCGCAGTCGGAAGTCTTCTCCCTGCGTGCTCTCCCCTGCTCTTTACCATCTTCCTCTTAGGGCTCAAAATTTCGTCCTCGTCTTCCACGTCAGACTCATCGTCCAGCCCTCTCTTTCTACTTTTATTTCTCTGGCGCTGGGCTTCAATTTCCTGCGCTGTTGGCAGGGGTACATTCTCGAACCACTGCTGATCAATCGCCCAGCCCATCTCGAGGATGATCATAAGCCATTCATGGACCTCCATTGGGAACTTTTCATAGCCCTCTACCATTCGGGGTAAGTTGACACTATCCAGTGCGCGCCCTACGGTCTCTTCCAGGTGTGTCTCATTCATTTCTGCAATTGGTTTGCCGGGATACTGCTGTTTCTCTCCGTCGTATTCCATGCCAAGCCGACGCGTGTATACAATAAAGTAAATGGCAATAATCAAGGTGGTTGTTCTCTCCTGTGTTCTCCTTTGTTCATCAGAATTGTCCCGTATTTCCCTGCATGACAAAACAGGGGAGACGAGGTCCCTCCACTTTTCCGTTAGGCGTGTATCCGAAGCTAATATTAATGATACCACGGAACAAAGGCCTGCATATATGTGGGGTGGCAGAGCCGAAGCAAATGTGCTGGGTGAGGGTATCTTTTCGGCTAACTTGAGGGAAGGAAGCGTCTTGCATATTGTCCTTATCGTCCCCATTGTCCACTGAAGCATATCCTCGATTGGAGGGCTGCTTGTCGCCAAATTTGAAATCGCATTATTTTGTCTACTTGACGTTTTAACCTGTGGGGGGGAAGATATGGCGGATGATGTTGCGGTGGGAGTAGGCAAAGCTGGGGGAGCTGTAGCTCTGTTGTTTTTTATCCTGGCAGATGTTCGTTTCTGTGGTTGGGACTCTACGCACTGACGCTTCGAGCTCGCCGAAGAGCTCAAAAGTGACTGCTCGAGATATGAATAGAGCTTTTTGTATACCCGGGGAGGACATGGCGGGCGGCTGAGGGCGGAAGGAAGTTTCAACGTCCTCGATAGCCTATCATCCACTGAGTTAGCTCTCCGTCAGAGTGGGCTCAAGAAGACCTCGACAGCTTTTACCTCTTGCAGGCAATTTCAGCACAAGCATAGGGCCTAGCAATCTCCATCTCAGGCTTCAGAGTCGCACCACAGCTCCGAGACTGGGTGAGAAGAGAGGATGCGAGATGCAGCAGCTCGCGAGGAAGCTCCTCCGCCAACGCAGGGAGAAGACCGGCCAGTGCTTGCTCGATGGGTCTGTGGCTCATACTGGCTATCAATTATCAATTTAAACAAGAGATACCGATATATCTTTTTTTTTCGTTGCACCAACGATACTCCGTACAGGAAAATGGGATGCTGCTGTCCATTATCAACCGTCCTTTTTTTCTTTTCTTTCGCAGTGGTTGGATCCTTTTATTTTTTGCTTTCTATCTCATCTTCTTCCCCAGCCACCCAAAATAGGCCAAGAAGTTGACGCGAAGATACGCGCGAGACGCGTCACTTTAGGTAAGCTCTCCTCATCACATGATCAGAGTTTCATTCATACCGGAATCGCGTAGGTTTGAACTACTATCGGAATACCGTTTTTCCGATATTCAACGTAAAAATTACCTTTTTTTAGTAACCACAACGTATATAACTGTTAACTACTACGTATTTTTATTAATACGTAACAAGGCTATACAACCTTTAAAGAAATTCTACCTTTTTTTTAGATTACTAAGCATGTTTCATATTACTTTGAAATTTTCTCTAAGTATGGCGATAAGCATACAGCATATACGGCGATGAGTATGGCGATGGACATGGCGATGAGCATGGCATATATGGCGATGAGCATGGCGATGAGCATACAGCATATATGGCAATGAGCATGGCGATGGGCATGGCATATATGGTAGTAAGTATAGTAGTGGACATAGAATAATAGGCGTGGCAATAAGTATATCAATCTAGTAGTAAGTAATAGAGAGGTTGTAGGTTGGTTGTGGTTACGTTGTTATTACATTACTAGTTGAGCCCGGTATGGTTCCCTTCTTCGCGCCTTGCTCTTCTTCCACGAGAGATAGATATTCCGCCCACCTAATTTTTTGACTAAAAACTTCACAAAATAATACCTAAATTTGGCTATGCGATGGTGAAGCTAAATAATCAAACCCAATGGGCTCTCTCAAGAAGATAACTTGCTCCAACGCATCTACTGAGTCTTCCTTCAGCGCATCCATTTCTCTTACCTTAACTAACTTGACCAGTACCTTGGTTCTAATAACAATTCATTTGACTGGGCAATGGTAGTTCGTTACAACAAACGAGCATCCACATCGTCAAGTATAGGCGGATTTATTTCATGGACCATGGTTCGGGGATTAAACCGCATGAACGGTATTTTACATGCTTCTGCTGGACAAACCTTTCGCGGCGTTCCTCTTCGGAGATCCTTCAGTATTAAATGTTCCAATATGTACACTCCAATTCTTCCGACTCATACAGTGGAATCTGGCGAACATCCTTTCTTCAATTACACGTCTGGCCGCTGGCTATGGGACGAAGAAACCCAGCTCCAAAAACGCTTTCAACGCTTCAATATCCGACAGCTCCAAGAACGGGCTGTGCGATGTGCTAGCGCGAGTTCATGTACTGGCATGGTCAAGCTACAGGAAGGCTTGTATAATAAGGCCTTTCTGCTTTCAATGGATAATGGTGTTCAAGTTGTTGCGCGCATCCCAAATCCCTACCTACCTCCTCGAGTTGCGACAGCGAGCGAGGTTGCAACCCTCGACTTTCTCCGAAATGAACTTGACCTTCCAGTACCCAAGGTACTAGCATGGAGTAGTGATAAAGACCAGCCCGTTGGAACGGAATATATCATTATGGAAAAGGCTCCAGGTGAAGAGCTGGGGAAGTCCTGGTCGACCTTAAGCATTTCAGAGAGGGTTGGCATTGTGTCCCAATTGGTCAAGATCCAGGCAACTCTGTCTTCCGTTGATATGAAGCATTATGGAAGTCTGTATTATAGCGGAGAGGAAGGAGGCCATGAAAGTATTCCTGGGGTTTCTGACCGGTTTTGTATTGGCCCTTCTTCGGCTATACGATTCTGGGAAGAAGAGCGTATGTCCATGGCGGAATACAGAGGGCCCTGTAAGTGTAGCATTTGCAGTTTACTTTGTATTCATATCACTAACGTTACCGTCTCCTAAGGGTCATCTCCCCTTTCATACGCTAAAGACATTGCTAAACGAGAAATGAATTGGATACGCAAGTTTGCAAAGCCTCGAGACCTATCTGATCCCTTGAGGCAGTCAACTAGCCAAGAATCCCCCAGTTGCCATCTCCAACTTTTGAGCCAATATCTAAAAATTGTATCTCAGACAATACCATTGGATGAACACCTAAATCGAGCAACTCTCTGGCACTCAGACCTACACTCGGGAAACATCTTTATCAAGGACAACAAGATAGTCAGCATTATTGACTGGCAAGGCTGCATGAGCGTCCCACTTTTCATGGCTGCTAGAATACCTAAGTTTTTGAAGTTCGATGGTCCAATGCTTTTTGACCTTCCTTCAGCTGCAAATCTCACAGAGATGGAAAAGAAGGAGACGTTGCTCAGATACGAACTCACCCAGTTGCAGGGGTTTTATGTATCCAAATTCCAAAACTTAGGTAGCAGTGCCTATGAAGCCTTATCATACCCCTATGCTACGATCCGGCAACAGCTTATAGACCTTGCAGGCTTTACATGGGAGGATGAAGGGCTGTTCTTCTTCCGGGAGATGTTGCATCGCATCTGGCATGATTGGGGTGAAATTAGCAATCAGCCCGCTCACAAATGCCCCATTGAATTTGATCCAGATGAGCTTTCATCCCACGCTGCTGAGAAAAAGGGTTGGAATGACTATAAAGCGCTATTTGAATCTTTGGGCATTTCTAACGATGGCTGGGTTCACTCTGAGGACTTTGGAATGAAGGCGAAGGCAATGCGAAACCTGGCGATGGAAATATTGAACTCTTCCGAAGACAGAGAGGAAGCACGACGCGCACTCATAGCTTGGAAGCTCTCAGATCCGGCCTCAACTCATCTATCACCGAAAGTAATAGACGTTTGAATAATGCCTAAGCTAGGATTTGCAGGCAGTCCTAGAAAATATTGATGGCATTAGTACCATGTTCACAGATTCGGTTCTCTCAGGCGGTGGTGAGCTCATAGGTTTTGTACACACGGAGTAGTAACGACTGAAAGCTAGAATGTTCGGAACAGCAAGGACATTCATGCCGGTTATAGAGGCGGAGGAACTGCGAAACTAACAGTTATATCCCTGCATTTTGTTGTCTTGTGATATCCTTTTTTTTTTTTTTTTTGAGAATGACAATTAACAATATGTACATCGAACGAAAGTTTTCATAGCACCATGTTTATAGTCAACCATCGACGTACTTGCTGTATGTCTTCTCTCCCCCTTCTTTTTTTCTCCCTTCCCCCTATATATGTCACTTGATCCCTGCACCCAGTTTGGAAAGTCGCATATGGTACATAATGCTACCTAGGTATGCAGCAGGGGATGTTCTTTCAAAAGGGCGCGAGCCTTTAAAAGGAACGGTGGAAGCCCGAAATTTGAAATGGCGGTCTTCCTTTACTCCATAACCCAAATGCCATCTTTATTTTGAAAGTTGCATCCCAGGTATATGACCCTGGATTCCTTATTCCCCGATTCAAACTGATATGGATGTGCGTTATGTAGATTCAAAGCCGTTCTCATGTCTATACCCAAGAAAGTAGTGAAAAACTTCATTACGAAATTTAACGTAACAAGGGTAAAGGCGAAACTATCCCCTCAGAATGCCGGCTGCCGATTATTTCCCACACAAACGCCACAAAATGATGCAGAATCCAACCTTAGGGGTGACCAAGGATCCGAATACTCGAACGAGCCGGGCACTTTTTCTGTCAACATACAGGCCAACGCAGATGCATCCAATAGCTCCGTTAGAAGATTTGCGCAAAAAAATCCTCATCAGAAGCTTTTTTCCTTCCCGATGAAAAAGGACGATCCAGATGAGGAGGTCATTGAAAAGATGATGGAAGCTGCTAAGAAGAATGGGTTCTTATGATTTGGATCTTATTTTATGTCCATAAAACTAAGGATAGGGGGTGGAAATTTCTCCGGGAAGATCAAGGATAAAGTGTACCTGCCCATATTACGTGCAGAGGAATAGATATAACGGATGTGGCAAGAATACTACTACCAACAAAATCTACCCCGGAGAGAGAGCTATTTGCAGACCTTCCCCCGGAATGCGACATATTTTCTCTCATTCACGTATAGGCACTTGATCGCCAATTATTATATCGATAAAAGAATGATACCCCCTCTTCGTACTATGTATACCTTGGATAGCTTGCCTAATGGCGATCATAGTAGCCCTATTCACTCTACTAGTTAGTCCACTGCTAATGGTAAACTAGATAGCTAAAGGAATTAGGAGCCATCTCCGGCCAAAGGTATTGGCTGATTGACCGAAGAGAAGTTGCATACATATGTATGTATAGGCATTCGTTGTCCAAATATTGAGGACCGGCATTTAAATCATTGGATATAGTAGGTAAAGCGTTGAAAAGGACTGAGGTTAGCCGATTAACCACATCGAGCATCATGGGCTCTTCTAAACTAAGTCTTGGCTATATCACGTGAGTGTATCGGATTACCTGTGTAAGTAGACCGAAAAGTTCTGTCCGAGCGGAAATATGCTACTCCCCGCTCTGCCCCGGAGAGCACCAGGCGGAAAGTTCGCTACGGAAGGCTCTCCGAGGTACAGCGGAGGAGCAAAACGATGGCTCAACGTCCAGATAAATACAGGATAGAATGGTGTATAGGTGCGAACTAGATGTATAATGATGGCCGCGAGAATTCGGCTTCTATATGGAAGGTCTCTTAAGGGGATAGTGGGGGAATACCGGGAGGCAGCCCGTCGGCCGAAAAGGCGCTTTCCAGCCAGCAAGCATGGTACTATGGACGAGACGATGAAACTGGTAATTCCCTCCCTCACTTTATACATGATGGAGAAGATGAAGAAGAGGAAACAAAATCCCTATTATCTTTAGCTCTTTGCTCAAGTGCCTCTGTTTCTCAGCACCTCTCAACGCTAAAAATGAAAAGAGGACATCTACAGCTTCCATAATACCGAATAATTTACATGGTGTTCCCAACTCCAGCTTCAAGCAACGGAGCTTCCTTGGTATTCATAGTTACTGCATGAACAACTTGGATGATTATACGGAGATAGTAAAGCAGTCGTTGTGGCCTGAGATCTGGCTGAAAGGCCATATTCGCCTGAAATTCGAGGGCCTCTGTGGAGAATGTTTTGCGGGGATGATGGCCTAGCCGAGGGGAAATGATAGACCTAGATCTATGCCTAGGTAGGCGCCGATATCCAATGGAATATACCTTCTAGCCAGTCAAAACGGAGGATCGGATCGCCCTACTATGTACACCGCCGGCTAAAAGACTGAAGGGAGGGGCTCGGTTGGCCATCGGTACGTTGTCTCTTACCGGGCTTGCCAGTTTAGCCATACTTTTATATATAAAGAGTGTATGCAGGACATAGAGAACAAGTGTTTTATATATACGTGAGGAGGCCAAAAGGGCTAACACTAGATTTATCAGTTGAGCAGGCTTTTTGACAGTAACAATGGGTCAGTCCTATAAGGAGATATCGGCGATAGCACAGAAGAGGAGAGACGATGCCATTGCTGCCTTTTGGTCTATTCCCGACATCAAGGAGGATGAACTGCCACGGGACTTGAGATCGTACCCTCGGACATCTGGCCTTCTCACCGATGAAGAGCTAGCGATTGTCAATACCGATGCCACGGTACTTCTTGAGCAAATCAGGGAGAGGAAGCTCTCCTCGGTGACGATAACCACAGCCTTTTGCAAGGCAACCGTCATTGCACAAAAGCTGGTATGTCCTGCTCACTAGCCTTCAAGTATCGGTACCAAATCTAGGCTAACATATGGTAGACCAACTGCGTCACTGAAGTTCTGTTCGAAGAAGGACTAAAGCGTGCAAAGGAGTTGGATGACCACCTGCAAAAAACCGGCCATGTTGTTGGGCCGCTTCATGGATTGCCAGTCTCGCTCAAGGACAACTTCATGACAGTACCCCATCCATCGTCCATTGGGATGGCAGCCTATACCAACGAAACAACTATAAAGGATTCCGTGATAGTGACCGGGCTCCGTGAGTTAGGCGCCGTCTTCTACGTCAAAACAAACGTGCCCACGGCCATGCTGATGGTAGAGACAAATAACCGGGTCTGGGGCGAGACTCGAAATCCCATCCACAAGGGATTGAGTCCCGGTGGCTCATCCGGCGGAGAAGCAGCCCTTATTGCACTAAATGCATCGCCATTGGGAGTCGGAACAGATATTGGAGGCAGTATCCGTATCCCCAGTGCGTTCTGTCATCTGTACGGCTTGAAGCCATCATTTGGACGGTTCTCGACACTCGGTGGGCGAGCAGCCATCCAGGGCCAGGAGTTCATACCCTCTGTATGCGGGCCAATGGCAACTTCACTCGACACTGTCAAGTTGTTCTGCGAGTCGATATTGTCTGAGCAGGCTGCGCAGTTGAATGCTGACCCCAAGCTTCTCCCTATTCCCTGGAGAAAAGATGTTATCCAACCCAAAGGGCGAAAGCTACGTATCGGGATACTTGGGAACAATGATGGAGGCATGACATGCTACCCTCCCATCGATCGTGCCCTTGATATCGTAGTTAAGGCGCTAAAGGAGGCAGGACACGATGTCTTTGAGTGGTAGGCTATATGACCCCATCAATTTCATACCTAAGAATACCCTACTAATCGATTATTTCTCCCAAAGGGCTCCAACCGGCCATAAAGAGGTGTTGCAACTTGCCATCGAGGCGTTTAAAGTGTTTGGGACGTCCGCCATCCTTCCTCAGCTGGAGAAGCACGGCGAGCCTCTTTTCAAGCCGATGGAACTGGCATTTTCCATCATCAAGGACAACCAACTGGATGCCGTAAAACTGAGCGACATGATTATAGAACGCAACAACCTTCAGAGACAGTATCTTGACAGATGGATGGCAACCAGGACAGACACCGCTGGCCCTATGGACTGTATTATCGCGCCAGCAGCCGTCGCTCCAGCCGCTCGTTTGGGATATGGCGAAACGATGCAATACTTTGGTTTCACTATATTCGGCAATCTCCTAGGTGTGTTCTCCCTCTGTCTTCCTCTGTTACTATCACCCTGTGTGTATGCTCATATAGCCATTCTACGCAGACCTCCCCTCCTGTACGTTCCCAGTAACATACGCAGACAAGACCGTCGACTTGAAGAGAGATGCGAGCTGGAAGCCGCTAAACGACCAAGACCGGTTTATGCAAGAGGAGTATGATCCCGAGTTCTATGACGGGGCGCCGGTCTCCCTACAGCTGTACGGCAAGAGACTCGAGGAAGAGAAGGTGGTTGAGATGGTGGAAATCGTAGCTAATGTTGTAAAATTCCAGAGTCGTTAGATAGAGACATGCCTAGCATCTTATATAGTCAGTTCGAATAGATTAGAGGAATTTTTTCATCATACATAGTAAAGACAGCAACCTTGTCCCTCTACAATGTTAAGGTGGAAGTCTTAAGTCTTGGCCGGATGAGAAAATCCGTTGCCATGGACAACCTTCCAAGGCCGAACGATACAACCAGGCAGCCAAAGAAGTGACAACGATTTGGGAATACTCACGCGGTGGAACAACACCATACAATCGAGTACTCAGTAGCCTTCTGGTCGAATTAAACCCACAAATTCGTATATCTATCAGCATGGCACCCCGCCGAAGAACCGGAGACTCCAGCGCATCGCGCAAAAACAACCAGGCAACCCTCCAGTTCGGCACTCAGTCAAAGGTATCAAAGCCATTCTCGAGCGCATCGATACCCGGAAAGGACTTGGAAAAGGGGCCTCTATCGTCTAAAGAGATATCTCTGCCTACTCACTTACCGGCAGCAGCGAAACAGCATGACGGCCAGCCTGCTACCGACGTTCAAGAAACTCCAGCATCAACCACTTCCACTGCTGTCGTGCAGGAGCAAGCCAGGGCCGAGGTAGCGCTGCCTAAGTCCGAGGAGGACCAGCGAGCAGAAGCGCTGACTGTTAAGGACTTGGATGAATACTGGCGGGCAGAGGAGAGGAAGCGGACAGCAAAACGAGGTATACCGTTCGCCTTTTGTTCTACAAAATAGTACGGAGAGCGTACGAGCTGACCTGTTTTACAGTACATCAAGCAGATCTAAGCTTGGAAGAGAAGATTTTACGGCACTTTGACCTTTGCAGTCAGTATGGTGTAAGTTGGCCTTTTTCCCTAGCAAGGATAGAGAAAGTAGCAAAGCTGACTCTGTCATAACATAACAGCCATGTATTGGAATTGCACGGATAAAGCGCTGGAGGCGAGCCCATATGCTTGATTTAAATCCGCCGCTTGAAGTCCTTACGGTTCTGCTCAAGGAAGAGACCCAGGAAAAGGCGTATGTAGACGAGTTGTTATCGTGATACTGCGTTCAATTGGGTATCTCCATTGCTCTGTATGATTCTTCTTGTTCTTGCTCTCATTTTGTTTAGGCACTGCTGGACAGCGATAATGCTTCATTTTTCCTAGCTTGTTTGTTTCCTCCAGTTTGGATGGAAGAATTGGCCAATCCCGATTAGATGATTTCTTTACTTCCCTTTCTCGCTTGGAATCACGGGGCATGTTTTGCTTTTTGGGCATCGGCTTGATGCTCGGGACTTTTGAGGTTGGAATCAATTATAATACCCTTTTTTGTTTACCTTTCGTCTCCTCATTCTACCATGGCAAACATATAAGAACGGCAACAATTGAACTTGTCCATTGAGATTGTGATGAGCTGGCGGATGCGTTGTCACACAGCAGGTATGGTCGAAGTGCGGATGGCAATTTTCCTGTACTTGTCCTGGCATCTGGACTAGAGAATGGGGTTTGTTCTTCCGCCCTTCGTCCAGCCCCCTCGTTCACATGAAAAAGGAGAGACAGAACGGCTGGCGGTTCGATAGAAGACGGGAAAAAGACCTGGGGAATGGCGTTTAATATCCTCGGGACAAATACTCCATCTGAATCCGTCTTTCGCCCATTACCCCGGATTAACAAGCAGGCGGAAGACCAGCCCCCTTTTTTTATATTTTTGCCTCGCATGGCCTTGGACACCTTCGGCCAGCCTATGCATGCAGGGTATCGTAAAGAGTGGCTCCCCCATCCTGGAATCTTTTATCTGCATGATATGCACGGATAGAGTTGCATGTTTGTATGTATAGGATTAGAGAGTTCTCATGGGTTGTGTCAGAGTTCAATATCAACCCCTTCCCGAGCTGCAAGACGAACCAACCGGACAGCCTGACAACCTGACAGCATGCATGAAGCTCTTCCTTTCGGTTCTTAAAGAGGAACTAAACAATATTCACTCATCCTTGATGTGCTGGATCCTCGCACGCAGGAACACCAATCGAACGCCAGTCCAAGGTTTGCTCCCATACTATGTATTATACAAGTAAAGGGGGGAAGGGGAGGCTGGGCTCTCCTGCTCGCCTACATAGTACATACTTGCCCTGGCTTACCCCCTTTTTTCCTTCTCACCGAGGTTTGACAGACAATGAGCCAGCGATCAATATCTACTATATGTATGTATGTACCCAACGGCTGACATGACCATGCATATACAGCTAATAATTTCATACAATGGAACCTGCATCTACCAAGGCATACACCAAACATAGAACACAGCGAACACCAGCCAAGAGAAGAATGAAACACCGACATGTTTTGGAACCAGGCTTGAGCTTTTCGCCTTCGCCATCCATCACCATCGCCGTCGGGGGAGGCTGTGAAATGCTACATCCGTAATCGCGACGATGTATGTAATACGATCGTGACAAGATATATTTTGTTTCTCCCGCGGTTACTCGGCTACTCGCCTTGCCACGAACTCTTTACCCCGGCACGCTGAATGCGACGATGTGACGTTATCCAGACGGAGCCATCGCCTCTTTGGGGATCTCCGGCCTTGGACCTTGAGCTAGGATCGGATGCCTTTGCTCACATATTTCGTGTGTCAAGCAGGGAGTCCATGGCATGAAGGGCATGAATCAGTGCTCAATAATAATGGCACTCTTATAATATTCCGTGGGACTTTTGCAAAAAAAAAAAAAAAAAAGTACGGAGGGAGAGTTGAGAGGAGCACAAAATTACCCCAGATCGGGCTTTTTAATATACATATATACCATGCCATAACGTTGGTGAGTTATCTGAGGGTCCCCCTTCATGGATGATACGACAAGTGGCACAGCTAGCCATCGTTATTTTCCAATGTGGCATTCAGTCCAATAGCATCGTCTGTTACTATTAATCGATCGAGATGGGTGGTTGGATCGATCATCATCGTTTGAGGAGAATCTCTCTCAGGCGAATCGACCAGTTGACACAAATGTGTGGTATTTATCCAGGGCAGGTAATCAGCAGGTGAGCTTCGAGCAGGGCAAGTCGGCTCCCTACTCGCCCAACCACCAACAGCTCAAAGGAATTGAAGAAAAAAGCGGTTTACGGTATACGAGACGCCTGCGCATCCCCTACCGGGATCTCCACGGGTAAACATTAGTCTCTTCCTCTCATGGCTAGCTTCTTTCACTTCGCCTACATCTTGCGTCGACCACAACGATGAACAAGAAGTCGATGGCCAGTAGGGATGCTCCATGTGGATACTGACGTGAGACATCGACCCCAGCCTCTCAAAAGGACTTCTCGTTTCTTTTTCTTTTTCCTTTTTTCTTTTTTCCTTTGCATAAACAATGCCATTCAGGATGCTGAGAAGGGATGGCCAAGCGGCTTCCCCGTTCCAACCGCCGCCAGAGAGAGAGTCATGGAGATCAGCCACGGAGAAGAGCGATAAGACCACCGCCAACTACAAGCCAAGAGCTTTATTGGCATTGAATATCATTTCGAGAAACATGGAGCGCTAGGGAGGGGTGAAGAGAGATGTGGAAGATGCAATGATGTGCCCATAACCCTATCGTTATGAACAGGGGTTTCCTTTCCTCCCTTAGCCAGTTCGCACGAAAGGGATAAGTTCAACCGCTCCATTTATCTTTACACGGAAGGACTTAGCAGCATTACTAATTCTAACCAAATGGTCAGAAACAGCGAAGAACTGGATAAGGGGGAAGAAAAGCTTGACTGTCTCCTTTTCAAGCGATCGGATCTCGTTTGCCACTCAACAGGCTTCGTACTTACGGAAGTACCTATTATGTATGTGTGTACATATATATACATACATAATGGAGCATATATACTTCCTTCAGAGCTAAGAGTGAGCCTGGGGTAGCCCAAGTGAACCAGGTCTCTCTCGAGAAATGAAAATAGCATCTCGCTAGTCCCTCTCTAGGTTACGACGCCTCTCCACCCGGGGTAAGAAGAGAGGTGCGAAGATTATACCCGAGCAAGTTACATATATGGATACATGATCACATACTCAGATGTGTGCCTGTGTATACTCTGGAACCGCGGTACAGTGCATACGTCCCTCCAGCTTGCATCACAGCAACCCCTATTGCTGTGTCATTCTTTGCCGTCACTGTAACCACACAGGATCAGCTCATGGCTCCATGGTTACGGGGTGAATGTACCTCTTTGCTATGTACATGCTAAATACTTATATCGCAATATATGAACAGACAATTTCTGGTATTGCTGGGCCGCCCGGATATTAAAGAGGATGCATGTGAAATTTTCAGACATCGTTTCCTCGAATCGTACTATGGATATCGTTTCCCCAGCCCGTCCTTTTCGTTTCCTCACCCTGGTCCCATGTGCTGAATAAGTCTCCATCCACGAGAGAAGGCCCTTTTTTTTTCTCCTTCCCATGAGCTCTCTCGCTGGCCGATGAACTCGAGGGCGTGGGGTATGGAGCCCTTTCTGTTCCCACTCCTTGCTTTAACCTGCTGGGGCTTGGATGCTGTTGTTCCTTTTCTTTTTTGCCCTCTCTTTGCTTTTTCTGTTATTATTTATTGCCTCTTGTTATTTTTTAATTTTTTTTTGCTGTTTGTTTTTTGCAGTTGAAATCCTTTTGGTGGCTGTTCTGGAGAGAGATATAAAGCTGTTCCATCCTCCTATTCTTCCATATCTCTCCCCCTTTCTCCTTTTCATCCTACGCAACAGCTCTAAATCTTTGACACTCGTTTCGTCGTTCAACTGTCGTTTACGCTCGCATTAATACAAGGTCTCGTCTTTCCAACAAACCGACAAAATGAAGTTCTCCCAAGCCGTCGTTGCCCTGGCTGCTGCCACCGTCGTCTCTGCTCAGCTCCCAGACGTCCCACCATGCTCCGTATGTTGTCTCTTGGACGAATTAACAAATGAACTAGAACTAACATCTCTCTCTAGCTGAGCTGCTTCGTTGATGCTCTCGGAAGCGATGGCTGCAGTGACTTGACCGACTTCAAGTGCCACTGCTCGAAGGCAGAGCTCCCATCTAAGATCACCCCTTGCGTCAAGGCCGCTTGCCCTGTGGAAGACCAGATCAGTATGTTTGTCCATGTGCTATTGTTCGCTACGCATTTTTCAATACTAACAGCCGTTATAGAGGTCTCCAACGCTGTGGTTGACCAGTGCTCCAAGGCTGGCAACCCCATCTCCATCCCCCCAGTCGGAGAGTCCTCTTCCGAGCCAGCTGAGTCCTCCACCGAAGCTCCAACTGCCTCTCCAACCGAGTCCGAGAGCACCCCAGCTCCCAGCACCACTGCTGCTCCAACTGGCACTGGCTCCCCATCCGGCACCGGCGCTCCAGGTGGCCCATCTGGCACTGGCACCTTCACCAACACTGGTGTCCCAACCCAGTCCACTCCCATCTACACCGGTGCTGCATCCGGCCTTACCGCCAACGTTGGTGGTATGGGAGCTGCCCTCCTCGCCCTCGCTGCCTACTTGTAAACAATGTGACCCAAACCTATGTCAATTAATAATTAATCACTTTTTTCATGTCTCTTGATAAATTCCCCCCGTGTCCTACCGGACATCGACGACCTAATAATATAAATCCACTTTTCCGAAGAGAACCCGGATGACTTGTTTTTAATGCTAATTGTTTAATTTCGGAGCAAAAGCGGTTCTCTATGGAAGGTATCTAAGGGGGATTTCTTGTATATAAGAATGAATCTACTCAACATACATCGTCATATCATCTCCATCACCAACCTTCCTTTCCTTTTTTTTATGCTACATAGCAATATGTCATGTAGACACGGCTCGCTAGTCACGAGAGGACCCAGCTTTTTGACATTACACAGCTCCATCTCACAGCTCCATCTCACAGCTCCATCTCAACTGAGAGGCTTACGTGTATTATCATCGATGTACCATGGATAGTACATATCACCTGCATCAAGCCGATCGTGGGCGGTCTAGACGAGGCTGAGTTTAGAGGAGAAACACATAGTAAAACCACCATCTCAACCCAAAAAGAAAAGGCCACCAAGGACAAGAACGAAACAGCAGATTACACCCAATTACACCTAGATCGGTCACTATTGAAATATTTCTTCCAAGCTGGCATCTTTTGCCATTCATGCGGCAGTCCACGTCGCACCGGAAAAACCAAGGCTTTGCTGGCCCGTGGTTGTACGGAGTACATACGGATAACTATCAGATTCCGCCAGCCAGTGATTAATAGCCCGTCTCTGGTCCTGATGCAGGTTTCCTTGGTGCCACGCACTGCATGTTTCTAACTGCATGTTTCTAACTAGAACGATAGCCGTCTGAAAGGTGGCAGGAGGCTGTCGACGATACCCTGGGTACCGAGAAATTATATAGGAGCTGAAGTGCGACGGACGGGTAGATGCAAAACGCAGCTACAAGAGTCAAGATTGACAACCCGATATCGTGCCACTCTATGCCTTCATGCGGATCGTATATGGCTATCATCGACGAGACTGTCTGTTGCAGCTGCTCTTGTTTATGGTCTGAGATGGACTGCTCTTGCTGTCTATACATAGATGGTTCAAACACAGCCCTTCATCGTGGCCGGCCGGCCGCCCACACACGCCCGTTTTGACCGTGATTCAATAGGATCCGTTTGAATATATGGCGTAGCTACTTGGCAAGATGGAGGTTTTCATAGAATATGAATCATTGGTCTCCGAAGAGCTCTCAGCCGAAGGGTCTAGTTTGATTCCCTTCCCCGTCAACGTCGCTGCGAGCCCCTTCGTCCATGACGCCGTGACGTCGCTGCCCTGGCCAGCGGTGTCTTCGGTGTTCAGCCACCTGGTCCGGCTACCGAGCGAGAGGACGACTCCTTGCGAGGGTAAGGGGCGTGGTCGAGGCAACTGGACTCAGATCGTGACCCTGATGGCGGTCAACAGTGAGTGAACCTGCCTTACAGGTGACCGGGCTGTAGGGCTAACGGTAAGGTAGGATCGTGGTTCTCGATCATGCGAGGCCTGCTGATGGCGGCACCCATGGAGGCAGTGCTGGATAATTGCCCCGAGAGATGGGCGCTCAAGTCGCTGGAGATCAACCTAGCGCATATGCGACAGTGCAACCATCCGGCGACGATGTACACGAACGGGCTGTCGGACATCAAGACGCTCCCCTTCGACCATCCGGCCGTACACTCGACGGTGACGAAACTGCTTCCCCGAGCGGTGGCACGCAACTTCCGATATGCCACGCTCATGCTCCTTGAATCTGGTGCTCATCCTGCCGCGAGAGACCGACACGGCCATTCATGTCTATACATTGCTGCCGAGAAGGGCCTGCTGGAAGAGCTGATGATACTGCTGTCCTCGCATCAGCAGCGCAGCCTGGACATCGACATGGACAGCCCTTCGGCCGCGGTCGGTGCAGCCATCAGTCGTAGATGGGCGTGTCTTTCCCTGCTACTGGAAGCGGGCGCAGACATGTACCGGCCTTTTCGACATGGTGGAGACGGCCACCTGTATACGCTACCTACGTACCTGGCTGCCTATCCGAACCTGAGCCTGCTGTGCGCGCTGCTGGATTGTGGGATGAATGACGATCTGCCGGACAATCATCCAAACAACCTGATGATGCTGCTGATACGGGGAGGCAACCTGGTGATGGTGCGGATCCTGTTGAACGCAGGTTGGACGGTGCACCACGTAGCTGACGAGCTGGAGCATAGGGGCTGGGCCTGTTCGGAGCAGATACGGAGAGAGCTTGTGCATTACAGGATGTGGCCGGCCTATCGGCCAGAGGAGGCAGACATCAAGGAATTGAGCGACAATAATTAACCTGTAGTTTTTACACGGGAACACTGTTTACGTCGAAGAGGGAAATAAATTGGATAAAATGAATTATTCTAGTATTATGCATGAATTTTTTTCTTATCGTAGAAGAATTGACGTTTTTATCGTTGAAGGCGGAAGAAGGTAGGTAAACGGAGGGGAGAGAGGCTAACAGCCAAACTCCTTGATATCGGTGGTCTTGCCGCTGAGAGCCAGAGGGACGATACCGGAGACGTGCATCTCAGGCCCAAAGACGTGCATGTCCAGATGCAGCTCCTCTCCGACGGCCTTGATGTTCTTGAGACCCTCCTGGTAGTTTGGACCGGCTCTCCTGACCCAGATCTGAGTCTTGTGCTCGACAAGGACGGGAGCGACCTCACGCAGGGCGCGGATGACGCCCTTGAAGGTGGTGGCCACGTTGGTGAAGTTGGCGATACCGCCGCCGATGAAGAGGACCTTGCCTTCGGGCCGGAGGGGCGCCCTGAGCATGAGGTCGAGGACGGTGCGGGCGTAGTTGTATGTCTGGGTCTCAGTGGGAGCGCCCGAGTACTCACCGTAGTTGGCGAGCTCGGAGACGTGGCCGGCCGAGGCGATGGCGTCTGCGTAGACGACAGAGGCACCACCACCGGCCACCAGGGTCCAGATGCGGCCGTTGGCGTTGAGGACGGTGAGCTTGAGAGAGGCGCCCGTCTTGGCGTCCATATCGGAGATGTACCTTTCTTCCTTGCTCATCTCACGGCCAAAGGGAGCCGGGAACTCCATGGGCGGGCCGGCATCGATGGTGACCTTTGCAGCCGCAGTAGCGGCCAAGCCGAGAGCAGCAGGGGAGCGAGCGGCGGCCCACTTGGTGCCACACTCGAACTCTGCGGTCTGGTCGAGCTTTGCGGCCAGGTCGAGGAAGTGGACGGTGGCCGAGGACTTGCTGGCATCAGGGATGACGACCAGGGGGTTGATCTCGAGGTAGGTGAACTGGCAGTCGACGTAGACGGCGTACAGACGGGTGATGAAGTCGACCAACACGTTGTGCAGGCCCTTGGGGATCTTGCTCAGCAGGCCAGCCGCGATCTGCTCGTTGCTGGGGTACTGCTTCAGGTTGACCGGCACCAGCAGCTTCTCTGCTTTGGCATCGACATCCCCCACGTCCACTCCACCTTCGTGTGTAAACAATATCCAGTCTCCCTAGACATCATTAGCATCTTGTAGCAGCAGCAGCAGTAGTATAGCGGGGCAGTCTTACCTCCCTCACTGAGTTGATGTTGATGTAATACTCGGTGTCCTGGGGATGCGGGACAAAAGGCTCGACGAGGAAGTGTCTGAGGACGCCGACGACGGTCTCTACCTGCTGCTCACGCCCTGCCCTCTCTGCTATCCAGGCCCTGGCCTCCGCCCACGTCTTGTTGAGTGCGAGGAGACCGCTCTTGCCCCGACGCTTGATGAGCTGGTCCGGCTTTGCAACGAAGCGGGCATCCTTGGAGAGCAGCCAGGGATAGGTAGCCTCTGCCTGGTCGAGGACAGCCTCTACCGCGACGTCTGGGGGGAAGTCGAGCGAGGCGAGCTTGGGTGGAGGGTTGTGGGAGGCCGCAGGAGACAGCGGAGAGGGCTTGATGACGGGGGCGCGGGTGAGATGGTAGTTGAGGATGGCCTTGCCGTCGGCCTCGTAGATGGACTTTGCTGACATGGTCTCTTCTCTATCTTCTGTATCTTCTGCTCTTCTTGTCTTCTGTGAGCTTCTTCTTGGTCTGCTGGTATCGTGCTGTGTATGTGCGAGAGAGAGAGAGAGAGTCTTGTGAAGGCGAAGTTCTCGGGTCCTTTTTTTGTATATGGAAGAAAAAAAGGGGAGGAGCTGAGAGCTGTGTGTGGGCCGTTGGGGCGGAGGTACCTCGTCTCTCACCTGTGCTTTGCGCGTAAAGCAAGTACCTCTTGACCAAGCTTGCACTTCCCACCAAAAAAACCTCTTGTTGAGCCAGCCTCGTCCGCTTCGTATATTTTCCGTTTTAAAAAAAGGGCAAAAAGAAGAAGAAGAATAGATTAAATATCGAGAAGACGAACGAAAGACTTCCTCCAGCCGACGGACTCTTCTTATCCTCCGTCTTCTTCGCTTTTCCTCTCTTCCTCCTCCTTTCTCGCCCAAAGAAAAAGGAGCTCGTCGACTCTTCCATCTCGCAGCTTCACCACCCACACAACCACGATAGCTACGTCTTCGCTACGTCTCTACTACGCCTTACCACGAATACATCGACAGCCATAGATAATATTGCAAGATGGGCGCCGCAGACTCCAGCGGAAACCTCTCCGCCAACGACAACATCCGCCGCTTCACCGCAGCCTCCCGCCCGCTCACTCCCCTCGAACACAACCTCTTCCACAACAAGACCAGATGCTTCGTCTAGTATGTCGTTTCCCCCCTCTTGCCGTATATACAGAGGCAGAGATATGGAGATGCTGACCCGGACAGTGGAATGCAGCCCAGGGCCGTCCAGGGGATGCTCGACTTTGACTTCATCTGCAAGCGGTCGACCCCCTCCGTGGCAGCCATCATCTACACCTTTGGCGGCCAGTTCGTCAGCAAGATGTGCGTCTACCCCATACCCTCTTACCCTCTTATATGTATATATACAATGGGTGGACCATGCTCTCTGGATATACAATGCTTGGATAGAGGGGAGGCTGACTTGAGCTAGGTACTGGGGAACGAGCGAGACGCTGCTGCCCGTCTATCAGGACACCGACAAGGCCATGGCCAAACACGCAGACGTCGACACCGTCGTCAACTTTGCCTCCTCCAGATCGGTCTACTCCTCCACCATGGAGCTCATGGAGTTCCCCCAGATCAAGACCATTGCCATCATCGCCGAGGGTGTTCCCGAGAGGGTGAGTTTTATATTCTGCCATTACGTACGTGTGGGTTGCTGATGAAGTGTAGAGGGCCAGAGAAATCATGGTGAGGGCAAAGGAAAAGGGCGTGACCATCATCGGCCCGGCCACAGTTGGAGGCATCAAGCCCGGTGCGTTCAAGATTGGCAACACTGGAGGCATGATGGACAACATCGTCGCCTCCAAGCTCTACCGCAAGGGCTCCGTCGGCTACGTCTCCAAGTCCGGCGGCATGTCCAACGAGCTCAACAACATCGTCTGCCAGACCACGGACGGTGTCTGCGAGGGTGTCGCTATCGGTGGTGACAGGTACCCCGGAACCACCTTTTTGGACCATCTCCTCCGCTACCAGGCCAACCCGGAGTGCAAGATCCTCCTGCTCCTCGGCGAGGTCGGCGGTGTGGAGGAGTACCGCGTTATCGAGGCCGTCAAGAACGGCACCATCACCAAGCCCGTCGTTGCCTGGGCTATCGGTACCTGTGCCAGCATGTTCAAGACCGAGGTCCAGTTCGGCCACGCGGGTGCCTCCGCCAACTCTGACCTCGAAACCGCCGTGACCAAGAACAAGTCCATGCGTGCTGCCGGGATCCACGTCCCAGACACCTTCGAGGACCTGCCCGACGTCCTGGCGGACGTCTACCAGAAGCTCGTCAAGCAGGGCACCATCAAACCCCAGCCAGAGCCCGTCGTGCCCAAGATCCCCCTCGACTACTCCTGGGCCCAGGAGCTCGGTCTCATCCGAAAGCCTGCTGCTTTCATCTCCACCATCTCCGACGACCGCGGCCAGGAGCTGCTCTACGCCGGCATGCCCATCTCTGACGTCTTCAAGGAGGACATTGGCATCGGTGGTGTCATGTCCCTGCTCTGGTTCCGTCGCCGTCTCCCCGCCTACGCCTCCAAGTTCCTCGAGATGGTCCTCATGCTCACGGCTGACCACGGTCCCGCCGTTTCGGGTGCCATGAACACCATCATCACCACCCGTGCCGGCAAGGACCTCATCTCCGCCCTTGTTTCCGGTCTCTTGACCATCGGCTCCCGCTTTGGTGGTGCCCTCGACGGTGCGGCAGAGGAGTTCACTCGTGCCTTTGACAGGGGCCTCTCCCCACGAGACTTTGTCGACACCATGCGCAAGGAAAACAAGCTCAGTAAGTGCTAACCTTATATATCCTTACCTCTCAACCTTCCCTTGTCCAGCCCACAAGTCCCGAGAATCCTAACGAGTGATCCCTGCTAGTCCCTGGCATCGGCCATCGTATCAAGTCTCGCTCGAACCCGGATCTCCGTGTCGAGCTGGTCAAGGAATACGTGCTCAAGAACTTCCCTTCGCACAAACTGCTCGACTACGCCATCGCCGTCGAGACTGTCACCACCTCCAAGAAGGATAACCTCATCCTCAACGTCGACGGCTGCATCGCCGTCTGCTTCGTAGACCTCATCCGCAACTGCGGCGCCTTCACCCCCGAAGAGGCCGAAGACTACCTCTCCATGGGCGTGCTCAACGGCCTCTTTGTCCTCGGCAGAAGTATCGGTCTCATTGCCCATTTCTTGGACCAGAAGCGTCTGCGTACCGGCCTCTACAGACATCCATGGGATGACATTACCTATCTCCTGCCTACCTTGTCCAAGGGCTCTTCGGCAGAGGGACGAGTCGAGGTTAGCATCTAACCTTGGTCACTTTGAGACGAACAATAAACATGATATCAAAACGATAGATGGTGAGAGTTGGAGGGTAGATATTGCAGCACGAAAAATAGTCCATGATAATTAATATTCTTTTTCTGTTCTTTTCCCCCCTCCCTCTTCTTAATAACGCAGCATGTAGTGGGCCATCTGCCTGTATCGTTGGATGCGGCCGTAGATGCCAGAGATCTTTCGCTATACAACATAGAAAGGGACGGGCAGTTCAAGGCCATCAGCTGTCTATTGGTGGATCTGTTGCGCCTTCTATGGCAGTTCTTTTCTATATCTTCCTCTTTTTTTCTCTACTATGTATGTCTTTCCGTAGCTTGGGTAGTGTATTATTTATTTGTTATTATCCCAGCATGAAAACTAATGTTACAACCACCAAAACTTCCCAAGATAAAAAATCATCGACATCGACATCAACATCGCCAGTAAATAACCAACACCAGGACAGCGACAATTGATTATATACCCATCGATCTTCGAGCATGGTCCGTCTTAAACATCGTTATCTGCTTGTCAACATTCTCTACCCGACCCAGACAGGTTCGGAGCAGAAGCACGGAAATGAAAACGACTTCCACCTACAGGTCCATCGCCCGACGGCGGATGCACTCACGCCGCAGGCCCTCGCTAGGATGGTCAGAGAAAGCGTAGCTGAGATGTTTGGTGACTGGGGGATGGGCAAGCTGGGAGGTGCTGGCGCCGGTGCGGTCAGTGGTCTGTACCCTTCGTAGCTACCGAGTGCATATTATACAAACATATATATACACGTTCGTGCGTGTGCTAACCGACTGAATAGTGAAATATCTATCGCCTGCGACGTCAACAGCTATAATACGATGCCCTCGTGCGAGTTACCGTCTGGTCTGGTCGGCCCTGACTTATTCGTCAAGCCTGCCGCCAGCGTATCGGGCTTCCGCTGATGGCCAGCGGCAAGGGTGTGTCTTCCGTGTGGTGCGAGTCTCCGGTACGATGAAGAAGGCAGAGCTAGAAGCTATCCGGAGGGCTCGCGCCGAAGTCGTCAGGTTAACGAAGGAATGGGAGAACGGGGGCAAGGCTGCACTAGAGGGCATGTTTACTGATGGCCCTGCTGCGCTAGACAACGGGATAGAGAGTGAGAGTGAAGACGACAGCGACGCTGATTGAGCCATGCTTGACTCGGGTGAGTTTACAAATGGTGTGTATCCTGGCTATCTCCGTCTATATTTCCCCGCATGATAATACCCTCCATGTTATCGTTATATCGTTCATCATTATTTGTTTTTCCTTACAACCTTTATGCCGTTGTTGGGCGGAATATTCGACATCAAGTCATCTATGTCCATGCCGACGTCGTCCCTCGACGCTGCTTCCTCCCTAGCCTTGGCCTCAGCCTCCCAGTCCTGCCTCTCTTTCTCATCCCACTCATCCTTCGCATCTAGCCATCTCTCCTGTACATCCTTTACATCCATCACTCCCATGCCTTCTCTAACTGCGACTTGCCAGACTGTATCGTTAGCTCCTTCTGCGGATCCGAATGCATATCCGCCCGCGCGATCAATCGCATGAAGTAAGCTCATCATGCTCTTCTTATCCTCGACTGCCAAGGTCTCGAATCCTACCAGGCTGAAATCCTGCACCAACTCAACGATGGCGGAATTTAGTGCATCGAACTTGGAATTCGCCAGCCACGGCGCCTCCTCGTTCAGATGCGGTATAAGGTGGGAGAGGTCGTGGACTTCGGTGTAGAAGTCCAGATTAAACGGAAGGGGGGGGTATTTGCTGAGGTTATCAATCTTGGTGAGAACGTTGAGATGGGGGAGGTCCATCTGAAGCATCGCCCGGAGTGATAACAGCAGAGCGGAGATGTACATGGATGGGAGAGTGAGGTTGTAAGAGTCAACCAGGTGTACAACAACTAGCTATGGACAGGACAAGAGTTAGCAAAATGGATTATTACTTATGCAAGCTGAAAAGGGTTGCCAAAGCCATTCAAATTCTAGGGCACTGCACACTCTATACCCAAGCTTTTGAATCTTGAAGAACATGTTGCGGAGTGAGCCGTGATGCGTAAATATTTCCACTTGGCCGGGGCAATCGAACAGGACATAGTCATCTACCAAATATCAAATATATCGTTAGAGGGTCGAGATGTAGCTTGTATATAAAAATACTAACGTACCTCCGAGGTTCTGTAGCCCTTCTTCGAGCCAGTCGAAGTTCTCCTCAAGCTCCTCTAGCGCATACAAAACAGCCCCGTTGGGACCAAGAGTATCTTCCTTCATGATCTCTTCTAGCGTGACGAGCTCTCGCACGTCTACTGCTGGCGTGTATGAAGTCTGGTCGTTAGCTGGATCAAGATTGACAATAGAGCATTTCCTGCCAATGGCAGACATGAACTGCTGCATTCCATTGCAGTATGTTGATTTCCCGGACCCAGGAGGGCCGATCACCAGCTGCGCGAACGGCATGACGCCCGTTTAATGCAGAGATTGGTTTTTTTAATGCAACTTCTGTTCATGTATTTATTTATTCTTGCTACCAAACCTTTGAAGTCGCAAAAAGAGAGAGAAAAATGGAAGAAGGCGGTGAGGGGCGGCAGAAAGAAGTTCAAAAACCATGTTTGATAACTATAGCGAACTAGATATTTGAAAAGTTGAAGCAGCTTTGAGAAGTCCAGGTTTCCCCGTTAACTAGATATAAGGACACTACGTGATTTTAATAGATGGCTTCTAGTGTGTATTATTTCTTTTTATCCGCTTGACTTGACGGTAGTATCTCGTGCTAACCATCCATCGATAGACCATTTTGCGGTTGAGAATCCGCCCTCGGATGTGATATCAGCAGTTCAATTCTCTCCAGAGCCAGACTCGACACGCTTTGTGGTATCATCATGGGACAAGAATGTATACCTGTATGATCTTAGAGACGAGAATGGCACAATTGGCGAGGGGAAACTCATACAAAAGTTTGAACATCGCGCACCGGTGCTAGATGTCTGTTTCGGTCAGAATGAGGATGAACTATACACCGGCGGACTGGATTGGGATGTTAGAAAGTCAGTATTGGCGTCTCACGTTGATGAACATGCGCTGACAACACGCTCTGTGGCACTTCCTTTACAGGATCGATGTACGAACTTCTACTCAGACGGTGTTAAGCTCCCACAGCCAAGGCGTAAAGTCCGTGGTATACAGTAAAGAGCACGGTTTGATCGTCTCTGCATCGTGGGATGTGAGCCTACATATACATAAAGCCGATGGGAGCGTCGCGCCTGCCACGATCCCTTTACCATCGAAGCCATTCTCTCTGTCCATCACACCCACCAAACTCGTCGTCGCCATGGCCTCGAGAACGCTGCACATCTACGACCTCAAATCACTAGCTATGTTTTTAGAACAGTCCGGTAGCCAGCCTCCAGCTCACACACTTGAGCTAGAGCCATGGCAGCGTCGGGAGAGTAGTCTCAAGTTTATGACCCGGGCGGTAGCCTGCATGCCCGATGACGCTGGCTACGCATCATCGAGTATAGAAGGACGCGTAGCAGTGGAATGGTTCGACCCCTCCGAAGCATCTCAAGACCGAAAGTATGCATTTAAATGCCATCGACAGAACGTGGACGGCGTGGACGTTGTCTACCCTGTCAACGCCCTTGCATTTCATCCTATATTCGGCACTTTTGCTTCCGGAGGTGGTGACGGAGTTGTTGCATTTTGGGATGGCATCGCAAAGAGGAGGATACGACAGTATCCCAAATACCCTTCTAGCGTGGCTGCGTTGGCATTTAGCTCTAACGGGAAATATCTTTTGGTTGGTATCAGCCCTGGATTCGAGGACGAGAAGGACAACGTCCCTGAAGGCACAGTCAAGGTCATGATTAGAGAACTGGGCGAGACGGAGGCAAAGGGGAAAGGGACTAAGTAGCACCAATTCTCTATATTACCACAGACTATATACCAATGTAATAAGGCACTGAAATTACTTGCCTAATGCTTTCCCCTACCTAGGCCAAAAGAAGGAAAAAAGAAAAAGGACATGAGCATGCTAAAGCAATGAAAGGTTCTACTTTGCCCTCTTCGAAACAACCGTCCCGTCCGTATATCCAAAGTAGGCTGCAACGGGCTTCTGTCCTCCTACTCTTCTGCTGGCCTGAGCCTGAGGGCCGGTAGGCCCACAGAACAGACCTACTTCTAATACACCAGTGATGGCATTGATAGCATTGGCCAATTTTTCTACCTCCCAAGCGCCACCTTCTGCCTTCTGTCCAGCTGCAATATCAGACGGCAAGAGTAGTTTAGGGAACGGTGCATCAACGATAAAGAAAGACTGGTCCGTCTTCACTGGGCCTGATTTCTCGCGGGGATTTTGCCGAAGGAGAGGGTTCGGACTCCCCAGTAGTTTTAATTCATCTATTACTCGACGGGCAGCGAGGGGTGCGACCTCAATCGGAATGGATGGCCAGGAGGTGAGCAGACGGCTTTGGTTTTTGCGCCAATCTATCGAGCAAATAATACCAGTCAATGGAAGGGCCCTTTATTTTTATTATTTGTATAGAATTATACATACCAGCGACGCAGATGAACTCCTTGGCCTGTAGAGCAACCAGCTTCTCCTGGAATAAGCAGGCTCCTCCACCCTTTATACAGTTCAAGTCGTCGTCAACCTCGTCAGCACCATCAAACGCAGCATCCAGCACCGTCCCCTCTGGCAGAGCGTCAAAAGCAATGGCTGTTAACCCGGCATCGACAATTAGTTGGTTTGACTGATATCCGGTGGGCACAAAGCTTGTGGCCGAGGTGTCAATGCCTAGTTCTTTTATAGCTTCGACAACGTAGACGATGGTAGTTCCGCTGCCAATGCCTATGAATTTTGCGTCTTTTGGGTAATGGTTCTTCACTGCCTCAGTAGCGGCAGCTCGTTTCGCAGCTTCTATATCTGCCATATTGTACGTAGGTAGATTCGTGGATAAGAAGCGAGGTTGAGGGCAAGACGGTTGAGTATATACCTTTCTAGTCAAGGCGTAGAAAGATAGCTGGCGGCTTTCTGGTAGGTAAAGGTTTGTCCAGTTTATAGAATGCGTCCACAGGGGGGAAGATGACTTTGAAATCTTTGTTCTGGTAAGCAATTGTTAGTGTGAGGAAGTAGGGAACTTTGTGGAGAAACAGGGCGTTCTCGGAAAGATGGAAGGGTTCTCCGCCTATCTCAAGCAGCTCTAATGACAGAATCAAAGCAGTTCAACTGTCTTAAAATACTTCTTGGGTCGGGTCGGAGTATCAGAATAGGTCTGAGTGAACTTGGAACTGACTTCAGTATTGGATATTCTCTTTTGGAAGTGTTGTTTAAGAAAGAGGAGAATGCCTTCAATCACAGGGCAATATGGCCCGTAATAAGGCGCATCTATATACTCACAGAAGGTTCCTCGATGCTGATATTGATTTCATAGATCTGGCGGTCTCAAATCTATATGTAATTTTTTTGGGTGAGGGGTCTTTTATTCTCGACTGGGCTGTAAACTAGTTGCAGCGTAGTGTATGTGTTAAAAGTAGTTGACCACGCGGAGTCTAACTGCCACCCAATCCTCTTAGTATACACAGCGAGTGAGACGAATTGTGATCTTTCAATATCTTCCATCCAACGAAAGACGTTGAAGCCGTTTTGAGGAAATCAAAAAAAGATCTCGCTTTATCGATAAACCAAAAAACTCCCTCGGCTTAAAATCACGTGATAATTTCTCTGATTATATAAGCTGGGATTTGTTTACGGCGGGGCAAAAGAAGAAGAAGATGAAGAAGGCTGGGGAAGAAACGGTTTATATCTCTAAACGAATAGCCTGAAGGACGACAGGATAGAGCAATTCGGGCCTTGAAGCCGCCATCTCGGCCCGTGTGGAACTCTGGAAAGATAACCATACGAAGATGACAACTCACGCCGAACCTACCGCGAAGGAGAGGAAGTACGATCGCCAGCTTCGACTATGGGCAGCCAGCGGCCAGCAAGCTCTAGAGTCCTCTCGAGTGCTTCTTATAAATTCCGATGGCCCGGTAGATAGCGACGGCTCTGGGCTGGCTGGTGTTGTGGGCGTCGAAACCCTGAAGAACCTCGTCCTGCCCGGAATAGGCGGATTCACGATTGTTGATCCTGCAACTGTCTCTGAACCGGATCTAGGGGTAAATTTCTTCTTGACTGAAGACAGTCTGGGTAAATCTAGGGCAGAGGAGACGTGCAAATACCTCCGGGAATTGAATGAGGATGTTGACGGGGCGTCTTACTCACTGGTACTGTACCTCCATTTAAACATATGCAAAGCTGATGATGACCCTGGACGACCAAACGCTGAGAAGGGTTTATTTTTAGCCACTTTTAGATGTCCTTGAGGATGAAAGCTTTCTTCCCCGGCACCAGCTTGTCATCGTCTCTGGGCCTATGAAGCAGTCCACACTTCAAATTATATCACAAGCTACAAGGCGTCTTGATATTCCCCTCATTTATACACACTCAGTAGGGTTCTATGCATCATTTTCACTCCAACTTCCGTCCGTTTTCCCCGTAGTCGAGACACATCCAGATACCAGCTCCACCGAAGACCTTCGTCTAACGGACCCGTGGCCAGAGCTCGCAGCGGCGGCTAGAAAGGCGGAGAATTTGGACAGCATGGACGATCACCAGCATGGACATGTACCATATTTAATACTTTTGCTACACTTTCTAGAGAAGTGGAAGGCCAGCCATGACGGACAGTGGCCCCAGAATTATCGCGAAAAGTCTGAATTTAGGGACATGGTTAAATCTATGTCCCGCACTAATAACTCTGAAGGAGGCGAGGAAAACTTCGATGAGGCTGTGGCAGCTGTTTTAAAGAGCATTGGCCCTTACTCTCTAAGCAGTGATTTGCGCAGTGTTTTTGAGATGGAAGAGTGCTCACAGTTAACAAGTAGCTCGTCTAGCTTCTGGATAATCGCATCGGCGGTCAAAGAGTTTTATGAGACGCATGCCGTTTTACCCTTGTCCGGTTCACTACCAGATATGAAGGCTCAGTCTGCGGATTATATCTGGCTACAAAACATTTACAAGTCAAAGGCTCGAAAAGATGCTGCTGAGGTCTTAGCCACTGTTCGGAATTTGGAGAGCAAACTGCGAACCGACCTAGCGGGTGCAGCTGTATCCGATAAGGAGGTTGAAACTTTCTGCAAGAATGCCGCTCACATCAAAGTGATCAGGGGCCGTGATATCCCGATTTTACCTCTGACAGATAAAAGTGAGGAGTCGACACGGACACTCGATACAATTAAAAGTAGCCTTTCAAATCCTGACTCACTTGTTCCCATATTTATCGCTCTCAGCACCCTCGATAGCCTGGTAACGGAATTTCAAGAAAAGGGCTATTTATCGACAACAGATGGGCAGTCGTACCTTGAAAACCCCAATAATTGGACAACTGCGCTTTCCAAACTCCTTGCTGGCCTTGGACTGGGTGAAGGTGGCGTATATGAAAGTGACGCTGATATCAAGACCCGGATTGAGTCAGCGGTCTCGGAAGTACAACGAGCGGGAGCTGGCGAGCTTCATAATATTTCCGCCATGGCGGGAGGCTGCGTCGCCCAGGAAGCTCTCAAAGTGCTCACCAGGCAATATGTACCCCTTGACAACACCTTCATACTTGACGGAGTAAGATCGCGGGGAGAAATGTTCAGGCTTTGACAAGGATGTTACTTGTAGTTGTAGCCGTTAGATCATTAATATACACGTATATGAGGGTTTATCTTCGTGGTTGCAGTATAACAGCCAAGACACATGAAGTTGATAAGCATCTATGTATGTAGAAGGCTCATGTCAATACCAACATAGATCAAACAAATTGAATGAACGGAACGGGTAAATTCCCTCCCATATACATATGACATGATTATAATACATCGCTAATTGTCATTAGATCGAAAAAAGAGAGAGAATATCTGCGAATCTAGAAATGGGGAAGGGTATATATAAAATAAATGGTCGTTACAATAATCCCACAAGCCTGCCAAAAATAACCGCTATAATTATACCAATGATAAGTGTAAAGTTTATATCACCAGTTGTCCGTACAGCAAGACTATGGCTGGATGAGGAGCCGCCTTGGGAGACTGTTGGTCTCGGGGAGATGGTGTTGCCCGCACTGTCAGTTCGGATACCCTCGTCATCTCCCCCGTCGGTTGGGTTCGGGGTCCCTGATATCAGCGGCGGAGAAATGGTAGGATCTGCACCTAGGCGGAAGGTGGTATCAAGATAGATCACCTCTGATGGGTTTACGGTAAATGTGTGGCCGTCCACAGCGAAGGTGGTAGGCATAGTATTGCTGGTGATGGTGGTGCGTGACGGGCCGTTTCCAAGAGTGATGGAGCCAGTCTCTTGTATGGTGATGGGGACGCCACCCAGGTCGAACATGGTCCGGGTGGGGATTGGATGGGAAGGGTCCGACCCCGAGGTTATAGGTCCTGGATCTACCATAGAACTACCAGACGACTGGGGGCCTCCAGAAGAGTTAGTTGACTGGGGGCCGCCCTGGGAACCTCCTTGACTGCCTTCCCGACCGCTTTGGGAGCTGCTCTCGGAGGCTGCCTGGCTAGTTCCCTGGCCAGCTTGAGTAATAGGAGTGGTAGTACCGCCGTGAAGACCGCCGTGAGAGTTGTCCGGAGAGCTCCCTTCCGACTGCTGGGACTTACCAGACGGCTGAGAACTACCCGAACCGCTGGTTGGCGAATCCGTCGGGGGAACGTTCTGGCCAGCCGCGCTGTCTGAACCGGTCTCCTTAAAGGAGGGCGGTGGCTCGGGGGAAGGGATGCCTAGGATGGTGGTCTTCTTGGTGACACTAACGGTCGATATTAGGGGAGCCAGGGAAGGGACAAGGCCCATCTTACAGCGGCTGGGCGGGCAGCTGAAGGTCGAACAAGGTGGAGGAGGCGTGATGAGAGTAGGAGGCCCCATGGGCGCGGTGCCAACGGGCTTCATGGTATGTACTTCCGTGATGGTGGTATACACGATCTCTGGGGGTCTTGTGGCATAGAACAGCTCCCCGGTACACTCTACCGGTAGCATTGGCACATAGGTGATGGGACAGTGACACGAACCAAGGTCCGGGAGCCATGATGACGGGCTCAGAGGGTCTGCTGTTGTCGTACGTGAGGTGTTGATGTTGGTGTTGTAGGGCGGAGGAGGAAGAGGAGAGGTTGAAGCAGAGCCAAATATATCCGACACTATCTCACGCACGACGATTCTACCTGCAACCATCAGCTGTCAACCTCAAGCCTTGGGGATGCGCACACTTGATAATAAGGGGGAAAGATACCGTCATGGTAGTGCCAAGGGTATCCAACGGCCGTGGAGGAGCCCATCAAGGCCAGAAGTAGTATCTCCTTCATTCTTTCTCTCTTAATCCCGGACAACAGAAGGTCTTCTATGAGAGCATCGCCGTCAAAACCGCGCAATAGCAAGAAAGAAGAAGAGACGGACAGCCTGCGAGCCTGCGCGTTTTTAGAGCCGAAATGAAATAACTAGATGTATACGCAGCACAAGAGTCCAAAAAAAAAAAAAAATAAGAGGCCTGGAACGAAAAATAAAAGAATGGCTACGCCACAAATTGATTGAGACTATTAAAAAGAAAGCGACGCCAGTCAACGACAAGACAGCAAAAAGAAAAGACAAGTGACAAGTTGAACAGGGAGAAGAGACAAGGTCAGTGTCGGCGATGACGGCCGAGAGAGGCTGAAGAGGGCAGACCAGGCCCTGGTATTTTTGGATATGCCGTTGAACAGATCGAATCCCACGATTATATCGGCCATACATAGTAGGGCAAGGGGAGGGGGACAATACGGGACCAGCAAGGAGGCCCTAAGGCTGAGGGCCAGAAGAAGGGGGAGAGAGTCTGCCCGGTGTTCCTTTTTGTTTCAAGGGGCAGTGTCGGTACAAGATAGATGGTTGCTTCTTCGACCATCTCAGGTCCCTCTCTCCAAAGGAATGTCCAGCTTACGGCTTGCTCCCTCCAATTGGGCGACGGTCCCCTCACGGAGCATGGCATGGTTCTCCCCTGATCGTCTCTAAGCGAATGGCGGGTACGTATACAAGACGGAACGGCGAGATATGTCATGTTCACTTTGTTCGTCTTGGAGACCGGAACTGGCTTGCTTGAGCCAACCATCCTATACACGGAATAGCGTTCTACGTGACTATGGCTTGCGAGCCCGGAGTGCTGTATAGCTAACGGGGAGGAGCAGATAACTGCAGGCGACTCGATCATCGGCATCGACACTGGGTCGGCCCGATGACATGTTCTATACGGAGCACCCGTATGTAATACGGGTTATTCCCTGGCGGAACTTCCTTGCCACTCAGACAAGAGAGGGAGAGGTGCTGATGCTGATACTGGTGCTGATGCTGATACTGGTGCTGATGCTGATGCTGATGCTGATGCGGATGACTAGACATGGATTGTCCGACTTCCCTTCCACTCATGCCGGCTCTATACTCCTACCCGATGGGACACATATGGTGGTGAGATCCGGCTACAGTCGCTGGCTTTACTTCTTCGGTATATGTACAAGTTATAGGTACTTTCTGGGGAACCCCTGACGCCGGTTATGCAGCTCGCCCTCCCTTTCCCACGCACGTTATGAACCAGTTCTCTCCAAGGAAGAAAAGCAGTCACTGACAACGCTCTGCAGATTAATTTTGCAACGTCTTCATAAGCAATCCTGGCGAGAACCGATTTCACGTATTTCTTGTCTTGACTATGAACTTGAAACAACGCTGGCGACGCCACCACACAATCGCGCCAGGTGGAGGCTGACTTGGGCCAATTGACAATGGAAAATAACGATAATTACGGAGTCTTAATACTTTGAGGCGGTTTTGCTGGATGAGGATCAAAGTGTCGTTGACTCAAAGGCCCCATTCAACTACGTATGGCTTGCAAAAAGATGCACAGATGCTATCTGGCCTGCGCTATATTAAAACGATCTTCAAAGCGTATTTTTATATATACATCCATCACCGTTCGTACCAGGTTCAAGGTTTTTTATGGCCCCTAGACGACGGTTTCTAACTAGTCTCTTGAGGAGAATGGCTTATCCAAACCCATGCCCTTGTCACCACCCGAGAGGAAGAAGCGGAAGGGAGGCAGTAGGAAAGGATTGTAAGGACCCACGACCGCCGAGCTTTGGTCGACAGGAAAACCGTTTCTTTCTTTTTTTTGCCCTCTTCCTCCCATTCCACCAGGTTTGATTATCTTCTTCCTTCCCAGCAAAATCACGATGCGGTCATGGTCTAGCAGGCTGCTGTCTCATATCCTTCAAGTTATGCATTTCCCCTAGGGCACAACCTCGACCTCTCCTCATGTCCGGCCTGGTTCAAGTGCGCCGACCATGCGCATGAGTCCTGTCTCGTTCGGCCGCCATATTCCTTGGTGGAATCCTGGGCTGGCTCTGATTATCTTCATATTGTCGGACTGTGAACTTGCTGCTGCCGCCATCTCTTCTTCTGCGCCATTGAGTGTTACTCCGAGTTCAAACTGGTAAACGTCGGGCTCTGGTCCTCTCTGTGTAGCATATCTGATAGTCTTCATATAGGATTGGATATGATGGCTCGTGGAGCTCGTATGTTCTCGCTCCAGAGACAGCCGTTCCATTAAAACGGTATATTCACCGGCTGACTGTTGATTTCTAGACTATCCATTCGGGTCGGAACGCCATCGCAGTGGTTACAGGTAATACCGAACACAGGTTCATCGGAGACCTGGGTAATCGGGCGTGGTGGGTGTGATGCCAGTACGTTACCCTATCGACTTTGCCGGGGATTGGAAGGTAGGAATTGCGAATAGGATATTCTAACACGGTGATACAGCAATGCGATGTCGAAAAGAACGCGGTGGCCTGTTTCTCGCAAACGCTTCTACCACTTGGGCACATGTTGGCCTCTACGAGTTGGGGAGTAACCTCCAACTTGGTGACGCAGGTTACGGCGACTATGGTTACGATGTCATCGGCTTAAACAACGATGCATCCATAGCGGACCAGGTTGTCAGCATGGTCACGACTGTCAAATGGTGGATTGGTTCGCTAGGACTCGGCATCACGGACACCAATTTCACAGATGAAAACAAGCTCTCTCTCCTGAGTAGCCTAGTACAAAACCAGAGCGTGGTTCCTAGCCATAGCTACGGGTATACAGCCGGCGCTTTTTATCGTGCGTGTTCCCCATGGCATGAACCCCCCGTGCAATGCTGTTGGGACCTGTTCTAACTGACCTTTATGCTTTATGTTTGAGGATAAACAGAGATGAAAGGTGTACCGACCTCTCTCACCTTTGGGGGGTTTGATAGAAGCCGATTTACCGCTAATGATGTCTCCTTCTTCCTATCACCAGACAACCTGCCCGCTGTTACCATAAAGTCAGTCAAGATTGGGATTGCTTCGACGTCGAATGCAAATTTGCTACACGACGACCTTACCATCGACCTCTCCGCCGTTGGCACCTTTATAATCGACTCGTCTACGCCATTTTTATGGTTTCCGGAGCAAATTTGTGATTCCTTCGCTGGCAAGCTTGGCCTGGTCTATAACGATACCCTCGACCTCTATACTTACGGGCCTAATGGCTCGACCTACGACACAATCGCTAGCTCAAACGTATCTTTCACCTTTACCGTTTCTGACCTCCCAGGCTCGTCCAAATCTGTGGACATTACTCTACCATTTGCTGCGTTTGACCACAAGCTTACTTATCCTTATCCGGGCCTTGATCGAAACCAAACCAGTGACGGACTTGGCTATTTTCCACTTCGACGAACTAGTGACCCCAAGAAACTTACTATCGGAAGAGTCTTTCTCCAAGAAGCATACCTAACAGTCGACTATGAACGGCGCAATTTCTCTATCTCCCAGGCCACCTTCAACCCAGATTCCGGAATTAGCATGGATCTTGTCGCCATCACCCCTCCACTAGATAGTACATTTCCGGGCTCACCTAGTGAAAACACAGAACGAAGGATATCCACCGGTACTATAGCTGGGGTGACTGTTGGCGTTTGTATGGGTGTCATGATCGTCTCCTTGACTGCCCTGTACTTCTTCAAGAGACAGAGGTCCAAAGAGCTAGCGCTCAGCAAAAAAGAGGAACGCGCACCCCGGTTCACGTTTCCTTGGAAATTCTGGCGCGGACCAAGTTCTCCCCCAATGCCAGCAGAGTTAGTCGCGGATAAGCACCACCCTGTCGAGGCTGACAACGCGGCTGTTCGTTATGAACTGCCGGCAGCCGCTCCCGCCGAGCTGCCGGCATCAGAGGTCTCGAGCTGCGGGTACGGAGACATGCAAAAATTATCTCACGATATAGACGTTGAAGCAAACGGAAATCCGCCTTTGAGAACCGGAATGCAGTACCAGCAACTGCCCTCCAACCCATCGGAGCAGTATCTAGTCAGCCCGGTGGGACCAGGTTCGACCCTCGGCACATCAGAACTAAATAACAGTCTTGGCATCCCATCTCCCATCGCTACATCCACCAACTCCACCTCTCTTTCACAGATACGACCTGATTCGTCCCCTTCACTACTAACTTTCAACCGGACGTTGGAACCACCAGCTACGGGTACAGAATCCAGCGCCCCTGAGAACCCTCAGCCTCAAATTGAGCCGAACCAAAACCTCACAAGGAAATTCAGTTGGGAGCAATGAATCAACCACACTCCAAGGTAGACTTAACGGCACCATCCCCCCTTTTTTGTCTGTTTTTATACTCTCTAGAGTCAAACTTATACCTGTATATACTTCCCTCATACCCTTCCTTGCATATTTCATTTATACACTTTTTGCATTGTTCTTGACGCCATGGGAATCTGCCTCTTCCTTTATGACTCTTAGCGGTTTTGCATGTATCTGTATATTTATTTGGATCTAGTTCCTTCTTGCTAGTACAGACATACGATGATACCTCTTTTGCTCTCCTTGAATCGACAGCCTACGATCTATCGTAAAGAGTTTGAAGAGGACTTGGGGTCCGCCTCACTCCAACGCTTAATTTCAAACATCTAGACTACCTGGCTTTGGGCTATATGTTGGTGAATAGAGATATGGAAGTGTTGTGGCTTACCTCGGTACTATCAACTGCCATTATATTTAACATATAGATGATGGGGACGACCCTCGTGATGCGGCTGAAGGCTTGTTCCGGGCTTATGTTGTTCCGTTAGCTGGCCAAAAACGGCCACACTCCTTCAGGGACTAAACTGGTATTGATATAGCAAAGACCAACAGCTTCATGTAAATCTCTCTTCTTTTCTATACTCTACTTCACATACGACTGCATTTACACGGTTGAAGGGCCGACGAACTTATAGCCATAGCTCTGGTGGAGGTCGCTGCTGCTTCTGACCTTGTTTTTATGTTATTCCTTCGTGATAATGCAATAGTAGCATTATTAAATCTCTGACCTACCCTCCCTCAGAAGTTAGCTGGCTTCTTAACCTAGCTATAGCGAGAGATATGAGTCCATGTCTTTTCTTACCAGGATTCCTTTCTTTTCGCTTTCATAAGCAGATTAACTGAAATAAGGTGTCAAATTACCATGGCTGCCGACGAAACCGCGCTCCCTACAAGCGTTGCCATGAATATTACCACTAACGCTGTCGATAAGTGGTACGCTTTCCTCCCTTCTGGGCCTCGAGACGTTCTCTTGTTCCCCTTCCGTGTCGTCTATCAAGCCGAAGTCTTCATAATTACTCTGCCACGCCAACTGGTTCGCTTCATTGGGTTAGATTCTGCCCTATCATCATTGCTGGACAGCACAGCTAGAGTTTTTGGTATAGGCCCTGGAAATACTAGTGGAGATGATGCAGCAACTGCAGCGGCCGTTATTGCTGCAATGACGGCTGCTGATACGGGCGGGGCGCAACTCGGTGATGCGGCTGCCAGTTCTACTGGCTCAGCCGGGACAGCCTCTGGATTTAGCATGGGAGACTTCATGCCCGCATTGAGGAAATTTGGAGGATTTTTCAACTATATGACTACAAGGTGGTCATTAGCATGCTTTATAGTGGTATGTAGGTTGAATTTCTGATTTGATCTGCTTCTAATGCTTGAACCTTACACCGATGTGCCCCTTTCTTACTAATTTATATTGGACAGGCATTGGTTTTGAACCGCGTCACGGTTTATGCCTCTACTCGTCGGCAAGTTACCTTGAAGTGGCATAGAACGCTTATCTTACGTATAATCCCGATCATCCTTTTCGCCACACAAATTCTCAAGCTGCTTCGTGCGATTCGTTGCCAAACATCTCCGGGTTACTCTACTTTTCGATACGGCCAGCCAGGGAAGCAGTCGAAGTTAGACTATGCTGGAGAAGGAGGATTCTTACATAACTTAAGCTCGTATTTACTACAGTGGGAGGAAGAACAGTCATCATGCAGTGCTGCATCATTAGCTACAGGATCCGGGCCCCCCTACGGTTCTTTTACTCTCCTCTGGCCGGCATTTCTTCGATTATGCTTTGGTCATTTTGTCGACACATTATCTGCAGCACTTCAGGGAAGGCCTCTTGCCACAGAGGGTGGCATGTCCGTCTTTGAGCTTTCCCTTGCATTTGCTGAAGCAGAGATCCAGATTGTCCGATCAGTCGGGCTGGAATTCTTTGGCCTCGCCAAGTCCACCGCCGGAGTATCAGTTGAAGGTGCTGCGGCGGGGGAATCCGCTTCGACCATCCCTTTTTTTTCAAAAGACCGCGTTCTGGAAAGGCTCAATGTCACGCCTGAGCTTCTAGTGATTGCGCTATTAGCGTGCTGCAATAGCCTAACAACAAATATTTTAGATGTTTTCGGAAAGCAGAGCCATTATAGGCTCGTCAATACGACTGTCTGGGGCCTATCCTTTATGGGATTTATGGTCTGGAGTTTTTTCAAGTCATACCTCGACGGGAACGAAGCCGGGCTTTTGAATTTCCCTGCAGTTTGTATCGTAGGGTTTGTGCCGCATTTCCTCATGTTACTAGGCATCCTAACCTGCTTAGCAATATACGGCATCGCACTTCTTTTGACCGCCTACTCACTTCCACCCAGCCTTCCTACTCCAGCCTCATTCCGGGAACGTCTTTCCCTTGCTCACGGAAACATGCAAGGATCGTCTCAAATCCAGAATACTCGCTTAAATATGCATGATGACTTTTATGCTACCCTTGTTAGGATAGGATATGCTTCCTTGTCTGCCGCGAGCGAGGCTGTCTTTTTAAATGAAGGGAAGAGCGTGATAGTACGCAAAATGACATGGCTAGAAGAAGTCAGACTCGCAGAGTTTACTGCTCGAAGAGAACGAAGTAGTCGGGACGCCTTCCAGCAGGGTGATGACCCTCAACTTGACGGAAACTTTGACTTCGAGATGCCGAGCCACCCAAGACAGTGGGAGAGTGGTTATGGTCGGGAAAGAAAGGTCGAACGGACGCAGTCTAACACGCGCGCAATGAAGAAACAAGCTGGACTGGGAAGCGTTGGAGCATTTCGAGGGCCAACCAGGTGTTATCACGGCTTTGCATTTCTCAAGGCAATTTTCTTTGTGCTGGTGGGCTGGTGGGCCTTTGGATTGGTGAAACTTTTAGACCACTTCAAACTCCCTCTTAAACCTCGGTGGCTAGTACATCTTGCAGGCATGTTCCAACAGACAAGCAGTGGAAACGAAACGGAATACCGACCACCGCTGGATTTTTGGATCCTGACAGATGAAGGTGTTTTGGAACTCCCAGAAACCGATGACTTCGACGTGGAGAAAGAAATGAGGAAAAGAGAGATGGTAAGTAATGAAGTGTGGGGTGAATCGCAAGAGGAACAGCTAGACAACAAGCTTTATAACTGGTGGAAGGTCGGCGGCTCCTGGGGAAATCAAGATATGACCGAGGATTACTCCCCTCCACCACAAGACTGGGATACAACAAGCGTGATATCGACATCAACCGCTGAGAACAGCGAATGGGAGTCATGTGACTCTGATGGCCGCCGGACACCAACTCAAAGTAACCCGTTTCCTGGTTCGTTAAGGGAACCAGAGGAGAAGATTGATTTGGTGTCCCTAGCTCGCCTTCTCAACCCGAAAGATGAAGAGACTAGGAACGAAGCACGCATCCTATCTGCACATATTCTAGCCTCGAACGAAGGCAAAATAATGACACGGCGCCGGTTCCAACAACAATTGGATGCAGAGCGTGCGAGGGTCTTGACATCGTCGAATGTATATCGGTCGACCGAGATAAAGCCAAACCGTCCTACCCTGGAAGAGGAATCCGAGATCCTGGAAAACTTGATTCTCAAACGAAGGTTGGGCGCTAACTGTGATTATCCCAATTCTCAGGCCTCCGAGAATCCACAATCATGGGCTACTGGGGCTTCAGGCCTTGGGCCAGATGGACCACAATGCGTTATTTGCCAGGCTTCCCCAAGGTCAATAATAACATGGCCCTGCCGTTGCCTTTGCATATGTGAAGACTGTAGGATTAGCCTTGCCATGAACAACTTCAGTAGCTGTGTGACATGCCGCCAAGAGGTCACAGGCTTCGTTCGATTATGGGTTCCCTAGGTTATTATTCTAAGGTATATCCGGCAATATATCTTACCAAAATATCAATATATTCATATCGCATCTTTATAACGCCTCGCCTGCCTCATAATTCTATGATGTGCTTGCCTTTCGGTGCTTTCCTGGCCATTTTATGAGCCGATATGAGGGAGAGTAATTCGATGACCGGGCATGCTTTTCACAGCCTAAAACGACAAACATGAAGGAGCTAGGCTGCAGCAGACTATACGCATAGTCAATTGTAAATTTCTGGAAATATTATATAAAAGGGTACAATGATATATATTTATCGCCAGGCAATGGCTCGCCGTACCCTATTCTGTCATTGAGATTATTAGTTCGTGGTACTTGAGGCTCTTTTAAAGTTGGCGCGACACGGGCCGCTGGGTTTTGCCACACGTGATTACCTGGCATAAAATGGAGGGCGCAACATTGCAAATCTTAACATTGTTACTCCGTAGATTAAAGACCATTGAGATATATGTTCTCTTGTAGAGAACGAACGATTGCATCCTGAGCCTTATTTGCAAGATCCAAATTCATCTACCCACATAATTAACGGCTTTGCCAAAACATCCATCTACGGATCTGTGCGGCTTATGATTTGTGTCAAACATTATTTAAAATGTACATTTAAATACATAACGGCAAAGCTATCAATATATCGCCATCCTAGCCGTACATGAAGATAATGTCACGGGTGACAGGTGAATCATAGAAATAGGTGGTGCCATTAGCCAGATAAAGGGCGGGCCAAGGTTGGGAGTCCAGGTCAGAATGAATGCTAATATCAAGCGAAGCACAATGGCGGGTTATAGCATATTATGGACAAATGTAGTATCTGCAGAGCGACCTATTTTCATACCTGCCCCTAATCCGTAACTACTATGACTTCCACCAGTTACTTGATTCACTTGGTCGTTTAGCATGGACCGGTATTGGGGGCTGCGAATTGTGCCCCTAGGAGACGTGAATGAATAGCTAGACGGATGATGGTTATGGGGCGAATGGCTACTAGTTTTGTTTATTGGCGGTAACCTGGTACGATGTCGAGGTGTAGGGTGAACAGCGTTTGCTAGGTTCCAGTGATATGAGGCACAATAATTTTATAGAATTACTCGAGAACCATATACTTACAAGCTCGTGGTGCAGGTAGCACAGTAGGAGGGGGCATCATAGCTGAGTCCCGGGAATGGAAGGCAACTTTGTGTTGTCGTTGGGTTTTAGGCTTATGATCGTTGCACGGCCCGGTATATTGGTTGAAATTACTCATTTGAGAAGCTGTAAGGCTTGTAGTAGGCCTTTGCGAGTCCAGTCCAGCGGTTGCATTATTCTCCGACGCCCCATACGAATTGAGGGCCTGAGCGACGGTATCTGAAACTGCAGTTTGGATCTGCGATCTTATGGCGCGATTTTTCAATAAGTTATATAGATTGGTCATTTGCGCATGCTTTTTGCATTTATCTCGATATACGCCAACCAGCTCCTGGTTTTTTTTCTGAAGTTGCTCCTGGCCGATTTCAAGTTCTTAATAGATGGTTGGAGTTAGATTGAGAACCATATCCTCATACAAAAGAATACCATATTCATACCTGATATACGTCGTTGGAGTGTCTCTATTGCGGAATTTGCGTCATGCGCCATCTGATCCATCTGTTTGCCCATAGTGCTGCATTTATCTCTTAGTGTCTTACTTAGGTGGTCCTGGTAGAAGCTAGGTCGGATTAGACAGCCATTTCAATTGTTATGCAAGTTAAACGACGTAATTTTATAACGGTACATTTCCTGTGTTGTCTGGTAGGCCCAGAACGACAGAGCTCTGCCAGCACATTCTACAATCGTAGTCGGATCCAGTCCGCTCAAAACGCTAGTTTTATAATCTTCTGTCGGGGTGAGGAGAGTTGACGCAACATCATCTGGGTTTGGAAGCTCTGACTGGCAGGCTGGACACTGTCGAGCTGCGCTTTTCGATTGAGATAGTCCTGCCTGGCTGGCGCAGCGAAGGCAAAAGATGTGGCTATTACAAGCGTGAGAAACTTATTGCTGCGTATAGTAATGAGGTATACTGACGAGCAAGTGGTAACTACAGCCTTCTCCGTCAACGCTGTCCGGCAACTCAGGTTGTTACAGCGTAAACAGAAATCCAAAACCTGAGCCATTGTAGAGAGCAAACAGCAGAGAATGAAGCCCTAGACGCTTAATAAATTGCAACAGATGGAGGAAGAAAAGGAAGACGAAGCTTAAAAGGAAAAAAATGTAAACAAATGCGATGCGGATATCACATATTGCCCGATTAGGAAGCTTCAAATTCAACCCTCACGTACTTTCTTTTCTCCATTAAAAACACCTCAGGCCATTTTATATAAGTGTTCAGTCAATACTCTTGTGTATATAGAAAGACTGGATGGTAAATTGCCACATTTCAACAATTGTAGCCTGGAACGGGTATAATAATAATAGAAAAAGGGGGCCCATATTCATAGACTGTACATCCCTTTCGCCTCTCCAAACTCCATTTTCTTTGCACCAGGAACAAAACAGTGTGAACAGCAAAGGAGAGAAATACCAGACGTTTTTAGAAGAAGAATGCATTTCCCTGGTTGTCCCGCCGGACTCCGCGCATCTTCTCCTCAAATTCGGGTCCCGGTTCATATTCTCGCCATAAACTCGCAGGAAAGATATGTTTATTCCGTTCGAACCATCGTCGGTCTACAACTTTGGTAAGAGTGGGATCTGTGTCTCTCCCTTCGAGAGCAGGTGTGGAGCTACTGCTATCATCCGAAACCGCTGGTGGTGCAGTATCAGAATAGTCAAAGAGCAGCCCACCGTTGCCAGAAAAATTTGGTATCCTGTTTGCGATAAAGTAATAAAATTCATAGTGCTAGATAGCCATTAGCATGAAACCAATGAAGATTGAGCCGTTTAACGAATGGAGGAGCTTACATGAGGAACTATTATTCCTCCTCTAACCAACATTAGATCATCGACTCCAACCCTAGCCCATTCCCTACGATGGTCCTTTCGCCCTCTCGCGGCTCCTCCAGCGCCCGCAAGCCCTAGCTTTGCGCCAACTTTTCGACAACGGTCAAGAAACAACCACACTGGGTCGCCTTTCTTCACAGTCACCTGGCCTGCCGGTATATTCGTCCCATCATAGAAAATAAATGGTATCACAATCTCAGTCGCCTTGACAACTTCTTGGATAGCTAGGAATTCCCGTCGAAGAGCATCTCTGGCCTTTGATTCCGCATCCAGAGCAGATTTTGTAACCAGTTTAGGCCGGGGAAGCGCTAAGTGCGGGTTTGGGGCTAATCGTCGAGCTGGTTTCGGGCTTGATCCGTGAGGCGTGCCAGACCGAGATCTGCTCTCAGTTGCATCGCGGGATGTATTGTCTGTATTCTCAGCGTCTTCGTCATCATCATTGCCAAACGAGAGTTTGCTCTTTGCCAGAGTCCGGGCTTTCTTTTTCTTCTTCCTCAATGGCTCATCACTTTGTTCACTGCACTTCTACAATCAGCAAGCTTATTCCTGTGAATTAACTCCGAGAAAAATGGCTATCACTTACCCGTCTGCCTTCTCTCCTGTAGACGGCGTGCCACTTCTGGACGCTCCAGGAGTAAATCTGCCCAATGACTTATCATGCGCTTCTCGTTCTTTTTGTTCCAGCGCCTCTGCCCTTCGCTTTCGAAAGTCCGAGAGCTTCACTAAGCCAACAGTTTGAGATTTGAACAGATCCTCCGCGGTGGCCGACTGGTTCGTAAACGACCGAGGAGTAGAAGTCCTGCTTGGCGGCTCAGACGGCGCAGACATCTTGGACTCTCGGGGAAGCAGAAACAGCTTTCACTTCTCGCTGATATTTGATTGATCGGTTCGTTACGACAAATTTATGATGCTTTTGTCTTCTTTCTGAACCTTGAACAATCAACTAGATATAGACACGTGACCTGACAAGCACCGGCTTTTCTTGTTGCTTTTGCGATTGATGAAACTACAAGCCATTCTTAATCTCGATCAGTGAACTGCGGATTAGGTCGAAGACAATCACATTTTTGATATTATACAAGAAGAAAGAGACGTTATTGTGCTTTTGTGAAGCTAGATTTCACATCCCTGGACGAACGCTTGGTCTTGGAAGGCTGCCTAAGGGAAAGCTGCTGCATCCTCTTTAAGCAAACGGCTCTCAGGATTCGAAGCTAGAAGAGGATACGATACATTGACCTGGCCATAAACTACTGTTTGGCTGTGAGTCTAGCAATGGAGGAAGATGACGATGATCTCTATGACCCGACGAATGCAGTATCGTCAGGCACAAAGCAAGTCTCTCCGACTCAGGATTCCGAACAACAAAAGGGAGACGTAGGCATGGCGGAAGGGGATGATTACGAAGAGGAAGAAGAAGAAGAGGAAGATGAAGTATGCGCACCGGTTCCCCTCTTTGGTACTTGCTCAATTTGCTAACTGCAGCAAAATATTTAGGATGATTTTAAGATTATCACGGAAGTGCCGCCAGAGGTAGCTGCTGAGCTTGTCACGTAAGATCCGACTAAAAGACGCACAAGTTATTCTCGAGGATCCATAGGGCTGACTTCCTGTAGACAATATCCGCGCCATACCCCATACCGCAGCGAGCCATCAAAATCTACAGCAGACTCCGCCAGTGCAACACCAAAAGCTGTTCCAACATATCCCGTTCAGAAACCTGGGACACCAACTGTGACTCCCGCTGCCTCAGCAAAACCTACAGCGCCTCTGAAACCAGGCTCCTCATATCCAGCTCACCACACATCTTCGGTCGACGTATCAGCCAACCCTATTCATCCCTCTACCAATAAGCCGATCCTTTCTACAGATTTAGATGCAGATTTCCCTACGGAAGATGATAAGCCTTGGCGGAGGCCTGGTTCGGATATTAATGATTATTTCAATTATGGGTTTGACGAATTTACATGGGCAAGCTATTGTCTAAAACAGCAGAGTCTGAGAAAAGACATCAATGACCAAAAGACACAGATGGAGGATATGCAGGCATTCCTCAGCGGAGGGCTGCCAGGAATGCCGGTGCCTGGTGGGCCAACCCCATCCCTCCCGGGTTTAATGCCCGGAGCAGTCGCTGGCGGAGGTGGAGGTGGGGGAGCAGGTGGAGGTCGGGGTACTCCTGGCCCCCCTCAGGGAGGCGCTGGGCCAGGTCCACAGAATTCCATGCCTGGAATGCCTCCAGGTATGCCGGAACTATCCCCTGACATGATGCAGGCCGTGTTTGCAGGCATGATGGCCCAAGGCATGGACCCGTCTTCAATGGATCCAATGACCTTCATGCAACATGCCCAGGCGATGATAGGAGGCGGCCAGCCCGGTGCTGGTACACCCCAGGTGCCTCAAACAGGGTATGGAGGTCAGGCTACAGGTCAAGGATTCTCCGGACAAGCTGGTGGCCAGGAACAGATGGGATACGGGGGTTATGACCAGCATGGGCCATACGGTGCTGGTGCCAGGGGAAAAGGTATGAGAAGATGGTAGATCTGAACAAGAGACATGAACAATTACTCATCTCAGAGAACTTTGTACACCACTAGTAGCTGTTAGGATCTAATATCATACCTAATATCATGAAGCTTTGCTCTCAAATATAATCAACGTACTTCCCTTTTCGGGGTTACAATCAACTAAACCCTTTTTGATATGGTGTCTTGGCATATTTTCTGGAAATTTCTTGGGATTTTTTTTTTGAAGCAGAAAACAAAAACTTCTTTCTCTTAGGCTTCAAACTCCCAAAGTCCAATATATTCCGATTCGCTTCAGTTCACTTCAATTCCTCTTCCTACGATCTCTTTTTTTCTTAGTTGTTGTTTAATTCTCTCCACAACCTTCTCTACACCCATAACTATGGTGAGTCTACTCTCTCCGCATTAAGAAGACGATCTCTCTAATCAAAGCTTCAATTGGAAATATCTTCAGGCCTTCCGCAGCGTCAAGAACCTCGCTCCCCTTCTCGACCGTGTTTTGGTCCAACGTATCAAGTCTGAAGCAAAGACTGCTTCCGGAATCTTCCTTCCTGAGAGCTCTGTCAAGGAGCTTAACGAAGCTAAGGTCCTTGCCGTTGGTCCTGGAGCCCTCGACAAGGACGGCAAGCGAATTGCCATGAGCGTTGCCCCAGGTGACAGAGTCCTGGTTCCTCAGGTGCGTCGCATATGAATCTTTTAGCTAGACCTTAATACCTCTTTTGGATGCCGAGAACTGACTTTTCCCGCCCCTGGCAATTGGTCTTTATTAGTTTGGAGGAAGCCCTGTTAAGCTTGGAGAAGAAGAATACTCCTTGTTCCGAGACCATGAGTACGTCAATTCAATCACTCCCGGTGCAGTCCATAGATCGAAATTAACAAACCTCGCAACAGGTTGTTGGCCAAGTTCAGGGAGTAAATATACTCTATCCGCTACGTTTTAAACCATACCATCACACGAAATCAGCTACGCACAGCCATGCTGCTTGGCTTATCTGATTCTGTACAATACTATGTAATATAATGAATACAACATCTACCCAACCAAAGCCCGCCACACTATCCAGCTGGAAGATGGCAGAAGAGAGCCAGCGAAAAGGAAAGGAGTTTTATTTCTCTCATATACTTTTCCAGCTTTTCACTTTCTTTTATTATTTAGGGGAAACAGAGGAGGAATGCATCATATGAGATATGCACAGAAACTATGTTCGTTGTTATATAACTCGGACACTCCATTTCCGGATAATTCCTGACGGAGAACCTGTTTCTCGTGTCTTGACCCGTTGATATATAAATTACAGCCTCTTTCCTATACATTGAAGCTTTGAGATGAATATATACATGCTTGGATATCTCCCCTCAATTTTGATACTCTTTTCTATCCGGTCCATTTTCCCTTTACAGAACACTTATTAGAGCGATCGTGGCAAAATAGTTATGTACGAAAAAGGAATATTGAATACTTTGTAACTTCTGCCAAGTTATACAGCATAGTAGTCTCGCGATGGAGAATGATGATAAACCCAGGTTGTCATTAATTCACCCCCATGGGACTGACTTTCATGCCATGTATACGAGCAAGTATTCGAGAGAAAGCTCGCTCTCCAAGCAAGGGTACTATGTAAGCCTTTCCCTTTTCACCGCAAAGCTTATGTAAGGCTAAGAGCAGCTGTTCTCTTACGGGCCTTGAAATTTGACCTGGGGGAATTTCCGTAACCAATACCTGATTTGCTCCTTGTAGCGTAGGAGACAAAATATACATCACAAAGCGGGCAGCGAAACAGTTCAATCCCAACCGCTGAGTAAGGAACTGCTCGTCCATAGCCTCGGGAATAGACTTAATCTCAGGCGGACAAAAATAGGGCTGGAAAGGCAGGCTGTAAGTGCGACCAAGGATGCTTCTAAGGTCGGGTCGAGGTACGGAGACATGATGTTTCTTCCCGAGGTTTATGATCCACTGAGTAAGTGTTGTGAGCTCTGAGGAGATATTCAATACGCTCACATTTGAATATCTACTCAAAGTGTCGCAAAATGCCCCTACCGAGGTGATTGCACCATAGGTCCTTTTATCTACAGAAACCGACGACTGAGTAGTTGTTGATTCTGTTGCATAGAGGGTAAAGATATAAAGTAGATCGTACTTTTTGCAAGTTTGATAAACTCGCTCCTAGAACGGTGAGTTCAACTCTATGTCGGAAAAGTGTTCAGTCAAATGCCCTGGCAGATGTAGTTGTGTATAGTCTTTGGTAGTGGCGAGAAGCACTCCTACTCTAGGAGACAACGTTATATCTGCATCTCGCCAAGATACATCCCTTACTACCGACGGAGGAGAAAGCTCGTAGAACACCAGGGTAGGGGGGTTTGGAAGAGTTTCCAGTTTGTGAATAAGGGGCCCATGAGACTTAATGAGGTCAGTCGACAGAAAGAGAACTCCGGGAACTGAGATATCATCGTATGAGGGCGGAGCATCAAGTGGGATGTTATTTGCCTCTGCTTGATGTGGGAAATCTGACGAAATATGACATTCTCTGTTCTGAATTTGGCCAGCTTGAGTGGTATTTGGGCTAGGATGCAACTCAAGTGAGTTTGGATCTGAGTTTCGGCCTGTATTCGGTAGCTTCTCTCGTCCGTTAACTTCCATAAAGCTGGAAACACTCTCAGAGGCTGAGAACAGAGTAGGGAGTAGATATCCTGATGTTTCACTTTGGGGGGTTTCTTGGAGGGTGCTACCAGCTTGTTTAGTGAGACTGCCATCTTTATGTCCGTCTTCGTTAACGAATATGCGTGGACATAGTTTGAAATTGTCTATATTCTAAGCCACATTGTGCTGGTTAGACACCACTAACACATATCTTGCACCAGGCAGGATGGCAAACCTCGTTCAGTGAAGGAAAATACGTGGGTTTCTTGTACTGCAACGGTCCCTCGTATTGCTGGTATCGAAGGGCCTCCTGCAGGTATAGGCCTGCCGTTGGCTGGCACACAACTTTTTCTTTGCCGATTCTGCCCATGATATCGCTCCTCATGTCTGCATAATAGCCAGGAAAAGCTAGCCCTTCGTCATGTTCGTCATTGAGCTTCTCCAATGGTACGTGTATATCTGATTGGCCCAGTAACGGCAGGGATGGTATAGAGAGGAAACTGCGCGCAGTGTCCCGCGTGAGGATGGGCGGATATATCTTTAGTTGCTCTACTCGCTGGCGGTCAGGAAGGGTTTTGGACGCGTAGTTCCTGTCCTTGGAAGAATCTATGTATTCATTTTGTGCACGGACGATGGAGGATAACAACTCGCCGCTGGCTCTGCTGGATGGAAGTTTCTCGGAATGAACCGCTTCGACAAGCTCCTGTGCCCTGCGATCGTCTTCGATGAAAGACTCGTTGAGATCGGTTGTGCAGGAATCAGCGCTGAGAAGCCCACTGATGACCTCCCCGGGACCAAGCTGTAGATTATTCACGGCAATTCCATGGAAACGGGCATATTCAAGCAATGGAGGTTCTTCTGGGCTAGAGTAGGACATGTTGAAAAAAAGGGCTCGCTGTTAAAGTATGGACCGATGTTATGCCTAGATGCTATGGCAAGGGAACGTAGTTTGTAGGATGTGGAGGTTTCTATAGACGATGAATAAAGCACAACCACCATCAACGAGAGATTCGAGCCAAGCCTACCACGTACCAGAGTTAAGGAGGAAAAAGGAAGAGAGGAGGTAACTCAGCCATGGAAGATTCGCATAAATAATGTGATGTTAACATGTCTCTCCTTAGGAAGTTTCTACCAGAGAGAGGGAGAGAGGGATGCGGGTATCAAGTGAGGGTTAGATGGGAAAGTTCGAGAATAAATGAAGAATACAACACAAGCTCATAGATCAAAAGCTCGAAAACTCCAAGTGAAGATAGGGGAGAGGATAAAAAGGTATCATGTAAAGCAAGCCATGGTCTGGAGATGAGTAGCTCTCTACCTCTGAAGCCATTCTAATCTCCATCATATAAGAATATCGACTGAATATGGCTGAGGTGAGGATGCTCATAAGGAAAATAAAAGAGATAAAATAAACAAAAAAAAAAAAGAACGGAAAAGAAGAAGGAAAGGAAAAACAAGATAATACCAGGCAAGGGAATTCGTTAATACGCCCTGGATTGCCATCCATTGCTTATTCCAGTACCATTTACGCCCAAGGGACCCAAAACCAATTCCTGAACTTCCTCCTTAGCACTGCCGACCCTGCTGGCGACGCCTAAGATGGCTGTCTCGACGTCTCCAAGCGTTGCAGCGAGTTCTCGCACACGGGGGGATTGTGTACTGGTAGTGCTTCCGCCATCTCTGCCCCTTGAGGAGACCAATGCGTGAATCTTCCGCTGAAGGGAGTCTTCGACATTGTACAAATGGTCTTCGATATCTTTCAGGTTCTTGCGATACTCCTCGAGCACTGAGCCCATATCGTCTGCCCGCTGTGAGAAGTAGTCTACCAGGCTACCAGGTTCATTTTGTGAAGCACCGTTAGGATCTGCCTCAATACCTTCTGGCAGGGCAAGAGTACCACCGTGACGGAGAGCGGGCCGCAGCGGATGTTTGGACATTGGCTGGCCTTGCTGGCCTGTCGGCCACCATCGTTCACTAGGGCTGGGCTGGTATTGCAGAGGTAGAATTAAAGTATCGAGAGTACGGAAGGCCAGTTTTGCATCGGTGGCATCTTGTTTTGCGAGGTTACGAGCATGTTCAATTCCGTTGGCATCGTTTTCGAGGGCTTCTTGAAGAGTATCTAGCTTCCCTTGTACAAATTCAACGTCGTTGGGAATCATTGCACCCTGGGCCGATATGGTGGGTAGAAGGTCGGACACTTCGTTACACATCCGGACTTGATTGAGGATGAAGGTGTCTATGGCTTCAATCTCCCTCTTCAACTCGTCGCTGCAGCTCTCAAATTTTGTCGTTGGCACAAGATTTGATACATCGATTTTAACGCCCGATACAACATTGTTCCCGGCTGACTGGTCTTGTTTTAAAGGTCCTGCTGTGTTTCTGAATAGGGATAAAGTTGGTCCTTGCTGCTGCTGCTGCTGAGTATTCCCACTGAAGAAACAGAGAAACGGTTAATACGTATAGACGTACTATAGAGCGACATATTTATGTGAGAACTTACAATAAACCCCCTGTATTTGCTGAAGTCGCCGTAGTCTGTGCAGCGCCTCCAAATAAGGATGGCTTCGCCTGGTTTTGATTGGCGGTAGAGGTGCCCATCGAGAACAGTGATGGCCCACTGGTTGCAGTACTCTGTTGTGATTGAGCATTGGAATTAGTCGCCCTGCCAAAGAGCGAGCCGCCAGCCAGCCCGCTCTGCTGCTGAGGTTGTGAGCTGGGTGTCCCTGTTCCCGAGAATAGGCCTCCAGTTGCCGGTTGAGTTGTTGCTGTTGTTGGAGCGGTGGTAGTCGCGCTGGTACCAACGGCACCAAACAAACTCTTCTGCGGAGTCTGGCTGCTGGTAGCCCCTAGCCCTGCAAATAAATTTCCTGTCTGTGGCTGTGATGTTGCTGTTCCTCCAAGGGTGCCGCCGAAAAGACCGCCTGCGGATGTGGATGTAGTCGCCAACTGTGTTCCGCCGCCGCTGTTGAATCCGGGATCATCAGTCTCTTGATTTCTCCTCCGTCTCCGTTATTTGATTCGTTCCGTGCCTCTTCTCTTGCGCCTTTCTTTTTCGTTGCACGGCTGCTACAAATACGCTGTTCAACGGACGTATAGATGAAGCAAAGCTCTCCAAAGGCGCAAGGAGAAGGAGTACATGAGGCCGAGAACAGATGAAGACAAATAGACGAGTGAGACAAGGTGTATACTGGCATGAATTGACTTACAATAAAGAGTTCGCGCTGGATGTGTTGACTGTCAAGCCGCCGGTTGTGGCAGGTTTCTGGGAGAACATGGTGTGAGAATCGCTTTTCTTGACGATAAACTATCTTAGCGGATAATAGCAGATAGGGCGCGAGAGGTATATGACAGAAGAGAAGGCGATGGAGAGAGAAGGAGAAATGAGAAACAGTTTTTGCTTGAATGTTTGAATATTCAATTCAAGATGCGAAGTTGGAGCTTTGAATGTTTTTTATTTTTTAAGCTTTGCGATGTCTTGGCAGCGAATTTATCTTGGCGTCTTCGTATAACCACTAGTTATTTCAAGAGACCATTCAAATTCTACAGGGCTATATTGACTGATGAGATGATAGATATTGAGTGGAAACGCCTTGCTCGTTGAATAGGAAGGGAGACGGCCATGAAAGCGAACCATGCAGCAGCCGGGATATGACGATGTACCGCGAGTAAAATGTGTTGCTCACACAGCCAGCGAAGATAAGCTGGCGTCTGTCCACGAGCTCTTAAATGATAATAATCGCAGTAATCTGGTCTCAGGCTACTTTAAAAGTGCCCAGTGGTAAGCGCTATTTGTTCGTGCCGAAGAATCTATTTTATGGGATGCATACTTACGACCCAGGTCTCCTGATGGAACTACAGTAATCACCAACTCGGCTGATAATCATCTTCGGTCGTATGTTCTGTATGTTGCATTGGGCCTCGAGACCATTGATTGTCAGTTTTGTTGTTACTAAATAGCAGGATAGGCCCCCTGATCTTCTGGAGGCAAGGGATGGCCCGCATATCCTTCAACCGTACTATACCATTCCATCCAAGGAACCCATCTATTCATTAGCTATATACCCATTTTACGAGCTTCAGGAACCTTCAACCACCTGTCTACTCTCTGGTCTCCGAGATCACCCGATCCAACTGAACTCAGCCCTATATCCTGGCCTCCTAGCGTCTTACAGCCTCATTTCCCCCACAACGGAAGCCTTTATTACTCCTCACTCCCTTCTATATCCTACTAGCCTTGGAGGAACTCATTTCTTGGCTGGATGTGACAGCATGATCTGTTTGTTTGATATATCACGACCCGGAAAAGAAGGGCCAATATCCAGGTTGCCCACTATTCCGAGCAAGAGAAAGAAGCTTGTAGGAGGGGGCGTGGGGATGAAAGGGATCGTCTCGGCAATGGCTATTGAATCTGGTGGCAGTAGGGTGTTGGCTGCAGGTACGTTCACCAGACATATCGGACTATACGGGGATAATGGGAGTGGGGATACGATCGCCACCTTTAGCATTGCCAACACAGCTGCTGAAAAGGCTATCGGCGGAAATGGCGTTACACAAGTTCTTTGGAGTCCGTGTGGTCGATATCTATACGTGGTTGAGAGGAAGAGCGATGGAGTGTTGGTGTATGATATCAGAGTGACAGGGCAGCTTGTAGGGTGGCTTGAAGGTAGGCGGGCAATGACAAATCAGAGACTGAATGTCGACCTTGTCGATCTCAGGGGGGCTTCGGAGATCTGGGCCGGCGGGATGGACGGGGTAATCCGTATGTGGAAGAACCCGTCTCATACCGAAGGAGGTTTGTGTCCAACATGGGAGGAGCAGATCCACAACGGTAAGTCAGTCCTCATTTTCGAGTCTCAACCCGCCACTGAGGATGATATATAGATCCTATTACGAGTTCTATTATTCACCCAACTGGGAGTGTCCTCGCGACTTGCTCTGGACAGAAACACTACCCATATTTTTCAGATGACAATAATGAGGGCATCACAGCGTCTGTTTCAGATGCAGACCCTGGCACCGCAGGCCAAACCAAATATCAAATTGACAACAGCCTCAGGATATGGCACCTGTAGTCCACCCTCTCTTCCACATTGTTGACTGGCTGCCTAGTTCTTATATAGTTGGAATACATTTGATCACTTATTATTAGTATAAGCAGAGAATGGAGCCACTTGGAGACCTGCTAATGAGGGGTTATTTTTGACGGCCCGTGGACCCCGGACGCTGCCTTGCCATAATAACACAGAATAGGGGGAGGCTAGGTAGAAAACCTATAAAACCAACGGACCGACAGCCCCGGCCATCTTCTATATGATAGGTAGCTAGTGGTGACAGAACCAATATGCTAAGGCCAGTGCTGTCTTATTTACTACGAGAAGCTTGACTCGGGCTAGCAATGACTGCTATTGTCTATCCCTGGCCCAGGAATAGTTGCTTGCGTATCTTCAGCCCGTGTTAGCTCAGCTTTCTAACCTAACTATTGGAATAGAGAGGAGAATAGAGAGAAATCTCTGATTAGGAATCCTTCTGCCCTTCCTCATACTATGTATCTTCATGCAGATATAACTATTATGTAAAGAGTGAGGCTGAAGTGGTTTTCTGTGGGTAATCCCAGCCTGTCCAATCACAACACAGAGACAACAACTTCATCTCCTCAAACCACAAGAAGACTATATTTCCACTCCCTCTCGCTCGCGTAGCTTGTTGACTCTATTTTTATTTTTACTTTTTTTGTTTAAGCAACATTTAGCCTTTTTACTCTTAAGGGAATACCCATCTTTTGCTCTAATACTCAGTGGTCAATGGCTGTTGGGTGTTGGATTGTAGAGAAGGGTTAGACCAGCGGTTGACTCACTCAGGAGGCCACAGTTAAAATAGCTCTTAGCATTAACGCCTGCGGCTTCTGTCATTTATCTTCTTCCTCCTGCCTGGCCTCTCCTTTAGTAAATCTCTTCTCATGTTATTTCTGAAGACATGTCTTAAGCAATTCCCCTGGTTTCTCTCTCCCTGGCCACCAAAACGGCTGTATCTATCCCAAGCATCTACCAAGCCCTCCTGTTTTGGACGGTACGCTTGGTTGAAAAGTGTAAAGCAGAATTGAGGGCAGATACAGTTTCTTGAAGGCTTAAGAGGCAGAACTTGAATGCCATCGTTGACCCGTGCTTGGTATTGGCAGTATTCATTCAGCACTACTGTCTCGGTTGAGATTGAAGTATACCAGTCTTGAGCTCCTATACACTGCAGTTGATCAGGGAGGAGGCTTGCTGGCTTCTCATTATCGCCAAAGAGAGAGGTGGCTGTGTCAAATCAAGACAAAGCTTGCAACCAAATCGCAAGTTGTATGTTTTGTGCTCACGGGTTTCCCTCACCTGATATCCTACAATGCGTGTGGGTACAGCTACGAGGTGGGATGGTGGGAAACATGAGGGCTGCTTCAATGAACCGAGTGCTGGGTCTACTCGACAGCTATCCACCTTGTTATATTGATCAAAGGACGCCATTCTATTGATATATTCATACGGCCGGTTTTTTGTTGATATTAATCGGGCGTCGCTGGCCTAACGGTGCCGAGTGAGCTCTGCTCGACATGCAGGGTTGTTGAGCCCCCTTTGTTACCCCCAATTACGGCAGGAAATGCGGCCTTGCACAATATAGTCAATAGACATCAGCTGGCCTCTCTGTTGATCGATGAATAGTTCTCGAAGGGAACTCCCGATGCTCGAGGCTTATTCTATCATTGATTCATTGACCCGTCAATCTGATATCTGAATTACGGTAACTTACGCTAGTGACTATATGCATTCTTACCGTAAGGCTATACTACGCCAGCAACTGATATCTATATTCACGACAAGTTGAAATACGGGGGGCTGGGCTCACCAGACAGTGAATATATAAAGCAGACAATGGGCCAAGTTTATCAAGTCCTTTCTTCATCTTCGAACTTCTCTCAGCAACAGCCTCTTCCTCTTCCTCTTCCCTTCCTTCTTCTTCTTCTTCACACTCTCTCATTCCAGCAACATTTCCGTGCCTCCAGTTCACATACTCTTATCAAGTTGCTCACTCAGTAGCCTGTCTAGGCATACGGTATTGCTCTGCATCCTCTGGACAAGCCAACATCGCTTTGACGGTCGTTTTGTAGCCAGTGATATCTCACTGACAGCTACAGTCGAGAAGCAAAATCTCTCACAGAAACGCATACCCCCTTTTACCAAAACAACCAAGGTGAGCTCCCCTTTTTTCTCTTGTGGGCCCGACGGTTCCTGTCAAGTTCCACGGCCTTCGTCCGCTCTATGGCCTCGAGTTCTTATTAAAATCAATAGTTACACGTTATAGATCGAAACTGTTGGCACTTCAAAATGAACCACGACTATCTTTTTACCGAAGAGGAAAGGGCAAACTTCTCGCCGCAAGAAATAGCTAACCTGATGGCCCTGTGCAACTATATGTGAGTATCATATGATCTCATTCTTGAATCAAGGTCTCCGTACTTACCATTATTTGAGTAGGAATGGTATCGAAACTTCAGCCGTTGCAGCCTCTGAACAGGAGGGGGACTCCCAAGGGCAGCAGTCTGCAGAATACAAGCTAGAAAATCAAGCCAAGGCTATGGAAGCCGACACCCAGGGTATAATTTTTCACAATCCTTTAACAGCTAATCCACTACATTTTTGATATTTATGCTATAGAATGTTTGTTTTATCCGCTTCTAATACTGAGTTATGCAGGCAATATCGAACATAAAGACGAACATCCAGCTATGGACAGTGTTGCATTTGATTTTGACGATTTAATTAACCTCACCGGTTCCCCAGATCGGATGTCTGACGCTGATTTAGCCCCAAAGCACCAGCAGGCACAGAGTAGTTATCAAAATGCTCATACCTCATCTATTTCCGAAATGGCTCATCCTTCGACCATGTTACCCGAAACTATTCTCGGAACCAAGGATTCAGGGTCTGTTACTTCTGACGGATGCGGGCAACTAAAACAATCCCCGCCTGATTACGGCATGGATATGGTCGCTGAGTCCATGCGGGATCATCCCTCTCCCCAAGAACCGAAGGACCCATCAATCCCACAAATGGCGGCTTCACATCCGTATGTAAACCAAAATTTCACATGTCCGGAGATAACGCAAGCTCACCAAGTTACCAGCATCCCCCAGCCAATAACCAATTATTCTGGGTCTCAAACGTATGCCGCAGTGCCGCTCCCTCAACATATCCATATCAATAATACTGTGCCTTCTGGCCCTGCTCCTTTGGATGGAGCTTGGAGTGCTGCAGATACCAATAAAAATTCGGGGAGGAGGGAAGGAACCTTCAAGGGAAACTCACCAACTATCGAGCCCAAGGATGAGAGAGCCAATCTTCGAGACAGTATTGAGCCAATTGTCCTACAGTTTTCGTCCTCGAAAGATGCCAATGGCTATCGTCCAGATAGGAGGCCAATGCCAGTCGACCCTACGGTTCCACGTACAGTTTCAGAGCAGAAAGAATGTGTTGTCAGCCTTATAAAGGCGATGAAAAGTTTTGAATGTGCTACGGACAACTGGGGCATGATTAAGCCATTTGCAAACCGGAAATTTAGTGATAGAAAGATCGAAGTATGCTGCTGGAATATCTTGGTAAGTTGGCTATAACTAGAAATTATCATCAAAATAACTAAGACTAACTTATATTATCAGGATTGTTGCGTTCTCCGACAAGATGTTGGCCCGTTCCTCACTCCTGAGGAAGAATCATTGAAGAATAAGACCAAGAAGAATAAGCAAAACTTTGCTGAGCGTTTTCAAGATATGATTCGCATTTTAAAGGTAAATAGTAGCGTCCTGAATATTAGAACTATGAGACTGATACCTTAATAGACTCGCAAGACGGTCTGCCGTCATTTATTGGATCCTTACTATCTCCTCCAATTTGTGGATGACCCAAGTTCATGCCTAAGTGTGAGTTCTCTTCATTTGTTAATTCCTTAATTCTTATAAAATAAGGGTGAAATCTGACCAAAGTTCAGCGTGTTGATTCCAACAAAAACCTCAATGCTAAGAAAAAACAGGCCATTGATGCGGGAAAAAAAGTTATGGCCAGTAAAGGAGCTGACGATGAAGGAGCCACTCAGGATGGGGTACCTCACACTCTGGCGAGCCCTTTCGCTACCCCTAAACATGAAGACGGGACCGCCAGCAGCTCTTTTCCTTCGAACTCGGGCCTGAAAATCATTCCGGGAGTTGAAGCTCCACACCCGGCCCAACAGCCAGTCAGGTTTCACCAACTGAGCCCACAAGCCAGCCCTATGATAAGTATGCAATCCCCGGCTGCTGGGCAATCTGTGCCGGGTCCATCAGTAGTCTACCCAACATACCCAGCCGGCAACTTTGGTGCTACGCCATTCATTGGATACCATCCGGGTCATGCCTATAACTCTGCTCAGGGAGCTGCTGGAAATATTGTCCAGACCCAGGTGGGTACGATGGTAAATGCACCACAAGTTAACGCTACTTCTCCTCCAAGATCACCATGGAATCAGGCGTATTCCAATACTATGCCATCAGCACAGTACCAAATCTCTCCAAGGACTCCAAGCATGCGCATGCCTTCCACAGTGTCTAAATATCCCACTCCTCCAGTTTCTAGCGGGTCAACTCCCTATTGCCAAGCTAAGCTGGCACACAAGGCATCTCGAAAGAGATCAGCAGATGCCTCTGACAGATCAGAGAGTCCCGTGAAGAAAGGACGCTACTAGATTTCTTTACAGGATCAAACTTTGTGTTGTCATCATCAAGGGTGATGCAGATACCGCACAAATACCTTTGTCTCAACTCTCATTCTGTTACCATATTTTCTACCTTTTAAATACCGACAGACCCTGATTGAAAATCCACTAGTGAAAACCAGAGTCTGGCTCCATGCCATAGACTAAGGATATGCCATATCCCGATGGATCTCTTTCATTTATAGCCGCTCTGGCTTTTATGATTCTCATTGTATCAGCTGGGGTTTTCAATACCTAGGGTGTTAACTCAGGTTTCTTAGAGATCGCTTTCCTCTGCTTGCATTCACCGCAGACACATCCATACCGGCCAGATATGCGGACAACTTTACAACGTGGTATAGATCCCATTGCCTCTCCCCATCAATAGGCTGGAGGGCTAGAGAAAATTCTTCTTTTCTTTTCTTTACTTAAATACCTCTTTCAGTTTACACCATAGTTTCTCATTTCTTTTAATACCCTGCCGATTGCTTCTGCCCCTATTTCTCGGGAATGCCAACATTCAACTTTCCAGGCAAGGCTCAACAGATAGAACCTACCGGGTATCTGCATGCTTCCTTAGGATATCCTATTATACCCTCTTTTATTTCCTCACTGATATTCATATGGCATGATTTCATAATGTCTGCCCAAGGCTTTTATGTTAAAAAAGAATAAAAAAAAAGGTCTTTGATACTTTAGCGCAGTTGCCTTTATTTGATTTTAAAATCCCCTTTGGTTCTGTTGGACCCAACTTCTGTCATTCCTTTTGGTCAAAGAAATTTAACCTAGAGCAATACATCTCCAGTAGCCACAATACAGATTGAAAACTATTATTTAACTTGTAAAACTTTGGACAAATTCACAGTATATCAAGGATTTTATTTTATAAGTAGGTTACGTACTAGAGCGGGCTTTTGCTTCCCACATTAAATCTATCGGCATCATAAACGTTCAAAAAGTCTATTCTTTAGGGTACTCGGTATCGGCTGGCCGGTCTGGTCTGTAAACGGGGAAGTCGTAGTCATGTCATCATGGAAAGCAGAGTTAAACGAACGATTTCAAGCTACCTTGATTCCGTATTTCTCATACGGGAAGTTTTCTAAGGTGCGTACCAGTTGCCCCCAGCCGTCGTTCAGGCTACCGGGCTTGCCTGAGCTGAGGATGGCAGAGCTACCGTGTCCGTTCTGCTCGGGGTCCTTGTGTGCTCCCGTTAGGCCAGCGAGAACTTCTGCTACTTGATCTTTATACACCTCAAGCAACCCATCATATGGACACCAGATGACTCTCATGCCAGCTCTGCGGCCGGCCTCCACGCCTGGAACCGAGTCCTCGAAAACGAGACACTCTGCAGGGGTGATCGGAGGCTCGCCCTTCGCCTGGATTTCCTTATTGATGATATCAAGAGCCAGTAAATAGATATCGGGAAGCGGCTTCCCTCGTCCTGGTGCTATTCTGGGATCGTCCCCCACGATTATTCTGGACCGGGGGAACTGAGAAAAGAGGTCTGGCAGGTGTGACGTTTTGAGCTTGAAGTTTGTTGTTGTAGAAGAGGTTGCTAGCGCGATGTGTACGGGCGGAGAATTCGATGCAGCGCGGGACAAGTTGCTAATGAGCTTCATTACACCGGGAAGCGGCTGTGTATTTGGGAACTGTGGCCGTTGCAAGGCCGCAATCTTCTGCTGTAGTTCTTCCTGAGAGATGGGCAACTGGGCCCATCTTTGAAATACTTGGCCGGACTGTAGGCATAGAGGTGATAGAAGGGTGTATTAGTTTATATGTACTTCCGCCTGTCAAACTGCGTCCTGAAAAGATAGAAGGTACCTGTGGTTGGGGACGGCCTTGCAGCTGCGCCTTTATAGACCAAGGCAGGTTGGGTTTCCCATATTCACGCAATATCTGGTTTATCACAAACGTGTAGATGTCTTCAGAGTCGATAAGGAGGCCGTCCATGTCAAAAAGACATGCTCTAACGGGAGGAAGCCTGTAGCACAAGCTATGGTTAACCATCATCGCGGGGGGAAGGAGTACAAGTGAGGTTCTTGTCTGTCAACTTACTCATCCTGAGCGGTCATGATGGTAAGATCTAGCTGAATATTATATATTATTCTGCTTGCTGGTTGTGTGTCTCGACAGACTGGCAGCTTCAAGAACTGGCAAGCTGTGTTTTGATATTTGATATTTTGATATCTTCTATTTTTTTCCCCCTTAAAGGCTAACTTTATCCACGCTTAGCCTCGGCTAGTTTGTATGGTCCATAAGTTAACTTGCGACAAATATATGAGTTATAAGTTAATCAATTGGATAGTGGAGAGAGAGAGAGCATAGCACATGCAAGGACTATCTCTAATATAATTTATATTACATCCATCTATTCTTATCCGGCGAGTTGGGTTGTCGGGTCAAAGATATTCCGCCTGGTGTGAGATCCAGCGCCCGCGCCCATGGACGGGCCCAGATATGGTCCACGGCTGTGTTGGCCCAGAAACAAATAATATCTAATCACAGGATGTCTTCAAGGCAATTACATCTTTTAGAGTAGCGAGTCAGCTAGAGCGAGCCGTGAGGTATGCCGTACCCTAGTTACTCGATGTTAGTTATCAAGTAGCCTACCCGGCACCCTCTATAGTTAACCAAGTAACAGTTCTGTTATAGAAATATTTCAGTGGGACTGATGGAGTTAACCGCATCTATCTTTTAATATCCGTTACCGTGTACTCAAGAACTCGGTGAAGGTTCATTCTCCACCAAGAGATAAGATTTTGATCAACGAGCGGGCACAGGCAATAAGGTACCATTGGGCAGCTGAATAAGATTTGTCTAATTAACTACAGCGAATGAAGGGGCTATGTATGTTTTTGTATTTTGACATTCCAGCTATATATAACCGTGTATGGAGCAAACCGCCCGTTGCGGTCCGAAAGCGACTACAACGCCCCCCCTAGGTAGATTGAAGGAATGGTGGGCGGTGCATGGTATCACTTGACGGGCGGGGTCGGTTGCCTGCATCACCCTTGGTTTGATAAATGTCATAAATCCTGCTCTAATATTAGCAAACTGTCCTTGGGAGCGTTTGCGCCTTGGTTCGGCGCATAAATTCATTGCTGACATTGGCTTAAAACTGGCCACTAAAGCATATTTCATCAGCTAGATTTGCGGGCGCCAACCAAAACCACAGAAAGTAATCACGCCCATGTTTATACATGAGGCATATAGAGACCTGGCTGGCTTGTTCTTCAATTGGAAGGTGCTCTGCATTAGCCCTTAAAACTCCCACCCTGAGCACTTAGCTTGTAATCTCTTAGAAATAACTCACGGCGTTCAATGATAGTGGAAGGAATAACCTCAACACTATGCTCGCGAACAGATAGAATACTATAGAGATAGCCTGAGAGCGGATGCCCTATAGAATTTGCCTCATTTCCTGAGTAACCGAGCTGTTGGTCAACCTCGAAGTTTGAGAAACGGATGATTCATTAGTTCGCGAGCTGTCTTCCTCTCCTCCGGGAGCCAGGTGAGCATTTCTCTCACGAAAGATAGAAATGCAGCTCTTTCTTTCTCTTCTAGAAATGGGGTTGTGTCCTCTAAGACTCGAGACGGGATAAGATCATTAGAGCAGAATTCACCTCAAACACTGTTAGTATGCGAGGCATTGAAATACAAGATAGTTGTTAACTCACCTTCCGCATTGAAAAAAGGGCCATCAAAGAATTCTTGGGAATCATTGCAGAGTTTGCCAATTTCATTCGTGACAGGTTGGGGCCAGTTGTGTTCTGACATGACCTTCGATTTCGCGACTAATGCCTTGGGAGGCGGGCCGAGTAGGGCAATCATTTCAGCAAGGTGCGACTTTGCGTCGTACTGGCCATTTGCATCAACTACCTGTTGGAATAGCTCCTTGCTCCCAAGGATATTCCACAACTTCACCAAACAGGGTTATTAGCATTACGCACCGGCCAGTGAGTTTAACGGAAAGGGTGTACGAAAAATCCTCTGTTATTGTATGCATCTATATCCAGCGCACAGTTTCAGGGGTCTTACCAGCACACCAAAGTTCCAAATATCTGCCTTAGAGTCCCAGCCGCAGCCAAGAATTACCTCAGGGGCACGGTAATGGTCAGGTTGGATAGGATAAATGCCAAGGTGCTCTCCTACCACTCCATTCCGAGTAGACTGTTGGTCAAGTCTGATAGCAAGCCCGAAGTCTGCTATTCTGGGGAACATATTCTTGATATCTTTCACGTCGAGTGCACCGAAGTCATTATGACAGCGGTAGACAGTCCGGCCACTCTTGTCATCGACTTTGTATTGCATCGGCCGTTTTCGCTTTATAAAGTTGGTAAGAATGTTGTCGTTCTCAAAGCACATGAGAATATTATCTAACTTCAGATCTGGCGGATAGGTTTAGTCCTTATACGATCTGGAGCAGGCGTAGAGGCGATAGGCACTCACCTGTGTGGACAATTTTGCACTCTGAGTGAAGATAATCAAGACCAACAAGAAGGAAGTAGATATAGGCTTTCGCAATGGGCAAAGGAACCTGACGATCAACGAAACGCTTCTGAAAAATCCAGAGAGGCTCTCTCATCGGTTCATACACAAGGCACATATGCTTTCCCTCTGGGCCAGCTACTTCGAAGGAGTCCAGGCAAGTTCGTAGAATCACGTGCCCACGGTGCTCGGGATTTCGCTGTGTAATGTGGTTTTCAGTCTCTAGCTCATGCCGGGCGTCATCAGCATTGTTGCTGTTAATTAGCTTCAGAGTCATTATTTGTTCAGATTGCCATTTCATCCTCAATTGTTTCTTGTTAGTCAATATGAACCAGACAGATACTAATATGGGTAAATGGATGTTTAACTACCTTAAAATATTTCGGGCCAACCACACAGTTGATTGTGATCCCCAGCCAATTTTGAAAAGTAGTTGAAATTTTTTGCCGAGTACTTCTCCCGGCCTTGCTGGGTAGAAAGTTGTTGGATTATACCCAGGACTAACCTCCTCATCGACAAGTTCCTGCTGGGGAATTGGAGACCCTGGGTTGGGCGGTACCTGCCATAGTGACTTTTTGACGGAAAACATAGTACGCCGCAATTGCAACGTGAGCCGTCGAAGAGGTGACATGAGGCCGAGTTTGAGGTTCTTATGCGCTACCAAGGCGGGTGGCTGGCTAAGCACAAAGTTTCGGCCTCGGCTGGGAAGGGACAAAAATGTCTAATATCCAACAGGCCTTGCTCCTTCATCTGGGGTACGTCTATCTATTAAGCGCGAACAACTCTGCGCTTAACGCGTCTGCATGAGATTAAAGTTAAAGCAGCGAAGGTTAGAAGGAACCGAGATTAGTCATTAAAAAAAAGTGCCCAATTTGGAAGGACGTTGAGTTACAAACATCTTTTATGCTGCGAGAGCAACCACGCCGAGTATTACGCCATGCCAGAGTCAACCAAAGACAAAGATAGAGATAGTGATGAGGAGGAAGAGGTCTTTCACGATGCTCGTTTCCCTCCAGGCGAGGAAGCTGTGCGTGTACCCAAATCCCATTCACACATGACACTCTCGCTAAAAGGATCAAACAGGAGCTGCTAAGCCAGTCTCATAACCACAAAGCGGCTGCGAATACGCTATTTGCTTCTTCTTGCTACTCGGAAGCTATCTCTACCTACGATCGAGCACTCTCTGTTTGTCCAAATTACCTAGAGTTCGAGCGGGCCGTTCTACAGAGCAATATTGCAGCTTGTCACCTAAAGCTTGAAGACTGGAAGGCTGCTATAGAGGCAGCAACTTCTAGCATATCATGTCTGGATCGTATAATACCTATCGAACCGCGTGTTACGAGCTCACCGAGAATGAATAAAGTTTCGAATGGGACAGCCAGCGACACGACGCTAGAGGAACACAGGTCTGCCGCACAGGTCGTCGAGCTGCCAGAAGATGCAAGTCTGGAGCTAGAAGATGAAGTCCTTAACCAGTTGAAAGAAAACGACACGCGTCGGGAGGACATGATGCGTATACGGGCCAAGTCTCTGATGCGGAGGGCGAAGGGAAGGATGGAGTTGGGCGGGTGGGCAAATCTTCAAGGTGCAGAGGAAGACTACAGAGCGTTGCTCGAACTTGGGAACCTCCCTTCACACGACCAGAGAGTTGTGCGGACAGCTTTACGGCAGCTGCCTGCTAAAATAAATGAGGCAAAGGGCAAGGAAATGGCCGAGATGATGGGTAAATTAAAAGATGTGAGCACTCACCAGGCACTATCGCAGCGATGCTTCCACATGTTCGCGTCCTGTCTAACTGAAACCTGTGTTACCTGTAGCTAGGAAACGGAATCTTAAAGCCATTCGGTTTATCTACGGATAACTTCAAGTTTGTCAAGGACGAAAAGACTGGTGGCTATAGCATGGCCTTTGAGAAATAATCTCAGCATGTGTCATCTTGTCCTCGGATTTATCTCTCTGGCACCTTGACTATCGCGTGCTGGGCAATCTCTGTCATACCGCCCCAGGGGCTTACTTCAGGGGCTTGCTTATCTTCGGAGTATCTCACCAAACATCATCGTCGTAGGGACTCCGGCAAAAGGCCACATGTTTTGTCAACTCAATAAAGCCGTCTTCTAAAAAAGAAAAAGCGAAGCTTTGGATAACAGCTTCTGCTTATGTCATGATCGTGGTCGGCGAGTCGGTTTGTGTTCTCGCCGACATCCGACATAAAGGCTCCCACGACATATCAACAGTATCACCAGATATGTCACTCTATCGTTCGACAAGCTAGAGGGGTTTTCCTTTTACCAATTACCATTAACCCGACGATAATCTACAAGGGGCCGGCTTCCGAGCTCGTAATGAACGATGGCACTTTTAAATATAACTGGAAGCGCATATCACGCAGACTCCTGTGATATTTTCATTTTTTTATCAAACATTATTAATTTCTTCTCATATCTGTGAACCAAGAGAACTAGCTATTTCTTTTGCTACTTGAAAGTTTTGCCGAAGAATACCTGGAATGTCGAGCCACCAAGGTATGGGCCATGGGCCTAACGGCGGCAAGGTAAGCTGGAGCAATACCTATTGCTTTAAAAATACTTTGAACTGAGCACTCTATAACTGTTGTATAGCCTGATATGATGATGCCGGGTCCTCCATACCCTCCTCCCGGCGCTGGACTCGGTGGCCGCTCGACTATCCCGGTGGATGTGCCCATAAGTGCCGTTTTCATTGCGATATTCCTTACGGGAGCCATCTCTCATTTCACAATTTTTCGAAGGAACCTCAAACGCAACTACAAGTTCATCCCATCTGCAGCTAGCGGTGGTTTTTGCATAGCACGTATTGTGGCTAACGTCCTCCGCATCGCCTGGGCTACCAAACCGATGAACGTGAACCTTGCAATTGCTGCCCAGGTCTTTGTCGCTGCTGGTGTCTTGATACTCTTCGTGCTCAACCTGATATTCGCACAGCGAATGCTACGCGCTAGCCATCCTACCATCGGTTGGTCTCGGCCCGTGTCTTATGCATTCAAGTTACTGTACATTCTCATCGGCTTAACGCTGGTAACTGTCATCACGGCAACTGTTCATAGCTTCTTCACCTTGGACACGACTGCTCGACGAATTGATCGCGACCTACAACTTTTTGGTGGTAGCTTATTGACTTTTGTCGCATTCCTCCCGCTGCCTATCCTTACGTTCATTCATATAGTACCGCGGAGGCAGCCAATTGAGCAATTCGGGTCGGGATCGTGGTCAGCTAAGGCTATGATAATAGCCATTGCGGCTTGTCTACTAACCCTAGGTGCTGGCTTCCGTATTGGAGTGAGCGCCTCGCCTCTACGACCGGCGACCAATCCCGCATGGTACCATCATAAGGCATGCTTCTATGTCTTCAATTTTGTCCTCGAAGCGATGGTTGTCTATATGTTCCTCTTCGGCCGTATCGACCGCAGATTCTTCGTTCCCAATGGTAGTTCAAAAGTAAGGAACTACTCCGACAACAGAATAGAAGAGAAAGCAGCGGACAACGGCGAGGCACGACGAAGCCAAAATTTCTTGTCTTGAAGCAAGGTTTACCATGCCATATCTTTTCTTTTCATTTCTTTTTTTTTTTTGCTTTGCATATCGCTCTATCCAACATATTCCTCGTTCTCTCGATATATTTCATGGACACAACCTTTTCTGAAAAGTTTATAACGACTCATAGAATCCATGTTGATACCACACACACTATAATGTATATGTACATATCTATTTTAATTGTCATGTTACGCAGACATTTCCTTCGGGCCAACTGTTCAAAGAACGTTGTCTTCTCAATGGTCTTCAAGCTGAGTGCTCAAATACCTCGATCCACCATCGGCCACAAACTCGACACCGGTGGTATAAGTGGCGTCGAAACCCAAAAACAAAGCCGCTTTAGCTATTTCGGTAGGCCTTGCGATCCGGCCCATCGGAGACGTTTTAGCTCCGATCTCTGCAAAAGCCGCTTTATGCTCCTTGGACGCGCCTATGATTCCCATAGTTGGTGTATCAACAAACCCAGGGCTAACTGCATTGACTCGGATACCTTCTTTCCCTCCCTGTCCACCGGCCAACTCAGCCGCGAGTGTTTGCACGAGCGAATATATGGCTGCCTTTGATGCAGAGTATGCAGCCATGCCTGGGATGGACACGCTGGCTGTGAATACAATGGAGCCACCGGGCCGAATGTATGACGTCAACCGTTGAGCGATGAAAAAGGGCCCGTGGGTGTTGGTATTGAAGTGCCTGTCAAAGTCCTCTTCGGTTACGGACTTGAATGGAACAAGATTTGCATACGCAGCTAGATTTGAAATATCCCATTCAATTGAAGCCAGACATGGCTTTATATAATTACACCTCTCGGTGCTTGCTCTGTCAGCTATTGCAATAATTACCCCACTGATCACTATCCTCCCTACCCTGATTTTTAATCATGATCACTCTTTGGATGTCTGCAAACCTCGTATACATATAAATGAGAAAGTCTTGGTGGATTTGCTGCCGATTTTTGGGGTGTTTGGTAGTTTATCCTGTTTGCAATGTTTGCGTTGGTATTTTGCGCTGTTTGTATGGTTTCCTTAGTCAGCAATCCCAATGTGGAAGTAGGTTGATATCCCACAACAGCTTGAAGAGAAGAAGATATAGAAGAAAAGGAAGGATGAAGGCTAGGAGGAAGGCTTGAAGTTCTAGCTTGTTCTACATCCATATAGCATCAAGTGCTGACATATGTTGGCCAGGACTACAAAGATATCTCCTTACGATGTCTTACTCAACTTTGCAGTGATATCAAATACGATGCAATATTTAGACCAAACACATATCATACTCATTTGCAACTCTAGTTCTTTTTCGTTCGGAAGTCGGGTATTCTAATTCTTTTTGTTTCAGCAAGTCACCTCTTCCTTCCCCTCCCCCTTATTTTTTTGTTCGACATGGTCCGTTAGAATCCAGCTAGAGAACCGTTCCCTCCTCATCAATCCACGGCGGGAGGAGTTGATTATGAAACAGAAGAAGGGAAAGGGTCATGGCTAAATAAGTAAAGGGAAATGGAGTATTAAACGTGCCGTGTACAAGCCAGTCATCGGTAGCAACAACAAGGAGCTAGAAGTAATCCATTGAAGTTTTGGTGAGCTCAGGAGGTGAACCACTGCACAAGGGCAGTGGGATGAAGTGGACTGCAATAGGCTTTCAATGTATTGAGGTCATTCTTCTCGTATCTACAGGAAGTAGTCGGGCGTGCGACGGGAGACCATTGGTTCTCCTGCGCGAGGACAAGGGTCGAATTGGAGGCTTGAGACAGTCAGCCACAAGAATATAAACATAAGGGGGGGGTAAGATGTGGATTCAATTAACTTACAAAGTATACTTGAGATTTTCGTCTATTTCCATGATCGCAGCTTGGTTCCCGCACCTATAGCAGTAATTTGGAGCTGATGTTTACCGGTAGGTTAGCATTTCTAGGAGGAAGGTTAAAATGGGAAACACAGATAAAGCTTACCAGAGAATATAGTTACTACATTCCGATCCTGAGACCAATTATAGCCTTCCATCACTAGCTGATGTGCTCTCGCGACCAGGGTCAGGCCGTTGTTGTGGTTGAAAGCCTCTGAGATATCCTGTCCAAAGGTATATCCGGCGCCACGAGGAGAGATGCCCCAGCCGCACCTGTCGTCTGGGTCGCTCCAGAGGAGATCACACATGGGGCCTTCATGTGGGACTTCCTGTATACGCTCTAGGGATCTGATATTATCCAGCGTATCGATTGAAGGACTGAGTCCTCCGTGAAGACAGAAGATCTGATTGTCGATGAGAGCGGTGAGAGGGAGGAAATCGAAGAGATCGGTAAAATATTTCCAAACATTTGCATTGCCATACTTGCGCAGGCATTCGTCGTAGAAACCATAAACTTGCGTTATCTGACGTGATTCGTGATTTCCTCTTAAGATTGTGATACGTCCGGGGTAACGGATCTTAAGGGCAACGAGAAGGGTGACTGTCTCGACGGAGTAGTAGCCACGGTCGACGTAGTCGCCTGTATCATGCAACATGTCAGACTGGTATAAGCTCGGTGGGAAACGTACACGACCGGTCTATTGAAACTTACCCATGAACAGGTAGTTTGTATCTGGATTAGGGCCACCGATCCGGAATAACTCCATCAAGTCATGGAATTGGCCATGGATATCTCCACAAACTGTTACTGGACATTTCTGCACCAGCCAAGGCGTCAGTATCCCTGGACACGCACTAACCGGACCGTCAGACGAGGGGAGCTGCAGACATACCACTGGCTGAACGTTCGACTCTTCCTGTAGGACCTCCCTAGCCTATTTTCATGTGAGAATAAAACAAACCCGGTTAACCTCAAGTTACGAACAAGCGACATGGAAGAACGACGAGAACAAAAAACAAGTGCTTAGGCAAAGCAAGGGCGTGTATCCCACCCGATCACATAATCTCTGAACATCGATCTCCGCCAGCTGTTTGCAGCTCATGAGGCTCTCGATCCAGCCATCTAGGGTTGGTATTGACTCTGGGTCGGTGATCAGAGAGAGGCCGTGGGGTTCAGGGGATCTCCCTGAATCAATCTCCATCTTTCCTTCCATTAAGTCAACGGGGCGACAGCAGGTAGGGAGCACGACAGAAGATGTAGCTTGCGGCGAGCTGGTGGTTGTTCAAGCAGTTCGCCGGCTAGTTGGTTGGTCGGTTGGTTGGAGGGGAGAGAGTAGGTGGTCGCTTAATCTGGGGGGGGGGTGGGTTTGTGAACGAGAGGGACGGGATATGCGGTAGAGCGCGGTCAGGACGGGGGACGAGGGTGCTCGAGGGAAGGGAGGAAGAAAGAGAAGGTGAATTGCTAGGCTGGTTCGACACGGAGCTATAGGGAGATGTTTCGCAGTTGTTTTGTAGTTTGTGTATTGGCTTCGACCTTTGTTATCCTGGCAACATATAAAAGGCCTCTTTTTGGGCGTTTTCGATGGTTTGCTTTTTGGTTTTTTTTGGAAGCGCCACAAAGTCAAGCCACCTCACATGACCTGCCGCTTACCTACATTATTTATAAACAGAATAACATACGTATATAGATATAATAATACAGGGGGAGATGGAATGAAGAATATATTACAATCTGCTATTTTTAAGATGTGGCAGGCCAGGAGATCATATTATCCCGCCGCCGAAGCCGCCAAAGCCGCCAAAGCCGCCGGACCCTGGGCCAGGGCCTCGTCCTCGTGGGAAGCCTGAGCCAGAGCCCGGGCCTAAGCCACCATACGGTCGACCGTCACCAGGGCCGACGGGGTCATACCTTGCCCCAGGCGGTACCTGCAGGTCGTAGCCGCCCTCCCCTCGCCCTCTCCCGCCGAACATAGGGTCGTCAAAGGTGGGATGCATGCCTCCTCCGCTGGCTAGGCCTCCCGCCGGGCCCAGGTGCCCTCTCAGCGGATCGTGGGGTGCCAGCCCCTGCGGATAGAGATCTCTCTCACCTATGTTCACTGGGTGCCTCCCGCCTGGGGCCTGGAGGGGGCCTCGGGGCCCGCTGTTGATCTCATGTTCGTCCTCGAACCCGGGAGGAGGGAAATCGCCGACACCAGCAGGAGCGGGTTCACGAGTCGGAATGAGCAGCGGGTCGTCAAACGGATAGGGGCGAGTAGGTCCTGGGCTGCGGTCGTCACGTAAGGGGCCTCTGGATGGGTACTGCTGGGCAGCCTGCTCTCGCAAACTTCCGTGTGTGCCGCCGTCACCACCGGCCTCCTGTCCTTCCTTTTGGTTTGGCACCAGTCTTTGGACGATGTTCTCGTCAAACAGGCCGACGAGCGCATCAAGACGGGACTGTGATACAAAGAGGTTGGCAAGGGCTTCTGATGATGCCTCGGTGGCGGCCAGGGGAAGGCTAGAGTCAGATATGAAGTCGCCCGTGGGGATGTCGAACGATGTTGTCCTGCCGTTGAACAATGCGAGGGCGTAGACAACCGTCTTGTTTCCCAGCCGGTCGACCTGGAGGAGGTATTCAGACGGCGAGTGCGGGTGGGAGTATCTGAAGGCGTATGCCGACCTGTTCAAGTTCCAGTCCCTGGGCAGGACACCGTCGCTCTCTGCTTCCAGCGCTTTAGCCAAGGGCACCGATCACCAGCAGCATATAACAAGATCAGGGATCGTTTACCTGCCCGGTGGTCCTCTCCCAGCCCGATCAACCTAAAGTCAGCTGCAACCATGGACGCATGGCCGATGAGGGCCACCGTCTCCCGGGCGTCGTTCAACCGGTGGCCATCCCCCTGGGGGAGGCTCCGTGATGCGGTAGAGATGACAGAGCTGGGTGTTAGCGTCCTGTCTGAACTTCCTGGCCGGCCTGATGCTCCAGGCTGTTTGGTCATGGTCATCTTGCCTGATCCTCGCCTACTTCCTCTTGTTTGAGTATTATAAGACGAAGCCTTTCATGAAATAACTGCGATGCTCTCTTCCTCTTTCTTCTCTCTTCTCTATTCTTATGTTTTGTCTTCATGACGTAAAGAAGACCCCCACCAGCTGACTAATAGGATATATATGCACGTGATATAATTATTACATAAGCATTCTTTTTAGTCATCTAAGGGATATGATAGATGAACACGTGACTACAGTCTTGTAAGACACAACGGAGGATCCATCTATACGCCTCAGATCAAGGATCGGGCAAGATTTGCGAAGCGCATCGGCAGAATATATAACTCTTGCGTGTGTGACCAGGAATATAGAAAAGAGAATGTTTGACCATCACCGGAACATTCGCCCCTTAATAGGGGGCTAAGACCAAGAGAATCGAGTAATCCGGCTCAGGGAGATATTTCTGCGCTGTATCTCTCTGGAGTATCCAGCATAGAGCCTGGTTACACGAATCTTAAGAGTAACAATGCAAGCTGTGAAGAGAATTAGTATTGGTATGACGACTATACGGTGTGGTAAATCTTAGCTGTGAGGGCTGTCAGTTTTTATTTATTGTATAATTGCGTGGAAGCCACGGATTGGATATAGGCTTAGAAAACTTAGCAGATTTCCCTAAATCTAGTATCATTATCTATTAAAGATGCTATAACCAGATTCCTCCTAGTTAATTGTAATATCTTCGAAAAATGCATCTTATCCACAAATGATTCTCTTGAGCAACAATATTCTGTTGATGTTTGAATAAACTTTAGCGTTGACAAAAAGGGAAGTAGATGCCAAGACACGTCACGTTATGCGGCGCGTAGCAAAGGGACGTCAATATTTTACGCCCTACAATCATAACAACCACTAGTTATCACACAAACCTCCTTGGCCCACTAACTCTATGTCAAATATAACCAGTCTCTCTGCCACCAATTGGCGCGAGCTCGCCTTTTTGGCCGAATGGCAGATTTTGACACTCTATTATACTCTCTAGCCTTGCTCCGGGGTCTTCTTTGCTCTAACCTGTGTTAAAGATGGACCTTAATTCTCTGAGCAAGGAAGAGCTTATAAAGCTATTGGATGCTCAGACAAAGCGTGCCGATGAGGAGAGAAAACGCGCTGAAGAAGACAGGAAGCTTGCTGATGAGGAGAGAAAACGCGTTGATAAAGCAGAAGAGCTAAACCGACCTACATCATTTGAAGAGTTTTTGATTGCCTGCCATATATATATTTCGGTGCCGATTACGGTGCAAACGAATATTGCCCTTACTACAAAAGGATCCATAACCGCCCCGACCGGCCGTTATTGCCCAACTTTTCTCGAATCTTGGGATTTTCATTCTGCCCAACAACCGCTTTTTGACGAGGCCTATAAATTCCTCCACCCTTCCAATGCCCCAGAGCTGCGTGTTTTCCCGCCTAGACAAGTTTTAGAATACCAGGGACGTATTGCATGCCGTCACCCGCTAGGAAGCGAGGGTGACTTACAACGTCATCAATTCCTGGAGGTAGAAAACCCCATATACGATACCATCCAGGCATTAGCCGCAATACCAGCGGCAAGAGAAAGATTTTCTCTTGCTGATGGTATTGTATTTGAAAACCACTTGAATTCCACCACAGAGGTACCATTGGATGGTGAGGTGCCTGTTATCCCTCGAACCGTTAAGCCGGATCAGAATTGCATATTTCATCAAGTCAACGGCGAACGAAACCTTATATATGTGACAGAATACAAGGCTGCACATAAACTTACCGATGACTTTATCCGTAGCGGTCTTTACCGGATGAATATGTACGAGGAAGTTGTTCAGCGTGCTATACTACCTGATAAGGATGATAAAGATGGAAATGCGCAGTACAACGCTGAAAGGCTTACTTGCGCAGCTTTGACCCAAACATTCGATTATATGATTAGACAGGGACTCGAGTATAGCTGTCTCACCAACGGACGAATCAAGGTGATGTTAAGGGTGCCAATTGATAATCCGGAAACTCTGCAGTACAGCATCCTTGAGCCTAGCAAAGACGCTGAGCCAGAAGATGACCAGAATGGTTTCCGCTTTCCCTATACTGCTGTTGGTTGTTATCTAGGCTTAACGCTTTTGGCACTTGAATCACCGGAGAGAAATCAGGCCTGGCGGAATTCCGCACAATCAAAACTGAACAAATGGGAAGTGAATTTTGAGAAAATATTACAGGATATCCCTATGACTGAACGCAAGATTCGTCCTAGCCCTGCGTACAGAGCGCCAAGGTATCCTATTAACACCCGCTCACCGTATCTGCTTCGGAATCGCAGAGCACGCCCCACTTTCGATGCAGATACACATAATATTGTTTCTAGAGGTCCGGGGTCACCGCCAAGCGATGACGAAGCGGAGGGTAGAGAGCCACCGTCTTCTCCGCTACAGGCTATCGAGCGCAGAAAGCGACAGCGGACATCAACAATGGATTCTCAGCCGTCAGGCTCAGGACAACCGACCGGCTCACAGAATCGTCCCTTCTGTACACAGAGATGTCTCGGTGGGCTTGTTTCTCGGTTGCCTTTCGATCCCAGATGTCCAAATATCGAGCTACATAAGCGTAATTCCAAGGGGAGCCTCCACCCGCTATCACTACCTAAGGCACTCGCTCTCATGGAAAATCAAATAAACGACGACCCAGATAGCTGCCGCTACCTTAAGAAGGGAGGAATACATGGCTCAATCTTCGCCCTCACTCTGAAAGGATACGGCTACACATGTATCGGCAAAGGAACAAGCTACAGGAGCAAACATGAAGCTCGCATATACGGCCTTCTAGCACCCCTTCAGGGGACCACCATCCCAGTTTTCCTCGGAGACGTCCACTTCACTAAATCCAAATATTTTCTCCTCGATCGTACCATCGTCCAACTATCATTGATGGCCTGGGGCGGCAAATGTCTATCCGAAGCACCGCCTCCGATCGAAAAGCAGGACTTAGCCGGCCGCGTAAAGCAGGCACAGAGAGAATTACTTTCCTACAAAGTTGCACATCTCGATTTTGAAGACCGGAATATACTCTGGAACGAAGAAATTCAGGGAGTGATGGTTATTGATTTTGGGCGGGTTAAAGTTATTGAGTCTCTGAAGCGAAAGGCCGATGCGGTGCTGGCTGATATATCGCCCAATTCGAAGAGGTTCAAGGTGCCAGCGTGAAAATGTGCGATGGCGGAAGTTTCTCCGCGAGGGCAGTATTATATATAGACTAGGATGAGCTCTCTTGTCTCCTGATTCTTATCTCGCCTGGTGCGTTGATAACGAAGAACCCCCGTTCTTTGTATAATAGGGGGATACTGCAGCGTATTTTTCGCTGCTCTGCCCTTAATTTTGGACAGACTTTCTAATCCAGTAAGAGAAACATAGATACCTCTATAAGCCCCGTATTCGTGGCTTTTTAGTAGTTTTACTATATAGAGTAGTCTTTCTATGTTATAGCTGTCTACTATCTAGAGTAGCTTTTAGAATAAACTTAAAAGACATCAAAAAAGGGTCGAACATAGCCAATTTCTGGTCGATTGAGGCCAAAGTAGATAAAAAAATAAGGGGTGTATTCTACCACGTAAGGAGACTGTGCTATGCTCCAAGCTCGACGGCTGCCTTCAAACCTCCCTCTGGGCTCTCCTGACTAGTTCTAAGCACGGCTGTTCCACATCTCCGCCATCTCTCCAACTGTACAGAGGCACCCCTTCGCGGTCAAGAGTCTCTTTGGCCCGCTCCCAGCGCCTCAGCCACATCTCTTCTCGTTTGTTGAGACCGCCGGCCTGTCCTTCAGAGAACTGGTATGAGTTTGTCCGTCTGAACGGTGCAGGAGGCATGGAATTTGCCCTGTTCATATCGTTTGCGGGTACGCCCAGCGAGCCTTGGGATCCGTCAAGAGTTGGGGAGGATGAACCTGGGACTGCGGAGGCTGGTGTACTGCCTCTCGTCGGGGCAGAGAGGTTGGTTGCGGTAGCGCTCCGGCGTGGAGGAGGAACGGGAGGCGGGGCGGGCTTTGCCTTTGGGGAGGAAGCAGGGGTGGTCCTGTTTGACGATGATAGAGGGATGGCATTGGATATACGCTCGGCGTACTCCCTGGCAGAAGGAAGCTGGCTGTACAGGCTGGCAGCTTGGTTTCTGAAGCTGCTGACGTAGCTGTCGGTTGACGGGCTCCGGGAGAGGGCGGCTGGGCTGCCAGGGCCCGCGGGTACGGGTTTCCTGTTGGCTGTCGAAGCTGCGGGAGTAGGCTTGCTGCCGGTGCTACCGCTCTTGGGGCAGACCGTTGCAGAGCGAAGGCCCGCCGGTTTGGCTGGCTTGGGCGGTGGCGGTACTGCGGAGGAGGAAACTGGCTTCTGGATGCCGGAAATATCTAGTTTCGGCACATCGTCATCGCAGTCGTCCAGGTCGATGAGGTTGCCCATGGGGACCACCGTCTCTTCTCGTTCGGGTTTCCTCCGTAGCGGCAGGGTAGGTTTGTTCTCGGGCGTCTTGAGGAGCCCGCTAAAGTCGATGCTGGAGTTATTTCGCTTTCGTCTCTCCAGGCGAGGGTTCGACCCCTGTACGGAAGGGGTGGTAACATCACGGATGAAAATGCCCAGGATCCTGCCCTTGTTTGCCATTGCGAGTTCGGTGTACACCTCGAGATCGACTTCTCCGCTGTCGCCGACGAGGATGAACTTGCGGTGGGGGAAGTCTTGTATGATCCTCTCCAGGCTCGGCCGTTTCCTCTCTGCGGTGGGCTCGAAGATCCCCTGCAGCATGCCAGAATACTGCTTCAGATGGAATGAGCCGGGGGGCAGCCCGGCGAGGGAGAAGTACTTCTTCAGAAGCGGGTATAGCTGCCACGGCGAGTTGGAGACGTAGTGGACGCCGACCCCCATCTCCGCGAGTTTGGTGTACCAGTCACCGACACCGGCGATGGTGAGGTCGTTTAGATTGCGGACAAATGTGTTGCGGAAGATCTCCTTGGCCCCGTCCCCAATGGCGGAGTGTTTGATGGTATCGTCTATATCGCTGATGAGGCTGATGCCGCCGGGGTCGGACAGGCTGACCTCTTCGGTTGCGGACAGGTGCTCGGCCGCGAGCACCCGGATATGGGTAGGAACAAAGTCGAGGGAGGCACGGAGGATGAACTGGCCACTCGCGTTGGTCGAGATGGTTCTCGACTGGCTCTGGGTCTTGTTGAAGAAGAAGACGGTGACGGGGATGTTGACGGCCGGGGTGGTGAGGAAGGGAGTCAGACGCTCCATCAGCTGTGCGTTGGCGGCCGCCATCTGTTCGGGGGACAGCTGTTGCTGCTGTTGCTGCTGTTGTTGATGCTGCTGCTGTTGCTGCTGCTGCTGGATGCTCTCCTGGGCCATGTTCATGATGGAGTCCACCTTTTGATTGATGGAGGCATCATCCTGGCCGGGCGAGCCCTCGACGTCCGAAGAAGCAGCACTGGGAGTCTGGATGCCACTCAGCCGCCTGGCCAGGGCAAGCAGTATGCGAGTCTTTCTGTTCATGGGGCCTCGCTGGGGGGAATATATCCATCCCCGGGCATCGACCTCGACCTCGACCTCGACATCGACCTCGACGGCGGCGGCGGAGCCTGGGCTTCCGGTCCTCTGGCAGCCATCCTGCTCGTCACCGTCGGCTGAAGAAGACCGACGATGGACGGCGTGGCGTCTTCCGTAGCTGGGGAAGAGTATCATCTGCTCGTCTCCACGGACGGAGGCTTCGGTCTCTGGGAAGCCACCGGGCATGCCGGGGCTGCTCGCCTCCTGGTCTTGGTATCCTCTCGACCAGCTGGCCGAGTAAGCCTGTCGTAGGTCGTTGGCGGCCTTGAGATAGCCCAGCATCCTCTTCCGTCTTCCGCCGCCGTTCCCGCTGCCATCTTCCATCCGGGCGCCGGTAGAGCCTGACATTCCGCCTACTGTGTTAGACCCATGTTTTATCGGTCTTGTGCGGGGGCGAGGGAAGAAGAGACCCAGGAGCCCTGTCCGGCCGGCAGCTCGTCTCTCGAGGGCGCGGGCCTGCCTCTCGACGATGGCCCGGTAGATGCGAGACTGCAGATGGCCTTCGATGCGTAGACGTAGCGACGGTGCGAGGGAACAGCCGCAGGATGGCCAGTCTCTTTATCTACCGTTCTGTATTAGTGTATGCCAATGTGTATGCCGTTCTATATCTTGTATGCCGTTCTGTATCTTGTATGCCGTTCTGTATCTAGTGTATGCGTGTCTTGTATGCTGTATCTAGTGTATGCGTGTCTTGTATGCTGTATCTAGTGTATGCGTGTCTTGCGTGTCTTGTATGCTGTGTGTATGCTGTGATGTCGGTTCCCGGTTAGTCTATCTTATCTATTCTGATATCGACTACAAAGTATGTACAGTGCGGCAAAATAAAACTACAGCGAATAAACGCGCCCCGGACAGAAAGTGTCCCTGGGCGAGAGGTAGTAGCCCTTCTGGTTGGCGATGACACGCACTCCGCCGAGCTCGAAGTCGCAGTTGTAGTGCGTGTGGCCAAAGGCCCAGGCGGTGACGGCGGGGCTGGTCCAGCACGGCTGGTCTCGCAGGTCGGTCGCGAAGCCGGAGGTGACTGCGCTGCCGGCGTACCTGGGGTCGACGGCGCGGGGATCGAGGCTGGGGGCGTGGTGGGTGAAGATGGCGATGCGGCGGCGCGGCTCTCGCTGCTCGATCTGGCGGACCTGGGCGTTGAGCCAGGCGAGGTCGGCGCGGTGGGCGCGGTTGTGCGTCTGGGTCGTCCAGCCGGTGATCGTCCTAAAGTCGGACATGCGGGCGGCGACGGCCTGGTCCTGCTCGGGCAGGATGTGCGAGTAGAGGGTGCAGCCGAGGACGGTCAGCGTGTCGGAGACGTCGTGCCTGGTCTGCGAGAGGAAGACGAGGGAGGCGGGCGCGTCGAGCGAGTCCTGGAAGGCCTGCACCCTGCGGCGGGCGGCGTCCATGGTGAACGACTGGGGCTCGTGATTGCCGAAGAGGAGGAAGACGGCCTCGAAGCGCGAGAGCAGCTCCTCGACGTAGGGGAAGAACTGGGCGTGCTCGAGGTGGCCGATGTCCCCCAGCAGGGCGAGGTAGGGCGCCGTCCGCTCGATCTCGAAGTCGTACGCCGGGTGCGTCTCCAGATGGAGGTCTGATATTATCTGGAAGTTCATGTCTCTATATCATGTGTATGTGTATGTATATGTGTATATCATGTGTATGTTGTTGTATATGTGTATATCATGTGTATGTGTGTGAGGATGTCGATGCTAGTCAGATAGTAACATGAAACGGCCAAGGCGGATGGCAGAGAGAGACAGACAGACAGGAAGGAAGAGAGAGAGAGACAGACAGAGAGAGTGTACAGACTACGGCTTCATCGCTCGATGAGGGTGGGCAGAAGCTGAGTAGTAGTATATAGGAGTATAGGAGTAGAGTAGAGGTAGAGTAGTATATAAGAGTAGAGAGTAGAGTAGTATATAAGAGTAGAGAGTAGAGTAGTATATAAGAGTAGTAGGGTAGGGTAGATAGATTAGTGTGTCTAGTGTGTAAGTCTTTAGGTTGAACTTCTTTGACTTTGCAACATCAACACTTCAACCACCAGACTTCGACAGACAGCGAGAGACACCAAGACAGACACAGAGAGAGAGATACAGAGAGAGAGACAGAGACGGACAGACAGAGAGAGAGAGAGAGAGAGAGAGAGACTCAACGGGCTGACGGAGAGTGGCGTCCCCCGCAAAAACGCGGTGACATGACTCTGGGGTAAAAAGGGGACCACGGGAAGCGCCTGGCGGTATCCACGGCTGAGAGGAGAGCGGACAGAGAGGAGAGCGGACAGAGGACAGAGAAGGCTGTGAGAAGGCGGCATGGCGGTCGACTCGGTGTCTGAGGAGAAAGGTCGACAGGAAGACGGGCAAGACGAACGAGACGGGCAAGACGAACGAGAGGACGGTGCACGGCGGGATGGGAGAGAGCCCTTCCTGCTGCTGTCACCGACCCAGCATGCGCCGGCGAACGGCCTGGCGATGGACGGCTCCTCGCACCAGAGAGGCCACGGCCATACCCACGCCCGATCCCGCTCCCTGGCGGCGCCGTCGAGCGCGCCCGTCATGGCCAGGGCGCACTCCTCCCCCGGGCTCGACTCGAGAGGCAGAATCGTCTTTCCCCGGAGCAGTCCAGGCAAGGCCTCGTCTCCCGTCGCTGTCGGTTACGGGGCCCCTCCCCTTGGGCCCCAAGAGCTCCCCTTGCGTCGTCCCAGTCCGCTACGGACCTCCTTCGAGGGCCAGGCAGAGCATCATCATCATCATCACCACCAGCAGCAGCACGGCGGTGGACACGGGATAACGGCCATCTCAGAGCCCATCTCAGAGCAGCCGGAGCTGCAGGCCTCGCCGGTATCCTACACCAGCCATCCCGGTAGCGGTGGCAGCACCATGGCCGGCAGGACGGGGAGCGGCCGTTCAGTCTCGCCGTCGTGGTCCCCGGCCGTCCACAACACCCTTCCGCGTGTCTCCCGGCGTCGACCGTCCTCCCCCTTGCTCCCCAACTACACGTCAAACGGCCACGCCGGCGTCCTTGCTCCCACCTCGTCCGCGTCGTCAGCCGCCTCGTCCCCCTCGTCACGGCCCTCTCCGCTCATCCTGCCCAAGTTCAACGAGCCGTACCCGGTCTACCCCTTCTCCCTCGCCTCCTCCATGCCCTCCACCCCGACCAGCATCCGGTCTCGCTCCCCCAGCATCTCCTCGCTCGAGACCATACCGGACATCCCGGACGCAGAGGCCGCCGCCATCGAGGCCGACCAGATCGCCCGTCTCAAGGCCGCCGCCGACAGGGCCGATGCTGCAGCGGCTGGCGGCTTCCTCGCCTCCTCTGCCGACCTGAAGAGACGCAGCGCCCTCGACATGTCTCCCTCCCTTGGCTCCCGCTTTGGCTCCGGCTGGGCCGACAAGCGGAAGCGCTGGAGCGTCTGCGGCGCCGAAGGCAGACAGGACCTCGACCTCGAAACCATATGGGAGGACTAGCCTCAAGGACGGTCGCCCCGTAACCAACCATAGCCCAATCGCCTCATAAGACCAATCAAGGCCGGTCGTGGGAGGACCACCGCAATCAGTGCATCAGTGCATCAGTGCATCAGTTACCTTTTTTTTACTTCTTCTTTCATGCGTTAGGCCTGTCTATTTCATTTCCATGGCGTGTTATCTCCTGGGTTTCTGTTATTGGCGTTTTCTTTCCCTCCCCCTTCTGCGTCTGCATGTTGGCCGTGTGTGAGATTTGATACCCGCACCCGCCTTTGAAGCCATCATCACACCATGTTTTACGACCCCAGCATACTACGAATGACCACCGCTAATTCTCCTTTCTTATCTCTCCCGGTCACCCATGATCGGTTGCAGGTATGTTATGTACATTAGACTCTATAAGCGTGGATTCACGAAATATACGTATATGCACAAACCAGCTAAGCTGCCCTCTGGATGATTCCACATATCCTCCTGGCAACCTCTTCGCCGCTCCAGTAAGCCCCGGCAGCAGTCCCCAGCCCGACTACGGGTGCGGTATGCTCGCCAGCAAACCATATACCCCTGTCGACCCCCATCCCTTCCCGCATGGCCTCGATGTCTGCCAGCCCGTCGGTCAGCCCCGTCTGGAAGTTCGAGTAGCTTCCGTTGCCTGCAAACGGGTCTGTCTGCCACTCGGTCGCCAGAAACGCGGTTGGCCGGCATGACGGGGACTGGGCGTCGTACCCGGGCAGCCGAGAGATGTACGGCAGCAAGAAGGCGTGCAGGATGTCGTAGTATCCCTCGGAATCGGGTGAGCGGCCTGATATCTGCGATACTACGTGCTCGGCACAGGGGCCGTACGTGTAGAAGAGCAAGGTAGGGTGGGCACAGCCCCCGGGCAGGTCGGCCAGAGAGAGGCACTCCTGGTTCCAGTACGGAGTGGGAGGATGGTCCACGTAGCTCGGTGAGAAGAACTGGGTTGTAGGATTGTTGCCGTTGCCGTCGTTGGACGTGGCCCTTTGCCAGAATGCACAGGGAAAGCTCACGTAGACCTTCTCCAGGCTGCCATAGGAGATATGGTCTATCGCATCAGAGAGACGCTGTGGCATGGATGGCTTGAATGCGTCCTTGTTCTGCTTCAGCCACCCGAGAGGAAAAGTGGCAACGACCTCGTCGAAGAGATACTCCTTTCCGGCTACAGTCCTGACAAGCACCTGCCCGCCCGCCCCCGAGGAACGATCCTTCCCCTCGACCGCCACAACCGGCTCGTTGAGACGTATCTCCGCTCCCTCCATGGCCGGCCGGGCAACATGTTGGAGGATGTTCTTGTAGGTCGAGGCCACGAACAGGTTGGCTGTCACAGATACACCGTCAGCCTCCAACAGGATCAATCATAAATCATCAATCATTCAATATCATCATCGTCAGGCAGACATACTCCCCTCGAGACACTCTTCGAGAAAGAAGAACTTCAGGCTCTGCCTCTCGATGGGCGAGCCGATGTAGGCCCCCCACATCTTCGACGACTCCAGACAGGCGTCCTTCTCCATCTGACTGAAGCCGGTCTGCGCGAGCTCGTCTCTGAAGAAGTCTAGCAGGCTCTTCCCCGGCGGGATGCTGGCACTGTCCTTTTGGCTCAGCGTGAAGGCCCGGTCTATGGTCGTCCACATGAAGTCTGCCACTCTGGCACACAGGGCCGGGTCCAGCGGCCTGCCAGCCGTATCAAAGGTGGCCTGGGGCCCCTCCCACGAGTCGGTAACCGTGCCGGAACGCTGGCTGATCTCGACGAGCGGGTTGTTCGTGGTCCCATGGATCCAGTTTGGGCCTCTGTCTGGTATTAGCGGCCGCCAGCATCATAACTAACTACAGCAGACATGTAGGGTCACACCGACAGATCGACGGAGGCACCGCTGAGGTTGCTTTGGCAGACCTAAGTGAGGTGTTAGATATATCAAAAGCTCGAAAGTAGATGGCAGACGGGGGGAGGTGCTTACTCGACCCCCGATCCGGTCTCTGGCCTCAAGTATGGTGACTATCATCCCGCGCTGCAGCAAGACGTCCGCGCATCTGAGCCCTGCAAGGCCAGAGCCGATGATGCCTACATGCAGAGGCTTCCCCATGGGCTGTATCTGAGCCAGAGTCGAGAGATACTTGTCGAGTGAGTCTGGTAATATCGACCTGAGATGCGGGCTGAGCCACTTGCTCGCTGCCAGACAGTTAGTATTACACTCCATCACATACACTATCTCTCTCTCTATAGCATATAGAATAGACGGAGAAGAGGATATAGGGCGAGAGAGAGGCCATCCTAATATCCTGCCCCGAGGCCATCTCATACCTAGGCTTGTTCTTGTTCTTGTTCTTCCTTGGAATTCTCGCCAGGTTTAAAAAAAAAAAAGTACCCAGGGGTTTCAAGCTTGCCGCAGCCAATCAGACAGAGAAAGTGGTACACAGGAGATCAGCGGCAGCTATCAGAGGGGATGTTTTTGTACTCAGTTTGATCCTCCGAGTTAATGCTCCATCAGCTGTGGCGGATGGTGATGTGGTTGGTTGATAGCGTGGATGGAGAAGTAGTGTTAGTTTTCAGGGGTTCGCCTGGTTGACCATAGATATGGTAGTAGAGGTCTACTGATAGCTACATAGGTGTCCGTACTGAACCATGCATCATCCAGTTTGCTATTTTGACCTATTTCAGCTTCTGTCATGGTTCATCGCTCGGAGTGCTGGTCTGTGACTAGGAAGCACCAACTACTATGTACCGGTACATCTGGATCAGAAGGCGTAAGACGGTTACAAGCTGGAAAAAAAGACGAAGAACCTCAAATAACTTGCGATTAGAGGCGAATGAAGAGATATCAACATTAAAGCATGAATAAACCCATCTTTGCAAGTCTATCGAGTATGCCGGCCTGACTCCTGAGCTTAGAGGGAAAAAGAAACAAAAGATGAACATGACCCGGTAATCCCGCCCTAGAGTCCCTATCCTGTCTGCGTGACTGCCATCCCGATAAACGTAGATTTTAAATATAAGATGAAATATGCTGTGTAGAGAAAAAAAAAAATAAATAAAATGCTGCCGTCCTGCCGCGTCGTCTCTTCCCATGCCTGTTTTACCGCCGCTCGTTATGCTGCCCTGGCAGCTTGGACAATTCGAAGTGTGATGAAAGATTGAAAGAAAGAGAAATAATAATAATAAACTAAATACGTACGGCTCGGGTTAGCTATTTACTGTTCAATGGAAGGTAAAAAACTGGTTACAAAGGTGAGAACCACCGTGGTTGTGGTCGACAGCTGACGATGCTCTCTCCAGCAGCAAAACCGATGGGAAGGATGGAGTCGTCGCCGGCGTGGACCATCATAACGGGCTCACATGGCTCTCTAATCTTGCTAGTGTAGCGCTTTTATGTTAGATATTCTTGAACAAATGGCAATACGCTAACCTTGAGAGTTACTGGAGAGAGTTAGCTGGTCACAAAGCACCCACCAGTCGAGCAGCCCGCCAGGGTATTTTCTTCCTCTCCTTCTTCCTGCCTTGTATGGCTTGCTTTAAAAGCCATGATAGTCAACTGAGACGTAGTTCAGGTCACTTCTGCTGGTAAGCAGAGCAAAAATAAATGCAGACCATTGCTCATCGTAATCCACGTAACTGCAAGCAAAGGTTAGCATATTTTCTCCCACACGTTCACATCAAAGACCGGCTGCGAGATTTTAGCGGATAGGTATAGCTCGAGTCGCTGTAGGCCATAGGTGCATGTGTATAAATAACTGTGTGTGTTGTGCTTTTTGTCTTGTTGTCTTGCCTTTCTGTTTTTTTTTTTGATTGGTTGGATAGAGTAAGGTGAATGGGTGCGTGGGGCTGGGAACTTGCGGATGTAGTTCGACTGGTACATCCAGTTCCTTCACCTTATTTATTGACACTTTAGGATAAGTAGAACAGAGGCGCTGGGGCCCCTGGCCTTTTTTTTTTCCCCTTTAGAGCTCCCTGAAGTGCGCAAAACAGGGTGGACAGGCTACTTGTATTGCTCGTACTGTACGTCCAGCAAAGGACCAAGCATATCGAAGAAGTCCTGCCCACCGGACCAACCAAGTTGATTGGGGCCCAACCCGGCAAAGTTGATCAATGGATCGTTCTGCACTTGATCGATTAATCCTGATGCCGGGTTCATGGCATAGTAAGCAGGCGTGCCCGCCGCTGTAGCAGATGAAGAGCCAGCCTGGCAGTTGTCATACACTGGGTCAGCGATAGAGTGGTCCTCCAGTCCCATTCGACCCATGGACAATTCATGATAGGAGCCAGGGCCACACACCATCATCTGATTGTTTGTAATATCACCTTCAAAAGATTGAGCATATTGACGATGTGGAGCCAGAGTATTGGGAGTAATACTTCCGCTTGGTTGTTCACTTGCCGTCATTTGCACTACTCTGTTCCGCAAGCTTGCGGCAAGAGCATGCAGTAGTTCCCCAAATCTGTTGCTCAAATGAACATCATCCACCACACATGTACAGAGCGCGTCCGCCGTACGTTCAACGAGGCTCAAAGACCCTGACGTCTCAAAGTCTTTAGCGCCGAGAGAAGTAGCCTGGTAGTCGGATGGTTAGCGTGGGGGGTGACGAAAAAGTACATCAATTAACCGCGAGAGAGGACCAACCTTTAGACAAAACATAGCACCGGCGAGGATCCGCGAATAAGTTCGAATCGGAACATGCTTCAGATGGTTATCTGGAAGTAGGTCCTCAACAACGGTTTGTAATATCGATTTCGCTGACGCAATGACTTCCATAAAATACTCTCTGTTGCCCTCAAAGGGTTCGAGCAAGCTCGCCTCAGGCATACCACCACCTTCGTGCATGACATGATAATAATTCTCGATAACGGCTTGGAGGGCAACGCTATGGATGTATACTCGTACATATCCGAACTCGATTGTCAAGATGGACCTCATTTGCCTTGACACTGCGGCGCGGGGATAAGGGGGGCCCCATTAGCTCTGTATTTCGGTTAGACACCCGAGATGTGAGACGGAAGACTTACGCTTTGCACGATCAAACTCTTTCTGCCATTCACGTAAGAGCGGGTTGAGGACACGAAGGACAGCCAGGTATTCGCCTGTCTTGACGATTTCTCGAGTTCGCTCGCGGGAAGGGAATAGGAGCTCGTTGCCCCTCTTCATCAGTGAGGCAACACCGACCCAACAGCGAATCGTGTCACCATGTTTTATGCCTGTATCATGGTGCGACACTGAGACAGAGGTTAAGTTCTTCCATCCTACATATGGCATTTTCTTTCTTTAGTTGCTGTGTTCCCGTGATTGAGTTGGGGAATGTCTTAAAAGACAGGAGAAACAAAAAAACCTACCGAGTCGGCCGGACGTTTGGGTAAGGTAGACCCAAAGCAAATGCTGGACAAGATGCGCCCGCTGGCTGGATAAGGGGTTATTCCAAATGTCTCTCCGAGACTCACGCGCTCCGATGGTGGTGTTGTCATATTCATCAAAGATACCAAGCTCCACGGCTAAGGCGAGGGCGTTTCCCAGCATAGACCAGCACATCCGATCCGATCTCCAAACCGGTTCCAGCCAATCGATACGTATCCTACCCCCTATTCCGGCGGTGCTTGCTATTGTCCTTCGGACGTCATCTTTCACAACAATGCTGTCTCCGTCATCTCCTGCGGGAACGTGAAGGGACCGAGGATGCCATTCAGAGAGCAATAGCAGTGCTTCACAGCTGCCAAGTGTCCTCAGACTACCAAAATTGGAGCCGGCGAGGGGGTACTCGTGAGTGGAGAGGTTAGAGGCCTCTGGAGGGTCGTGAGTATGTGTGCCACCAGTAAACTGCTCCTGGCCAAAGATCATGCGGGAAATCATTCCTTGTAAATGTTGCCAGAGCCGCTCATGGACCATGTAAGATCTGGAGACTGATCCGGGCCCAGACAGTTTCATGTATCGAGAGGCCAACATGAGTATGGTCATGGCAAGAATGGGCTCCTCCTCAAGCAACTCTGAATGCATGGATGGGTCCTGGAACGAAGAGGAGGCAATTGGGGTGAAAGGGGCAAGGTAGGTATGAAAATAGTTTACCAGATCAAAGGCCTCCTCGGCCGTGATCAACCCGGTGCGAACGAACCGTAGGTTGGACCAGGGGTGAAAATCTGGGGCGGGGTCATGAAGACTTGGGGCGGCAGACGGCCTTAGCTCCCTGGTGGGAATGGGGCCGAGTCTGCTGGAGGGGGCTCCGTTAGTGTTATGGTCGGACCTGGCGACCCGTTCACTATGTCTGCCGGCTTCAAAGAGCAGATTCAGGGCGTCATGAGAGGTGTAGGCGGCATCCCTGAGCAGCTTTTCCGCTGTCTTGTCCCCGCGGGTGGCCGGACGCGGGGTATCCTGTGAGAGAACATGCTGGAGAGAGTGCTCCCGTTTTATAGCTGCAGGTACGGCAATGGGACTGGCAGAGCTTTCGCCCGGACGACTGGTTATAACCCCCGACAGAGATGCCGGAGTGCCGGCAACGGCTATGGTCGACTCCTCCCACGGCCGGGTAGGGGTGATGCCCGCGGCGGTAGCGCTGACGGTGGTGGCGGTGGTAGCAGTAGCAGTAGTACCAGTGATGAGGTCGCTAGGCCCAGAGGGCGCAGGAGTGGAAGCAGGAGCCCCCTTCTTCCTCCCTCGCGTGGCAGAGAAGTGACAGAGCTTGCGCTCCCGCCGGCATCGACCGCAGGGCCCCTGGTGTGGCTGATCGACCGAGCCTAGGTCGCAACGAACCCTTCGCTCTCGACACGGAATACAAGCCTAGGGAGATGTCAGGCGGCTTTATAAATATATATGTTTATATATATATATATATATATATATCTACTCTATCAATCGCGCGGGGGGTTGAATGTACCTGGTACGCTCGCTTATGGACCTTTCCGGTAGTAGCAGCGGTGGACATGGCAAAACTCCCGCCCATAGGACCATGGGCGGGCTCTTCAGTATGCTGTATATGGATGAGGAGCTGCTAATGAGGGTGCAGTCGAAGAGAGCGAGGGTGTGGAAGAGAGTCGAGGAAGTCGAAGAAGTTCGAAGTCGTTTTTTCTTCTTCCGCTTTTGGGTGGAAAAGCGCGCCAAGACCGAAGGTTCACGATGATCACCTGACGTAATTTGATTTTACTTATATAAGCATATTATACAAGCTCGGAGAAGCAAAATAAGCAAAAAAGAGGAATGAAAAACGTACCAGATACATCAACTTGCTAGGCTGTGGAGGCGGAGATGAGGTAGAAGAGACACCACCTTTATCCGGGGGAAGATATAAGCATGGGGTGCAGGGGCAAAGGCGTTTTTTTTTTTTTTTTTTTTGGAAAATAACCGAAGTAGAAGAAGCAATTACATAAAAGGTGACTATAACGAATGGGCCAGCATACTCTTAACCAATGCTATGGCTCCGGAGTACACGGAGCAAGATGGGATAATCCGCATATACGAGCCAGATATACGTAACTATAAACAGGAATGATAACAGGTTTGGAAGTGATGGATGTATTATGTATATGTATGGAGCATGCAAATCAGAAGTCTTGGATGGGGACGCCCAATCCCCGTTCACTGGCAAGGCAGAGTAGCTCCCTCCCAACCGCGAGATCCATGATACCCATGCCCACGCACTTGAACACAACGGAGGAAGAAGAAAAGAGAGAAGAAGGAGAAGAAGAAGAAGAAGGGAAGAGCTGACCAATCTCAGTAAGCTGGTCGACTCGTACCCTGGCAGAGATGAGCTCGCCCGCCTCTGCAAGACAGGCTTGCTTGGAGTCGACGAGGAGCGTCTGGCCCGAGAGCAACGTGTCTGTGTCGACTTCATGCATGTGCGGGCGGTACGAACCTATCAGTGAGATGAACTGTCTTCTCCGTCTTCCCGTTTCTTCTTTTTCTTTGGCTCCATCTTGTAGATAAGAGTGAGGAAAGAGCGGCTCGGTAGACGGGGTGCAGCAGAAGATGGCATCGGCTTCTGACACGGCAGCACGCAGCCGGTCTTTGTACTTTTGTGTTGCTTCTTCCTCTCTAGAGATGTAGACAAAAGAAACGGCTGGACGGGTAGCAAACAAGTCAGCCAGGCTGGCACGCAGCCTGTCGAGGCCCGCACGACCCCTGTTGAACACGGTGACAGTGGTGAGGCTGGGGGCGAGCAGCAGGGCCAGACGGACGTGCCACTCGGCCTGCTTGCCGGCCCCAAAGACGACCAGCCGGTTCCCCCCAGGCCCAGAATTGACGGTGTCATCTTCATCAGAAGAAGTCTGGGGAAGCTGGTAGAGATGAAACGGGATCATGGTAGCGAGGGCGGTGCGAAACGCGGTGATCATCTCGGCGTTGAGGACGCCCTCGAGCTGGCCGCTATGGGGGCAGAAGAGGGCTATGGCTCCCGCGGGAGGGCCTCCACCGCCGGGCAGAGTGACCACCTTGACTCCCGTCGTCGTCTTCGTGTCGGACGCTGGCATGAACAGCGTCGTGCTGCCCTCATCGGTCCTGATCTGCTCTCGCATTGGCTGATGGATGGTGTTGCTGCTGCTGCTGCTCCCACTGGTCGAGTACGCCGCCAGACTACGCCAGAGGGCCTGTAGCAGCCGGTGACACTGCTCCAGCGTCAGCTCCTGCAACATCGGCGCCACGTCTGACTCTCGTAGCACTAGCATTTCTCTTGTATCTCTCTTGTATCTCTCCTATCTTGTCTTCTCCCTTGCTTGTCCTCCTCTCTCGTATCTTCTTTCTCTTTCCCTTGTCTTCATCGTCAACTCAGGTTCGGCGGAAGTTTGCTTAGTCATCGTACTAAAACAGCTACTGTGGAGCCTTCCCGCGCCCACCCGAGGATAGCAGCGTCTTTCCTGCTTCCCCAAGAACGGCTTTTTTTCTTCTTTCGTCCAAGAGAGAGAAAAAAACTTGTCAGCAAGCAAGCAATAACAAGATACATCATCATCATCATCATCTTCTTCTTCTTCACCATCACCTGTGCTTTCTCTCTTTCTTGCTCTTCTCCGCATCTATCAAAGCTACAAGCATCATGTCGTCTTCGTTGCTCTCCCGCTCCGCTCGTCTGAGCATGGCCCGCCAGCCGTTGGCCAACACCGTCAGATACAGAGCTCTCTCCAGCTTCAGGGCGCCCACCATAGTCAATGAGCCAAACGTAAGTAACCAATTGAGCTGCGAGAGAGGCAGGATTCCAAGCTGACAGGAACGATAAACCAGCAACACTACGCCAGAGGTTCGGAGCAGAGACAGGGTCTGCAGGCAGCCCTGCAGTCTCTCAAGGCCTCTATCCCCGTCCAGGTCCCTTACCATTTCCAGGACGTGAGTAGTCTCTTTTAATACTATAACAATATTTTACAGTATGTGGAAATGCAAAACTGACAAAGGAGGTAGTCCGCCTCGGCGAGTGCTGACGTGCAGCGGAACCCTTCTGCCCATGCAGAAACCGTTGCGAAATACTTCAATGCCACCGAGGCAGATGTCTCGCGCATGATCGAGGACTCGCTCAAGGCAAAGCCGGCGTGGGAGTCTCTCCCCTTCGCTGATCGAGCGGCCGTCTTCCTCAAGGCCGCTGACCTGGTGGCGGGCAAGTACCGCTACGAGATCATGGCGGCGACCATGCTCGGACAGGGCAAGAACGCGTGGCAGGCCGAGATCGATGCGGCCGCTGAGCTGGCAGACTTCCTCAGATTCAACGTCCAGTACGCCGAGGAGCTGTACACACAGCAGCCAGAGCACCACGCCGCCGGTGTGTGGAACCGCAGCGAGTACCGCCCCCTCGAAGGGTTCGTGTACGCCATCTCACCCTTCAATTTCACTGCCATCGGCGGCAACCTGGCCGGAGCTCCTGCTCTGATGGGCAACGTCGTGCTGTGGAAGCCCAGCCCGCACGCTGTCTACGCCAACTACCTGACCTACAAGATCCTGCTCGAAGCCGGCCTGCCCAAGGATGTGATCCAGTTTGTGCCTGGCGACGCCCGGATGGTGACCCGGGTTGCTCTCGCGCACCGAGACTTCGCCGGCCTGCACTACACCGGCAGCACCGCCGTCTTCCGCGAGCTGTACGGCAAGATCGGCCAGGGTATCGCTGCGGGCACCTACCGCAGCTACCCCCGCGTCGTGGGCGAGACAGGCGGCAAGAACTTCCACCTCATCCATAGCTCCGCTGACATCGAGAACGCAGCTATCAACACAGTTAGGGGCGCCTTTGAGTTCCAGGGCCAGAAGTGCAGTGCTACCTCTCGCGCCTACGTACCCCAGTCCCGCTGGGCGGAGTTCCGTGAGATCCTCGTGCGCGAGACAGAGAAGCTCAAGATAGGACCACCTGAGGAATTTGCCAACTTCATCGGCCCAGTCATCCACGAGGCCTCCTTCAACAAGCTGGCAGGCGTGATCGACGCAGCAAAGCAGGACAAGACCGTGCAGCTGCTGACCGGGGGCCGCTACGACAAGAGCCAGGGCTACTACGTGCACCCGACCGTGCTGCAGGTGAGCGACCCGGAGCACGATCTGATGAAGAACGAGTTCTTTGGCCCCGTGCTGGCCGTTTACGTCTACGACGACGCCGCAGAGAGCGCGTTTGGCGAGATGTGCAAGATGATTGACCGCACGACGGAGTATGGGTTGACTGGGGCGGTCTTTGCGCAGGACCGCGCCGTCCTCCGATTCGCCGAGGACGCGCTGCGCCATTCTGCTGGTAACTTCTATCTCAACGTCAAGAGCACCGGGGCCGTGGTTGGTCAGCAGGCCTTTGGCGGCGCCAGGGCGAGCGGCACCAACGACAAGGCCGGCAGCGCCAACCTGCTCACCCGCTTCGTCAACATCCGCTCTATCAAGGAAGACTTTGTCGGCTGCACAGAAGTCGAGTATCCCAGCAACAAGTAGTCCATCCCCTTCTTCGTGTCTGTCTTCGTCCATCCCTTCTGTCCGACATCGGCCTAACCAAAAACGGGCTTGCCCTGCCAAGCCGGTCTAGGCCCTAAAGGCTTAAAAAAAAAGTAAAACTCTGCCCTGCCCCGTGACCTGAGCCGAGATCCGCTTTCGGACAGTTAGGGCTAGCCCTGCTTTTTCTTTTTTTACCCCCTTCCTCCTTGGATATCCAGCGATGTCCTTGTTATACGCGATGCATAAGACTAGTCCTTCTTAAGGCGTTCCGGGCTTTTTTTTTTTGGTTCTTTTTTCTTTTTTCGGCTTCTCTTTTCTTTTTTTTTTTTTCTATTCCTTGTACGATGTACGTCTACTGCTTCATAGTATGTGATATATAGAGTGGTAAAGTTTGGTCAAGCTGGTAGCTCCAACCTTGTCGAGTGCCTTATCTCATTTAAACTACTTCCATAGTACGCAAACCCTGGGAGGGAGGAGAGACGATCTTGCATGGCATGGGTGCATGCCGAGATCCGTGCGACGCTCTCTCGGTGTTTTAACTGGCCTGGCTGGGGTTGCTCCCTTAGCTTCCCCCCAGCCTATCGGCCGTCTGCCACCGGAAAGCGCATGCTAAAGTGGTTTAATCGACATGCAAGCTCCCTCCTCCCATCCCGCCAGCAAATAATAAGACATTAGACACATACTATGCAGCCAAGGGAGAGCAGAAAGAGCTATAGTCTCAGGTCTCACACAGGGCCAAGCATGCACTAGAGGGCTTGGTCGTTCCTTGTGTGTCTTGTTTTCTTTTGTTTTGTTCCTCCCCGCGTATCTCTGCCTGATAAGTCTGTTCCGGGGGAGGAGGAGAGGACCAACGTGGTCTCTTCTTATTTCCTACGCATGATTCTTATTAGTACAGATATTTTATTATTACATAGTACGGGGGAAAGAAAATGTCTGGGCATTGCGACTAGGAGCGAGACAGATAGCCCCAGCCAGCCACGTACTATGTAATGGTACGTACATTAGCAGTAGTTACGGAGATACGGAGAAGTGTTGGACTCTGCTTATATTACCCACCCGGATTTCGGTCAGCTGGCTGGCTGGACTTTTCTTTCCTCGGCTTACCAGTCAACACCGAGCCAGACAGACAAAAGTGCTCCGAGCAGTCAACCACGACAAGTCGTATTGTAAGGAGGAGTCGGCGGAGGGATGACAAGCAATAGGGGCAGGATGACTATTCAACGCTTGGCTGTGTAATGTCACTTTGTCTTCATGGAGGCAGAACGAAAAGGGACGCCAGAGGATGGGGAGGGCCGTCGGCTTTCCGGCCAAGAGATAAGCCCTAGTTATGCAAAGGGCGGATGGAGAAAGAAAGTGGTAGAAAAAGCAGTAGAAAGAAGAAGAAGCAAAAATTTCATATAAAGTAATCAAGGCGACGCTAAGAGAGAGAGAAAAAAGAAAAAAAAGGGAAAAAAGGGAGGCGAAGTTGGGTCATGTGAGAGCGGAAGAGCCTGGAAAGGCTCGGAAACGGTCGCTTAGTGACTCGCAGCGGGCCTCTCTTTCCGCCGATAGCAGAGAAGAAGAAAGACTCACCGTCACACTTCCCGCTTGGGACGACCCACGGGGAGATAAAAAGTACCAAGGTAGATAGATAGCGAGGGAGACAGTCACCAGGTGGCACGCATTATATATTCCTCCCTCCCTCCCTCTACCCCCTTTGACTTCCCTCCCCCCTTCTTCTTCCTCCTCTCCCATACTCCAGAACCAAGACCAAGACCACCGACCGCCACACTAGATAAAAGCCCTTGATATAGTGAAATGGCCTCTCGCGTACCAGCTTACATTCGCACCACCGCCAAAGCAGCTTCTGCCATCAGACGTGTTCCCATCACCAACGCAGCACAGAATGCTTCCCTGAAGCTCCGTCCCATCCACATCCCAACGGAGACGCCTGGCCCTCTGGCCCCCCGGCCAGCATGGGGTGCAGGGACTGATCTGCCCCAGACTGTCCCCGTGGCCGGTGCTGCGGAAGATGTCGTTGGCCTGGGAGGAGCAGTTGCCGGCCACCAGCAGCCACAGCAGAGAGCACTCGACAGGCTGCCAAACAAGGATCTCCTCCGCAGCATCGCCATCCAGAGTGCCATGTCCCGGCCTTTTCTCATGGACATCGCCTCCAACCTGCTCAAGTCGAACCTGAAGCTCATCACCGGGAATCCGGTTCTCAGCTACCTGCTCGACAAGGTCTTCTATGCCCAGTTCTGTGCTGGTCGAAACGAGGCCGAGGTCAGGCAGACCGTCGCTGGTCTCAAGGCCATGGGATACCGTGGTGCCATCCTCTCTTATGCCAAGGAGGTTGACACCCACCACGGCTCTGACCAGACCGGCAGCCCGGCCGAGATGGAGGCCCTGCACTGCACCCAAGTCGCCCAGTGGCTCGACGGAACCCTCAAGACCATTCAGTACTCCAACTCCGGTGATCTGGTCGCCATCAAGTACTCTGGCGCCGGACAGGGGGCCGTCCAGCTGCTCGAACAGGGTGCCGACGTTGATCCCATCCTCGGAGACGCCCTCGAGCAGATCTGCGCCAGGGCCAAGGAGAGCAATGTCAGGGTCTGCGTTGACGCTGAGCACTATTCCCAGAAGAAGAGTATCGACTCCTGGACCATGGACCTGATGCGGAGATACAACAAGGACGGTGAGACCGTCATCTACAACACCTATCAAATGTGAGTCCGCTGCATTCTTTTCTGTTCTTTTTGGTTCACGAATTAACAATTCCGTTGTAGGTACCTTAAGGATTCTCCAGCTACCCTGGCCATGCACTTGCAGCGTGCCAAGGATGAGGGATTCACCCTGGGTGTCAAGCTGGTCCGGGGTGCTTACATCAACTCTGACCCACGCCATGTCATCTTTGACACCAAGGAGCAGACCGACAATGCCTTTGACGAGGCTGCCCGGATGCTCGCCACCCAGCACATCGATGACCACTCTGCCCCAAAGATCAGTTTAGTACTTGCCAGCCACAATAAAGAGAGCACCAGTAAAATTCGGGCTCTACGACAAGAGCAGATCAGACACGGCCTTCCGCTCGCTGACGTCATCTACTCCCAGCTCATGGGAATGGCTGATGAACTCTCCATGAGCATCACACAGTCCACTAGCGATGTCGACGAGGATGCCCAGGTGTACAAGTACGTCGTCTGGGGCTCAACAGAGGAGTGCGTCATGTACCTCCTCCGACGCGCAGAAGAGAACCGAGATGCAATTGAGCGCTCAAACGCAAGCCAGACAGCCCTCTGGCACGAGCTTCGAAGCCGGCTTGCCCTATAATTGAATAACGACCAAGTTTCTTTTGTTTAATCACCATTTATGATGCACACGGCTGGCGGTATTCAAACGGTCGGGTGCCGGATGCACAGCGCAATGCAGGGAACCATCTGATATCCCTTTTCATTTTTCTTGTTCTCTTTTGCATTTATCCTTGCCTCATGTTGTTTTCATCTCTTCAGCGTTCTGTATGGCGTTCCGGGTGATATATCCTTTTTCTCTTCTTGGGAGCATACGAGCATCTGGGCCTTTTCAAACAGAAAACATGGGAATTGTTTTCATTGTTTATCACCTTCGGAGCACGATAGACTGAAGGATTCGCATGTTTTAAAAACGAATAGTCTTAGATTAATCAATATCTTCAAGTTCAATCTTCTCCATCTTTCGTATCGTTGACGCTGTTTTCCGACTTGAGGTCGTTTTTGCGCCCCTCAGTCTTGGCACGTAATATAGTTAATCCTAAATCAGCAAACATTGCAAACATGACATAAGCTGATCACTTAAAAAAAGAAACTCCAGGGTTAAAAGCATTTTGCGACTTCACACAGTGAATGTGATGATGGACAAGAGACAAATAATATCAAAGCAAAGAAGATATAAGAGGAGTTAAAAGGGCTAGGCGACCTTGTTTTGCGGTGCTTTACCTACCGTATCTCTAGTAAAGAGTCAAGGGTTCACATCACCAATCATGGTCGTTCCATTCGAAGGTGAGATAAGATATACAGTTGTTTCTGCCCCGCGGCCAGTTATATTAACTGCAGGCGATTGATCTAGTTACCCTATCGATATGGCATACATATCGAACCTATATTCTTGCCCTTCTCTTAACCGTCTCAATTATCGTTGCTAAAATCTCGAGCCACGGCAGGCAATTGGGAAGCGGGTCCATACCGGAGAAGCAAGGTACCAGCAAAAAGGCTCCTGATGACACTGCTCCGCTAGGGCGGGTAGAGAGTACAACACCTACGAATAATACACCATTAAAGAGCCAAACAAAGACTGTACCGAAGAGGCTGCGTGGAATGAAGCCGTCGAAAGGAGACACGAAAGCAACCGCTCAGATCACTGCCATTCAACCAATTGTCTTTTTTACTTCACTTACGGGCTCTACTGAGAAAAGGGCCCGAACCGCCTTCGAACATTTAAAAGCCAAACTTGAGGTAGCTCCGCAGAATGCCCAGTGCAGGCTCTTACCTCCAGAATTATTTGACTTATCCTACATTGACTTTGATGACTACTTTGTTACTGCCCCGAAGCCGCTTACGTCAGGTCCCGGAACATCTTTTCTGTATTGCATTATTCTACCAAGCTATGATATCGACAGCATCATAAATAACTTTTTGGGTCATCTAGATGAAACTCATAATGATTTCCGGATCGATACATCTCCCTTGTCAGGGCTGACTGGTTACGCCGTCTTTGGTTTTGGAGATAAAGAAGGATGGCCAACCCTAGAAGAAGGATTCTGCTCGCAGGCGGTGGCAGTGGATAAGTGGATGGCAAAGCTTACCGGAAAGCGGCGAGCATATCCGCTCGGTCTGGGAGACGTGAAGACTGACGGCGAGCAAGCCCTGCAACAATGGTGTGATGGCATCGTTGGGGTACTCCACGACATATCTGAGAATGGTGGCGGGCTGGGCGAAGGTGTCCCGGGCAGTGGGGACCCTATAGAAAGCGACGAAGATGACGTAGAGGACGACGGGATATTCCAAAACCCCAGCCGCCCAAGGAGATCCAAGGCCAAAGTGTCAAAGGTTACTGATCTGGAAGATATCAAATTCAAGCCCGAAGATCTCCTTGACGATGAACCGATCGATTTTACCACCTATTCCACCACGAAATCGTCACCGTCTCCAAGCAAGGAGATGGTACCTTCGACTTCTCCAACATATACGGCGCTAACAAAACAAGGGTATACCATTGTTGGATCTCACTCAGGTGTCAAAATTTGTCGATGGACAAAATCAGCCCTTCGGGGCCGCGGATCCTGTTACAAAAATTCATTCTATGGGATTAAATCTCATCTTTGCATGGAATCAACGCCTTCTCTCTCCTGCAGTAACAAATGTATCTTCTGCTGGCGGCATGGAACAAATCCGGTTGGAACCACATGGCGCTGGAAGGTTGACCCTCCTGAACTCATTTTCAACGGTGTTAAAGAAGGGCACTATAAAAAGATCAAGATGCTGCGCGGCGTCCCAGGTGTTAAGGCTGAGCGTTTTGCGGAAGCTATGCGAATCAGGCATTGTGCCCTGAGTTTGGTTGGTGAACCAATATTCTACCCCCACATTAATGAGCTCCTCTCCCTTCTCCACAGCGAGCATATTTCAAGTTTCCTGGTATGCAATGCACAGCATCCAGACGAACTGGCGGCACTTCAGAGAGTAACTCAGCTCTACGTGTCAATCGACGCCAGTAACCGGGAAAGTCTCCGTAAAATCGACCGGCCCTTACATCGAGATTTCTGGGAGCGCCTCCAGCGCTGCCTTGGCATACTTCGAGAGAAGAGAAAGGTGCATAGGACTGTATATCGGCTTACGCTTGTCAAAGGATTCAACATCGAAGATGAGGTGGAAGGCTATGCAGACCTTGTTGAGAAAGGCTTGCCCTGCTTTATTGAAGTTAAGGGTGTCACTTACTGTGGAACGAGCTCTAGCTCTAACGCAGGATTAACTATGCAGAATGTTCCATTCTACCACGAAATAGTCGCCTTTGTGGTTGCACTCAACGAGGAACTTGCGCGGCGTGGCCTTGCCTACGGAATATCCGCCGAACATGCCCATAGCTGCTGTATTTTGCTTGCATCCAACCGATTCCTGGTTAATGGTAAATGGCACACGAGGATTAACTATGAGCGTTTTTTTGAACTTCTCGAACACGAAAAACGCACTGGCGACTCCTTTACACCTGAAGATTATATGCGAGAAACAGAGGAGTGGGCATTGTGGGGAAACGGCGGCTTCGACCCGAGCGACCAGAGAGTCCATACCAAGGGGAAAAACAAGGGAAAAATCGGCGTACCGCCGCCTTCAGGAAAGGATCTGGCAGCTATTTCTTAATAAATCTGCACATAAGCTCAAGGTTAGAATTGAGCCGCTTATTCTTTAGAGAAGCTAATCAAAGGAGAGCCATAGCTTTATCCGATCGCAGAGTGCGCCGGCACTCTAAATGCCAACCACTATACTTCTAGGAACATCCCAAGGCTGAACATAATTTGAGGCTGAAAGCCGAAACTGTTCGTCTTTGGGGAGTGGACCGCTGCCTATCCTGCCAATGAATGAAACGTCTATCCTAGGATTTTCGCCTACATAGTACGGAGTACATGGACGATAGCCGTTGGTGGCTGGAGCGGTTCACCCCTTTGCAGCAAGGCGACGCTTTGCCTTTTGTCGATATAGCCGACCATATAATGTAAGATAAATGGGAAGAAGAAGTAGCCCAAGAACAAAAGATCCTCTTTCGGACCGTGCTCTCGTAGGGCGCAGCGTTTCAACAGCGGGCAACAGCCTCGGCTCTGGCTCGATGAAACCGTCTGAGACATTATGTTTCCGCAACTCAGACGATGAGTCGTATCATGCGGACCAACGGCTCGTCTAGACTTCGTACTTCGAGAAAGCAAAAAAGCAAAGATTAGTAAGATGCCGTATTCGGGTTCCGGCACGTTTGATATGAGCCGAGGCTCAGAGCCTCTCACATACATACGTCATATCTTGGCCGGACCTTGGATATCAGAGGGAGACAGCCAGAAACTCCACCAGAACGAAGAGCTTTTTCCGTACCCACTTGTTCAGTAGCATAAGCCTGCACCGGGTGTGCTAGAGTGTCAGACTTTTTTGCGGAATTCGGCTCATCCGACAATACCAACATGTCGCCGCTGGTGATCGCTTTAAAAGAGATTATACCCCCCTCCCCCCCCTTGAACAGTGAGAAAGTCCCTTTCTCGTACACCAGGGGCACGAAAAACAAGGAGATTTTTTATCATCACACCCAAAAGCCTCTGTTATTTCTGGGTGCTACTTATTTATACCCTATCGACTTATAGCTCCCTAACCTCACTCCAAACAATCATCAAACGACGCGAAGTTATGACAGATGTCATGGAGAGCGAGAAATCGACACAGAGGAAGATCCCTCACTGGAGACAGGTAACTGATCCAGGTGCTGTCACCCCAGAGATAATCAATTACCCCTACTCCGGATCTGGGACGGAAGAAGACCCTTACCTCGTACAATGGATTCCTAACGATCCTCGAAATCCGATGAACTATTCCGCCGTCAAAAAGTGGTCCATCACCTTCGTTGTTGCCATAGCTACCCTTGCTGTCGCCATGATATCGTCTGCGTATACTGGAGGTGCGATAAAGATTGCTCGGGAGTTTCGTGCGGACGCAGAGGTTATCACACTAGGTGTTTCATTGTTCGTGCTTGGCTTTGCAATTGGTCCACTGATTTGGGCACCTATGAGCGAACTATTTGGCCGCCAGGTGCTTTTCTTTGGCACTTATCTCGCATTAACAGCCTTCAATGCCGGGGCTGCTGGCAGTCCTAACATACAAACGTTACTTGTACTCCGATTTTTTGCCGGCTCCTTTGGCTCATCACCCTTGACAAATGCTGGCGGTGTGATTGCAGATATGTTTCCAGCCTCCCATCGAGGTTTGGCTATGGGTTTGTTTGCCATTGCCCCATTTTTGGGGCCAGTATTGGGCCCCGTAATAGGAGGGTTCCTAGGCGAGTCAGCAGGATGGAGGTGGGTTGAGGGCCTACTGGCCATCTTTTCCGGTACAGTCTGGATTATTGGATCGATTTTCTTACCGGAAACTTACCCCCCCGTCCTCCTCCGCAAGAGGGCGCAGCGACTTTCGAAGCTAACCGGGAAAGTGTATGCAAGCAGAATGGACATTGAACAAGGGAAGCTGTCCATTGGCCAAGCATTCCAAACTGCGCTCATGCGGCCCTGGATTCTCCTTTTCTGTGAGCCTATTGTCTTCTTGCTATCGATATATATGGCGATTGTCTACGGGACCCTCTACATGCTCTTCTCGGCATTTCCTGTCGTTTACCAACAATATAGAGGCTGGACCCCGGGGATTGGGGGTCTGGCATTCCTGGGAGTCTTGGGCGGGATTCTTATAGCTATGGTCGTGAATCTCTTGGATAGCAGGAGATATGCAAAAGTTTCCCAGGAATACAAAGGCTTCGCACCCCCGGAAGAGCGACTCCCGGTTGCAATTATTGGCGGGATTGCTATCCCTATCGGACTCTTCTGGTTTGCCTGGACCAATGGGCCTCAGATACACTGGATTGTTTCAATTATAGCATCAGCCCCGTTTGGTTTTGGTATGGTACTAGTCTTCCTCAGTCTAATGAATTACCTTATCGACGCATATACAATATACGCTGCTTCAGTCCTTGCCGCCAACTCTGTCCTCCGATCACTCTTCGGAGCCGCATTTCCACTGTTCACTCGATACATGTATCAGAACCTTGGAATTCACTGGGCTTCTACTATACCCGCCTTCCTAGCACTAGCATGTGTTCCGTTCCCATTTTTATTTTACAAATACGGCGCAGATATTCGAAAGCGTTGCAAATTCGCTGGCGAGGCAGATGCTTTTATGCAGAAAATTATACAAGCAAACTCGGCACAGCTTGAAAGCGATCTGGAGATATCAGAAACAGACCCTACATCGCGGCGAAGCAGCTTAGAGCTGGGGAGAGCCGGGGATACACTTGCCCGAATACAGTCCGCTAGATCCGGCCTAACTCGTACTCATACGGCAGCAACCATCGAGTATGAAGGAAACCCATATGACATTGACCGTGTAAACACCCGTCTTTCTCGGGTTAGCACGACAAAGTCCCGAGGCCATTAAAGTCCAGTTAATATTTCTTTGACTATTGTATATAGCATACCGCAACTGTTTAATACTTAGCATAAATATGTATATATGCCCTCCCTTCTTAGTTATAGCATTTGTATAATAAATATATGTTTAGGGGACCCCATAGTCTGGGATTCATCATTGTTTATCACTGTCATGCTACGGAGCATCTGCCTTGCCCACAGCTCCATTACACACTATGCCTGACGACACAGCATATGATCTTTTGGTCGAATGGTATATCGAATCATTTTTTGGAATGCGGGTGTGTTCTATTAATTTATAGTTAGTAAAGAAAAACATTGAAGTTGAGCATTTGTAGAGATAGCTACCGGTTCAGCCCATATAGTGCATGGACGACCATATTTCTTATAGAATTCTGGTCCATTTTCCATAATTATTGTCCCAAAGTCGAACCCTTCTCTCGGAATAGGCCCATAAACAAGATGTCCGGCAAACCAGAGAGTCACTTTATCATAGGTCATCCTTAATTGATCCGAACGATACGCTTTCATAATAGCCTCTATATTCTTGCGTATATCATCATCAGAGATTAGATATAATTTATACTTGAGAACACGAAGCCTCCACAAAGTGTCTGTGTCCAAGTTTTTTCGGGTTCCGTGGAATCGAAACTATTCTTGGGTTAGAGTGAAAATAGCATCTGTGTAAAGGGATAACCTGGGTAAGCTATATACGTACGGGGAAGCAGGTGGTGTTTCTGCCTGATACTTTGGCAAGCACTATTTGAAATGTTTGATGCCCTCTTTATCATCGTCTTGCTCTACTCGTGATATACAATCTTTAAGCATATTAATATCCTCTTCCCTGAACCTAAACTCATGAGGTTTTATTATTAGCACTGAGATAACTATAGGTATGGTAGGGTAAGAGGAAGAAGAAGAGGGAAAATGGGAGAGGACGGGATGCCATACTCGATGTAGTGATAAGTAAACATAGCGGTCTCAGCATCTTGTCGAGAATAACACGTCTTCATTTCCTCTATTGTCATCTTCGTATTTTCTTCACCGTTATCGGCGGCATCATGCCGCCGAAGTAATGGCATCTTGTCAGAATCTGCCATCGGCCAAAAAGGCGAGCCCGCTCCAATTGGCGGCAGAGAGACTGGTAGATCTACTATTGCTCTTTCTTGCTAACTATTTATCTCGAGTTGCTCTATGACGTAAACATTTTCTCACATGACATAGGTGCCCCTCTGTTTAATAGATACGTAGTGGGGTAAGGTAGAATTTTCTTTATCTTCATCCTTATAAAGTCAGGGAGTGATACTCTTTCTCTAGTATCAGACTTATTTAGTTTATTATTGAGACTATGGCTCCCACTACCCATTATCTTGATGAGGTTGGCAGAGGGTTGCTAAAGATTCTGCAGCAAGCGTTTTTGGATGGTGTGATTGTGGCGGGACCAATGGAGGATAATAGCAACGTGAAATATTCAAATAAGAGCCTCAACGGTTATGTTGCGCCACTTCTTAAACATCTTGGGATGGGTGTATGTAAAGATTCCCTTGTATAAGTGAATATTCTAAAATAATATTTTTAGGATCTAGGATATACAGCCTGGAAGATCCGCACACGAATAACTGTCAATAATAAAACTGGACCAGAATATATTATTCCTATAATCATTTCAGAGACAGCTTGTTTTGTTCCTGGGGGTAGTCCTACAAAAGGAATGTATATCTTCCATGAAGAGCCAGTGGATATTATTCCGACTTTATTGTGCCTTTTCGTGGGAAAGATACCTGGTAGGTAAATTTCATTCTTCACGTAAAACATGCTTTCTTATAATGTAGGATTCTCAACTATCTCTAACACGGGATTGCTAGTTACAGCGATGCCTGATGACCGGAAGGATGGCATTCTAAACCCAAGCTCGATGGAAAAGATACCTGGTAGGTAAATTTCATTCTTCACGTAAAACATGCTTTCTTATAATGTAGGATTCTCAACTATCTCTAACACGGGATTGCTAGTTACAGCAATGCCTGATGACCGGAAGGATGGCATTCTAAACCCAAGCTCGATGGATCGAAAGACATTATAGGAACCTCGTCTTCTATATAATGCTCATAGTGCCCCGATGGATTGAAGTGAAGTGGTGAATTATAAAATTGAAATGTTTGCAATGTCTCATAGAAGCCCGACGGATCAAAAGGAGTGGTTGGTGAAATTGTCTGTGGAACTTGCCTATAGTAACTTGACGGGTTAAAAGACGTGTGAAGCCTTTCCCACACAGAATTATCTGTAGATAGGTGAGTTAGGGAATCTCTGGCGTCCTCTGGATGTCCGATTGTACCTATTTGCAAAAGGAATTGTTAGCTATGTAAAGTATCTTTTGGGAAAAATGCTCACCGTTCTGGATATTGCTGTCCTCCACATGCAAGTCCGACCTAGGTGTTATTATAGTAATCTGGCCCAGCCCTGATTGCCCTTCTGTGGGCTGGTTTTCACCTGCAGTGTCTGGAGATATTTGCGCGGTTCTGTTGGTGTTATGATCCCGGGACGGATGATACTGGGAAGTAAGGATGGCCGAGCTCCCCGTACTCTCTAGAGTATCACTCGACAATGCGGTTACTCCTTCATTTGTATTTAGGAGAGCTCCGATAGCGACTGTACGTATTGGCGCTATCTGACGCGCGGTTATGGTTCGGTGAACTAAGAACTATAAGCGGTCGGCGACGAACAAATGATATAAGAACTTACCGCTCGGTGCCACTATCCCTTGGTTGGAGGCTTCCGTGAAATTACATGAATGTTGCCCATTGAGATCATGGTTGGCTCGTCTGCCTAGCTCTATTTGTGCCACTGTATCGTGCGAAGAATCCTGGGGTGTACGGGAGGAATCTGACGAATTTTTGGGGGAGGATGTCGATATAATTTCTCCAGCATACGGTGTAGCATGGCTGCTTGCAGCAGAAATGCCTTCAACAGGTCAGTAACCAGCTTTAGTAATGGCTTAGTCTTGGTTCTTTTACCCTCACCCAACCTTTGCCTTGAGCGTCGGTGATCATCACCGTCATGTATATGCAGACGGGGTCGCTTATTACTATGACCAACGTTGGGATCTGCCTTATAAGCTATTTATTCTATTCTTTATATATACTCATAAAAGAGAGAATTAATACTCACATGAATGAAGGGAGAGGTCGTCCCGAGTCTCATCGTTCGTTCCCAAGCTTTCGTGTATCTCCCGTCCCGTAGCGCGTTGTGGCAGGATAGGCGGCATCGAATTAAATGATTCCAGAGTACCAAGCTGCTGTGAGATATTCCGAACCACATTATCAATAATACTCTTGGCCACATCATGGGCACCAATACGCGTAGCTTCTTCATTGATACCTCGGGCTAGGAGCAAGTCGGTCTCCTTTAAGCGCTTCTGGCCTGTTTTTGGTAGCCTTCGCTCCCAACTACCCGGGAGAGTTAGTATGAGACAGGTACATTTGCCCCACAAGACTTACATTGAATCTCTTTCAGGTAGTAGGAGCAACGTTCCGTGGCCTCCCAAATCAGCTGCAAGGCGATTATACTTCTCCCCTTTCAAAGCCCACACGCTTATTTTCTCACTCATCCCCTGCGGGGGATTATCGCCCATGGCCCGCTGGAAGATTTCAATGGCATTTTCCTGTAACTCATAGCGGCCAAAGCGTTCCTTGATGAGGAACAAAGCAACGTAAAGGAGCTTTGTTCGTGCTCGGCCGCTCGCATATCCATTCTCCGCCGCGGTTAAGAAGCTGTATAGGCTCTTCAGAGAGCAATTGGCCTCAACGGTATAACCAACCTGGGTATAAAAGGACGAGATATTCTCTTTCCATTTGTTAAAGGAAGGTTGAAGCTCCGCGGAAAGGGTTATTGGGGTCAATGGGCCGGCATCTCTCTTGTGGTGGGACTTCTTTACAGCTGCCTTGATCTCGTCCGGGAGGGCAGCGAAAAAGTTAATAAAGGAAGTTTTGACCTTGGAGAAGAACTCAGTAAACGGGCAAAAACATGGCAAATGGGACCTACAGTGTCATTTCGAAAGGCCTCAGCACCGATATGACTATGCCCAACCCTTTCCGCATCTCTGTAAGCTGTAGTTAAGCAGTCCGCCAAAGCTTTCACTACGGTAACGTCCATTTTGTCGAGGTCTTTTCCTCCGATGGGAATTTGGTCAGGCAAAAGCCCTTCGTACTAGAAATGAAATTTGTTTGGTGAAGCCAAAAGCCCCCTTCATACTTCGGCGCTAAACTCAGAACGTCTGAGAATGTGAACGTTCACAGTTTTCGACATTCTTGGTTTAGCGCCTCAAGTTTGATGATCGTCGCAGGTTTAAGTTGCGCTGCTGCGTTTGATTCCTGCATCGCAATTCTCAAGTGCTGGCGATCGATAGAACGTGAATCTTAACCCTTGCTTAGAAGAACTTCGTAGTCTATAAAGAAAGCTCACCGATCCTGTGTTTTGGACGCCTTTCTGCCTTATTTTCACACACATGCTCCGCCTCAAACCTCGCTTAGTCTTCTCCACAACATGGTCGCATTCGCTCTTCCCTCCTGGCTAGCTCTATGCTGGCGCCCCCTTTCTGAGCCGGATGAGAGCTGGCCACCAGGGAAGCAGCCCCTTCCCATGCAGCCTTACAGTTCCCCAGAACCCCTACAGGCCGTCACACGCCCTCCACCACCCTGGCCTTCGACCAGCCGTCGCAATCTTGCTGCCTTCCACTCACAACATTCTTCCCGAGCGCAGGTGGAGCGACATTCTCCACCGATCGAGAAAGTTTTCGAACCCACCCGGCCCGTGCCGCGCGATCGTGTCTTGGCAGAGGCTCATGCCCCCACACCAAGGGCCCATCGTGAATTCGATCTTAGTACGGGTGCTGAGAGAGGGAGAGTGAACCCCAAGGAGTGGAGTGCATTCCCACGAGAAGTACAAGGGGGCCCGACGAGGAAAACAGCACACTCGAATGCAGAGGACGGGGCGCACCACTCGTTCATGGATCTGAGGAGCCCATGGGAGGAGCGGTGGGATAAGTGGCAGAGCTTCTTCAGCAAGCTACTTCCATTTCCATCGAAGACAAAGTCGAGAGGTACGTAACATGTTAGCCTCCTCTCAAGCTTCTCTGTTTGAAGACTGACGGGTGAAGAAAGACAATCTTACTTAAGGTGGTAAATGGCTGGTCCGACGGTTGTATCATGGACCCGCCCGTCCCCACCGGGCTTTGAGGGTGCGCTTTTCTCATTCAAATCTACGGAAGAGAGGTACCAAGAGTGGGAAACATATCCTATTGAGGAGGTAATTGAATTTCCTGGGTTGAAAGCAGCTGTTACTGCGCGGTGTCCTGACGCTGCGCACGAGATTAAACGTCTTGGAGTGGAGCCAGAGACTTAGCAGGCGATGTTTCTTGTCCTTCCAAATCATGTTTCCTTTTCTCTGTGTATATATATATCCCTTTTCAATCTTTTCGTTAATGGCAATCACCACAGAAGCGCCATTAAGGCCACCTACCGTCTGTCTAAGTCGTCCCCTTAGTTTTGGTTTAACTCCTGTGGCGTCATCGTCTGGTCGTCCGGAGACACAACTGTCCTATCTCGGGTTGCAAAAAGCCATATACCGACCGTGATAATGTTGATCGACATATTAAGTGCAAACATCATGGGAAATTCAGATGTGGAATCTGTCTCTATGCTTTTATCGTTGAAATGGTTAGAGATGCAAGAAGAGGAATGCAAAAAACTGGACGCACATCGATATAGGTGCAAGGCGGGATTCTCGACAGCTAGGGGTTTAAAAAGTCACTGCGGCCACAGACGCCATGAACATCAATGCCGTATCCCTGGTAGATTCGAATAGTGAGTCAAACCAGTGTATCCTATACTGTGTTGGTGCTAATAATGCATAGCGCATCCAAGAAAGCACAACACCCTTCTCTTCTATTTTTTCTTCTTCTTCTTTTCTGTAATAACTTTAAGTCTATGGCGATCAATTTTAATGACGATGGGCTCGCAGCGTGCTATTGGGAAGCAGAAGGCATACCTGTCCGTCCTGTAATCTGGTGTGGATGCCAGCTTCGTCCACTCCAGAAGGCAAAGAATTATATCTGTTTCAGGCATGGCAAGAGCAGGGATAGCACTGTCCTAAGTTCTATATAACATTGTTACTTTCCTCGATCAATTGTACGTCCTTTTTAATACTAACTTATACCCATCTTTTCGCTATCTTCTGTTCCTCTTGAAACTGGGTTTGAACGCTCAAGAATGGCTACCTCCGGAGAGGAAACTACTTTCCCTTATCCCGACCCGTTATTTAATGACTGGCTCTTCAAGTTACGTGAATATCTTCCGGGGTACAAAGGTCCAATATTCACTTGTGAATTCCACAATTGGCTTCTATGGGAAGGAGTCAACGTTGCTCATCCGTCCCTATTTGCCGGTACAATCTCCCTAGCTTGCTTATTTTATTCTTTACTTACACGGTATACTAGCACGCCCAAGCTATGAGCAAGAAGAATGTTCATCCCCTCCCAGCTCCACCAAACTTGGCATGTCTCATGGGGTAGCTGTCGGCGGGCTAGGAGAAGCCGGGCGTGATACCTGCGGACAAATAAAGCCCTGTGAAAGGCTTGAAGAGTGTTATGAGAAACGTGAAGCAGGTAGGCTTAGGCATATCTACGGAATTATACGGAGCTAACGCGATGATAGATGCAAATGCCCTGGTTTATATAATCAAACGAGATGTCAAGACTGAAGAGGGAGGGGGAGATGCTACCCAGGATACGCAGCGTCGAACACCACCATCGCCTACCGTCAGTCACGCAGGAAAGGCACCAGCCAGTCAAGCCTGGCCAAACTTCGCCATCCCCTCAGCCGGACACCACGGTATCGACGAGCAGCAGCCTTCTCAGTCTGTGCTACCTACATCTACATACGGTGGGTGGCCTTCCTTTACCATGGGAATGGGTAGCGATTCTCAGTGGCTCTCTGCTCGTAAGCCCGCCGACTATCCTGTTAACCAAGAACTCCCCCTTGGCCAGGGCTACTACATTCCTGGAACTTATTGTGCGACATGCCAAGCGCATTTTTGCTCCTGTAACCTGCTTACGGTGTACAGATAGATCTTTTATTTTGTTATATAGTTTGGCGCGATACTCTATATAGCTATAAGTAATTCATTTTTCATTCCTAGCGGTGTTTTTTGAAGTATTTGAATAACGGGGACTGCATGCACACCCTATTCATAATGTAACTATTAGACATGGCTGATTTTAGATGAAAATTGGGACACTTGAATTAACCCAGTTGCCTAGGCGGTATTCTCGAAAGGCTCTGCTCTATATAATAATTCTCCTTCCCTGTTGTTCCTAACTGTTTATTCCTCATTTCCATTCCATCTCCTGCGAGAACCGTTTGCCATGCCCCCAACCATAGAGGACGTCAATTGCGCTCTGGAAATACTCTTGTCCGCAGACTCGAGTACTTTGGCAAGCGTTCAGTCAAAGTTAAGAAAAACGGGTCGCCATATTGACAAAGCACTCCGGCCTTCTCGACAATCGTTATCATCCCGTGAACAGAATGGGGGGTTTACGAGTGGGAAAACATTCTCGAAGAAGACCTGCACGATCAATAAGAAACACTCAAACTTTGAAGACTACCTATTCTGATATAAACGCTGGTAGGAAAGAAGTTTGAATTGGGAGTTTTATGATTACTACTATCTTAATATTTACTAACTATTTATAGCGCAGTCTACAGGTAGTATGCATGCAGCTGAAGGCGAAAGCCTGTATTTTGGACGGGTAACCATTTTGAAGAGTGAGACGAGCACGGAGCTACTGAGATATGAAAAGGTGCATATTTTTTCCAATTGAAAAGTATCAAATGTTGTACGTACTTAGATCACGTGCACTGCCCCTGATATACTCGGCAGAGACTTCACTCTACATCTGAGCTCTTCAACTCACGAATATACGTATACTTACACCCTTGTATGCCTTCAAACTCATTCAACCAATCGTCATTCGCTGCTCTCGCTCATATTTGACAAGGGTTAGGGTTAGAATTGGTGCGCCTGAGAGGTACATTTTGGCTCAACAATATACTACTAATTCAAATGTGGTAAATCCATCCCCATCCCTTATTCCCAGGTGTTTGAAGGTAGCTTAGATATTTCTAGTCCAGAATGCAATACATTATATACGGTAGCAGAGGTTACCTGTGCTGCAACCAGGCATCTGAAGCTGACTACCACCAACTCTGTATAAAAGGAGTGATACCCCCATATATCTAAATCCTAGTTCAAGCGCTGTCTTTGTGTTTCACTTTATCCTGTCTTCAAATAAAACCACGTCCTGGTATAGCTTGAACCCTGTGATGTGCTCTCTTTATTCGTTACTTCCGGAATATACTGATGAAACACCGGGAGGTAAATTTACCGGGACAATCAGAGTCGAATGGAGGATCTTCAAGGATGGGCAGCCAATGGATTCGTCATATCCGACCGAGTCGAAAATTTCGTTTACTAATGGAGAGCCTGATCAGCCGGGCCTCAAACTGCCAATACATATACTCAAGGGGCTGCCGCTAGGATCCGCTTCCACAATTCGATTTCCGGCGTACGTGGTCCTTGATCTTGAATGGCAAGGTGGCTAACTCTCTAATAGCGCTATGGTGTTCGCAGCAGCAGCCCGGGATGAACAAGCCACCCTGTAGGTGACAATATATCTCAGCACCAAATACACAGCTGACCTTACCAGGGTGCTCTCGGTAGTAGAGATAACCTCAATGGGAGAGATACAGATGGCCAACCAAAAGAGAAAAGCGCTACTCGACTATATCACCAGGGATGTGGGAGAATTTTTTGTTACGGCCATGTTAGCGTCGAATTGGAACATTCACAAGGACGATATCCTGCGTATCGCTGAGGGCAATGTTGCCGTCCTTGAGGGCCCATCACGCCCATTCTGGCACCAATTTAGCGAGAAATACAGTGTCGAAGGTCCAACCAAGAGAACCGACATTCTTACATCATTCCTTGAGATTTGCACCGAGGCTTCCCCGTTTTCCTTTCCTTCCTCTTAGCATGCACTGGCCCCTTTGTGGTTGCCGTAGTTATTAATCTAGAAATACATACTCTGTTCTCCTTCTTTGGGCCGCGGGCGCCATGTATCGGCGAATGAACAAGTCTCGTCACTTGTTATACTGAACTATATAAATTTTATATTTACACAAGGCTCCTAAGTGACGGGAATCCCGGGTGCTAGGCTGTGGATGAAGTGGTGGCTTCGGTTTCTTATCCTTGGCGAAGCAAACTGCAGCCGCAATGTAACTAGTGTCTGCTCTCCTTCCACCTTTACTCAAGAATTACACTACTATCACCCGTACCGTCTTCGCTGTATAGGGGTGCGGTACGATTGTATGTTTGGATAACTTTCTTAAGAAGCACGCTCGGAGTTTTATCAAACATCATTCCGTATTTATATAGTTATATAACCTGCGCTGCCCACCAGCTGACGCCGTTATCGCTCCAGGTCGTGATTCTCATAGCGTGCTTTGTTTAACCTATCTTAATTCGAACTTACAGCCAGAATGTATTCGAGTTTCTACGTTGATGGGTGCTCTCCTCAATCGGGGTCTGTACTAGACTTGGCCAACACCACCTCCGCCAACGACACTATTTGCGCCTACGCCTTCCAGTGTACGCCTCAGCGTTACATTTCTGAGCAGGAGATGTCCCATTTTCTCGCCGCCACCACGGCCCAGCAGCTCCATCAGCAGGCTGACGCTGACTCTCCGGCCGGGTTGGAGCCCGTTACGCCCGACCGCGTGAGTCTCCTTACGCGCCGGTCTAAGGGCGCGACGCTTGAGGCAGACACATCCAGCTGTAGCTACCACGGCCGCGGCCGCGGCTTTGGCGAGCGGCCCTGTCCGCAGGAGGATAGGCGCCAAACTGACCACGCCGCCAATAAAACGAAAAGTCAGTCGATACGCGGGCTAAGTGCTCGCAACTCGCAAGCCGGCCCTCACAGATGTGGTATTCCCAACCCGTCGACGGGGAGGCCGTGTAACACTATATTTTCACGGCCGTACGACCTTACCCGCCACGAGAACACGATACATAATACCAACAAGCGGAAGATCCACTGCCACCGTTGCGGCGGAACGAAGACCTTTTCGCGTAACGATGCCCTTATTAGGCACATGCGCACGGCTCATCCTGAGACAAACTACCCCCCAGCCGAGAAGCGTCGTAGCCGCGCGGGTGTTCAATAGTTCGTTGGAATCTTTGAGCTTGACAAGTGGAACCAAAAAGTGGAGCAAATCGCCCCTGAAGAGCACCAAACGTAAAACTCAATTTAGTCGTTGATAATATTGTCCGATCCATGGATTAATTTTATCCGCCGTTGTAGGAATGAATATCACTTGTGGTTCCAAATCGGCAGCCGTGGCGTCTGCTGATTCATGGCCGGCCTCAGGAAGCTGCATTGGATAAAATATGTATATATATAGCCTCAACTCCCTTCAAAATGATTAATACTCGAACAATCGGCTTAGAATCACTGTCTACTTCTAATGGTCGCGATAATGCCGACACTCTTTCAAGTATACTATATCCCCGACAGGGAATCGACCCTCTCCGAGATCTTTAAGGCGGATAGCATTCTCTGGTACGTGGAAGACTCCTAGGTATTTTATGGTAGCAACTACTGGTTCGCAGCGTCCTATACTAGGCCGAATATCCTTAACGCTCTTCTTATTCACGATGACCTTGCAGTGAGGGGCAAAACTTTCTGGAAGACATTCTACAAGCGGCAACCGACGCCGCCAATTCCGAGAATACAGACGCATTGTCGGCATATAAGAGGATCGCAGAGCAAAGTGGGCTGGCTGGGGATATTAAGGACTGCCGTTGGTCGTAGTAAAAAGTTTTGCAAACTTTTTAGAAGTCTAGATAATGGGGTGGCAAGCCCATGGAGGGTAGTACTCTTTATCCAGACGAACAGACGTTCCTCGCGATCCACACCCGCTGGCAAGTAATGCATCCCACCATTGTGACTCGTGCGGGTACGGATGCCCAGGCACGCCCGTATCGCCGTTCTCTGCGTCCGGACCGGAAAGAGGAGACGCCGGCAGTCATCCAGGTTCGTTTGCTCTTTTCTCCCATGCTGCACAATACACGCACTAATGCTAGTTTTAACATATGCGGCATCGGACAGATATAATGCAAGGGCGTGAAGGCCAAACTGGCCGGGTATTTAACCCTAGCTTGATGTTTGTTGAAGGGTTCAGGAGATCAAGAGGTCAAGAGATCAACGGCTGTCGGCTAACTGTCGAATTACTAAACTTAGAGAGATATATGGGATATTAAAAAGCTTGCTGTGGGTATTTTAGCCCATGCTTAAGCCCTCCTACCGTAGCAGTGTCCAACAAATGTGGCTGCGGTTTATTTGTTGCCCCAGTTGTCGAGGGTTTTTGGGAGCCCACACGCAACAAAAGCCTCGAAAACTTCCTTGTGCGACGGGAGATCCTCTGGAGAGATGGGGGTGTCCTCGATCTCGTTCCTATCGATACTCCCGGGGCAAAGTAAGCACTCCATATCTGCCGTCAATTCTGCCACCGTCTTGTATTCGCCATGCCAGCATTCTATAATGATCGAATCGATCGCTGCCTCCACGATTAGCTCCGGATATACTACCGCCTATAGCAGGTTCAAGACAGCAGGTCCATGTTCCCTACCGGATGGATCGTCACCTAAGTATTGATCACCATAGACCTCAAATCCATAATTTATAAGGTAGAATAATGAGCTGAGGGCAAATTTTCCATTCGCGGCCTAAGTAGGCCCGCGGTTCCTTAGTCGGAATAGCTTCCACGCCCGAGTAGCCGTCCGTATAGAGCAATACGTGCCTCGAATACCGATCCGATTTCCGAGGTGCTGTCGAAGTCTGGAAGCTTAAGGTGGTTGCGGTGAAACAGAATATTCTCAGACCTAAGATCGCCGTGTGCGAGGTTAAGAGACTCGAGGGGGAGGTCGCTTATCTACATCTTTCGTAAATCGAATGGTTCAAGTTTTTCCACGCTAACCACCCGCATCGTTCCATGATCTCGGATATGATTCTGCTGAATTCGCCAAGAGAGACAGATATCCCTCATATACTCGAGAAAGATGCAGTTATTGTTGTGCAGGAAGCAGGATATCACGTATGGGTAGGAGGGGTGGCGGGAGAGAATGTCGAGAACCTTCAACTCTTTGCGGATCTAACCTGTAACTCAATTATCTAATCAAACTAGGCCGTCTTTGGGCAGGTGGCGGCAGCGGCGTAGTTATCGCTTATTCCGATACGCTGGCTAAACGCCGGTTCCAACAGTTAATGACATCATCATGACTGGCTTGACTAAAATTTCGCTTCAGGGTATCATTAACTTCTTTCAACACTCTTATAACCTCACCCTGACACTATTCTCTTGAATCCACTCGACTTCCGTTACAACCCTCTGTTCCTTTAAATATAAATGGCTGCTACCATAATAACTGTTAAATACCGTAACTAATAAACGCGACACAAACCAAGATACAAACCAAACAATGTCCACACCTAATACCCCAAAGAAAGACATGGCAGCATCTAAGCTGTCCCCCCTGCCTTCTACTGAAGAGCTATTTAACATGCCACGCGACAAGTTACAGAAATTGATGTTGGAGCTAGGCTTAGAGCCATCTGGTAAGCTCTTCTCCTCACCGCCGCGTCTCCCTCAACAAAACGCGAAAGCAGCAGTTCAATTTGTGCAGCCAAAATGAGTCGTGGGCTAATTTTCACCTGAAGCTCCTAATAAGGACTCATTCCTTTCTGGATCGCCCGACATCGACTACGAGCAAGAGGTCTATGATGCTGCTAAACAATGTAAGCCCGCAACCGAAATTGAAGTTCATCCCAACTTAAGGCTTACCACTCTTATCTCTATAGATGAATCTAAGGCATAGGATGATTCTGAAAATCCTACGCACCCAAGGAAATGGCATTCGGGCGTATAGCTGTATCATCGAAGCCTTCGGCAGTTTGGTGCCCGTCTTGATCTTCGCTTATGGTTGTGCTTTACTCGTTATGTATGATACGACTATTTACACGTTCTGGTCCCCAACTCTTGAGCTCTATCCTCCTGAATAATTCTACCTTCGATTCCAAACGTGGGCGCTTAATTTAGTAGGTAGACCTGTTGCAGCGCACTTACCTTCCAGTGCCCGAAATCTGAGCTCCGTATGTTCCTGCTAACGCTCTAACCCTTTCCTACCTACTAGAGCTATATTGTTCTGCGAAAAACCCGTGTCCTCGCCATCTTTTATCAGAATGAAGGAGAATTGTGTAGTCGACCGACCCTATTTCACGGCAGGATAATGCCGACCCTTGATGAGACAGATGAGACGTATCGGAAAGTATGGAACAGTTCTTCGTTTACGTCCTTCTTGATGCTCGATTACCTTCGCTCCCTTGGCCAGACGAGCTGGTCGGATTTCATTTCGTCGAAAGCCTTCAATGCTCCGTTGAAGGGTCGAATTCGGACCATTGTGGACAGTTTGCCGGAAGCGGCGATTGATAATATATGCAAGACTGGCTCGGGAAGGTGCACAACGTTTACGTTTACAGTGATTCGAAATATGAGCGACGGGGGTAGAGACTTTATGATGGCAGGTAGAAGAAATCATAGGGCAACCTTCACAACGGATGGGGTTGTCGTAGATCCCAGCGCCTGCAAAGTGTTCAAGCTTGTTGATTCTGATATGCATACTGCACCGGATAAAAGAACATGGATGATGGAAAATATTGAATCGGATACTGCAAAGCTATATTACACAGTAAGTCTCTCATATATGTGAATATGTTCTAAGAATGTGCGTCTAATAAATGCTGGATAAGCCCAATATCGACGAAAACGATGTTCACTGGGAAGGCTTCAACCGATTTGAGTCTCACTATGATGGCATGAAAGTATGTCTTAATCAGCTACTGACGGCGAATAGTTTTGTTCTCTTGTTCCGGTAAGTTTTCGTGTTATAGAGTAAGGAATATGAAGAATCATAACCCTGACACGGGATATGTAGTTCATGTATGGAAGACGGGACGCTCAAGTTTGACGGAATGTTGCGCTGGATTCCGAAGGACAATGTCATGATTTGGACGGAGGATATAGAGCATCAAGGCAGTATTTGCAGAAAGACCAGCTGAGTAGAGTTTGGCAACGGAACGAGCATCGAGAGCGTGAGGAGTGCAGCATCTTTGAACCACTGTTGCACCAACAATTTCCGTTCGAAGCAATACGATAAAGTTCGCGATGTCATCTTGGAAGCCCACAGAAGAGCTGATCGGCTTTCCGGTACTTTTTACGAAAACGCAGGAGTTGTCAGGTAAGCCCTAAGTGACTTGAAGGCTTCGCGATCCCGCATAACATGATTCTACCATGTGGAATTAAGTAAGAAGTGCTCAACCTTCACCTCGTATCTCACTTACGCATTCAATTTAGATATAGTCTCTCGAATCGAAGAATGTCTGAAAGCGGTAAGAATAGCGGTGGGGTGAACGAATGGTTGGCTGTTGCGGATAGCAGTTCGGGCGACGTTGGGAATGCACCCAAGAGTGAGTTGCCGAAGGCTTCAGCCGCCTGCATACCATTAAGCCTTGGATCGCTGAAGTTCTTCCAGATCCAGGGGTTGGGCTCAGCAAAGCCTGGGTCATAATAGGATATTGTCAAATATAACAAGTCCCTCTGCCACCAATCAGTGCGGGCTCGCCTTTTTGGCCGAATGGCAGATTCTGACAGATATCTTCTCGCTGTGAGCCGCCGGAGTAGAATCATCGGGATATCGAGAACTTTACTGACATAACGGTTTAGAAGCCACTGACGAAGCCTGTCTTGATTGTCGTGCCGCCCACACTTGTAAGCCAATGGATAGAGCAGATTTGGATTGCCACAAGTGAGCTCAAAGGATATTGCTATTACGGCAGTAAGCGGGGAGACGCGGCAAGACCGTGCGACGAGATTCAGAGCATCCTCTCGCCGCGCTGTAAAAAACGTCGTTTTGTATAAGTTTTCTTTCTTGGTTGTATTTTAATTAGCGAGGTCAGGTTGGATTAACTACGTGAGATATTAGTCGGGATTTAAGGTTCTGGGTTGGATGAGGCTCTGACAATTACAAAGCCACACCGACCAAATCCAAATATGGGGTCAGACAAGCGTAGTAACCAACGCCTAGAGCTAGATCGGCCTAGAGTACTGCATTACTGGCAATGGATATCTCTAGATATGCAGCAAAGGCAGAAAGCTATGAAAGATTATCCACTTTCCAAATATCTCAGTTTTTCAAACGCCATGTATTTAACACAAGGGAGGACTGCGACCGCCTTGCAGCCAATATTTTGAACGGTCTCGTCTCCCCTACACCAGTACAGGGTGCGACCAGTTATACCGTGGCAGCAGCCGGTTCGAGGAAAGTGGTCCAATTTCGGTCTTCAAAGCTGGACATGGAATGCATTGAGAATGCACGGCTATCCTATAGAGGTTTCGTCCCCAACTGCGAGTTGTATGGCACGGCAGGAGATATCTATGTCTATGTGTGGGATCTCGTCCCGGGGCCTGCTTTTTGTCAAGTCCGACGCCAGTTTCTTTCTCTTGGCATTGGGATGGAACAGCGTTTGCATCAAACAGTACTTGATTTTGCAAGGTGTGTTGTTGACATATATTTCACTGAGTTTAGTGTCTTGCTAACCAAAACGAATTAGGTTCTTCGCTTCAGCGTGGAACAACAGACCAGCCGTTAAGCAGCCTACTGGCATACTCAAAGAGTACCGAGAGATCCTTGACCAGCTTTCCTTAAGCCTGCCTAATCGACTACAGCTGAAGCTAGACCAGGTCCGTCAAGGACTTCCACTTCTCTTCCGGCCTGGCTATCCCATGGCTCTCCAGCATGACGACCTACTAGAGAATAATATCCATATAGACGAAGTAACTGGTCACATTACAGGCATTGTCGACTGGGCGGATGCTATTGTGGCCCCATTTGGTGTTTCTCTCGGCGGTCTCGAGACCATAATTGGAGTCCAGACTGCAAGCAGTTGGCACTTCCATCCTAGTCATGTTAGTCTCCGGCAGCATTTCTGGGATATGTTCTACAGGGAGATTGGAGATATCTCAGAAGAAGATCAGCGTTCAATCGAAATTGCAAGGCTGTTTGGATTGTTCCGGACACACGGCTTTGAAGGAGAAAAGGCAGCTGCGTATCTTGGGGCGTTATGTCTGCTTTAGATGAGACATTTGTTATTAAGACGCGGAGGAATTTTCGGGCTTCTACAGTTGCGGCTTTTGTATTGGTCAGCTAGATGCAGAGCACATGTATTCTCTTATTGTCTTCTCACTACAAGTATCCAAGGAAACTACAATGAATCAAGCTGGTTGTCCAAACAGGAGAACATGCGATATCTTTCTCTCACAGGTGTCCCGCTGGGGCTTCTGGGTGCATCTCATACTTTGACGATGACTCCCCGGAAAGCCAACTTATCCATCAGTTGTTTCTCGTTCTCAACCTGATCAACAAAGACTCTATGGGTCTCCTTGGTCCCTTCACCTTGGCCCAATGTTCACCGGGTCCGGGCCCCTCAGGTTTATTAGGCAGGGTGGCCTCATACCAACTAATAGGAGTGAACTCGACTCCATTCACCATGGACTTGGGCAGTACAATGGTTCCGTACCGCTCCAGTTCGACCTCAGCAGTGCATTCCTTGGGTTTACCCTCCAAGAACTAAAGCGCAATCGCATCAACTAGGTCATGCTTGGTGACGTAGCTGATGAAGTCTTTGACACAGTTGCTGTTGACCACATCGCTATTGGAGACAGGTGATGGACCTTCACCGAACTCATAGGAGACAAGACGATTCTCTCCAGGAACGACCTTGAAAGTGACTCCATGGATATTGCTAAGATCTAGGGAGTCGATCAAAGTAGGTTTGATCCATTTACCAGGCGCAGACTCGATCTTCATCTCGAGCTTCACCTGCCCATCCGGAAGGGGCTCGTGTTTGTGAAGCAGGTGGATGCCGAGTTTCTTACCCAGGCCGTACTGAGTGATTGTAGTCACAAGGTTTTTGACGTGTGCCTGGCTGATTTTCATATCAGGATGGATGCGAGGGAGCCCATTATATCAAAGATGGCGGTGCTGGTAGATATACATGCCGACGTTAAACTAAAGATGTAAGGCATCTGAAAGATCATGGCAGGGAAGATCCACAGCCCGCACCTGATAGTTGAATTTTTATGGTTATATACAAGTAGTTATAGTTAACTACGGGGGTATAGAGAAGAGGGAAGAAGCAGTAAAAAGGATCTTATATTTATAGCCCAGAATGAAACGAAGATATAATTTTATTGTACATCCTAATAACAGCCGGCAATTCAAACACCCCCTCGGGGACTCGTTGAGTGTCGATAGCAGACTTCCAGAGCCTGATAATGGCGTCACGCTGAGAGATATTGGCCCGGTTGGATTGAAAGGCGTCAAGCAGCTGCAGGTCACAACGGGTGTTTGCTAGCGCTACCATCTTGGACCCACGGGAGATACGCTTGCCGTAATCGTAGGACATGCCATATAACCACTCAAACCCACTAGCCCATAACTCTGGGGCATTGGGAGTAAGAAAGCGCAGAATGTCCAGATCTTCAAGGACCGAGCCGCCATGGGCCACCGTATTCCGTCTGCACCGGGACATTGGGCTGGGAGGCTGATAGATAGGTTTCCAGCTTCATCAATACTGAAATAAGCCTCTCGTCGGACAGCCGATGCTTCTCATCGGACTGTCGGCTCTGCTCCTCTGCAAGGAGCGCCAGGCCGGCCTCGTTACCCACGAGACGTTTCGACTCGTCCACAACCATATCTGCGGAGGGGGGAGCCATGGCCGTAATGTTGGACTTGCTTCCTTTAACGTGGAAGCACCCTCTCCAGTTCTACAGAGTGTGTTAGAACATGCTGTAACTATCTGTCAGAATCTGCCATTCGGCCAAAAAGGCGAGCCCGCACTGATTGGTGGCAGAGAGATTTGTTATATTTGACACTATCGCAAAAGGAAGGGCGAGGACGTCTTTTTAAACTTGCGAAGTTCTCACCCAGTGGCGTTGGTGGGGACGCCTTGGCGTTCTCATCTCTTGCGTTGGCCTGGGTCTGAAAAACTAAGTCTCCTCGGTATAACAGGACTGAAGCTGAAGTCTGAGGATCCGGTAGATGGAACGATTTCAAGAACAGACTCCCTTTCCGGGGTGGGAGTAGGAGTTTGGTAAGTAGCCAGTTTGAAACGAAGGGTATAAGCAAAGCTCACGGCGGCTCAGGGCGAAACTGAGCAGTTAAAAGGGGTATGTAAAGAGTATCAGGCGATAAAGACTCGGACCGACAGGGCCTACGGGAGATAGGGCTCCCGTATGATCCCTGCGGTGTCGCCAACAAGACGGACTCCTCGTCCTGTCGGAAGAAGTTGGCACTGGGTATACAGGACTGTACCCGATATAAAGGAGGATGATAAGCCAAAGGCCTAATTAGAATTAGAACTACGAAACGTAGGTAGATAAAATAGTATTGGAAGATGAATTGGTTGTTAACTAAGAACTCGGACGCGGTTGTAGTCCTACAAAAAGGAAAGAAAAACATAACACGTGACAGGAACAGGACAGTCGCTTCATCGTGGTGACTAATCAAAGTTAGTTACATAAGCTATCAACATCAGGCCAAAGATAAACAGCGATGTACCTACCAGGAAGACGCGAGAGGGAAGTGGTTTTTGTGACCGGCTGTCGTAGCGAGGTCGAAGAAGGCGCGGACTAGGGAACTACACGCACACGCACAGGAACGGACCACACGAGAGAGGGAGGAGGGGGGTTGGGATAGCCTGCTACTCGAGAGACACGCCGGCCTGGAAATTTATATTTGGGGCGTCTTTGGTATCATACGCCTTCTCCAATTTAGAGATAAAATGCATCTGCACTTCTCAGAAAGTATTAGGCGGTCCGGGTTGTCAAGGAAGGTATAGTGAAAAGAGACGTCCGCATTAATATTTGGCATATCAGCTATCTTCCGGCCGAGATTTTTCACAGTAAGTATATGACATTCCGTACAAGTTACGAAAGCCGCCGTGCTATATGTTGTATTTAGGGGCCCCCTTTCTTTGAATTGGGTTGATTATGAGAATATAATAAAGATGGCCAGGACAAGTCTAACTGCCTCGCACCAGTAAGGGATAGTTTATCTGTCCGCCCTGCTCTGCTCGCCTGAAGAATGAGGCAATGGACGGGTGCAACCCCAGTCCTTCTGCTCTCTCTGTCCACTCTAGCAGCGGGAGCGTCTCGGTAGGCCGTCCTATGTTCCCGGCCATATACTTCTCGAGGTCCTCAAGGCGAATATTAACGTCTCCAATCCGATGGAAATACCGGCAAGCTGGGCTGCTAACCTGCCTCAGTGCCTCCGTGAGGATCTCACTGGCGCAGTCGTCCGCAGTGACCAGGTTCAGGAAGCCCCGGAGTTTGGGAGAGGATGGCACTGCAGCTGCAAGACGACTGAACTTTAATAGGTTCTGGAACAGGTCGAGCTCCGGTACATCCTCACGTTTGATGTTGGATGGCCGGTGGATGGTGATGGCTAGTCCATCGTGTGCCCGCGCTGCCTTCTCCAGAACGACCTCGCTAGCCCATTTAGAGGCAGTGTAGCCATCTGCGCCGTCAGTTGGTGGCGGATTGGCTGCCGCAGACACTTCGCCAAATTCATCTACCCCAGTGTAGAGTGATACGCCGGCCGTGGACACGTAGTGGATCGGTATCCGCCGTGGCAGAGCGAGCTGAATCAGCTCTTTCGTCGAGCTGACGTTCTCCGCCCTCAAGGTCCGGTAGTGCTTGAGATGTGACACATTGGCTCCATTATGAATGATAACACTGGCTTTGGCGAAGATGTGTTCTGCGTCTTCTTCTGACAGGCCCAGCATTGGGCTGCCCAAGTTTCCGCGATATATGCGTACCTTGTCGGATTTTGCAAGCTCTGCCGTTGGCCGACGTACAGCAATGCAGTAGATAGACTGCACCAAGTCGTCCACCACTAGTTTCTCTAGGAGGGCCCTGCCCAAGTAACCGGTTGCACCTGTTAGTACAACAACTCTTGGGCCTCCTTCGAAGTTCGCCATAACGGCTGGCGTGTCTGTAGTAGTGACTGCTCTGTGCGTCAGCTCTGTCTCGACGTTCCAATCGATCACATCTTCCTGTAATGCAGCCTTCCTTTCCTTGATAAGCCAGCCCATGCGGCTTAGAGTGCTCGATTCGAACAGCTGCGCCAGGTCTAAATGAACACCATAGTTCTCCATGATGCACCTCTGCAGGTTAACCAACAACAGGGAGTTGCCACCGACGTGAAAGAAATCTGTTTTTCCGGTTATATTATGCTGCCTGAATATATTGTCGGGCAAGACATTAGACCAGGTCTCCTTTAGTGCAGCCTCCTCAGGCATTAGTTGTTGAGTAGCAGAGCAACCTGGAACATGGTCATAGTCCAGTGCCAAGCTCGCCACTCTTTTGCGGTCAACTTTCCCGCTGCTTCCCTTAGGCAAGGAACTAACAGGTATAATGAGAGAAGGCTTCATGTGTCGTGGCAAAGGCAGTGCCTCCTCAAGGCCCTGGTCCATTGTCAATGTCTCCTTTGACAAAACCACATGGGCAACGATAAATCTGGGCATCTCGTCATCCACCTGCCGTACAGACGCAACGGCTTCAATTATCCTTCCTTGTCCCGCCTGCAGAATTGCCCGCTCAACGTCCTGCAGGTCAATCCGAATGCCATGCAGTTTGACCTGCGTATCGCCCCCTATTCTACCCTCAACAATGAGACTACCGTCCGACAGAAGACGGCCGAGGTCTCCAGTTCTATGAAGTGATTGCCCTGAGGTAAACATGGGGTCTTTATGCGTTGTGATCTTGTCATGAACGAATCTTTTCCTTGTTTCACTTTCCCTGTGAAGATATCCCATAGCGACACCAGCTCCACCAACAACGATTTCTCCAACACATCCTACTGGTAAGGGGTGCAGACAACTGTCTACAATGTATATATAGGCGTTAGGAGCAGCTTTCCCGGCTGAAATAGGGGTCGAGAGACTCTCCTTATACATCACTTCCCCGCGGTTAGACGAGCAAGTGACCTCGGTTGGACCATATGCGTTGAAGAGACTTAACCGGGCCTTTCCAAGTGATCGAAATGCATGAGTTAGGCCAGTAGTCACCGGTTCTCCTCCAGATATCGCTATCTTCCACGGAGAGTTTTGGAGATTAGGCAGACCGTTCCTAATCCAACTGATATATTCGGATGGGGTTCCGCCAGTCATGGTGATCTGTTCGGAAGCCATTAGTTGGCTGAGCGAAATGGGGTCTGCATGCATACTCGAGGGGCAGATGTATACATATCCCCCGAATGCGAGAGCACCGAATATTTGCGTTAGGGACATGTCAAAGCTCATTGCACTCTGTTGGAGCACTCGCTCAGCGCCGAGGCCATAAGTTAAAGCCGAAAACTCGATTTCATTCCTTAGGCTGTTATGACGGATCGTGATCCCCTTTGGAGTTCCTGTAGAGCCGCTCGTGTATAGAATAACTCCTGGGGTATGGGCAGTTGCTCCAATTGGGACACATCCAGTGACAGAGTCTTGTAGAATTGACGAGACATTGACCACCATTACCTGTTCAGCTTTTAAGCTTGATACCTTGTCCACAGTATTCCTATCGACAAGAATGGCCGCTGGGTGGCAATCGTCCACAATGCTGATTAGCCTTTCAATTGGTGAGCTTGGATCTAGGGGGATATATATAGCGCCAACATGCATAATCGCTAGTAACGAGCAAACCCAATCCGAAGTTCGCTCTTGAAATACCGCAATTGTTGATCCTTGTTTCCCTCCTGAATCTGACAGCTCCATAGCGATACTAGAGGTGCGACTGAACATTTGTTCATATGTGAGAAGGTTACCGTGACCATCTTTAATTGCCGGATTTTCACCGAACTCACGTACGACATCAGCCACGCGATGAATTAACGTTTCAGGCCACTGGGAAGGGTAAGAGGGTCCTATATCTTATGGTCAGTGGCTTGTGGGATAAGTATAGAGGAATCAAAAGTGCAAAGATTCTAACCTCGGCTCAAATCTAATGCAGCGCGAATCTTCTCATCAGAAAAGATGACGGGGTTACATAGAGCCTGGTCAGGGTATTTAGAGAACGTGTCCAAGATAGTTTTATAACTATCTGCAAACAGCTCCGCATCACCTTGGGAGTAAAGGCTGCATTGGACCATGATATCTATCATGCACCCGGCTGGGTTATCCACGATGTCGAGGTTCACATCATACGCGGTTCTGCCAGTCTCAAAGTCTAACATTTCAAGCTGCATATCCCCGAATGTTGTTTTTTCCTTTGCCCCTTCCCGATAGTCCACAAAGGTTTGGAACAGGGGGCTGTGGTACTCGGATCGGGATACATTAAGCACATCCAGCAAGGCTGAGAATGGAACCCTTGAGTGCGCCAGCGCCTCTAAGACATTCTTTCGGGTCTCCTGGGCCACATCGGCGAAGGTTCGCTCTTCAAAATGTCCTGAGAAGCGCAGCGGAAGTAAGTTAACGTAGGGGCCGATACTACCAAGCATGTCAGACCCGGTTCGGTTGGCGTCGCCGATGCCAATACAGAAGTCTTCAGCGTCGGATAGGCGAACAAGAGCTACCTGAAACGCAACGAGGTAAAAGTGGAACGGGGTTACTTTTAGATGACGACTTTGCTGATTGATCTGCTTCGTGAGCTCTGGACTTAACCGGGTGCGAGTCTTGTGGAAATTATAGTTGGTCAAGCGAGTGCGTGACTGTGCATCCGGTAGTGATAAGACAGGTATTGGCTGTGGAATATCTCGGAAAATGCCCTTCCAGTAAGTCAATTCCCGGGTCCACATGCTGTTCAGTAGCTCCTCCCTTTGTCGTAGGGTGAAGTCAAGGTACTGCAGTGGTTTCCCTAGTGGTTCTCCGTTGTATGCCATCTCAATATCCCTCATTAGAACCTGGTGGCTTAGGCCGTCTACATTGATATGATGGCATCCAATCAAGAAATAGTGTTCACTCGACGACTTCGTCAAGGCGATGACCCGCATCGTCTCGCCCTTTTCTAGATCGTATATGTGAGCTGTGAGTTCATTGAATTTTTGGGAAACTTCCTCTTCGTCTGTGATGCGTTGTGTTTCAAGGTGTAGCTTGGGATGTTCCATAATACCCTGCACTACTTGACCGTTGCCCTGAGTGTCTTCATAAAAACAAGTCCGGAGACTTTCGTGTGCCATTGCAACCTTAGTAATGGCAAGTTTGAGATCTGAAATGCGCAGCTTGCCTCTGATGCGAAATAAGCCGGTGTGGTTTAGTGTGGTAGGGTCTCCAACGAAGATATTGACGAACCAGAACATGGATTGCCCATGGGACAACGGCCCATACCTCTCCACAGCGAGTGGCTTTGGCTCATTTACAATTTCCTCCTTCTCTTCTTGATGGGGTTCTGTGGAAAGGGATGTTGCAGACGAATTGTCGGCAATGACATCCTCAGAGCCATTGGCCGACAGCGGGGTCAAATTGCTGCTGGATGGCGCTTCAACGTCTGAGAGGCGGATAGGCTGGGTTACTGGAGCAGCCTTTGCTTCTGTGTCGGTGGATTGGCCCAATTTGGGCGTGAGATCTTTACTTGCTTGCGATAGTGCGTGCTCGAGGATTTCGCCAATTCGTGCGCCGCCGAGGATCTTGAGTACTGGCACATTGACAAAGAGGTTCTTTAGGAACCACGTACGAACCTCTACTGCGACGAGGGAGTCGATGCCCAGGTCATCAGTCCGCAGAGCTAATACTGAAGCCTCTGTGCGTCCTTCACTTGGGTCAGCCTTTAATAGGCGTTGTAGCTTTGTTAAGAAAGCATCTATATAGCAGAGACGTCAAAAAAAGTAAGTCCGCCAACAGTCTCATGGCAATATATTATGGAAAGAACTTACTTCTAACAATATTGAATACTTCCTCCTGTGTTGTGGCCTCTTCTAGTTGTAACTTTAGCGGGATAACGATACCACCGTTGCTTGGACCAGCATCGCCAGCGGAGGTTGTAAGAACATGATGGGAAAACCTTGGGTTGTCGAACCAAATAGGCTTATTCTCTTCGGATGGTTTAATATGACGCAAGCCCGTGGAGATCTCAGTTTCTAGGCCGGAATCTCTCCGGCCGGCAATAACAGCTTCGGCAAATATCTGATGGAAGGACTGCTCAGACATCCACATGTAGCCACCTTTATACAAGTTCTCCTGGCCAGCCTGGCTAGCCTCGCGGGTGACATAACCAACACCGATGATAACGCCAATGTTTATGATAGAGGCTGCCAGCCCACGCTTGCGGCGTTGAGCAGCAAGGCTTACCATGAAGGCATTGGCTGCTGTATAGTTGGACTGACCAATATTACCCACAACTTCTGTCATCGACGAGAAATAGACGAAGAAATCGAGATCACGGTCACCCACTATTTCCTCCAGGTTAATACTCCCCTGTACCTTGGGGGCCGTCACCTTCATCATCGTATCAAAGTTCATATCACGGACTGCGGTGTCCCGGAGCACCATAGCTCCCTGGGCCACTCCTCCTAGTGGTGGCAATGTTCTAGATATCTCAGTATAACATTCACGGAGGTTCGCCATATCCGTCACGTCGCTAGTTTAGGTCAGCAGTTTATTCTATAACATCCTAAAATAGAAAACGGAGGTGGGTTTAATATATACCAGGAAAAGACTCTAACTGTGGCTCCCATACGGCCGGCATTTGCGAGCCACTTCTCATCGACCTTGGGATTGCGACTAGATAGAACAACGTACTTCGCACCAAGCCGGATCATCCATTGGCAAAGCGAAAGGCCGAGATCTCCAGTAAGTCCTACTAGCCAGTAGGTGCAGTCAGGGGAAAAGAGAGGCTTCGAATCGGCAGGCTTGATAGTGACCGGTAGGTGAGCCGCGCTGTCTGTTGTGCAGGGCCAAGTAGCTACTAGAGTGGTTAGCTCCCTACCTTCGTTTGGGCCCCGGAGGTCGCTGATCGGAATGGCGTCTACGCTAGCACTGGTTGGTACGTTGTCGTTGATATCACTCAGGGCAAAATCAACTGCCGCGTCTAGATGCTCCTGAAGCACCTCATCGGAATCAGCACGCGAGATGTAAGTTAAATTCTCAAAAATAGTCTCAACACTCTCCCTCTTGCAGTAGCGAGGAAGACATCTCATAATGGCGAATGAGATATCATGCGATTCCGCACTACTTGACAAGTTGACAAACTTTTGTATAGAATGTGGTAGTTTCTGTGCGACACCACTATCATTCAAGAATGGTGCTAGATAGACCCAGCCTCTAGAGGGGCTGTCGGCCTGGGTCGTGGTGATTTGGAGGTCGATGCCCTTTTTAGCCGAGCGCCTGGAGAGAGCACCTGCAAGTTGGGAACTTGGCTCATGGACAAGAAGTGTATCGCCTTCCAATAGGCCGGAGAATATATGAGCCACAAGCATACAGTCAATAGCCATAGAAACCAGTTGGAACTGCTCCTCGTCGTCTAGAGTAGCAACTTTAACAGCCCGAGCAAAGGGTAGCAACACAGCGGAGGCGTTCGTCTCAGATAAGCCGATCATGGTTTCGCCGCTGTTGTGATCCGTGCCAAAAAGAACAAATAGTCGACTGTTCGTCCCAATCGGGACTGGCAAAGTCGATGATAGCTGAACGTTCATCAAGCACGTAGAAGAGCTCGCTCCCTTTGCTGCCTTCTCCAGGTCCTCTAACCGTGGACCCTTATCCAGGTTTATATGGGAACCATCATCTATAGCAGTGACACAGAATTCCATCGGGTTCACTTGTTCCAGGATTTCACGACGCGCAGAATTATAGCGCTTGTTCTGCTCTTCATGTGCCACGAGGCGTGGCACCATGATATCGTTGTTCGTGTCTAAAATCTCAAGCTCTATAGACCAAAGCATATTGTTCATCTGGCCCTTGCTGTCCCAGTTAGTCGCGAGCTCAAATCGCAGTAACGCTTCAGCTATTCCCTCAGGCTTATAATTTCGGTGCTCGTAGTCAATGAATTGCAACTTCAAGGCTGGGGCTTCCCAGAGCATAGAGCGCCCAAAGCCAACTGACATATTTGCGTGGGGGTTGTCGGCATGGCAACCCTCGGTGATCCAGACAATCAACTTTGCATTCTCAAATGCAGACTTCATGCCATCAAAGCTGCGCTCTGTGAGCCCTGCAAAAACCGGTTGGTCAAGATCGGAGAGGTTAAGGATACTGGTGGTCGATGTCACAGCCTCAGGCTCCATCTCTTCCCAATCTTTGAGGCTGGCTACACTCTTATACATAGGCGACAAGAGGGCTCGGACTTGGTTTATTAGCCTGGAGGTCTTTAGTGAAGAGCCACCAATAATGATAAGGTCGTCGTCGATGGGCTTGTGGCCCAGAGAGCGGAGCTCAGCGATCGGTTCACGCAAGAGGTTGATGCGGTCGTCGACTGCCTGCGACGTCATGACGGAAGCTGGGAATGGAAGGCCATCATCCACATCATCTGTGATGGAGTCAACACCACTGAAGCCAGTCTGACGTAGTAGAGAATCCCATACAACTGGCTCTACACAGGGCGAAAGTAACCTCCCATCCTCTTCACCGGCCCACCATCCAGGAAGGGAACCGAAGGAGAAGCTGGAACGCATCGGTTCATTGTCGGTCACCTCTAGCAAAAAAAGGTATCCACCAGGCTTGAGCAGGCGCCGCACGTTGCGAAGTGTGGTTTCGAGTTTTGCTGTTGCATGTAGCACAAATGATGCAACGACGAGGTCGAACGAGTGTGTCTGGTAACCCTGTGTCGATATGTCATTTTCGATATCAAGCACCTGGAATGATATCTTATCCTCATAATCCTCGAAGGCTTGCTGCGCCTTTTCAAAAAATCCCGAAGAAATATCGGTGAAATGATAGCTTTGGAAAGTCTGCCCGATTTCCTTGAAAATTTGTCTCGTGGCATGGCCTGTTCCTGCACCAACTTCCAGGATTTTCATAGCTGGATAACGGTGGGTGAGCTGCTTGACCGTTCGCGCGAGATACCTAGTGTATGATGGGAACGGAAGGGCGTCCGCATAGTATCTGGTGAGAAGGTCGTCCTTAAATAGATGTTCGAGGATGGTTGTCTCGCCCCGGACAACTAATGGTATATTGCGGCCGACAGCTTCTACCATCTTCATGTCTATATTGTCGCCGTGCTTTTCTCGGATTGACTGGATAACATCTTCGGTGTCATTCATCCACTCCCTCTTGCAGTATTTGTTCTTTCCACGGGAAACTTGCGTCCGAATGTGTGATGAAAACCGGAACAGGCCCTTATACGAACCTTCAGTCCGAGCCGGGTGGTCTTGCGGAATATCTCGCTCCCAGGAATTAAGGTAGTATAGACACGCCCTTTCGAGGTCACGAGCCAGTTGATATTGACTCTCAGTGGCACGCCCATCCCAACAAACAGAATTGCAGTTAGGAGTAACTGGTCCCCATACGGTCCTGGAAAAGATTTTGGTGTCATCCGCAGCTGTGGCTTGCGAAAATGGAACACACTGAACCCCTTGCAGCTGCACTATAGCATACTCGCCACTGGGGTTATAGACGTCAACATCGCCAAACAAGCCAGGCCCTTTTCTGGCAGTCTGTGTCGCGTCAAAAATGAATGAGTCTGTCTTCGAGAAATGCTCGGCACATAGCGTGGGGTTTATGCGGATAGAATGAATTTGAGTAGGGACGTGAATGGACCAAAGATTTCCGTCGTGAGGGTAACAATACGCCAGGATTATTGCCTGAATAGCTGTGTCTAAAGCTGCTGGATGAATCAACAATGGTCGATCTCCATAGTTTGTATCATCCAACATGTTAGTCAAGGTGCCAGAGGCAACCCCTGCCTTTCTAGTGAGATTGTCGAGAGCCTTGAAAGGGCCAGTGTAGCCGTATCCGAGGGTTTCTAGTGCTGAGTAGAATCGTTCACGGTCAACATTAATCATGAGAGGTTCAGATTCTCTGCGAGCAGGAAGTAGGTTAGGGTTATGTTCCCCCAAGATGACTTTGAGAGTCCCGCTGGCTTTGGGTGCCAGCAGTGTATCTGCTTGGTCCCCCGTTGTCGCGTAGAGGGAGAAATCAGCACCGATATTGTCGCCCTTTTCAGTGACATTTGTCAATGTGAACAGCGTCTCAACAGGTACATCATCCTCTCGGAAGACAAGAGCATTATGAATAGTCATATCCTGCACTTCGATCATCTTGGCTGTCCGGCTACCACACAATTCCTTGGAAGCTTCAAAGGCCATTGATGCATAGCCCGCGGCCGGGAAAACAGTTTGTTGTTGTAACTTGTGTCCATCAAGCCAGGCGACCTCCTTGACGGACAAGAAGTTACGCCAACGATACTCTTTCCCTTCCGTGCCATCAGGTAAAAGATTTCCAAGCAATTCATGCGTGGGTTCTTTGCGTGAGAGAGCATTCCTAGAGGCGCGTGATTCATGCCAAAACTCACGTTCTTTGTCCCAAGGGTACGTTGGAAGGCCCACCAGAAGTGATCGTGGATGAGGGCCAGTAATGGCATCTTCGTATTCTCGAATATTGATAGCAACACTGCCAAGAGCGGCCCAGAGGGATCCAATACCCGGCTGCAAATGCCTTGATATCGTTCTGACCGCGCTGCAGGACACCAGTATAGGGTAGCCCCTTTACGCCGGGAATCTCCTCGACAGTCTTTAGGGTTGGGCTTTTCAAAGCGGGATGCGGACCTACTTCGATTGCGGCGTCAAATGGGCCACTCTCTCGGTAGGCCTTTCCAACTGCGTCAGCAAAGAGAACAGCGTTGACCATATTTGCGTTCCAGTAATCTGAGTGGAGCCCCTCGGGGATATTACTGAATTCTTCATTATAGACACTCGAGAACCACTTACCCGTCGCCTCGCTTCTAGGGAAAAATTTCGGTCTAAAAGACGAGAGGGACTTCTCGTATGCCACAGCGGAACGCTGCATGTGATGGGAATGATAGGCTTTGTCGACAAACAAGATTTTAGCCGTCTTCTCCTCGTCCTCAAATACAATCTGGGCTTGCAAGATCGCGTCAGCATCACCAGACAAGGTGACACTGTTTGGTGCATTGGCCGCCGCAACACATATTCGTCCTCGGAAGTATGGTAGACCGCAGAGCTCTTGTGCATCGTCCCGCGAAGTCGCGACAGCTATCATCTTTCCAGGCTGGCCATTAGCTCCACAGGCAATAGAAGCATGCATGCCACGGTAATATGCAACACAGCATGCATCTTCAGCAGTGATATAGCCAGCAGCATAAGCTGCAGCAATTTCTCCCGAAGAGTGCCCAACTACAGTGTGAAATTTTATGCCTGCTATCCGGAGCAGGTCGACCAGAAGCACCTGAACGGCAGTGCATATCGGCTGGGATAAACAGGCTTCACTAATATCGCCACCATCAACCAGTTTGGACAGTAACGACCAAGATGGGCGATCATCAGTTGGTAGACGCTGCAGCTGTGCATCCAGGAATTGGAGGCGCGACTTGGCAAATGGGGACTGCCGGATGAGCTCTCTTCCCATTGCAGCCCATTGTGCGCCTTGCCCAGTAAAAATTCCTAAAAGTTTCGGAGGACTTGATTGTTTGGAAGTAGTTTCGATTCCAATATTTTCTGATTCGATCGCTGCATCTAGCTTGCTGATAAGTTCACCGATATTTGCAGCAACAAAAAATGCTCGCACCGAGAGAACGCTTCTGCGCGAATACAACGTCCATGCTAGATTTCTTATATCGACTAAATTACTCTCTTTCAGGTATGCAGAATATGAAGAGAGCAAAGATTTAAGGGATCGTTGGGAGCTCGCCGAGAATAAGAAAGGTACAGTAATGGCGGCAACATCATTGCAGCTCTCCAAAGTCTTTGTCATGTCGATACCTGATTGATAGCTCTCTAAAATGACGTGGGCATTTGCACCACCAAAGCCAAAGCTGTTGACACTTACTCGGCGCGGTTGACCAGCAGCCACGGCCGGCCAGGGTATAGGTGCCGTTGGAATATGAAGATGGTTGTAGAACGGCTTTATATTTGGGTTGAGCCGGTTAAAGAGCAAGTTGGGAGGGATAACGCTCCGCTGTAGCGCCAGAGACATTTTAATGACAGCGGCAAGCCCTGCAGTTCCTTCAGTGTGCCCAACAACGGTCTTAATTGATCCAACGTAGAGAGGCGTCATAGTCTCAGGTCGGTGGCAGGTATCTGCGCCGAAGAAGGCATCATGAATCGCTTGTGCCTCTACTGGATCGCCTGCAGGTGTGCCGGTTCCATGGCACTCGAAAAATTGGCAGCGGTCCGTCTCGTTACGTGGGTCCAGGCCAGTCTTGGAATAAACCTGGCGGATTAGGCTGGCTTGAGAGCTGGGGCTGGGCATAGTAATGCCGTCCGTACGACCATCCTGGTTTAGGCCTATTTCACGGACTATGCATTCGATGTGATCATTATCCTTGATCGCGTCGCTCAATTTCTTGAGGACAACGGCAGCAACACCCTCACCTCGTGCATACCCATCCGCATCCGCATCCCACATACGCGAGCGGCCGGTTGGAGATAGCATTTTGAGTTTGCTCTCGGCTATGTAGTTTTCAGGGCCAAGAATCAGGTTAGTCCCCGCAGCAATAGCAACGCGTGAGTCTCCCTGGCGGAGGGTCTGAACGGCTTGGTGTAGAGCCACGAGACTGGAGGAGCATGCAGTATCGATGGTCATGGACGGGCCCCTCCAGTCAAATAAGTAGGAGATTCTGTTTGAGAGGATACTACGAGCAACGCCTGTCGCATGGTAGGTTGGTATGGTGTCTAGATCTCGGAGAAGTTTCGCCTCGTAGTCACCGCACATCACACCAACATAGACTGCAGTGTCTGAGCCCTGTAGATCTTCGATCCTCTGTCCTGCAGCCTCTAGACCTTCGTATACTGCTTCCAGCAGTAGGCGTTGCTGCGGATCAATGGCATTGGCTTCGATGGGTTTAATGCCGAAGAACCTTGCGTCAAACTGGCGCACGTTCTCGTCCAAGAAGTATGAGTGTAGGACGTTACTGTTGCCATGATAGTTGCTGTCAGCGTTATGGAAGCCTTCTGCGCTAAAGCGGTCGGTGGGTATCTCCTTTAGGATGTCCTGGGGATTCTCGAGAAGACTCCATAGGCGTGCCGGCGTGTTCGACTGGCCAGGGAAGCGACAGCCAGTGCCTATGATAGCGATTGGTTCGCTGGCGGTGTCGGATATCATTTTTGAGGACTGTTAAAAGCTCTCAGTCTTTGTTTGATCAAACAGTGTGTGATACTTCTAACCTGGAAGTGGTCCATCGGGCAAATTCCAACTCCATTACTATATCACTTGCTGGCTCTGTGCTGTTACTCTCGTGAAACGAACAAGCAAAAAAGCAATAGCATCTCGGGACATCGTTAGCTCGTAGCCAACGTAGCATCCGAATTGATAATTTAGCAGGGCTTGACGTCCGAATTGGAAGACTAACAGTCATCAACCCAGGGGCTCCGATGTTGAGTGGTGCGAGTTATTGCAAGGGCCATTCGGATCCGACCTCCGACAAAAAAAATAAACATGATAAACAGTAAGGTCACTCTTTGCTAGCGATGCTAAAGGCACAGAAGGCCATTAGAACCACTACTGACGCTTACTTCTCACTATCCACGACGATTATCAAGAGGTCCCAAGGACGGCATTGGTATCGTATGGCTTAAATCACTGGCAAAAAAATATTAAAGCTCAAGCCATATTAGCCTATTAGATCGTAATCACTCTCAATCAAATTACTTGGACGAGCCTCCCAATAAATCCGTAGCGTAAAACTCCTACAAGAACATTATTATAAAGATGAGAGAAGTTGGTGCCTAAACTGGGTTTCGGAGAAAATTAAATCCGAGCCTGGTCTTCTACATCAAAATGATGCAACATTGAAGATATAAACTCGTATATATGTGTGTACACAGGTATGTATATCGAAGGAGATTATGGCAATGGGACGACCAGCTTGGTTGCTGAGACCCGTCCTCCCTTCAGATCATCAAGACCTGCTAGGACTGCATCCCAGCCGCCTTCCAGTACGCGAATGGGATGAAACTTGATCTTATCCTCTGCCAGAAGCTGCTCCATGGTTCTACACCAGCGGCGGCCTAGAGCATGGCGTTCGGGGTTTGCATCGCGCTCATACCCGCGTGACAATCCGATTTGTTTGCCCATCATGTCATATCCCATGAGAAACTCCGCCTGCACCGCCCTGCGCTGTCCTAGTATCTCGTCCGCTAGTAGCTCTAGACACACATATCTACCGCCAGCTCGTCCTAGCGCCGCATAGCACACTGCAGCTGACTGGTCATCCGATATGCAGTCCAGGGCGTACCATAGCGCGTTTTCCGTATAGTTCCTGATGTCGCTGCCACAGGTTGGCGACGTGTAGTCGAAAGCAGCCACGGCACCGTATGATCGTGCCAGCGCGAAGTTGCGAGCTGAGCACACGGCAATGGGTTTCAAACCAGACCTGGCATTTGTTTCAGCCTGTACCATATATATATTTATGCATGTTATATCTAAATAGCCGGGGAAACGGAAACTATACTACTCACAGCCGCAGGAGTTGGATTGCCATTGTTCCGGTCGAGGTGCTACCGCCATAGACCAGAACGGGGAAGCTGTCCTCGGCAGGCTCTTCAGGAGTAGCGGACAGGTTGAAACAAGACCACAGGGCCTGGGCGACAGTTCCGTGGCCCACAGCGCCTAGTGCTGCAGCTTGCGCCCAACTAACGCCAGATGGAATGCGGATTACCATCGCTGCCGGAACACGCACGTACTGTGCAAAGGCACCAGTATTCTTGCTAAGCGGGTTCGAGCCGTGGACCACACCGCAAACCCGGTCTCCCACGCGTAAGTCTGTCACGGCATCACCAAGCTGCACTATAGTGCCAGCAAAGTCACAGCCCGCTGTTGCACCGGGCGCCGGGAAGTTTGATGCCATCTTGTAGTCGGTCGGGTTGAGACCCACGGCAGCAGTGCGTACCAGCACCATGTCTGGCTCGGGCGTCTGGACGAGGACATTGGAGGAGACAGCTAGCACGCCTCCAGGGCCTTGCTTGATGGCTGTTTGGGTGGTTGGCAGGTCGACAGCTGGACCTGGTACTTTAGATGGCATGATGGGCTATACACTAAGACTAAAGATGGGACGAGATGTGATAACGTGTATTGCAGGTACGATACCACCTGTTCTCCTATCAATGCATCCTCCTACCAATATACACGCCTCCAGACGACCATACTAGGTCCGACATTCGGACCACCCCTCGGATGTCCGGCGGCCCGACACTATAGACACCGATCGGACCCCTCGTTCCTATTCACGACTATCTACGGAAGCTATACGGAGTACAAAGCGTCATGGCTGTTTGATATTGAGATGCTGCCAGCCCCACATAACTAGCTGTGTAGCGAGTAGCTCGTTAGTTGGCCCACCCGCTCCCGGAAGTTTAAAACCTTGTATAACTTCGGATTCCAAGTACCATGTAGGCATATTTTAACAGTAGAGCGGTATTTGATTGCTAATTTTACTATATAGGTTATGCGACTTCGGATGGATAAACAGCCCGTGAGCGAGGCGATTCAGGGCTTCGGATGAACAAAGAACCCATCGGACAAATTCAATGCAAGAGCTCAGCCACACCTGACCAGCTTGCATGATTCAGCGCCCACACCAGTTCTCTAGCCTTTCCGCTCTGCATCTTGTTCTCTTCTTCTCTTCTACTCTTCTGCTCTTCTGCTCTGTTGAAATTTTGTTATTTTGTTCTCTCATTTTCTCGTTCTCTCGTTTTCCTTCAAGCCGCGGAACCTGTACTTCTACAGTCGCGACTCAACTGCCATGGCTCAAGGCACCATTATCGTGACAGGTGCCAATGGAGCACTTGGTTCGGCCATCGTGCGTGAGATTATAGACTCACCATCCTATAGCTCCGTCTACTACGGTCTCTATACCGTGCGGGATCTCTCTTCGGCCTCCTCTCTGCGGGCCGGCTTACAGCAGACTTCTGGAGCAGACCATCAACATCACTCTGATGTGATCCAACTGGACCTCTCCAAGCTAGCTAGTGTACGCGCTGCAGCAGCTAGTATTAACTCACGCGTTCGTTCAAGGAGCATTCCACCTATCCGCGCCCTTATCCTTAATGCAGGATTCCAAGAGAGCATTACGCAAATGATGACGGAAGATGGCTTTGATATGAGTTTCCAGGTGAACTACCTGGGCCACTTTCTCCTCTCGCTTCTGCTACTAGAAAGCATGGACAAGCATGAAGGGAGAATTCTATGCATCGGAAGCTGGACGCACGAGTGAGTCCTTCTAGCCACTCTCAAGTTGATTCCATTATACTACTTGAATGTTCCGCTAAACACTGTAACTAGCCCTGATGATACGAGGAACTTTCCCGCGCTCTACCCGGAACAATATCGGCCAATTTTACGAGATGGGGTAGAACCTTTAGCCCACGGTACATGGAGCACCCCTGCTCAGGATCCTTCTCCCTTATCAGGCATTCGTCGATACGGCGCATCAAAGCTCTGCGTCATCATAATGATGTCAGTACCCCTTGACCCCCTCTATACCCAGGGATGAATTGGTTTGTTAACTTTACTACCCTAGATATGAGCTCCAGCGTCGTCTAGACTGCGATCCAGCTCTGTCTAACATTAACATCCTAGGGCTTGACCCCGGCGGCATGCCCTCTGGGATTATGAGACGCGCTTCATTCTTACAAGGGTTTATAATTAACAAGGTAGCTGGCACCCTACTAGCACCTATCATGACTTGGTTTTGGCCAAATGGCATTCTACGGACGCCGGCTAAGTCGGCCCACGACGCTCTTGAGGCTGTATTTGGTGATGAAGAAACCCTTGGAAGCCCGCTCAAAGCTCTCTATTTGGATGGCAGCGAGGTATCCATGACCAGTGAGGAGGCGAGAGACTCTCGGAATGCCGCCATGCTGTGGAGAGCAAGCTTGGCATACGCCGGGTTGGGCCAGAGTGAAACGTGTCTTGCAGACTCGCAGTGATCGATAATCTGACATGCTTGTACGGGATTGATAATAACTAATTACCTCGGGAATAATATATAGTTTCGGGAATAGATATATCGTATAAACCTAGGAACCCTGTAATCAAGCGTCAAATATAACAAGTCTCTCTGCCACCAATCAGTGCGGGCTCGCCTTTTTGGCCGAATGGCAGATTCTGACATCAAGATACTTTAGGAGCTGAAGGATGAGGAGAGTAAGAGTGAAAATTAGTGAGGCGTCAAGACAGCAAGGATCATGCCAGATTTTACGTACATACATATTACGGCCTCTACCATTCCCGACCCCGTAGCTACAGCTCTATTTGTTTACGAATGGGATACTTAAATAGCTCCCGCCAAGATTGTGATAAAGAGGTTAACAATCTAGAAATCTATAGAAACCGAATAACTATTGACCTATGACTGATAAATAGTGGTAGAACTAAGGGTATTAGGCTATATGGGTACGGAGGATCTTGTAGTATACAAAGTCCTTCAGGGGCAGGGTGTAAGGAATGGAGCTTGACGTGCAGTGATATCAGGATCCAAAATGTAACTCTGCAATACACCCATGCTGCTTTCCAGCTCTGATAGCAAGGAGGGCAGCGAATAGCGAGTTGACCGCTCTATATTGGGTTGTGGAAAGTTGCTCTAGTTTTTTTCCAAGATATTTTGGAGTTAATTAACTGCATTACGGCGGCTCAAAGTAGGTTTGGTAACTAACTAGCTCACCCGTACGCTTGGGATTATATCTACATGTAGTTGCTGGACAGGAGATCATATATAGGTATCCAAGGGTGGAAGGACCTTAGAAGAGGCGATTATGGCTAGCTGACGGGATAATCCCCTTGTTACTGAAGACAAGGACCTAAAGCCTTGCTGCATAAGCATATGGAACGCTTTGGGCGTCGTTCGGGACATGTTGTCTAATTGCAGAGCAAGGGTGTGAGTATTCTAACGCAATTTCTGACAGGGTCTATCGCTTGAAGGCGGGTGCTAGATAATAGTTATCGAAAACAGATTTTCTCTATATATATACTCTGTATATATACTCTGTATATAGACTTCTCAATCACTTTAAACTCGCTAGATAAGTATGACCGCGAGTATGTCCCACCAGAAGAGAACTGCGTGTGACCGATGTCGTGCACACAAGCTGCGCTGCGTACGAGAAGACCCAACGACGGGTGTGAGGGATGCTAGCAAATGCACTCGTTGTGCGCGAGCTGGTGTTTCCTGTGTCATTGGCCGATCCACTCGCATGTCTGTAAACGAATTTTGGGTCAACCCTATGTGCGACGACTGGAATCAGGACCCCTTGTATATTGGCATGGTCGATAGTGAAGACAGGAGTCAGATATCAAAGCCCCAAGAGAGAACTGACTCCAGTCTCCCGGCCATAGATATAGGCCTCGCTCCGACATGTTTCACTGGGTATTTGGGCCACTGCAGAATCATCCCACAAGGCTCTTGATGGAAATTTCGACGCGAGTTTCGGTCTGATAGCAATGTGTTTTTAGACCATACGCTTTTCGAGGACCTTTCTGGAGAGTCAAAGCTAAAGAGCCCAGCACCGATGTTACCTCCTTCATCCCCCACTGCAACCGAGTCGCCTGCTGAATCCCATATAACACCAACTAATAAGCGAATTCAAGTAATGTGTGCTCTCGCAGCACTGGTATCGAATCTGACGGAGCATCTGCAAAGTATCTCAGACGGTCAACACTCGGCGACACGCTTTATCATCGGGGATATTCAGAAGTTTTTGAGCATCCTTGATGACATCCCAGCTACCAACCGTGGCGATGGAATCATGCCCGGACCAACACTTCTAATCGCTATTTGCTACACGATCATAGTGTGGATACTCCGCCATGCGTGCGAAGGTTTGCCGGGGCACCTCCAGCAGCTGAGTGGTAATGAGTCGGGCGAGCTACAGGCTATTCTAGGCCTGTCGGCTCCGGTTGATAACCCAGGTTTGCAGGCTGCCCTTAGGGTGCAGATGATCCTGTAAGTAACACCAGCCCTCAGGGAATGCACAGAAATGGCAATATTCGATCAAGAACTAGGAAAACCCAGTTGAAGGCCTCGCGAGCTGACGGTTTATGTATAGGTATCTTCTCAATCGTGCAGAAAATTTCCTGAATAAATCACACAGCGAGCAGACTGAAACCTCCTCGACGGCCTCGGGGCTTCTGCGATCAATAATGCGTCTGGACGAAACGAAAAGAGATGTTGTAGCTCTGCGCAAGGATATGGAACGGATCTCGAGAAATCTCGGCTTATGACATGCGTTTAGTGATATAGCTACTGTAACCAGACTACTAGAGTAAGCAAGCCGTATATACGCTTGTAAATACTCATATCCTGCTAGGTGGTCTGGATTCACAGCGGTAGTAGTAGCAGTACTAGGATTATTTTATAGTTATATTTCCTTGACGTAAAATGTTTCTACCTGTATCAAAAGTGTAAAGGTATACGGAGTACTCCGTGGGAAATATTCACGCGGAATTATTCTCCGACGTGATAACGGAGTTTGGGCTGGTACCCTCTGTGACCTTTTTGCCGACCTGAATACTGTCCTGGCTCTTGTTCTTTTTGCCCGTATTAGCTTCCTCGGCGTTGTTCCCCTTTTGATTCTTGTCTTCAAGGCCAAACTCCGTTTCCAGTTCTGTTCGTAGAGGAATTTCCTTCTCAACCAAAGCTAGAAGGAATGCAATTCCGGAGAAGACAGTTGCAATGTACCATACTAGGCGGAGGGCCTCCACAAATACACCAATCGTCTCTGAGCGCACCGGTTCCACCAACGACGAGATAAATGCCGCCGTCGCGTGCTGATAAGCCTCACCGCTCAATAGCCTTGCTCTGACATCCGGATCAGATATACGGATGGATACGCTCTCAAAACGGTTGTTGAAGATCGCGGCGGGAATAGCAACACCCCAAACATTGCCAAAGCTGCGGATGAAAGCCCAACTCGCCGTTGCTGTAGCCTGGTCTTTCTCTGGTAAGCCGGCTTGGAAAGCAGGAAGGAGGGTATTAAGGATCATGCCGGAGCCTGCGGCAGTGAGCATTTGAAAAATCACCCATTCGGCTGCAGACGAATGACTATTAAGGATGCTAAAAAGTCCTAGGCCAATGGTGACAATAGCAAATCCCGCAAGGTGGAGGTGTTTGTAACGGCCGAACTTTGTGAGCACGATGACCGCCACGATGGCGCCGGGGACTGCGACTAGAACAATGGGCAGTAACTGGACTCCAGCGCGCGTTGGGCTGGACTGCAGCACCGCCTGGAAATAAACAGGAAGAAAGAACATGGTCCAGTAGAGAAGGATAGAGTTGAGGAATGTATTTATGGATACAATAGCACCAGTGCGATGCCCAAACAGCCAGGGCGGCATGACTGGCTCCACTATCCACTTCGAACCTTCGACGAGCATGAAGAAAATAAGACCAAGGAGACCAATGAGTAGGGGAACGAACGCGCGAGGGTCAGACCACGCATAGCGGGAGCCTCCGTATGTCAGTGCATATAGGATGGATACACTAGCCGCCATGAGTATGGCATTGCCAATGTAGTCGATCCGCTTAACCTTCTGCATGAATGTCATCTGCTTGTTGTGTTTGACTCGTAGGAATAGGAAGAGGAGCACCATCGACACGCCTCCGACTGGAAGGTTGATGTAGAATACCCAACGCCAGGTAGTGTGGTCCACGATCGCGCCACCCATAAAGGGCCCCAGCGATGTGCCTATCGAGTAGACTGTTAAGATGATGGCGATATAGTTACCTCGCTCGCGTAGGGGGACCAAATCCGATATGATAACATCCACGATCATGTTGACACCGCCGCTACCAATGCCCTGAACCGCGCGACCTGCAATAAGCATTGCACCGCTAGTTGCACCACCGCAGATGCCACTACCCAACGTAAATAGTGCGACGATCGAGAGGGTTAGCCATCGCCGGCCGAAGATGTTGGCCAATTGCCCGAAAAGGGGTTGTACAGCGGCGCTGAAGAAGCCTTTAGCGTCAGCGTGGAAGTCAGACTGCTGTCTCCTTCTACTCTTTCATCACTCACCTGGTTAGAAAGAAGATGTTGGTTATCCAAATATATTCTGCACCGATGTTGAGCTCTTCCACGATGGTCGGTAAAGAGGTTGTCACAACAGTATTCTCCAGCGCTCCTAACAGCCCCGTTATACAGAGAGCCACCATGATACCCCAGAACCGGTAGCCCTTGTGGGTCGGGGTTGGGTTAGAGGTTCGCCCTCCAGCTTGTTCCAATTTCGTCTTTTCATTCTGCTGGCCGCTGTCTTCATCTTGAAAGGGCTCTGGTAGTGACAGAGAAGCTGGCAATGCCTTCTCGTCTGAGGTCATGGCGGAGCTGGAGACCGGATTTATATGGTCTAATGTAATGGGCCCTGATGGGTGCCGTTACAGCGACTCACTAGTCCTGTGGAGAATGAGATATGGTCGTCGGCTTATGTTGGAATACTTTATCGTCTTTAGTCCCACACCTATGTTTAAGGTGGACTGATCATTTCCTGCTATTGACGGGTTGCAAATGTTTCTCCATCGGCTAGTTCCATTGCTCCGGAGCCGTCGGCACGGAGGCTCTGAAAAGAGACGAACCCTGGTAAGTATTACCATTATGTGCATAAGAGCACGAACCCTCATGGGGTAGAATGCATCGGAACCAAGCTCCGATCATGCATATTAAATGGGGCTCCGAACTTGCATATACCCCTGACCTTGTAAGGGTGAATCGCAGGGGTATCGGAGCAGCTAGCATTAATCTTCAACCCAAGGCCGCGATTGTGGCTGTTTAATTCGATAGGGATATCCTCTCGCATGCGGCCATTGATT